ACATGAGTGTAAATGAAATGAGATGTAGCGTAGCACTTTCCACGAAAATCTTTTGTTCAGAAGAATGTGGTTGTGAGCTGGTGCTTTTGTTCCTTTCAACATTGCAAGTTAAAGCCCACGAATAATGCAAGAATTGGATCGTATATGCGTTATTGGCGTCAAAGGCCCTGCCAATTTTTGATTGTTGTGGCTCGAGTAGCTGGAAGCGTTGTGCCTGCATGGGATGAATATCGCTCGCAAAACAAGGGATGTAGCGTCAACTGAAATTAATTCAATGCTACATAAACGCGTCAAAACATCTAGTCTGACTTCCATGGGTCTTGTAGTATATATCATTAGTTCACTCACTTACAACTATCATTAATCTTGAACACAGATCTTCTCGGCGCATACTAAGCAAATAGTTCAATCTCTGATGCGTCGTCAACCTACTTGGGATTGGTCAGACCTCTTCCAATATTGAACTTTTGGATATTCGGAGTTTTTCAATTGAAATGAGATTCAATATTGTTTGCGTCTTTGGCCTTCGCGATTCATGGTCTGCTGAAAAGATTCCAAACAACTAAAATTAGGGTCATTTTTTATAACTCGGTACTTGCAATGAAGATATTCCAAATGGAGTTATCTCCCTCCCTAGATAGGCATTCGCCAGCTCTGAGCAATCCGCTATGGGAAACCAAGTCTAAAATTGCCGCAAAAGGAAACCACAATCTCAGGACCAATACATGTGAGTAATCAAGTAGCTAAGATGAATTTAACAGAGGTATTTTTCCATCTTATTCTCTGATAGGTAATTGGCGCGTGTTAGTGTTTGGCTTGAAAGCAAGAACTAAGCAATCTAGTGGGGTCGACCACTTCAGAACGTAAAGCAAATTGTCCTGCTACCCAAACATGTACAATCGAATCAGAAATACATATTTAAGGATCATCGCGATCTAGACTATCTACAATTCTACACTTGCGGTTGAGGTGCTGTTGGAGATGCTGGGGGATTGTAGAACTCTGGACTCAACCACCCATCTACGAAAAGCCGGCCGTAGGAGCTATACACCTGTCTGACAGCCCCTCGTAATACAGCGATTGTCTCATTAATATTCATTTTGACGTCGAGGTCATCATTGAGTGGTTCTGCAATGGTTACAAGGTAGGACTTGGATGCCAACTAAAGGATAGAAGGTTTTGGTGTTAGGTTACAATGAAAACCTGTAGCGTAACCAGATAAAATAGTATAGTACTTTGGCCAAGTTCCTGAAGAATGAAGCTCCACCGTATCGTGACCCTGTTGAAAGAGTGCGGAGTTAGAGGTCAGCGGACTCAATCGAACGAATGCAAGAGACACCTACTATGGAAGTCAAGAACCTACATTTTTTGCCAGGTTGCACTTCAATTATGATGGACTCGGGAGGTAGCCACACCAAAGCAGTCAGCCCAGATCCATGTACTCCAACCAGTATTGTCGTATTTCGAATCTTCTGCATCTGCTGTTTCATTGTAAGATCTTCCATCGCCACAAGATCCACTTGTATTCGTGGAAACTCTTTTCTGACTTTCGTGACGATTTCCTTCTCGTTTACCAACTTCCGTCTCCCGCGACGTGATATTATGGTAATTGTTGGAATGAAGCTTGTGTGGGTTTGGTCTATATCATCCTTGATATGGTAGTGATTCAGTACCTTTTGAGTAAAGTCCTAACAAAAACATAAAGTTTGTTTTGATTAATGGTTGCCGAATCGTGGTTTAAAGCGTGTACCTGTAGGAGAATGGAGTCTTTACAAGGACTGGTAGCACCCGCATCCTTCCAAAGTTCCACTGCCGAATGGTCCAAACCAGTCACCACACGTTTGAAGCACGTCCGTTTTTCTGCCAGACTGGTATCAAAATAACCGACATGAGGAGCATACATAAACCACAGACCGCGATACGGATCGTCATTTAAATTGTATGGATTGTCGTTTTCTTGAAGAATATAGATTCTGGTTGACGAGTAGTTGTGAGGGATGGTGTGGTTCATGGTGGCGAACGTAAGATACGTGGCAAAATGAACGACAAAACTATGATACCTAGTAAAACAAAATGTTATTAGAGCGCTAGCGCTTAGCATTCAATAAGTGGTTTTACTCACAAGTTCCCCATAAGATTCCCACTATCTGTCTTGAGCACGTAAACAGTGTCGTCTAAGACTTCACTACATCCATTCGTACTCTCATTACTGAGTGAAGATGGATGCAAAATCTTCATTACTTCCTCTTGTTTCAGACTCCCACTACGTACAGAATTATTCAAGCCAGCGAATTCCACACGTTTCTCGACAATATAGCTCTGCATGGTCGCGGTAAATCCTACAGTATCATCATAATCACAATCCTGCAGTAGCAGCTTTGGCTCTGTAAGAGGTTTAGGCTGGATTACCGTAAGGAACCCCTCCAAGAGACAAAGGGCTTGGGGATAGGGGTAGCTCCAGTCTCCCTTGTTTTGCACAGTAGGGGAGAGGGGACCATGTTTTTCATCTAGTTCAGATTTAGGTATGATGCGATAGTCGGTCCAACAGCGTGCTCTAGTTGTCTCGGTATCTTGTTGACCAGCCGCCGAAGACGATGTTCTAGTCGCGCAATGTGAAGAGGGCGAGGAAAGGAATGATTGGATTTTTGCGAGCTGGTATCTATCATAGTTCAATTCTGTCTAGTTATAACATTGGTAAGTCAGTGATGACTATTTTGCACTTACTTTTGACATCCATAATTCCAAGGTGGGATTGCGAGCGGTGATGACGAGGGCGAAGGAAGAACGGAAGGAATGAGCACCTGATTATTAGCACTTGATGAGATTATGAGACGTCAGTCATAGGGTAAATATTGCCAACTTGCGAAATGGAGCCTTACTTATCATTAGTTCGGTCAGGACCAAAAGTGTCTGTCGCACTACTATTGTAATCAGTCGAGACGGACAGATACAGGCCTAGGCCACATCCCAGCAGTACAATTGCTGCTGCAACCTGAGCTGCCCATGCAGGAGGCATCTCAGCCTTCGCCAGGGTACAAAGTTGAGTTGTTCCAAAGAACCTCAATCGGCACGAGGTTTTGTGGTTGAGCCATACGTGATGCATGGGAGAAGGGACAACGAGGATGATCATTAGCAGACTACTAGACACTTTACTAGTCACCATGTAAAGGTTCCATCATGATATTGTCTCCATCTTTCGGTTGCCCCTCATCATCATAAATATATATTGGCTGACGGTGGTACTCTATGATAGTAGTTGTATTCACACTTTGAGGATATCTGATTTTTTGAGGGTTTCCCGGCTGTGAAAGTGAAATTGAGCATCCTTTATCTGGTACGAGGGCTCGTTTGGAGCACTGGAAAGAAACGACGATTATTGGCTGGACGCACGTGCAATACTAGATTGTCGTATTGTCGTCATTTAAGTAGCACTCCGTTAATATTTCATCGTTCAAACGCGTATTAAAACGTAGTCTTGCGCTGAAAAGAGTTCATGTGCTTGTGTGTTTGATTTTCATCTTTCAGTTCAGCTTGTTGATTGTGCGATGTTGACCTCGTCATGAAGCAAAATCCTGGCAAGGTTTGTTGTGATCAAATGTGAGATTTCGTGCTAAAAGACTATCCCACATGGCCTTTGGCTGGTCAGTACAAGCATTGCACGGAATGGAATTGACTTTTTGCCCAAATGCCGCTACTCGTGTTTTTGCTCGCGTAAGCCTTGATGGTCTAGACTTTTCAAGCTCAAATTTGCTTTAAAAGGTCCAATCCGTGAGGTGTTGGTATTCGTCTCTGTCTGTCATCTGTCAGCTTTGTAAATTTTGGTGACGCATATCGGATATGAGTGACAAGGAACGAGTTCTGAGAGTAATAAATGGACTGCCTCATATTGAATCGTCATTTTAAAGAACGTGTGCTTTGCTATTCTCTTGCTAGCTAACGTGAATCATCGTCAAAATCGGTGTTGAAGCCAGAGGTTTTGCCTTATGAGCGACAAGTGCGTGCACGGTTACGTAAGAGTAGCACAGCATATAGCAAGCAAAGTTGATAACTGAATTCAGAATCAAGACTGGTTATCCGGCATTGTTCAGCAACAACATGGCCAAGGAATAAGTAACGTTACGTTGAGAATCGAAAAAGTATTGTACTTTTATATAAATTGCATGGCTACCCTTCTACAGTTCTATATATTTGTGATGTTTCTACTGGTATTTTACTGACTGATTCCTTCACCCACCTTTACCACGTTTCTCACCACACCTAAAAAATCCACTTCTATCTATATCGATCGGTATATTCAAGCCCCATAATCCATTTCATATTTATCGAATCTCATTGATGACACCAAATCCAAATACAGAAGCTACAGCAGCGAATCCGTACAATACAGTGTTGTTGGGCGATGCGACTTTGGTACCAGTTTTCACGCCTTCATTGGTTGATGCAGAAGCATTTGATCTAATGTTTTCTTTGGGTGCAGTGCTGCTGGTAGAGTAGGATGGTTTGGGAGCTGATGTGGTCCTGCTTCGTGATATCGATTGTTGGATGGTCGTTTTTGCTGGTGAGAGCGTTAGCCGTCTGGCGATGAGGGATGGGAGGGTAGGTAGGACGCTGCTCATTGTTGTAAAGGGATTTTTGATAATTTTTTTGAATGCTGGTTGTAAAGTAGAGTTTTTCTTTCGATAACGACTGACTGATTGTGAAGAAAGTTTGTTTTTGCAATCAAGGGTACGTGTTTGATTCAACCGGATTGACGATTTTCACATGTCAGCGAAACCAGTCTCAAAGCAGGAGATTTTTCGAGTACGTTAACTACAAATATGTGTTTTTATTGTTAAATCCTGTGAACCAATGGCTATTGTGTGTGTTATTGTGGGTTTGTACTAATTCTTCTTTTCCCCCACCTAACCCCTCCTAATTGTTTCCTGCATTTTCTTTATATATCAAATCATAGAAGAATTTTGGGTCCCTGTTTTTTTTTTCATTCTATATATTGGGTGTTTTTACTCCGGACGACGAGGAGACCTGGACGAAGCACGAGACCTAGGTGCAGATCTTGGAGGAGGAGATGGAGAAGCACGTCGTCGAGGAGGAGGAGAAGGAGAGGACCTGCGAGACGAGTATCTATCGCGTTCACGAGAGCGATCTCTTCCACGGTCGTCACGGTAGTCTCTGTCTCTGTCATCATATCGGCCTCCACGACGGTCTCGTCTGTCATCATAGCCTCGTCGATCATCGTATCTGTCGCGACGACGAGGAGGCGAGCGGTCACGTCTGTCTCCTCGGCCTCCTCCAGATGTAGTACCCTTGTCACGGTATCGCATTTCGGATGGACCTAAAGAATAGAGATTGAGTGTATGTTTGTGAATATATGACGTTATTAATATAGATATAGCATATGACGTTATTCATATAGACAGACAATGAATAATGGTCTAATGCGTTACCTTTGCGATCACCGGCAGCGATTTGACAAGTCAACTTGGCACCATTTACAGTAACATAATCAATCTTGTTGAAGGCAGTTTCTGTATCCTCCGCGTTCTCATACCTTGACGAGTTGAAGAGAGTAATGATGATTCTTGTTAGGACTTCAGTCTTGTAGTCATTCGGCCCCGACTTGTTATATGAAAAAATCCATCTTGATTGTACATTCCAATGCATTTCATGAGCATCTTGTAAAGGCAAGTCTTGGACTTGATATAACCCGCTTGATGTGTCAATGCCACTTGTATGGCAAATCATCCAACACACATTTTGTGCATATACTTGGTTTGCTAGACTTGCAATTGAATCTTGACAACAACAAACTTGATAATAACAAGAGGATTGGCCTAGTCTTGAGATAAGAACTCACTGGATGAAGGCAAACCCACGAGGGCGACCTGTGTAGTAGTCCTTTGGAATGTAAACTAGAATGAAGTAAGAGACATGGAATGAGCGACATGAATAGACAGATAGCACCAACTACAAGCGATATACCATCTTTGACCTTCCCGTATCGAGTAAATGCCTCTCGCAAATCTTCAGGTTTTGTTTCTGGAGTAACTCCCTTAACATGGAGAGAAGGAGAGTTCCTATCTCTGGTATCTCGGTTGGCTCCCTTGTCACTTGGTGGTGGAGGAACTGGTGGTAACTCGACGGTCTCTGCGCTTGCATCGTTGGCCATCATCCTTCCAATGTCTGATGTTGCGTTGAAGGAAAGAAGAAAACGGTAAATCCAGATCAGGAGAGATGAGACAACATAGATCAACCGATTCATATCCAAAAATATATTTTCATGTACTGTTGTACTGAAGAAACCGAACGGAATATGAATCGCACCGTCGAAATGTTGCCACGACATGGAGATTTGCAGGCGTTTATGCTCCTTTTAGTGTTAGAACAGTGTACCATGTTGATGACGGACGTCGATATAAAAACGCGTCGAAATGTATGTAAAACTGCACTTCCACGTTCGCTCATTCACCTCCGCCGTCTGACTTGTTAAACTCGTGACAACGATAAAATGTGCTGATCTGCCCATATGGATAACAAGAAGAGGATCATAACAGCCAGCTTCAATCAAGACGCAACATGTTTCAGCATAGGCACCATAGCCGGCTTCCGCATATTCTCCACAGACACGGCCAAACCAATCTCAAAACGGGAAACTCTGACAATCAATGAAAACAACGAGGATGGCGCACACCTGCCAGACGACTCAAAGGGAACTACTGCTCCTGCTGCTGCCACCTCAAGGTCACAGCGGTTCATGGGTGGAATTGCTATTGTCGAAATGCTGCAAAAGAGTAATTATATGGCATTGGTTGGTGGTGGTAAACAGCCTGCATTTCCTGCTAATCGAGTCATGATATGGGATGATGCAAAGGAGAAAATGGTCATTGAAATGGAATTCTTGAGTCAGGTCAAGGCTGTCAAACTACGAAGAGATCGGTAACTTCTTCGTTGGTTTGGTTGCAAGAGTTTAAACTCTGCTCGTATACGCACAGTCACCATGTACCCTAACATTCTTCCTACACTCTAGTATTATTGTCGCACTACTGAACAAGGTCTTTGTATATACTTTCTCGGCCAAACCTCAACGTCTCTACACATTCGAGACCGTCGATAACGATCTAGGTTTATTGGCAGTCACTCCATCTCCCTTCTCACCTCCATTATCATCCACTTCCAATACAAGTAAAATACCATATACAGCACTCCTCGCATTCCCTGGTCGCACCAAAGGGCAAATCCAACTGGTCGACCTACGTGTATCTTCGTCCTCGGCGATATCTGCAACCCCTTCATCCACAAACATCACATCGTCGCTACAACCATCTGTATCTATAATAGCCGCACACAATACACCACTAGCCGCACTCTCCGTATCCAATCAAGGTCACTTGCTCGCCTCAGCCTCGGAAACTGGAACCCTGATACGGATTTACGAGACAAAGTCTGGACGTCTGTTGAATGAACTGAGGAGGGGTGCTGATCGAGCTGATATATACTGCATTGCATTCAATCCGTCAGCTACTAGAGTAGTCGTTGCTTCGGATAAAACTACAATACATATCTTCAACTTGACTGCATCGAATGGACGTGGAGGCAGTGGTGGTAGTATGAGCATGGCACAAGCAGGTCCGTCTCGACCCATATCACGACCACCACAACAACAATATAGTAGAATCACGCCACAAACTTCGGATAGACCAGCACTGCCTGCCCGAACTCCATCAGTATATAGCGACAGACCACACACCAGCAGTGCTAGCAGCAGTAGTCATAATGCTACCGGTACATCATCATCATCATCAACGGCAACAGCAAGTGCATACTCGGCCTTGTCAAGTCTAACGAGTTCCCTAAAACCGGGTAATCGATCATCACCACTTTCCTTCCTATCTCCATACATCCCTATGGTTGGAACATACTTGTCTTCCGAATGGTCGTTTGCTCAATTCACTCTTCCGTACGAGTGCAAAACTATAGTCGCTTTCGTACCAAGATCTGGAAACAACAATGGTAACCACAGCAGCAGCAATAGTAATACTAATTATAGTACAGGTGGTGGCTACCCAACTACAACTCCTTCGTCATCATCAGCAGTGGCAACAGCAGCTATAGATGAATATACGTCTCTCGTTGCCCTATGTAATGATGGATCCTTGTACAGATTCACATTTGATCCAATATTGGGTGGAGAGTGCGTGAGGGAAAAGTATCAGCGATTCTTTAGAGGTGTGTCTGCTGAACTGCCAGATGAAGAATGGGAGGAAGATATGGGTTGAAGGTTGGGATATTATGATTATATGTGGGTGCTGTTGTTTATTCTTTGCTCATATATGATAGTGTTTTTATTTTTTGGAGTTTTTTCCCCTCATTGTAGCTAGATAGCAAGTAACAAAAGTAGAATGAGAATAGTAAATGGTATATAAATTACACTTGATCAGTGTTGTACCGCAAGACCCTGCCACCACAATCCGAAACATCTTCACCAGCAACAAAGAACGTTTTATCAGGTAATTGGGGCGCAATTGCTTTGAATATGGCCGTAGCACAACCATTTGAGGTGTCTCGTCTGGCATTCTGGCTTGCCAAAACAACACAACTGTGTTGTTCCTCCTTCCAATTCCAAACTTCACAAAAACATAAAAGATCAAGGCAGCTAGTGAAGGAGGAGGAAGCAGGGGACGAGAGAGTGAGCATCCAATGTGAGGCACTAGTTATTATGGTTTGTGCTCTCTCCCAACAGCTACTCATTGTATACTGGGCGACATCCCCAACTTTATTACAATTGCCGCAAATTTCATCAAGATTCTAACCACCATCATCAAATGTTCCATATAGTACCGAGGATCTTTCAGCAACGGACAGTAATTAGTCGCCTCGCAGTCCCGCCGGATATTGGTTGCAAAATTTTCAGTTAGTGGACATCTCCTCACCACGGTGACTAATGATTCTGGCTGGGCGTCGCTCTTGTACCGCTGTGGATTAGAGTGGACTCCAGCGTCAGATGATGGAAAGCGAAGGGTGTACTCCAGGCCGATTGTCAGGACGCTTGCGTCTGCCATGCAGTCATACTGGCGGAAAGATTCAACTATTGCTCGCTCTCTCATTTGCGTCGAATCGCTGGATTGGCTACAAGCATGCAGGATGGTAGCATGATGATTCAAGTGTGTGGTACTAGTTCTTATGGTATTCCAGCTTTCCTAGCACAAGTAATTGAGAATTGCTTCCGAATTGGTTGCAATCTGCTCCATTTGCTTCAGGAGTAATGACTTATATCCCATCGTCTACCATTCACATATTAAGCAAGATCTTCACACTGCTATATTCAGTTGTCTCACCGTCCTGCTGTATATTGGCAGCACCATTTTCTCTTAGACAACTTCCCTTCACCGTGGAGACGAATCATTCTGGCTGGTTCTCTTGTGCTGCTGTTCATAAGAGTGTAACCCAGATCCAGATGAACGGAAACGAGGGGAGCACGCGAGGCCGACTGCCAGAACCCTTGTACTGTTGTACACTTTCTCGTGGGGCAGACACAGACAACATCCACTTGCACATTGTTTCGGTCTCATCTTCTATAACTAACGAATTAGGAAACTCTGGGTCTCTTCACAGAGTTACTTTGGTTAAAAATGAGCATTCGCTATACTTATTAGATTTTGTTTGTAAATAATCAGAGTACATTCATGCTCTAACTGTTCAATAAAAGCTCAATTCCATGGAAAGCCAAATTCGTCTTCAAAGACATTGGGATCCAGTATTCCCATAAGATTGCAAGGGTTGTTGATGCGCCAGCCACTTATATATCGGTCTGGAGTAACATAATATTTGACGTCTGGCCCGTACCTTACATAACCTCCCTTTCCTGCCCAGGGGACGTCTTCGCCTTCTAATGGCTCATAGTCTGAGTCCTCAAATCCAGAACCAACACTATCGCCATCACCCTCTGAAATACTATGCGTGGTTGTCACAGTCACATTATTTCCCAGCCTCAAATCAATTACATCGTTTACAGTGTCTGTGAAGACTTTGATCAATGCTTTATGGTCCAAGGGCTCGTCCGTCTCCTCCAATTCATCTAGTACGAAGACGTTTGAGTCCCCGACGACTATTTCCAACGTGACTCGAGGCATATTAAGCCTCCTCCGACATTCAGCCATGGCTGTAATACTAGAACTATTTATATGATCACCATATGGGATCCAATACTTTAATATACGTAAATCCTCAAGGTATCGTAATGCTAGATATACAGATTCGTCTGATGATGTCTTATCAGTATCGCGAGCCAAGCTAGTCATCTGCAATACGCGTACATTAGGTAAAATGCGAAGGTTTGCTACAAATCCAATTTGATTTCCGAGCCAGTTGGATCCATCATTTTCAGTACGGGCATCGTTAAGAGTTTCGTCGAGAATCAATTCCAGTTTGACTAGTTGCTCTCCATGAGCTTTGAAGAAGTGAGGTATACCAAAAGACTGTAGGGCCCTAAAGTTTATATGCAGTTCCTTCAACTTGGGCCATCGACTATCTGTGAAGAGATCACGTCTAGCTATAGTCTCTTCATCTGACACAATGAAGAGATATAAGTATTCCAATGTTAACGATTGCACTGCTATAAAGCTAACAAAATCATCGCCTAATACACAATCATCTACTTTCAGTCGACAAAGCGGTTTTGATAGAGTGACCGATATCCATGGAAAAGGCGACAAGTTCATATCTTTGAAAGATAAACTTTCAAGGGACTTGAACTGGCTCAACCAATTGAACTGTCCTATACTAGTCCAATTCGGATTATAGATGCCGCTGACGGTTTCACGTGATTCTTCTATACCCAAGCTCGTGAGGAACAGATGACGAGTTGAGAAGGTTCTCCATTCCTGCTCTGTCCAGATTGGATTCATGTCTTTAAAATTGAGGTTGATCCGTCGAAGACTAGCTGGAAGTGATGATATTTCAGTATGGGGTGTAATTGGGATGTGGATTTCTTGTATGTTCGGTGCTACAGTCGTGAGTGAGGTGCTAACTAGATTTATTATTCGCTCGACACTCCTATGGTGGGCACAAAACTTAAGTGAATAACGGCTTATTCCTGTTCACATACAGAGCAACTTTGACTTACAAGTCAACTTGCAACCACGGATACTCGTGATGCTGATCCATCAAGACATTCAAATCCATCCCTCTGATACATTCAGCGATAGGCTGACGATACATGTCTGTTCTAACTTCGGTATAATAGGCATCCAAACACTGAATCTGATTTATTGGGTTGTGACCAAAGACGTCCTGATATAGGAAGGTACATGCAAAAGAGTTCAGCTGACGACAAGTTGATGCGAGTGAGTGGAGATCTGGGTACTCCAGGCGACTTGTGATGTTGAGTATGAGTTCATTTGGCAGAGTAGTGAGACTCTCGACGACTTGCTCTTCATCGTTGTCAATAACAAATTCAGTAACAATAGCAGGACGAGGACGCATTACTACTGTGACAGGACTCGCGACGACGTGCTCATCATCGTCGTTGTCGAATTCAATAACATTAGCTGGAGGAGGAGGACGAACTACTTGTTCATCGTCACTCTCACTATCAAATTCAATAACTATAGCAGGAGAAGGGTGCATCACAGTTGGTCTTCTTTCGTCCTGATGCGTGCTGCAAGAATTTGGTATGAGTTCGTTTGGCAAAGTGATGAGTCCTTCGACCACATGCTCTTCATCGATACTAGGATCATGGTTGTCGTTGAGATGTTGCATTACGTCCAGCGATGCGTCCTCTAAACCTGGACAAAGGAGAATTGTGTGAATGCAATGTTGACAACCATGATGATGCTGATAATGGCAAAAAGAGGCCCGAACTGGCCGCCACGAGACCAAAGAGAAAGAATTGAAGGCGTCATGAGTATTTAAAGTACCTGTGCCTCTGTTTGCTGCCAACTTCATTGTCTCTCGGCCAGTTTCTAGCTCAACGTGACAAGAACAAGCCTCTAGCCACGATGTATGGACATCCAGAACCTGCTGTAAAAGTCGTGCCGAGGTCTCTTTACTGTTCTCAATGCGATGAGTGAGTAATCGTTGAGGTTAAGAATGAAGCTCTCTGTTGGTATGGAGCTTGGTGCTATGTCAAGGCTAGATCCAAATTGACACATGTGATATTTCTACTCGTACACGCACAAATATATGATTTCATTACCCCTCGTCATATCTTGAATGTTTCGCAAACCGAACAACATCAACTAAACGGATCAACCAATTCATTCCCCACTCTAGAGAGCTCCCATGGTACAACTTCATCACATGTTCATCACTCTCACAAGGAATTTCCAAACCTGACCTACCAGAGACTCAATCTCTATGCAACATGTGCATCAAGAAAGAATCTTTGCCTTCACCTGAACGAATGAGTATCAGTGTGAAATGGTGCCATGTTGGTCTATTCAATGTATATGCTGTCGTATCATGATGAGCGTGATTTCGGGAGGTGGTGACGTGTTTGTGTTGGTGAAATGTTAGCACCGACCTAGATTTTCAGCTGAACGTCCACATACTACTATCCTTTCTCGATAGTAAGAACACGGGCAAGCAACTTGCTCATTCAAGGGTTGAACATTTGATGTACATATTACCAATAACGTAATAGCAACCAAAGTCTCATGTAAAGCAAACACAAACCCATCATTGGAACTGCAGTGAGAAGAAAAATGTTTCGCTCCAAACCAGATACACTTTGGACATCTAGACATCCAGTGATCAAACTACGGGCGGATAATAAACTTTTTTTCTTTCCAGACAATTTAACGAAGAGAGTCATGGAATGACAACTCTCGTAAAGACATGTCTGGATTAATTGAAAACAAGGGGCCAGACACAATACTGGGTGTCGGTATTATATACTAGATTACATTTGTAGGCAAATGGCTCGTGTACAAAACGTGTGACAAATAATTACATAGCAGAGGTGGTGAATCAATCATCTTCATCATCTTCGTCGTCATCGTCGTTATTCTTCTTGTCGTTAAACCCGAAAATAGTCTTACGAGATTGGTGGGTGGGCTGGTCGATGATCATAATTACACCTAGAGGAGAGAGGGAATCAGTTGTCATCTAGCCCAAGTTCATGGAGAACAGAATCGATGGCATATACGACATACTAGCTTTGTCTAGACGTTGTTCCAACAGGTTGGTTTGGAAGGAATCTGTCAAGCCCAACTCGTCGAATCCTACAAGTCTAGGGCAAAAAGAAGATATGTTACTCACCGCGTAAGACGGTGTGAAGTCTCAAATCTCAAACCCCATTGGAACATACCTATCAGCAGCAATTCCATCAATAAAACAAACAACACAAGGCAGCACTTGTATTTTAAGTCGATCCACCAAAAAGGGTGCATTATCAACATCCACCTTGATGAATCGTGTCTTGAAGTGTTTACGTGCTAGTATCTAATCAATCACAACAAAGAATCATTAGATAAATGAATTATGCATTATTCAATTATACAATCCACATTTCTTGTAAACATACTCCTAAATGCTTGTCCATAATCTGACATCTGCGAAACTCCTTGTGGAAGAAATGGACGACACAGAACTTTGTCGTGGTAGTAATCTTTAGCACTTCCTTTTCCGTTCTGATTTCTTCGTATGTGCCATGAGCGCTAGCCTTCATCTCTTGTAGTTTATGCGCCCTAAATTTAATGTGAGTGAGTATATTTTTCTTCATCAAAAAGTTGTATAATGATGCATCACGAATGATGAACATGCCACGTACTCTCTGCGTAATTGTTCCATCCGTTGTTCACGAAATAGGGCGCCTTCCATGTCATCATCCCTCTCTAGTTCTTGGAAGATTGCATCCTCGTCGTTTATAGCGTCTATAGGAACGTCAATGTTGTGCGCTGGTCTATATAAAACGATGGGTTTAGCAAAGAGAATATTATAATATGGAAGGGAATAGAATTATTGAAACTTACTCGGCTGATTGAATCTCCATTTCGATACAATCAACGATTCTGCGAAGTTACAACGTCAAAAGATGAAACAGACGATGGAAGGCAAAAACCAAGACCCGCTTGTAACTTCAAGACGCGATTGCATGAGTTCTGAATAAATTGTTATACTAAATGTCACGTACTATGTCACTGGTTGAGTCGGTGAAGACAGTAATTTGTTGTCACATCCAGCACCAATGACAGTTCATACTTAACGAAGCGGAGCTAACCGCGATGAGACCTCTAGCGTTAATTAATGCATACAAATCAAATTGTTCATCTTGATCAACCACATTGCCACTGTGCGATGATGCAATGATGCGAAAGCTGAACGTGATGGGGTTTTTATTAGCCTAACACTTCTAAGCTAACACCTAATTTATTTAATTCCTTAGCCTAGCCGGCCTAAGGGTGGGTTTGGTAGAAAAAAGAGCAGTCAACGATTTTTCGCAAATTTCTCAATTCGAGTGGAAGCGACGAAATGAGTAGGAAACAGCCCCATCGGACGCATAGACAGCACAGGCCACATACCGGACATACCACGGGACTGAGCGATGAGGGCATAACAAGCACATCTGATACTATCCAGAACGAGTCAAGCCCATTGTTGATATCACCTACTAGCGTTGGGAAACCAAGGCTTCATTATCATCAGATACTACTTGGAAGTGCTATAGCTGATGTGACGCTGGTTACCGTCTTCTTACTGCTGGAGCTCTGGCTTCCGAACAGCATGGGAGGTGGAATTCTGGCACAAACTGGCGATTTGCTTCTTTTAGCTGTCATAAGGCTTTTTGTCCTCTCTGCCTTTGTCTTTGGCTATAAACCCGTAGTCGCTGCTCAGGCTCCTGTCTCTTGCACCTTTGTAAGTCATCCTTGTCTACTCCCCAACACTTGGAAAAAAAAGTTGGAGCACTTGGGTTCTGATAACAATTGTTTTAACTCGATACTCGCTTATTAGGTATCAACATTGTATCTAGTGCTCAAATCATCTCTTATACCTATATCATCAGCTTCCTGGCCAACTTGGATTGCGTTGGCGTGCACTTTTACATTAACTTGGGCGAATCTCGAGATATACCTGTCGGGAATCAACGTGTTTGGATCAGAATGCTGGTCGGCTGTATCGCTACGATCACCAGCCACTTCGGTTGCTGGATCACAGCTTGCCATACACCGTGGTGTAGATGTAGAGGCTGGCCATTCTTCATCTACCCATCACTCCCATCATAGACGAAGAAGGAGAAATTCTTCAGTAAGCTCGGCGTCATCACTTTCGCCTAAACTGCCACCGCCAGCTCAAGATATAAGCAGGCAATCGGAGTCTTCTAGTAGAGTCATACCTTCCACTTCAACAATGGACGTGGCTACTAATGCCAATACTACAACGATTGTTGGTGCGTCACCTGCCACCTCATATCCCACACCAACGTCGAGTGCACTCGATGTACCAGTGTCCATGCGTGGTAAATCGCCAGCTGGCTATAATACCCCAATAGCAAACTTTATGGAGACCGCATCTCGTAAAAAGTCTGTAGATTTGGATCAGCACATCTCTGCCTTACTATCTTATAATACTCCAGCAGCAGTCAATGCCTTCCCAAGCTCTCATAAATCCACAACACAGCAACAGAAACAGCAGCCACTATCAATACTGGAAAAGGCAATACCAGCCCAACTAAAGACTGCTGGAACATCGCTTCAAGCCAACTCTCAATCGTGGGGTGCTCGGGCATCACAGGTAGCAGCTGCTCAAACCGCCAGTCATATCAGTGAAAAGTCTGTCACATCATCGGACAATAAAGCCATGACAGATAGCAACGGTAGTGCATCAGCACAACAACAGCAGCCACCGATAAACTCATCTCTCCCAGCGGATCGACCTGGAATGGCTGTCGACCCACGCTGGCAAACTGCCACGCCACTACAACCGCTACCCTGGCGCTCTCTAGGTCCTCGCCAACTAGACCGTCTCCTGGCCTCCGAAGCATCCACAACTACCAAACCAGCCATAACACGCCCGCTAACATCATATGCCAACAGCACCACAACATCTCCCAACGATGACGGGACGAACGAACCAGGCAACATAACCCCGACGTCTGCCTCAGACCAAGACGACGGCGGCATGGAATCCCGCTCATGGGCAACAACAGTCGGATCATCATCATGGGCTCCCCACAGACTACCCGGTGCGCCATACCTCGCTCCCGTCCACGACGCGTCCATGCCGTCACCAATGATGCTGTATAGATCAAACTCGTCGCTCAATTTAGCTGGTCCGCCATCACCATTCTCTCTTGGAACTGTTATTATGCCGAATAATAATAGTGCTGTGCCGATACAACGAACTGCGAGTCGTGTGTCGCAATTATCGAATGGACATGCTTCGTTTGATGATGAGGAAGCACGTGGTGGTGGAGAGAAGGAAGGGGATTCGGATAGCAATAGTGGGAATGCGACGCCTAGTAGTAGTGCGGGCAAGGCTACTGTTATGATATTGCCGAATCCGACACAGCAGGACGATGATGGTGGTGATGATGATGAGGCTGCACCCGTTGTTGTTGCTAAGCAAGTAGTTGTTGAGAGTACTAGTACTATTGTTGTTGGCAATGGTGTAAACAAGAGTGAGAAGAGGAAGATGGTTGAGCAAGGACGATAAAAAGTTGTGTTGGTGTAGTGTGGAGTGAGGTTGATTATTCATGGTGTCTTGGTGTCTTGTGTGTTGTCGTAAAAGAGGTTGTACGAGCCTGAAAATATAATCCAAGAATATTTTTGCATTGTTACATTGAGATGGTGTATTCGTCGTGGTTAGAAAGTGTTGAGCCGCTTTCAAGATAGTGTCGCATGAAAGAGGAGGTTTGTCGTCTTTTGTGCTGTTGGCACCCATTCAATTTTTTGGAACGCGAAAGACGGATATGTATTCAAGACTCGATTCCGCAAGCTCGAGGCTTTAGCCCAATGCTTTTCAGTCACTTACAAGACCGATTTATTCATAAAACCTTCAAACCATACCAAACACACACATTCAGACCATACACTTACAAAGACCCCTCTCTCTTGACAAGCTTATCAAACACATGCGTGAACACATTCACATCTTGAGCTCCCGGTACGGCATAGGCGTTATCCCCAAAACTGATACTGTAATGAGGTACACCACTAACACCCTCATCGAACGCATACTGGATCTCGGCCTAAAAACCAGGAAGTTAGTATACTCTCAAACGCATCATTGCTTCGCGTTTCTCATACCTTAACATCATCCAACCCCTCCCCGCTTTCCAAAAACACCCTCGCCTCATCTTTCCCAACTCCAGCCTTAACAGCCGCATCTGCCAAAACATCGTAATCAGATATACATTTCCCATCCTCGAAATAATTCTTGAATAGCTCTTCGACAATGATGGATTCCGCGTCATGGCCGAGTTTGGAGGACACGTATTTCACGATACGGTGCGAGTCGAATGTTTGGGAGATTAGGCCGGTGGATGAGAAGTTGAGGTTTTCGGCTAGTGCGATTTCCTAATGACGGGAGGTGGGTGAGTTAGAGATGCAAACCAACTTTGACCGTGTCGTTTTTTACCTGCATACGAGCCATCATAGCCTGTGCACGTGGTCCAAACTTTTTAGCATATCGCTCATTCTACAACAAAAAAGGTCATCATCAGCTTATACTCCTGTGCTTTCCTCTCTACAAACGTACCTTATCCATAGGCGTGCTAGTCAGCGTCGGATCCAGCAAGAATGGATGATACTTGATGACGAATTTCGTGCCCTCGTTTCCTGGTCGTTGCTTGTACTGCGTGATCGCCTTTTCCATGCGGCGTTTGCCGATAAAGCACCTAATGTTAATCGTGTAAAAAATCGTGGGTGATGATGTTGGAGACGAAAACGTTGGGTGTGTACCATGGGCATATGGTGTCTGAGATTACGTCGATGCTATGGGAGATGAGATTGTTAGTATTGATGCTTTTGTATTGACAGTTTTTGAGGAATGTCGTCTGCGCAACACAAAACTTTAAGTTGAATACAGGTAGATTGGAGTGGAAGGAGGGAACGCACGTGATTGTTTTGCCAGATGACATGGCTGTAGTTGTTATTCGGCGTAGAATTGTGTGGTGTTTGGTCTGGTATTGGAAGTTTTGCTGTTGCGAACAAAGTGTGATGGATGACAAATGACAAATGGCTGCTGTTGCGATGGATCCAAGGTTTCGCGTTCGTGAATTGTGTCAATCAATTTGGATGCATTGTAAATAATTAGAACCAGTGTCTAGAGTTGTAAGAACGCGCTCCTCAAATTATGGAGATTCATGAATTGGGCAAAACCGAGCAACTGTTGGTTACAAATAGCGTGTTTATCTCCAAAGTATGAATACTCGGAGTATAATCCGCCCAATTCTGTCAATTTACACGTTATTTCCAATACCTCGCACCAATTCTGCCAAAAATCAAGTTTTCACAAGTAAGACTGCAACACAACCTCAAACGCTTACACGATCGGTCCTTAAAACACACATACATCCGTTTTCAAAAGCTTTTCTAGGAACCTCTCGGAAGCCAGTCCAACTCAACGTCAACATCATCGTACCCTACGACTCTCACGTTTCTCAATCACCTTCCCCACTCACAATTAACACACCACACAAACCTCCCATACCTTTCTCTCGCTCTACAAGCCACCCATATCACACCCAAAAGGCATTTCCCAGTAAAAGCTAGAAACACATAAAGTGAAAACCTCTTCACTTCCCCCACGCCTTCCATTCACTATGACAAAAAACTTTAACATTGCTTCTAAATAGCGTCTGCCGAGGCACAAAACTTCCAACAAGTGCTTATAATCCCATGGCCAGCGGCGATAGAGCCAGCTGAAGCTCCACAACCAAACCCCCATTCGTCATCCATCACACCTCGAAACAAACCTTCCATTACACAACCAAACCACACGATTCTACGCCGCTTAACGGCCACCCTTCATTTCAAAACAATCACGCAGGCATCTATATTACCTGCTCTTACAACCTCCTATTGAAGCTCTCGTTTTGTGTTTGCGTGTTTGCGATGCAGCCAAAGTTTCGTGTTCTTTTAACCGTGTAAATGAAAACATTGAAAATGGATGTATGGCGAATAATTCAGATATTGTTACGAGAATAATGCTGCTTGGAGACCATTCGCTAAACACGTGTCGATCACGCCTATGATGTCATTACCAGAATATTCGCCTAAGTCGCAGCAAGTCAAGAATAACCAAGAAGTCAAGGGAATATGAAGGAAGGAGGAGGAAGATGTTGATGAGTCATCGCCCACTATAAATACTTGTCATTCCCACGCTAACAATTGGTATTAAATATATCTGCTCAAAACTCCCGAACCAAAGTCTAAGTTCAAACTTTCAAACTCAGTCTATTCAAGTAATCACTACAATTCACTGTAAGATTTAGCGAACCAGTAGCAGCAACATAACAGATATGTGCTGCGTCTCGTTTCTCAGGTTGCGAAACGCGTTCCTCCATTTCTTCACATTCAAACATTCAAAGACTTTAGGTTTCTGATCAATGGCAAAAAGTGCAATTGTTGATAACAAGTAGCATGTTTATCTCCAAGGTATGAATGTTCAGAGTTTAGTATGTCTCATTTGGTTAGTTTGCATCTTTCTTGGATTCTTGGATCTTCATCATCAGAGACTCCACCTCAACCACATAAGCGATCGCTGCCCAAAACACACTTTAATCCGTTACAGGAAGCTTCAAGCACCTTGTTGCCCCTCACCTCACCTTCCATCATCCTCGTAACCCACGTCTCACATTTTTCACCAATCACCTCTCCACCAACAATCACCAAACCACGCAAACCTCCCATAACCATCTCCTCTCGCTTTACAAGGTCCAAATATTACGCTCAAAAGCCATGTGCCAACAAAAACTGAAAACAAGTAATGTGAAAGCCCCTCCTCACTTGGTCACGCCTTTGATTCGCTACGAGAAAAAACTTTAACAACTTTTGCAAACAGTGTCCGTACAGGCCCAAAACTTCCAAAGAGTGCTTATACTCCCACGTCCAGCTGCTGTACAGGTTGAAGCACCACAACCAACTCGTAAGCATCCAAATCCGAAAACACATGTACCATCGATCTAACACCTCTGATTAGCACAACCAACCGACACACACAACCTCCTCACCACCACACTATCCCGCCACACGCATCTCCGCACCCAGCTAACAACCATAACAACATCCCTCGCACACGCAGCCGCCGAAGCAAACACCATGATCACGTCCCTGACGAATCTCAACACCCAGATCGAGACGCTGCGGCTTTTGCGGGAGTGCAGGAGACTGCAGGAGGAGGTATCGAGGGTTGAGAACGAGAATGCGAGACTGCTGGGTGAGCTGGAGGGGCTGAATGCTGAGAGGGTGAGATTAGAGGAGTTGAGGGATGCCGTGGGTGCGATGAGGCCGGATTCTGAAGAGTAGATATAGGTTTAACTTGGTGTTTCTTTTATATACCATTTGTGGAAAGTTATGGATAATGATACATTTTACAAAAACAAAAAAGGAAGAAAAATATAGAAAAAGTAATATACAGCAAACTAGCAAGGGCAAGGTGGCATAGCAAGTTTAAATTGTGGTGTTTGGTGTGTGTTGTGCGTGCTATGTTCAAGAAAATCACAAACAAAAAACGAGCCCGAATCAATATGCATTTACTTCCTCATGATCACTACCACCATCTACAGCTGTACCAGCATGATCACTACTATCATCTACAGCTGTACCAGCAGAAGGTTTACGAGCACGGTATTTACGGTTCTTGTTCTTACAGACTTTGCATTTGGCAATCATCTAGTCGTGGATAAAGAACGTGTGAGTATGGCTGACCAAGTCTTGAGCTTTTTGTTGTGGCTGAAACCATCAATCGCAATAATGAGGCAGCAAAGACACAGTCAAATATACCTTGGTAATTAAACTCTTCAATCCATACAAGTAAGTCTCCTTTTCCATGGCACGTTTCGTCACATTCTCTGACGGATGTCCAGCATCATTATGACATGTACGAAACAAATCGTAGAACTTATGTTTATGAATATTTGAGTTAGATTGAGTGTCAAAGGCAAAAAGAGCTAGCGTTTGATACTTAAAAACAGCGAGGTTTGAGCTTACATCTTCACGAGACATGACTATTCGACCACCTTTGCGTTTATGATGGAGGACATTATTCCTTAACTCATAGTAGTCTCGAGCCTAGGAAAAGTTGTTGGTTGGCGTCACGAAAACAGGCAAAAAATGCTTTAGAGTTTATCTCTCATGTCACAAACAGACCACAGACACAACTTACACTCTTTGCGAAATCCCTCCTCATACGAACCACCTCCTCATCCACCCTCACACTATGCATTCGGTCCGGATACACCCCATCCCTCAGATAGACCAAAAACTCGTTCGATTTAGCCACCATTGAAGCCAGCCCGTCGGTATCATCCGCCGTCAGCTCCAAACTGTCCTCCATATCGTCATCGTCCTCGTCGTTTACAGATAACGGTGGTGTAGCACCCGCATAGGCATAGTTCGGATTACACAACCCGACTAAAAAGTGGGCTATAGTTTCAGGCGGTGCGTCGCTGGATAAGAGTGGGTATGGCGGTGGTGGGATTTCGATTGCACTGTCTATTAGGTAATCGGTTGGGTAGGATGACTTTTCGGAAGATGGGATGTATAGGTCGAGCGAGTTTCCAGATGAGGAGGATGACGAGTAGGATACGGAGGGAGGTGGTGTTATGTATAGGGGAGGTTTGCTTGGAGTGTTTGGTTGGGTGTGGTGGTGTAGTTGGTGTAGATTGTCGTCCCGTTCGTGTTGATCGTCACGGTGTATGGTTGACTCGTCATTGTCATCATAGACATTGGTAGAGTAGTGGTTTGATGATTCGTAGAGTGGGTATAGTTGGTTGTTGTTTTGATTGTGGATATGGGAGCTTTCTAAAGCTGTTGTCGCGGTGGATCCAGAGAGCTCGTAGCTTGGATTGGTGCCCGTGTACATGTTTGTTGGGACTTGATACCTAATACGAACATTGCGTTAGAGCTGTGAGCTTCAAGTGCAAGTCTGTTTAAATAGAACATTTTTTTTGTTTTGACCAGTTTTGGAGTAGCTTGTTGTTTGAATGATCTGGAAGTGAATGAAATGGAGCATGAAAATGTGGGTCTTACCTAGATCCTTGTTTGCATTGACAGATAGGCTAGTTCACGTTCTTGGCGTGTTCAGTTTTGTGGACAATGTTAATGTTTGTCAAAAGTTTGGAGCGAGTCAAGCACCCAACTCCTACGTATAGGCTATTTGAGGGAAAGAACTAGCAATTGTGCTGATATTAGTTACTGGAACGTGTCTAACGCGTCGATCTGGTCTGATTTAGTGTCGAGAACTAGACAGCTCTATTTCAAAGATGGACGAAAGCTCTTTCACGAATCTCGTAAAGAAGTAAAAGAGGTTACAATAACATATATTCCAATATACGTGATCCTATATTCCCTTCGTTTTGCGCTTTCTCTTGACCGTGTCGTGACTGAGTGCGTGCCCCTGCATACCGTCAACACAACCCATTACATCAGACCTTTAAACTTTAAACAGAAACAACTCGTCAACCATGGGAAGGTACGTTCACCACATTCATTGCATCTCCTTATCTACCATCATTACCTCTTGTATCTGTCCCTGCTCGTCAATCCACGAACCCCACTCACATCCCAAAACACAATCTCATAGCAAAACAAACCAAAAGAAAAAGGCGCAAAAGGAAGCTGCCGCTGCTAACGGAGTTGCAAAGATCACTCCCCCTGCCTCACCTACTTCCAATGTAAATGCCTAACACACATTGCCATTCATCAACGTCATGGGAACACAAACCACATACTCATCCTCTTCCATATCGATCTATCTTATCTAGGCCGTATCCACCTTCGTGACCGAACCAAGAGTCATCCCTCACGGCGCTCGCAAACCACCAGTCTTTGACACCCTCGAAGCTGAACGTCTCTACAGAAAACAGCGTCTGGCTCTTGCATTCCGTATCTTTGCTGCCCAGGGCTTCGATGAGGGAGTTGCTGGCCATATTACTGTCAGGGATCCAATCAAGACGTACGTATCGCGGGATTATATGATAATGTGTCCGAAATGTTGACCTGTCATCATGTGTCCTAATACTACACTCAATTCCATGATACGTATGCATACTAATTCCAACTTGTGTAGTGACCACTTTTGGGTTAATCCATACGCAGTCCATTTCGCTCAAATCCGTGTATCCGACCTCTTGCTCGTAAACCACGACGGTCAAGTCGTCGAAGGTACTCGACCTGTCAATGCTGCTGCTTTTGCCATGTAAGTGTCAGCAACCATATCAATCTGTTTGTGGTTTTTCGCTGGCGTAATCACATCTTCCAAACAAATCACATAAAAACCAACATACATCAATGTCCATGTGTAGCCACGCTGGCATCCACTCCTCCCTCCCACACGTAAACGCAGCCGCACACTCTCACTCCATGTACGGCAAAGCGTGGTCGGCTCTTGACGCTGAGCTCTTGCCCATAACACAAGACGCTTGTGCATTCTACGAACGTCATGCCATCTACAAGGAATACAATGGTGTCGTCCTCGACACTGAGGAGGGTAAACGTATTGCTAAGGTTGCCGGTGAACATGGTCATGGTGTTATTTTGTCAAACCATGGTGAGTGCACGAGAGGTGTACTTTGGAAGATTAGCGCAATGATTAATGGCTTTTTTTCTTGCAGGATTGTTGACTGTTGGTGAAACCGTGGAAGAAGCTGTATGGTGGTTTATGTGTAAGTATCGCAAATGCACTTTGTGTACTGAACGTGGAAATTCTCACTATGTTCTCTGTTCTTCTTGGTTGCGTTTTTTGTCCACCTACTTTGTCTCAATACCAACATCATGTCACATAGCAATGGACCGCTGCTGCCAAGCACAAATGCTCGCAGAAGCCACTGGCCGCAAACTCAAGGTCCTAGACCATAAAGTCGCTTCCCATACTCGTGACCAAGTGCGTATCTTGTCGTTTTCCAACCCTCGAAGCCATCTTTAGCATATCTGAAATCTTTTTGGGTTGTTAGGTCGGTGGCACATGGGCAGGCTGGTTTATGGCCCAAACATACTTTGATTTGGCATTACAAAACAATCCTGATGTCTTTGAATAAGGAAATCTGTTTCACCTGAAAGCGTTGTGTGTGTGAAGAGTTTATATGTGGGAGTGTGATTTTGCTGTACCAAAATGTTTGTAAGGTTTGGAGGAATTTGGAAGAGGACGTTTGTGGGTTTGTGTGTACTGGGGCAGTTGTAACTGAAAATATAAAGAGACTGATATGAAACTTTGTTTTGTGTGTGAATCGATCGTGTGTCGTGTTGCTGCAAAATGAAGGCACAAGACTGACCGCAAGTCGAATGCATCTGGATCCATTGAGAGCAGGCTTTTGTTGCGCTGGCAAATTATAGACTATCGAGACCCGCTGCTCAAAAGCCGAAAGCGCACCACCAGTAAATTACTCTCGACTTGACTCTTTTATTTGTTGTGTTTTATACAAAAGCAAACTAGCTAGAAATAAAAGTTCCACCAACAATTTCCTGTTTCTAAATAACATCATACCGGCCAAACAACTTTTATAAGAAGAACGGCGCATTGATATTCGTAGGGAACCCAGTAGATAGCTGAGGAATTTGCTGGAATTGGCCTTGCAATATACCCTATTTCAATCCAGGAGTCATTGCTTGCCAAAAAAAACATCCTAGTTGATCCTCATACCCGAACTTGTTTCAGCAACTCCAAATACGTAATCTGTGGCGTCTTGTTCAGCACTTGCAACAACGCATACGACATGGCACCCGTTGGTGATCCGCCAAGATGTGCATCGGCTGATGTTTGTTCATCCAGACAGCCTGTCAAGAAAAATGTCAGCAAAAGAGGGAACACAGCATGCCTCAGTTCTTTGAAACATGGGAGTGGAATTGTTCTTACCAGACAAACTGTATATAGTAGCACGACTACCCTTTTCTTTTTGAGTCTTTTGGATTGCAGCTTGTTTTTCTTCGGATGATGCGTCTTTGGATAGGAACATCATTACACCTACAGATAAGGTATATGGATGAAGTGGTTGTGATGAATTAGACCAGATTCATTCAGACATAGTCAGGGAGGTCTTTTTGGTCTTACCGTCCTTGGCATCTCCAAACGCTCGTGTCTTGTTGCCACGAAGGAAATCAATTCCAGCCTAAGAAGCAAGGTTGTTGGCACATCTGAATCAAACAGTATGCAAAACAAATATGGAGAAAGTTGCTCAATCGACTACACATCGTCAACTTACAGCGACAAGCTTCTTGGCACCTTCCACTCGAGTATCTCGCACTTCGACTTCGAGGTTGCCGTTGAGTGTGTAGATGTACTAGGACACAAAAAAAATATGATTCATTGGTGCGTTTGGATAGCCATGGAAAGCTCCGATGGGAAAGCGGTATGAATGTGCTTACAGGTAAATCAAGTAGAGATTCAGAGTGACAGCAGTCCAATACACTGTGCGAAAGGAAAGGTATTCGTTAAGTGATACATTGACCAAACCACTGCTGTTGTTGCAGTGGAACGCCGTTTGACCAGTCACACAAACATAACTATATTCTCACCTGACAAATTGGCACCCGGCGGGTAATGGTTGTACCATAAGAGTATTGATGTCCTAATACGAAGTTGTTGACACTTTTGCATTACGTGTATGCCAAAGAAAACATCAAGTCACATAAGCAAATAGACTGCATACGTCAATCTTACATCGTCGAGAATCATTCCTGCAGTTTCGTAATCAACAGGTACCATTGTGCTGTCCATGCCAATAGCTTCATCTCCATCCAAATCTTTTGTTTGAGAACCATGCCCAGAGTAACTATAAAACCGAAATGAACACTGAATCGCTATTGGGAAAATACCGTACGCTGAGAACTCACTGTAGGAAAAATGAGTCTCCTGGTTGAGCACCTACGTGCAAAATTTGTCTGTTTTTCAGTAACCCGTAGAACAATAAATAAAAGCAATGGACACAAAATTTACCGGATGCGAGCCACTGGAATGCCCCCAATATATTCGCACGAGTAGGCTGCTTGTGTGGATCAGTCTGATCATCAGTCAAGACCATAAACTGGTCAATCTTGTAATGCCCAAACACAAATGTCTTGACATTATTGACATCGTTGATGCATCCTTGTAGAGCGTGAGATGATCCTGTGTAATTTATACCAATGAAGAGGGCACGGCGTTTGCCACTAGATGGGAAAAGACAATTAGAAAGAACGATACGGAAGCCTTTACAATGCTAAGCTGCAATACAGTTTTTGCCTAACGCTTGTTTTGCCCTAAAAGGAATTCAGCACGTACTGAAGATCTTGAGGCTGTAAGAATTGTGCGTTATAACCAGCCTTGTGTCTAGGATCATCCTCCTTTGAAGTGTTTCCTTGACCGCCAAACGCTTTTTCAACAAGACTATCAAGCATTGGGTTTCCAGTAGTTCTGATCAATGAGAAAAGGGCGTTAATGATTGGGACAAGAATTTTGATCGCACGTTAGACCAAAAAAAAATCAGCACAGAATAAATACTCACGCGTCACCAGATTGAGCACCGGATTGCCCACCACCACCTCCCATCATTCCCGCCATTCCAGCCATTCCGGCAAGCGAGCCAAGAGCACCCATGCCTCCCATAGAAGCCATCGGGTTACCACCAGAACCTCCTTGATGTCCAGACAAGGCACCCATAAGCGCACCCATATTTCCAAGCCCACCACTAGACTGCTGCTGCTGTTGTCCTCCACCTGAAAACTCATTCATCAGCGCTCCAAGCCCACCACCACCTACAGACTGTTGTTGACCTCCTTGCCCTCCAGCGAATTGACTCATAAGAGCACCTAATCCACCACCACCTTGCTGTTGGCCTTGACCACCAGCGAATTGGCTCATGAGTGCTCCCATACCACCACCACCACCTTGTTGACCTTGACTTCCTCCTTCGAACTGTTGCATCAAGGCACCTAATCCGCCACCGGATTGTTGCTGACCTTGGCCTTGACCGCCAGCGAATTCTGAGATGAGATTGCCTAGTCCTGTAGAAAGTAAATGGTGTTTGAAATGAGTGTTTTTGGAATTTTATGTGTACGAGATGTTGAGCGTGTTGACATATATTCGCGCAACAAGGCATTAAAAGAGAGGTACGAGTTTCACTGTACAGGCTACTAGATTTGATTCTTACCTCCACCCATACCACGTTGTCCATCTCCTTGTTCGTCAGAAGCAGGCTCCTCGAGCTCTTGAACCAGTTTTGAAAAGAAGCTCATAATGACTAGTGTATAGTAGTAGTGTCTATTTGGATCTTAGCCGGTATGTATATGTAGCGTGCGTCTATCTCTCCTATTCGTGCAGATTCGAAACGGTCTATGTCAGCGGCTCGTTGTGCTTTTTGGCCTTGCGTTCGAACTTCTTTTTTAACACACATCCAGTCCGACCTCGAGATTCCCAGTGCGAATAGTTGGTAGCTCATGTATAAAACGAACTAATCTACCACGGATTTAGTCCGTATAAACCTTGCTCCACCAGAAAGATCCTGTCGATCGCGATCTCAATGTCTTTTCCCCTTGTACGCAAGAGCTAAAACCAACATCCAGCCCCAACAATGATACCTGTAAACCTGCTACTGAGAATGATGGTTTATTCGCAAATAATGAGTGTTACAACGATTACTTGGAAGCTCGTCAAAAAAGGGAGCTTGTTTCAGACCAAACAGTTTGTTGTTGGTCTAGAGAGAGACTTCTTGTGGTCCTTCAGCTGGTGCTTCAACACCAGTAACGGTGGTGGTTTCAGAAGCTACAATTTTGGCAGGTTCTCTAAGTCATGAAAGCAAGAATGGTCAAAAACATCCGTTTGCAGACACTCAACATTATTGAACATACTCTTCGGTAGCTGGGGTAGCAACTGCGACCTTTTCAGTCACTGCCGACACAGCAGCGGCAGCCCCACCACTAAAAAGATTCATCAACGTAGATGGTTAGCTTTCTAAAACACCACAGGAAACCTGATCCGACAAAACTTACTCTGCAGCTGGAGCGGCAGCAGCAGTCGTGGTAGTAGTCGAAGCAGCAACACCTCCGCCACCCAACAGTCCCTTGAGTTGATCCAAACCCCCAGCAGGCATTTGTCCAGATTTTAGAGATTCGAGTAAGGACGACATGTTGCCGAGACCACCGGCACCGCCTGCAGCACCACCAGCTCCACCAAGGAGACTATATTTGCCAAGAAAGTTGAACCAGTTGGCGGACTTTGAATGGTGGATTTGTTTGCAGGCCATGCGATCGCAGGTTGTAGACATCAACAGAGGAAAATGATTGGTTTGATACTTACGAGCCGAGTCCACCACCAGCAACCAAACCTTGTAGAGTCTATTGTGTTTTGGTTGAAAAGGGAGTTGGCTATTTCGCACGGGGTTTCAAATTGGCGCAGGACACGATAACATGCGTAAAACGTACCTGGAGACTGACGCCTGGAGGTAGTTGTCCTGATTTGAGCGATGACATGATGGTGTTGATATCTAGCCCGGCTGGTAGACCTGCAGCTGGAGCACCAGTAGCGTTTCCTCCTTCCAAGGAAGACAGCAATCCACCGAGACCACCAGCAGCAGCAGCTGGTTGAGCAGCGTCACCAGCGGGAGCAGCACCGCCAGTTACAGACGATAGCATAGAACCCAAGCCTAAACGTGTGTGTGAGAAAATGGGGTTTGGATTGATGTTGGCGACAGAGCCGCAAAAACGAGTTTGGAAGCAAAGGAAGGAGTGGATGGCTCTTTTGATACGTGAAATCTTCATTTTGAAACACTTTAAAACGCATACAAGAGCAGTACATTACCTCCAGCTCCACCCATTTTGCTTTCAGCAGCCGATTCGAGAGAATGTAAAAAGGACATTTTGTATGCGTTTGAAGATATGTGAGAAGTAGGATTAGATGTAGGATTAGATGTAGGATTTAGTTACTCCCGCTTGCTTCCTGAGATGTAGCTTGTTCTGTAATTGACGGTTGAGTGCTTGTTTTGGAAATGAAAGATTTTGCTCGATTTTTGGTCCGACCCAAGCTCCCATTGGGCCCAAAAACGCCAAGCCCATATGTTTAGACACGTGAAGAACATAGAAGGTCGCTTAGAGGTTGTGAGCGTCGCATAAAATCACGTAAATCCAATTCTAACGGTCGTGGCTGGTTTACGCTTCTCCGATTCTCGCCCAAGAAACCGTTTATGCTTACTGGACTTAACGTGTGAACTTAGTAGATGCATCTTGCTTCGTAATGATTTTGAAACGTACCTCAACTTTACGCTGCTGTTTATGGAGGAATTGTCTCAGAACGGTGCGGTTTCAAAACTTCTAAATCCTACTGTTTCTCAAGGTATGATTTTATGTGGCAAACTGTCAAAAACGAAGTGAAGGAGTAGGTCAAGGCTTCCACTGTGAGCTCGTCGTTCTCCATTCGCCCGGTTTCTGTACTTGCGTACTTTGTTTCGTTTAACGCATCTACAGGCGAAGAGAATACCGTTCGATATACGGCTACGACGCGTCGGATTGTTGTCAAAGTATCATCCACATGAGCGGCAGCAACAGGGACAAATGTCACAATTTGATGATCCGATCATTAGGCGTGGACTTCCTCTGCCGTGGCCAACATACATCGAATCTCAAATTCTGGTAGTAAGGTTGCCGAAGTCTAAAACATGGTTCTCCATACGTAAACGGACCATACCAGGCTTGAGAAACGTCTTGCTTGAAAACTTCGTGTGTATTCAACCAAATGGTTCTACACAACAACAGCGTCACAAGATCAAATACATGTAGAGCAAGCAAACTCGTAATGAAATAGCAAGTGGAACATCTCACAATTCCAACATAGGAGTATACGTTGCTCCGTGTCGTTCTTGCATTGTTAACTTCTTGACAGTTCAAAGCTTTCGAAAAAGCTCACTGTCAAGTATATGTAAATGCTTCTTGTACATTCAGGTTGAAAGCATTGGGTGATCAAGCGAATCGGCCTCTTCCTTTTCGGTGACGGGCAAAAAACTGTGGTGGCAGTAATGTGTATACTGCAGTCAGAGTATATTCCATTCGACATTTAGCACTATATGATACAAATGTATCCGAAAACAAATAACAGACATAAATTGCCAACATTCCTTGACGTTAGTAATGTAGTTGACATTCAAAGAATACACTGAGATACCGAAACAAAATCTCAGAGCCAGAACTGTTCAACAGAATTCAATCTTGCATATGAGAACATGGTGAAATAGTTACGATGGAGGAGCCATAACTACACCGAAAATCACATGCTTGTGCCAAAAAAAACAGTAGGAATCCTTAACAATGTATGCCATACCATTCCAAACTCAACCACAACGTCACTCCAACAACACACAATCCAAGAAATCCAACTCGTTCCAAATATGAGTAATATATTAAATTTGAACTCCTTCCAATGCGTTAAATCTTACATGACGTGTGTGTTTGAGTATTCAACAAAAAATCTCCAAATCTTGAACTCATTCAGCAGCAAGTACAAGCTCCAAATCAGCCATGACCTCCGGCAGCACATTCCGATGAAACAGGAATACTCTACGAGCAGGATCAATACCCATTTCCAAAAAGACTCGTCTAGAATCAGATACTTGAGCTTCTTTTTCGAATGTATAATCAAAGTATGCTTCACATTTCTAATTAAGAGCATCGGTGGGAGGGAGACATAGTTAGGCGTGAAGTCGAGGCACAAATCTGGAGTAAGTGGTTCTCTTTTGTTCCCCTGTATATTACCTTTTCAAATATCTCATCTTCCGTATGAAAGTAAAAGATTTCGTCCTTCTTTGCACTGGGAGTAGCAGCAGCACTCTTCGTACTCGACACCTTCCTCTTCTTTCCTTTGACATCTATAGGTTGTTTTTGTGATGCACCTTCGGCAGGTCCATCCAATTCAGACTCAACTTCTCGATATGTTTTCGATATGGTTATAAAGTATTCGAAATCGAATGGTTGGTCCTATAGGATCAAGAAATGCGTTTTAGTGACCAGGACAAAAAACCTCGAGCGGTGCCTGTGTATGCTTACATCTTCCACAGCCCACTGCACCTCCTCCATGAGCATCTTGAAAGCAGGTAGAGCTACTTGTGGAGGCATGTTTATAAGCCGCTCGTTTATGATTAGACCGACATGGTGCTTTGTGTCGTTCAGCACTGATGTGAATTTAGTTGATGCTGGTGTGTCTTGAGCTTTCTCCAGTATGTATTCTCTGAGCGATTTGATGCATTCCTTGTCCTGTTTAGATGAAGGTTCATATAAAACATTGATGGAAGAGCAAAAAAAAGTGAACCATGCAATACCATACACTCCTTGCATACCTGATGAAGAGTAAGATTCAACACGGTGATGATAGCATATGGATCCAGATTATCTTTAGCCTTTACAGTAGTTCCGACATTGGGTTGCGATATAATCAGCTCCGCCATGTCTCCAACGTTAACAAGATGCGAGTCATTTGCGAATGTTTGACCAAGGAGTGATTTCAAGCCATGGTAGTCAATGTCTTTTGGATTGTAAAAGTCAAAGTCTACATCGATTAGTTCCTAGTGGTTGGTGTGTGAATTAGCAATCTAACTACAGCTACTGACGTCCTTTTTTTCTCCTCAAATGATGAACTTTCTGCAAAAAAACACCAGGAAGTCGCTCTATACACACCTCGTCTTGTTCATCATCTTCATAGCCCTCCTCATCGCTGTTTACTGTCGGTGGAGCTTCCTTGGCAACAGTACCAGCTCTCTTCCTCTTCTTTTGCTCATTAACTGTCATTGCTCAATGATTTTTTCAGTGGTTTGGAAGATTGAAGTGCAGATTCTGTATCGGTCGCTGGTCGGGCGATAAGTGAAAAGTGAGTTCTTCTATGTAACCAGGCAGTAGACGCGAGACCAAGGTCCTAGATTTGCTCCCAAAGCGTACTCAGCTCGTCAATTACCGTTCTTGCTGTTCAAGTTGTCACGTCGCAGTTTGCACTGGTGCAATGCTTTAGAACGAAAATACCAAGCTCAAAATATCAAAATACACGATTTCGTGGTATTATGTTTCATTCTTAGGCAATGATTATTCCATCAAACACTCGCAACATTTTCCAAAACTCATTTCCAAGCTATTTACATCAATACCCACCGAAATGGCGGATGACGGCACAGAGATTTCAATGTCCTTTGAAGAGACGAATGCTCTCCGTATCAAACTAGGACTCAAACCACTAGAACCTGGCAAAGGATCAAACAAGGACAAAGAAGCTGCTGAAAACTACGAGAAAGCAAGAGATGCTGAACGTGAAAAGGCTACAAGTATCGCTGCAAAGGATTCTATTGAAGCGTACGTGCTGAGCATAGCATATTGCTGTTGGTTGATTACACGCAGCAAAGATGCAACATTTGACATTGTTTTGGATCACTATATACCAATACCCATTTTATCATCACAGATCAAAGAACAGACGCAAACTACGCCAAAAGCTATCTGGCCCGACTCTAGCTGATGATGCCGACTTGGATGATACTCTGGCATGGGTACAACGATCTGCCAAGAAGAGAGAGGTGGAGCTAGCAAAGAGAAAGGAAAGGGAATTGGAAGAGTTGGATCAGGATGCTATCAAGGATTACACCGCTTGTAAGTCATGTGTGGTGTATGTGCTAGGAAGTGGGAAGGGAGGAGTTTTTGCATAAGCTATTGCCTGTCAACGCATTTCCCTTTTTTTGGCTCTACTCACACTCACCTATCAACTTAGCTGACTTGTCGGGCCTAAGAGTCGGTCATGACTTGGAAGATTTCACTGACGGTGGTGAAAAGATTCTAGTTCTGAAGGATTCTACTATTGAAGAGAATGAAGAGGAAGGAGACGAACTATTATCAGTAGCAATAGCAGACTCGGAACGTACTCGCAAAAACCTAGAAAATAAACGCAAGAAGAAGGCCTACACGGGTTTCGAAGACGATGAAGAATCCCTCACACTCGGCACACGTAAAAACATCCTCTCCCAATACGACGAAGACGACGAACAAGCCACGAGATCCGGATTCTTTATTGCTGACAAGGGTGGAATAAATATAGTAGATGAAGAAACCCGTCGTAATCAAATAGCAGAACGATTAAAAGCAAACTCTATATCGCTAAGTCAGGACAAGATGAGGGAGATTAAAGATTATTATACGCCTGAAGAAGAGGCATCGTTATTAGCATTCAAGAAACCAAATGATAAGAAAAAGAAATCCAAAAAGCCTAAATCTACTCGTAAACGTGACAATGACGATGATTCGATACCATCAGCAGTAGTACAGGGTAGTAACATGACGGATGATATGGATGTAGATGAAGAAAGGCCAAAGACATTTACATATAGTAATCGAGATGCGAATATTGATGGGACGAATTTTGTGGATGATGATGATTTGCAGATGGAGCTTGCTAGAGCTAGACGGGTTAATATGAAGATGAGGCCCAAGTTGAGTGAAGAGGAGATTGCTAAAAGTGAGTGTGGTGCTAGTATTCGGGTTAATTACCAGATTCGCTTTTTTAGCTGTTAACGCAAGCCACTGACACCACTCACAACTTCATAGTGGCCAGAGAAGCAGAAGCAGAAGAAGCCCAACAAGAAATCAAGCAAGAAGGAAATGGTGGTGGCATGATATTATCCGATACTTCAGAGTTTGTACGGACGTTAAGTACAGCTCCTGCCTTCCAACCAAACATTAAACGAGAAGTTAAACGTGAAGAAGTAGAACCAACACATACTCCACAACCACCTATAAATACTCAACCATCACATAAACCATCCCAGCAATGGGCTGAAGTAGACATGGATGTAGACCAAGAAGAACCCAGTATAAACGGCTCAACAATGATGGAAGTCGAAGAAGAGCGAGAAGAAGGAGAACTAGAACCAAACATTGAAGAATTCGAAGAACCACTAGTCTCCTCCGGCCTCGCAGCAACCATAGCCCTTCTTTCTCAAAAGGGTCTCGTCCAAAAGACTGACTCTGATTCTATAGAAAAGGAACGAAAAGGGCGTGATCGCATGGTATGGATGAATGAGCAACGTAAAAAGGAGAAGTTGAAGGAAATAGAAAAGGAGAAGAAACGGATTGCTAATCGTGCTAATAATGAGGCGAATAAGAAGAAGGGTCAAAGTGGTGGGCAGACTTATTATGATGAGGATGACGAGTATAATAGGAAGGAGGCTGAGAGTCGTGCTGAAGAGAGGTCGAGGTTGAGGGAGATTGATGAGAGGTTTAAGGATTATAAGCCGGTTGTTGATCTAAAGTACCATGATGAGTTTGGTAGGACGCTGACTCCCAAAGAGGTAATGTGCAAGTTTGCTTTGCTTGCTTTCTTCCGTGATCAACTCCTGTTTTTCTCTCATCGAAAATTTATCAATCAACCAAATAACCCTTTTCCCCTGTTACAATCATATTCACTAGGCATTCAAAACCCTCTCACACCAATTCCACGGCGTAAAGCCAGGAAAAATGAAGACTGAAAAGAAACTAGCCAAAATAGCCCAAGAACTCAAAGAAAAAGCCATGCCAACATCCGACACACCACTAGGAACCGCCGCCGCCCTACTCGATCGACAACAACAAACCGGTAGTGCATACATCACGCTCCAGGTCGGTAACCGAGCCGTCATGCCATCCGACACACCGCTAGCCAAGAAGGACGTAGCTGTGAAACCACCTAAGAAGAAGGCTGCTGGTGTGTTAGCATCCAAGAAGACTGTTGGGGGAAGTGCATCTGTACATGCGTCAGGATGGGTGGATAATATGGTTCAGGATCAGAGCAATGAGGGTGAGAGGATTGGACCTGTGCTGATGGCTACTACTGTGCCGGTTATTGCTGCGACGTCGTTGTCGTCTTCGGCAAGCAATAAGGGGAGAGAGAAAGTCGCGTTTGGATTGGGGAAGCGTAAGCAGATTGCGCATGATGATGGGGTGGCAAGTGGTAGTGGGGGAGGAGATGAAGGGTCTCCGGCAAAGAAGATGAAGCAGGAGCAGTAAAAGTGGGGATATGTATTTTTGCATTTTGTGTAAATAGTGAGGAACGGAATATAGAAAGCATTGACAAGTTGTTGCAAATGCTGTTATGTTTTTTGGATATCCGGACAGCAAAATAAACCTTGCTATCACAACTGGCTCTATGAGACATACATCTATTTTTGGTTCTTTTATACTTGGGGTATCACTGTTTTATATAATCAGTCCCGAAAATCCACCCCATCCTCCCCTTTAATACTCTATATCATCATGATCTACGCCTATAATCACGTCCCTTTATCCCTCCTCTGCTCTTCCAAAAGCAAAAAACTCCTACTTACGATATCCCAATGTCCCTACATAACAACACAACACCCCCGTCCACCACCTCCATCATCACTCATATCCAATCTACTTTTCTGGTTTGCCAGTTTTGCTAACTCCATTTCGTGGTCCACCTCTTCGGCTTTCGTTGGTAGGAGCAGCACGTCGTCGTTGATGTCGTGGTCAAACATTGTGTGGAGAGATGCGGCCGTGTAGCGTGACGAGAGGGATGGATTTGGGGTTGGGAGGGAGGAGTCTAGTGGTGGGTATGCGGTGGAGCGAGCTGGTGATGGGGGTGTTGAGTGGGTTTGTTTCTGTGTGGTGAGGAGATGGCAAGGTGTTAGCACATTGAAGGATATTAAAAGTATGGTTTTTCCGCCCAAGTGTTTGAATGAAAAGAAGAATTGAAGAATGAAGTGCGAATATCGAGTACTTGTCCTTCTCTCTCTTTTTCTCTCTCTTCCAAGTTTTGAGCCTGAAAGATGCAACCAAGCCAACAAAAAAAGAGAACAACAACGATTGTGGATTGAATTTCCATTCTCCCCTCACTTTTAAAAACTCTGCACCAGACACGTTCACAAACTCACATTAGACGCCCGTATAGAATCCGGCACCTCTGGCACAGGCGGCACATCCGCGCCACTCCATCCATACGCAGCATCCCCGTCACTAATACTGTTACTACTATGATAACTACCCGATGCCTTCCTCCTCGCACTCGAGCTAACATAGCTCAGCGAATCACTCCTCTCTCTATGTATCGACCGACTCAACGGATCTGCACCTGCATAATTAGACGATATGCTGCGTGGCAACGAGTTGTTATTCCCGTTGATGAGCGTCTGCGAGAATGAGGATGAGATGGACGGTGGTGGAGCAGCTGGTACCTGTTTCGGCGAGCTGTTTGTGGAGGTGTGCTCGTATGTGATTGTCTGGGCAGGGTATATCCAGTCCGTGTTGTTGTATTCGGCATTGTATGTGTCGTATATGTCGTCAATGTCGTATGGGGTGTCGTGTGGCGGTGTGGTGCGGCCATAGTGGTGGTCGGGGTAGTCGGGTTCGTATTCGGCGGATAGCTGTTGGAGAATGTGGTGTGGGGGTGCTGGGAGTGGTGGTGCTGTTTGTGGTTGCATGTATAAACTTATGGTATCGTCGTATGGCGTTCGGTAATTGTCAGTGTCAGAGTGATAATCGTCATCGTTTACAAGTCCGTTATCGTATCTCGCGTCGGGTAATGGAATGTCGGTTGGCCATGGTCGTGCATCTGTTGCAGTATCGCCTGTATGACTATACTCAACTGTTGATTCTGCAACTGACGATGGCAGGAATGCAGATAGGGAAGGTGTTGTTGGATGATGTGGGAATGCCGGTATTCCAGATGTTTTGATGCGTAATGGCGTCGGTGTAATCGTGGTTGATGTCGGTGTTGGAATGGTGAATGAATCCATTTCTTTATAGCACGTGTCCAAGAAGAGAGAGACCTACTACTACATACAGGATGTAGACGATGATGCCTAGGAGAGTCACTTTGAGAGTTGGCCGGGTTGCGCAATCTATTAACTGCTTTTTTTTACGAGCAAGTTAGTAACACGAAGCTCTTCCGCGGCTATAAAACACTTACGGGCAATGATTAAGCTTGACTTCCTACGTGTACATATGAGATTCCCGATATCGATACACACTACCAATCGTTCTCAGTTTCTTTTTAGTCTGATGGCGTGGAGAACACGAGTTAAAAAACTCAACCTCTCAAACACAGACGGCCTACGTTTTGCAAGTCGAACATACCGTGCGTATACTGCTTACAATAGTCAATAAACCCAGTAATTCACGAAACAATTGTAGATTCTGGCAGTCCTCGCTGTTCAACTGTCCAGCTTCAAGATCTCGAGCGAATGTGCAGATGCCAAATCCAAATACCTCAACTTGCGTGTTTTTACAATAGATTCACGCCTTTTACAACTTATAAATCCTATTTCAAGCTTCATTTATTAAGATAACTAGACAAAAACCACAATCGAACTTCAAATGCTGTAAGAAGCAATGAGTTGGTTATCGTCGGTCAGTCAATTGACTAGCTCAGTGTCCAATACGGTCTCGAGCTATGCCAACGAGCTCATTAAGGACGATCCGTACAAGAAGGATGAAGGTAGAGTGTTTGAATTGTTTGTGGTCTAGTTGGTCGAATGTGCTGTAGTTGTTTGCCCAAAGGAACAAGATTGAAGGATATTCTGAACCTTGTCAATCCTGCTTTCTGTCTCCTCGATTTCCCTATTTGGTTTTGACGTTCGATTGTAAACATCAAAAACTACACATTTAAACTGTTTGACACCTTCCTTAAACGCTAGATTATCAAGGCGATGGACCAGACGATGAAGCCGCCATGATGCAACGCATCCAATCTCTCGAATCCCAGAACGAGCGATATCAGAACGAACTGCAACGTATGCATCTAGAACACCAACAGAAGTTACAAGAATCGACTAGGCAGATAAATGAACTCCAAGCTCGTATTGCAAATCAGTCAAACATACAGCAGCAGCAGTCTACACCTACACTATCACCACAACAGCCGTCAAATAGTAGTAGTACAGACGCCCTACAATCTAAACTCAACCAAGCAGTCGCCCTCCTCAAACGTCTAAAAGATGACAATGCGGCCCTGACACTCCAAAAAGCTAATATAGAAGCCAAAGCAAATCAGCAAACAATGAGTTTACAGTCTGAAATACAGCATCTGAAAATCGAGTTGGAAGCTATTCAGGCTACCGATTTACAGGATAGCAGGCCCAAAACACCGTCGAGCAGTTTGGAGGCTGAGGTTGTCATGCTGAGACAGTTGAGTAGTGAGCGGGCTGCGAGGGAGGAGGTTTTGCAAAGGAGTGTGGGTGATTTGCAGGCGAAACTTGCTGCTGCCTTGGGTAATAGTAAGAGTGAGGATACGATGAAAGCCGAACTGGAAAGGCTTCGAGCAGATCATGTCGAACTCGAAAAATTACGAGCTGATAATATAGCACTGAATCAACAGCTCACTATAATGGCTTCTGAGAGGGATGTCGTGTCAAACGAGAAAGACAGCTTATTAGCTGACGCCGACAAGAGACATGATTCTCTACGTACCGAACGAGATCAGCTAGAACAAGCTCTCGTTCAAGCAAACCAACAGATACCGACGATACTTGAGCAGTTAAAACACTTGCAACAAGTTAAACAGAGTGACGAGTTACATCTTGCTAAATTACAGAATGAGAATCGAGAGCTGAGTGATCGTATAACAGCTCAACAAGAAATAAAACAAGGTGATGAGCAACGGCTTGTTAAACTCGAGCATGATAATCGTGAATTGCTGGAACGATTACAGGCTGTGCAAGTGAATGGTACTGGATCCAAGAATAATAGTCAGACTAATCTGGATCTGGATTTGAAAATTGCCATGATGGAAGAAGAGAACTCGAATCTTACCAGCAAACTCGCCGAGCTAGAGCAGTCTATCGTTGCCGAAAAATCAAATTACGAATCGAGATTATCGCAACTCGAGACATCCAATCGTGAGGCTATAAATGCACGGGATATAGCACAGGATAAATTAGATGAAGTCGAGAAGGCTCTAGATGAATTAGTTGCATCTCATGAAGAAGAGTTGCAACAATTGGTGGCTAAAGATAAAAAGGCTCGGATGGAAGATAGTGCCAAGATACATTTATTGGAGGGGCAGCTGAAACAGTTGCAAGATGCTACTTCGGAGCAGTTGATGAGAGTTACAAAAGACATGGATGAGAGAATTGCTGCACTGACTGCTGAACGGGATGCTGCCATTGAGGCATCCAATAATAATAGTAGTAATAATGATAGTAGTGTTGATCACGAATCTGTCATATCCGAGCTACAACATACCATATCTTCACTCTCGAATGAAAACCGAACTTACAAAATGGACGTTGAGGCTTCAAGAAAGAAACTTGAAGCCGATCTAGAAGCATCCAAACAACAAAACGAGGACTCAGCAGCTCAGATACATAAACTAGAAGCTGACCTCATCAAACTATCCCACATATCTGAAGAATTATCCGCCTCTGAATCCGAACGTAACGCATTATCGAGACAAGTAGAAACTCTGCGGCATCAAATCCAAGAATCTGAATCAACATGGAACTCGAAACATGTAGACGAGTCTTCAGTATGGCAGAAACGAGTAGCAGAATTAGAAGAAGTAGTTACGCAGCTACGTCTAAGTGTTGAGCAAACACGGGCCGTATTACATGATCGAGAAGACGATTTAGCTACACATATAGATTTGGCTCATCGACGAGAAAACGAATTGACTGAACGGATTCAGGAGTTGGAAGCTACTCCATCATCATCTGACGACAATATAAATGCTCCCCATCATTCTGGCCGTGTATCGCCATCTGTCGATGTACTTGTCCGTGTACGACAAGAAGATGCAGCTATAATCGCATCTCTCAACCAAGATATAGAGTTACTACGAGATGAAATGGTACGAGAGAAACGAGATTCCGATGATCGGATTGCTGAAACTCGGAGACGACTACAACAAGCTGTTGAAATTGGCAAAAAGAAGGCTGCTGAAGTTGAAGAATTGAAACGGGTGATCAATGAGTTACCGTCAAACTTGTCGGCGAATGATGAGGATACACAGAAACAGTTGGAAGAAGTGTATCAGGTTCTTGAAGCTCGTGGACGTGAATTGAGTGAAGCTCGATTGTCGGCCTCGAGACATGCACAGGAAGCTGAAGCATACAAGACGAGGATGGAGGAATTTGAGTCTGAAAGACATAGTAGGTTGGATAAGATTAAGGAGTATGAGTTGGAGAATCATGAATTGAGGCAGCAGATTGCGGTGCTGGAGAGGCAGGTTGAAGGGTTTAATCATCATCCTGGTGAGCGGTTTGTTCTAGCGTTGTGTGTCGTAGCAAAAAACCACAGAGACCTAGTGGAATAATTTTGATTTTTTGTAGACGAATCCACCATAACTCGATCAATAACTCCAGCTACAGATGCGATATCTGAAACCACTACAGCTGCCGTGAGAGATACCAAGAACAATGTTCCAGCTTCCCTCGTCATTGATTTATTGACTTCATTATCTGAAAATCGACAAGTGCATGTCGATGTGGATGGTATAGATGCAGCATATACGACACTTCAAGCCATGATTTCAGATATGGCTGCTTCTTCTGAGCAGCATTCTAGAGAGATGGAGAAGCTTCAGAGAGGTCCGTCATACAAGTATTATGTTTTCGAAGTTTTATTTTTGGCTGATTTTCGACATTTTAGATCATGTGTCAGTAGTCGAAGAATGGATGCACAAAGCTAGTTCGGCTGAAGAGGAGAGGAAGCGAATGGAGACTGAGAGGTCAATGATTATGGATCGTATGACTAATATGAAGAATGCTATTGCTCCTAAATTGCAGGCTGAGATGGTAAGAGGACGTGATGGTCTCTATGCTTTTGTAATCGATCCATGTTTTTTTTCGCTTTCCTCACATTTTCGAAAACAAAGGACGAATCAAATCGGCTACGCCAACAAGTAGCATCGCTCAGTACTCAACACGCACAACTTTCACAAACTCTTGCTCAATACCAACAAGAACGAGATTCCTTATTTTCGGAGCGCGACTCTCTAGCCTCCCAACTAGCCTCTTTAACTGAATCACTCAACACCATGTCTGCACAATCCACAACATCATCATCCACTACCCAAAAACTAGAACAAGAACTAGACAACGCCACTCACGAACTCGAGAAATATAAACGAGACATGGCACGTCTCAAAGCCCATTTACTCGAAACTGAAGAATCATTCACACGAGATTCAACAGAACGAGAAGCAGCCGTATCTGAATATTCTCGACGAGTTGCAGAGTTGGAATCAGAACGTGATTCGTGGAGCGCCATTGTTGAAGAATTGCGTAATGATGCAAGGTCGGAACGAGAGAGATGTGAGGAAGCCAGTGAGATGAGTGAGGTGCTGAGAGAGGAGATGGTTGTGTTGAAGGAAGGTTTGAGGAGTAAGGAAGAGGCCTTAGGGAATTTGCAGAGTGTGTTGGCTGAGTTTCAAGCTGGTAAGCGTTGGTTGCATGTAGAGAATCCGTTTTTTTTGCTGAGTGCTTTTCTGACAATATAGCAAAAGACTCTGAGATTGAATTCGCATTGGATGGAATGCGAAGACAATTGGCTATTGCTACAAAGAATCTCCAGGATATGAAGAAGAGATGTGATGATGCCGAGGTCAGTCTCTGCTTGAGAGAACAAAAATAAGCTTATTCGAGAGTGCGCAACGCTCAACCATTGAGCGTTTGTTCCTTTAGGCCAAGCTTGTGCAATCTGAAGATGCTGGTCCCGAAATATCTAGATTGGGCAAGGAGCTGAGTGAACGGAATGAGCAAGTTGGGAAGTTGAGACATACAGGTGTGTATTGGACCTCTGGATGCCAGGTTTTTTGCTTCTCTTGTCTATTGCGCTCTCTCACTCCACCTATTTCCTCATACAGCCGTTCAACTGCAAAACCATCTAAACGAAGCCCTCCGTCGAATGCGTGACGCCACATCAGCAGAAGACGCAGTTGATCGACGCCTCGTATCGTCTCTCGTCGTGAATTTCTGTGCTGCACCTCGAGCTGGAGCCGACAAGACCCGTTATGAAATATTACGAGTGATGGACGGCATACTGAAATTCACTGAAGAGGAGAGATGGAAGGTCGGATTAGGGAACCGGCCTAGAGATTCTGTTACGGGTAGTGATGGTGGTGGAAGGAGTCCTGGTGGTGTTGGGGGGACTCCTGAAAGGAGCGCTAGTGAGGTAAATCTGAATTGAGAGAGGACTGGCTTCCTGGGAGGTTCGTTCTTGTTTGTTTGGCTAACAATTTGGTTTTCGATAGTCATTCACGGATATGTGGATATCATTCTTGTTACGAGAATCGCAGGTGTCCACCAAACCGCCAACAAGTACAGATGGTAGTTCTGCTGCTGCTCCCTCTGCTCCTACACCACAATGAGTGGGGAAAAACAACCAACAACAATCACATTTGCATTATATACACACGATTTGTTGTTTGAATATATGTTAGCATTTGATTATGATTTTCCCTGTGTGTGGTCGGTGTTGATTGGGAGGTGTTTCTTGGGCTTTGTGGTTTTGGTTGTCACCAGTTTGGTCATCCTCCGTAAACTCGCGAGCGGTAAGGATCTGTTGGCCTTTGCCAAGGTACGGATCGTTGATAATGATGGATACGTGAGACAGCTTATCTGTTGAAGACGTATTTACGCTCTGACTTGGGGGGTTTTCTCGCATTTGACACTGCTTTGAATGTCTCAAAGCCCTTCCACCACGTTTCATATACCAACTGCTAGACACAAATCTAAGTACTTGCTCGATTACAGCAATTGACCAACGGGGTCTGTATCCCATTGTGTGCAAATCAGTTGTCTGCGTGGTGTTGCTTCGTACTTGTTCTGATTATTTGATGCACAGAGAGATTCCTGAAGAGGCAGTTTGAGGAGTTTTAAACGTGAGTATTTACTTTGTTGGGGGTTTTTTTTGTCTTGGTAGACGCACCAAACAAAAAAGACTTGAGCTCACTATTGATGTCGTGACTGCAAGCTTCCAGACGAATCCACCACGTACAGTGCAATTGGTCCAGCGGCTGTGACAGACACCCTTTATCCGCAAGTGATGTAGTGACATCAATATTATCTAAGCCTAAACAAGTGCCTGTCCATGGTGGTATTGATTCAGCACACGAGTCACGCTTATAGCATGATCTCGTTATGAATGCTTCTTCGGTGCAGTAATTCGTGAGGAGGGAGAAGCTATGGACAGAATTGGTTACGCTCTGTACATATTGATTTTTTTTGGTTTGTTAACATTTCGGTTTAGACATCAGGTATCCGTAGTTGCTAGTTTTGCTGACGATGAGAGGAGATCCATAGAGACGGAGACGTCAATTATTATGGATCATATGACGAATATGAGGAATGCTACTGCTTCTGTAATGCAAGCTAAAATGGTATGATAACGCAGTTTTCGTTGCAATACTATCAATCACTAAAGATTCCTTTTTGCTCAACATTTTCTGACCAATCTCAATGGACGGCCAAATCGACTATCTCAACAAGTCACATCTCTCAGTACTCATCTCAGTACTCAACATGCAGGACCATCACGTACTAGCAAGAGCGAGGGTTTTTCTCTTGGAACGTGGCTCTCTAGCATCCCAATTAGCAACACTGCCTGAATCCCTCAACACAATTTCTGAAAATCCGCAACACCAACATTCTCCACGTAAAATCTAGAACAAGAACTTTGCTACGCGTGAAATCGAGAAATACAAACGAGACAGGGTCGTCTCAAGCCCATTTACTTGAAACTGAAGAAACATTCACACAAGATCCAACAAACCGAGAAGCAGTTTACCTTCAATATCCAAACCCACGCAGTCGTGATCCATCATCGTTCTAGAGCAAGGACAAATTAAGTTATTCAATGTAGATCTTTTCATTAATCCTCCTTCGGCTATTCGTTCGCTTACAAATTGCTCTTGCTTCTAGTCGATTTGCTGAGTTTAAATTCTTGACAACATACAAGCTACGAATTCAGTACGATGAATACGTGCTCGCTGTACCACATTCAGCACTTGTCATACCTGTCCCAAAATATTGAATTACCTCTATTTGATTTGTCACTGTAGATGTTAGCTAGAGGTATGAGGGCACCACTCGCGGTTGCATATTGGAAACCCGTGTCTCAATGGATGCCATCAAGGAAGAAAGGCACCCGAGTCAGGATCGCTCAACGATGCCATCTTGATCGCAATGAGTAAAGCTTAATGTAATCTCAAAGTTTGTCTTTGAATGGGAGGGGCAACAACCAAAAATAGGACATCCCTACTAACTTTATCCAAAAAAAGGAATAAACAGATATTGAACCCTGATATATTTGTTTTCTCCAATAAGCAATACATTTTGAGGTTCTCTTTTTTCAAATCAGGTTTTGGTGTGTTGTCTTTGGTATTCTCAAAGAAGCAACCCCCGTTTTTGGTGTATTCAGACAAGTTTGATGCCTTAGGAGCAAGGCAAGGTGGCGGGACAAGACAGGTCCGATGGAGTACCGTTCACAAGAGTAGTCATCAGCTGGCCAGGAGTTCTGTGATTGTAAGGGTAGGCTCCTGTCGCCACGGCGTAATTGCAAATAGCTGCTACAGCCGCAGGTCCTGTGTTTGGACCATATTGACATGTTTGTACACCATCTGCAGTCTTGTAGCCATAACTGGAGTATGCTCCAAGAGTAGATGGGCACGCCAGTGCTCCTTGGCACAAGAGCGACCTAAAATGCCTTTGGTCAAACTACAATGTAGCAATAGAGAAGCCTACTGTCAAAAATGCAGTATTTAGGACTTACTTATCTAAGCAAAGGGCTGTCAAAGGACAGGTTATTTGTAATCCTAAAATTTCAACGGGTTCACAGTCATAAAAAGATAAAGGTTAACGACGAAAGGCCAGTCGAGGCTTTTACCAACAAGTGTGCCTGTTGGTCCAGTCGAATAAGTACAGCCAAGCTGAAAAGTGCCGTAGGAACATTCGTAACCGGCTGCGCTAGTCGTAATATGTCCAGTAAAGTTAAACCCTGGATGAATGGCGTGGAATTATTTGAGAAAAGATAATATGAAACGCAGAGAAATAGAAGTAAAACCCTTTGAAGAGCAAGCTTACCTTCCAAAGTTTGTTGCGGACAATAAAATGCTTGGTTTGTGCCATTGCATGTAAGAGGAGCACAGGTCAGATACGAGGCACATTGAATGGAAGATAATACAGAAATGAGCCCTCCAAATGGCACTCCGACATGGCTTGTTTGGATCTATGAGAGGGAATACAACACGTTAGCATAATGTGGAAGCTCGTGCAGCTTTTTGGCCTTTACTTGGTAGTAGCAAGAGCCTCCAGGTATAGTGTAGTCACACTTGAAATAAGATTGCTCTGTATTGTCAAATCCTTGGATTAGACGTAAACCACTGACAGATAAAGGTGTAAATACACCTTTCTTTCAGAACTGGATGTGGCTACAACATAAAGTACATACCCGAGATTATTCACAGGACATGCCAATTGATTTTCAGGACACTTCAAAGCATTGTCACAAACAAGGGATGATTTGCAAACTCCACTCCCAGTGGTCTTGTTAACATTCAAGAAAAATCCGGTTGTCGAACTGTAAAAGCAGTTTGTCAAGTTACTTGAGGCTCCATACTTGCAGTTCCACGTTGTTGCATTCACGGCAACGCCATCGAATAAAGGTTCACCTGGTGAAATAATAAACGATTTAAACTTGTGAGCGGAGGATTAGATACGTGTAGGTACGTTGCCAACAACTTTTCGTACTATTGCCATTGTCGGTTGGACAGAATGCATTCTTGGGGACGCAAGTGCATTTGGAACTGAGAAGAGTAGCAGTAGCTGTGACTGTAGATGTCGCTGTAGCAGTGACAATGCAGTTGCATTTTGCCGTTGCCGTTGCTACGCTGAAACCTAAAATGTCGGCCGGAATGTAAGCACCCTTCAACATCCCTGCGCAAAGTGGACATCAAGTATAAAGAACCGTGCAGAATGAAAGCAGTCGTCTGCATCTCACCAGCTGTAGCAGTAGCCGGGATTAATTTGTCTGTGGTTGCACATGATTGAGTAGTGGTGGAGGTAACTAGGCAACGAAAGTTAGATAAGATAACTTTGAACGACTCTTGTAAAGAAGCACGAGTCAAGACAGCACGTATCCACTTACTTATTCTAGTAGTCGTTCGTGTTGCGGTAGCAACGCAAGCATTCGTTCCTCCACCCAATACTGTGGCAATTAGAGTGGAAAGGACAAACAGCCATTTGATCGAGAGCATCGTTCTAAAATGTCTGATGCTACACACGGTAAGCCGTTTATTTAGCGTTTTGGCAGGCAGATCCTTCTGCTAAAGGGAATAATGAGGTGTTTTGAATTTTTGGTTTTGGTGGGCTGGTTGAATTCAACAAAAAAAAACTTGCTTACTTATGGAAAGCACGTTTACCCTTGAGCCTGCCATGTACCCACGAGACCGTGAGAAGGGACTGCATATAGAGAACTGAGCTGCCTGAAAGATTGGTGGGGAGGGCCAAGACTATTCGATGAGAGACCGTAAATCGGTGCAAAAACTCAACAAGAAATTATCTGCCTTGTGTTCACTAACTAACAAACTAGTAAAACCGCGCCTGCAAACCAAAACTCGAAAACTGGTTGGAAGCATTGTATTCAGGATGCCCTCCCTTGTGGCTAAGTACTCTTTCTTCATGTCATTCATGTCGCAAAATCGAAGTCGCTTGAAAACGCTTTTCGTGTTTGTCGTTTTCTTGTGAAGACAAATATTAGACGAGGTCGTTGGGGAGGTCGTCTAATATTTGTCTTCCATTAGACTACTTAGGAGTTAATGGTTTACTTGTGTTGAAAGCGGCTTATCGTACACCTACTTACACATATCGCAGTACTACTTAGAATTAGATGCCATAAACAAAACTCCAAGGATAATCACCTGACGATTGATAAAGATATTTCTACAGCTCAGCTGAGGAGAATGGTCGCCGTCAAGGACTTCTACCGAGTATACGTCGGGGTCCGCGATCCTGATTGTGACTTTCTGGTTACTGACGAATATAGAGTTGTGTAAATAGTTAAATAGTTTCACCATACAGTGTTCTTCCCCAACTTCGCGTCATTGATCTTGAAAAGTTGGAAAGCGTCTTACTCAGGAGCTCGTCTCGAAACAAGCATGAAGCAAACGTCTTACGTCGTCAAATCAAAGTAGATTATTCAGGTCCCTGTATGAGGGCGCTGCTCGCTCATATTTTTGGAATGCCGTGTTCAAATTGAATGTCTTCCAGAAAGGAAGACGCGGATCTATGAATCGAAATATTCAAAGCTGCTGACTACTTTGATGTAGTCATTTTCTATCAAGCAGTCATACAGAAATCACAGAAGCTGATTTTAAAGCGACCACTGTGCTCCTGTACCTGAGTCTTGGTGCTGGATATGCTCGAGACGATCACGTGTTGAAACGAGCATCTATCGGTTATATTGGGAAGAATCAAGAGGCTGTCACGTATTCAAAGGAATTTGGCACCTGATCACAGGAAGAAGTTACAGCTGATTAAAATCTGAACTCAAGAAGGCCTGAGCAACGAGCTCAAACATTTGCTACGCACAAGGAGTCTCCTTCTATACCGGTATATCACATATATCGCTATCTCTTGCTGTCCCGTAGTTTGCAGCAGAATGAAACCGAATACGTCTCTTGTAAAAGTGGAAAGCAACCGACAAGGGTTGTTTCTTCGCACGCTACTTGACACCTTACCATGCAGATTAACTTTACTCCTCTCTTACGACAGTCTCTTGGAGTCATTCCGGTTTGAGAGTCTTGATTAGGAACTGTGTCTTCACTATCAACCAACTAACACGAATTCTTGTCATCAGACATATCCTTGCATGATTTGAGGAAGTACTTGAAGAATGATGTTGATTCTCTCTCTCGAAGTCTTCATCCGATACTTTGCACCGGAAAAAGCTCTTCCGAAAGCTGCCCCTATTCTCAAACTACCTGAGCTATGGTGCAACAACGGACTGTCCGATTGCGAAAGGCTATGTCCTACTCCTGAGCAAGCGGCTCCAACGCCAGTCATTACATCCACCCTCCAAATTTATGAGCTTTGCTGCAAAGATGAACTCTCTGATTATGACTTTGCAGTCACTGATGAGAATGGTGTCGCCAAAGTCATCCCAGCACATAGTCTTCTTCTCAAATTTGCCTCACCGGTATTCAAACATATTATATTCAGGACTGCAGAAAATGAAGGAGGTGACTAGGTTTGCTCATGTGTAGGACATAGCCTTTCGCAATCGGACAGTTCGTTGTTGCACCATAGCTCAGGTAGTTTGTGTCGTAGAATATTCAGCTGTCTGTATGATTTCCGTACTCTCATTTGTCTATGGAGAGCCAGGCTTCTGAACGGATGCCATACGAAAAGGATGAAGCTGATGCAAGGATTGAAGTATTGAAAGCCGCAGACTTTATGACTTGAACACACTCTATACAGCAATCGTCAAGAAAATAGCCGCCGTAGACTTTGAAACTGGAAGCGTACTCGGATATTTGACTTCAGGTTCTCGGTACGGTCGAGATGACTACTCGCTGAAGAGAGCTGTTACTGAATATATTGTCAATGGGAAGAATCGTAAGGCTGTTATGGGGTCAAAGGAGTTTGCTGATGGAGGAAAGAGGCGGACTCGTCTGAGCTCATGGGGTTGCGTTGAGCAGAACCTAGATAAAGGTGAGAGAAGATGATATGAAACTTTATCTACTGTTGATTTACTGAAACAGTTGAAATAGCACGTTCACTTGCAGGTGACTATTGGTAGCAGGAGTATTCGGCCTGTTTACTAATTTGAATATAAAATACGCGTAAACATAATCTTGTCGGCCTGCTAAGTGTTTAGTATTAAGCCGTTAAACTCCGATAATCCTCTGCTTGTGCTTTCTTTCGAAATATGCTCCTACATGTTCGTGTCTGAATCGGCCGTCCCATCTCCTCGCAACGAAAACATGAATACAAGGCTGTTGATCGTTCTCGACCTTAATGGGACGATTATAGATCGTGTAAAGGAAACGTGAGTCTTGATTTGGCAGTGTAATTGGACAGGTTTCATAAGTCACAATGGCTGTGCAACACTTTTTTGTTTTTGGTGATTCAATGCTAATCCAATACTTGTTTGTATAAAGTAGCTCAAGGAAACTCGCTCGTGCTAATCCTCACTGTCCCATCGAGCCAAACTTCACTTCAAACAAGGCCAAAATCTACTTTAGACCGTACGCATCAAAACACATTTTGCCAGTTTCTGCCAACTCTGAACAAAACTGACATTTAATCTAAAACCAGGCATCTGGAAACATTCTTGACGCTCTTATTCGACAATTTCACAGTTGCTGCATGGACGTCAGCACAGCCAAACAATGCGCTACCACTGGCACATGGTGTGTTTGGCAAATATTTTGACAAGCTGGCGTTTGTGTGGAATAGGAGCCATTGCTCTGCTGTTAAAGAGAGTAGAAAAGATCATTCATCAATAAAGGATTTGAGGAAGGTATGGGTGGATCCTTCAAGAGTTGATTTTTCAACGCTTGGTCGGGAAGAAGATATTGATGTGCATTGTCATGGGCCCTGGTCGCCGGTAAGTTCGTTTGTATTCTCACTTTTTAGATATAAACACTCGAAATCTTACCATTTCATGTTTGGTTACGCCTTCTGCAGAGGAATACGGTGCTATTAGACGATACACCGTACAAGGCATCCTACACCCCAAACAACATCATCCCACTCCCGACTTTCACAGTCACCGACGCCGATAACGATCAGACCAAAGACACGGTATTATTGTCTGTATGCTCGTACTTGCTAGATTTACGTGCAGCATACTATTCCAGCCCATCAGCATACTTCTCGGATGTCCGATCCTTTTTGACTCAAAGGCCACTCTTTACAACACATCAAGCGGTTAACGAAGAGAAATGGATTTCAAGTGTTGGAGGTGATTCAGATACTCAATCTGTAGCATCTAGTATTCGAGGTAGTATTAGTGGAGGAGGAGGAAACGGTGGAGCGGAATCTGTAGCAGAACAAATGCAGGATTTGAGACTGACAAATAGTGGTAGTACGTCACCACAACAACTGACGGAAATGGCAGGCCTGCCGAATCGAAGAATAAGACAACGTGGGATGGGACGTCCTCGTCCGCTGAATCTGGGAGGAGACGCGCTGTACTACTAGGAAGCTTCGCCCTACTTATAGCTAGAACCTGGTACGCAAACTTGTGGTATTGTAGTGATGGGCTTGGATCAGGTTGCTTCTATACAACATCACGCCTTTATTCTCGACCTCGCATTGCGTTTAACTGCACATAAATTCAAATAACTGAGCAATGTAGATTATTATCACACAATATTAGAGAAACAACCAGATTTATAATTCGAGACCCGCCGTTGCGGGAGCAGGCTGTGAATTTCGAATTTCGTCCAGTATTTCGTGTTGAGCGTTGTTTGCAAGGTGTCATGATCATAAACAGCCATTGCTAGAGATAAACACACTATGAAACATAGAGAGGCATCTTTCCAAGTTCAAACGACTAAATACTGAATAGCAGATCTTTATAAGGATGTACTGCGGAAGAAATATTCTTTGCACGTCAAAAACTACAAATCACCAACTGGATGCTGAAATATAGGCAGGAAGCTGAAAGGCCACGAGCGAGAATCACGTCTGATTCTGTAAATTTGAAATCTGGTATGAAACAAATTAGCTCTTAAAACTTTGTTGTTGAATGCTTCGTCAACTCAAACAAAAAATGGCGAAATTGAGTGTCACTGACTTGTTTCCTTCCGTATGCTCTATTTATGTGCACAGCTATCTTTCTCTTAACCTAAATACTCAGCTGATTCTCTCAAACTGCTCGCTGACGCCCTTCAAAAGCCCCTCTGCCAATTTGCGCCAACATTGAACATTGAGACTTTTGCTCAAATGCAACCTCGAGCCTAAAACACTCCAATTCCCAATGCAATCGTGCAAGAGCCTTGAATAAAAGCTATTAACGGTTTACATATATTCCTGTACAAGGTTCGACCTGTGGCAAAGTGACATGACAATTTCTCAGTGTGAATTCCCATAACAATGTCGATGTTTTCACCTTCGATGTTGGCTCAAACGATGCATTTGACGTTTATGTCAATAATGTGACAGTATTCTTTGAAGCGAAAGTGGAAAATCATGGAGAAAAAAGTAACTCTAAAATGTCAGACGGATTAACAAACCCCACCATTTTTCACAAGGAAGACTGAATTCGCTGTGAAAATAGCACCATTCAATAGCCGGAGCAAACTTGATCAAGTCAGTCCTTTCCGTATACAAAAGCAAGTAGTGCTCTGATACAGGAGGCCGCAACATGGTTTTTGTGGTCGTTGTGACTTTCTCTCGCTGTTGCACAACGGTTTAAAACCTTTAAAAAGTTCGAAATCTTGTTTACTGTGACGATATCAGCAGCCCGCGAGCTCCAATCTGGTCCGTTCCCTGTTGCTCATAATTGTTTTTTGAAAAGCACCGATTCAGACGCAATATAGAAAAACACGATATAAATAGCGACAACAGGAATGAAATTCAATGCAGACGCTAACTATGTAAATTGGTAAGAGTTTCGCGAGGTCGGTATTAGTTTTCTCTGCCTCTCCCAGCGGAATTTAATGATGGCAACGTTGTGATCTCAAGGGGTGCGCATCTATAGTATGTACTATATTTAAGGTTGCTGTCATTTTGGCAATGAGACATATCGTAAAGGTGAGCTGGTCTTTCAGCATCCATATTATCTGTCACCGTTACGTATTTGAGTGAATGAGGTTCCGGTACTAAATTTCCGATTTGCTACCGGCGTACCAAGCACCTTGTAACCCCCAATACGATATTATGATTGACTGATGTGATTAGAGCTTCCTACGTTCCTGGACTTCCGGCCTCACTTGCGATTTAGCGACTATTGATATCGGATACCTGATTGCAAGCATATAGTCTACTCTATGGAGGCCGCCACACCCACCTATCCATGGGAGCATTGGAGACCACTGCTGATCTTCTTTGAAATTTTCTCCATCATCAATATGACTGCCGTTGGACTATTGCTAGCTGCCTTATTAAGTGAAAAGGATCTATGGAAATCGAGACGAGTCTTTTATCTGAACATTGCTCTTGGATATGGTGTCTTTGCCGTAAATGCTTTTATATTATTCAGTATGGAGCTAGGAATCAATGGGATTGTTTATTCTCAAGAATATTGTTACTTTAATGCCAGCTTTAACCTGCTTTCTCTGGCGGTGACTATGATTACATTCTTTGTGATTGCGTTGGATAGATGGTTGATTCTCGTGAAGGTTGACGCTTTTTGCATTGGGAGAGGCTGTCACTTCTACCAGAAGTTGCATCATCAAATAAGCTAAACCTCAACCATTCCCTTTCCTGCAGAGAGTCGATATGGGACCAAGATATGTTGTTTTTGGATGTCTTTCTACGTGGGCATTGTAAGTGTCATAAATTTTCACTGTGTTTACGATGTCTCACCAATCAAACAAATAGCGGTGTATTTTCACTAGGAACCATGCTACTCAATCGAAACGCAGTGTGGGAGGACCCGGCATTCCTCTGCATTAACGATTGGACATCAAGAGACCCAATTTTGTTTGCACAAACAATCTTTCAAGTGGCTAGCAACGCCCTTGTCGTGGCTGCTATACTGCACCTGTACTCTCAAGTCATACAACATATCAAAACGACGATACAGAGGCTAAAGGATGTGATCGGCGACACGACAGAATGCAGCACTGGAAGCAAAAAGAGCAGAGTGGATCCAGAAGTCTTGATTTGCAGGTACAATGTATAAATCTGAAACGTGACATTTCCAAGCCTTCTTATGATTTCGTTTTGGTGACAACTCTAGGAAATTTTACTTGTTAACCCTCGTTTCACTTACGATGGGATTGCTTGAAGCTGTTTGGATTCTCTACGAATTGATAACTGGTCACAAAGTCCAAGCGGATTTTGGTGCTGCTACTATGGTGGTTGGTGGGGTTCGGCCGCTAGCAGATTGTAAATTTCAAGTGTTTTGATTCTCGCACAAAGTTCTTCTTTGGCTTATTCTGCCCTTGTCTTGAAATTTAGGCTTGCTGATTGTATACATGGATGCTACAGTACGTCACACGATTCTATCGTGGTTTGGAAGAAAGGTAGAGACAAAAACTGACGTTTCAGAAACGCCAACCGGTGCATCCATCATCGCAACACCTTCCATGGCATAATCGACAACCGAATTGGAATCTTGCAGGGGTATAAAGCTCATTAATGCCTGGCGCTCGTTGGAGCTAGCATCGATCGGTCTGAACAAGACCTGATTCTACATGATTCGTTTCCTGGAACTGTAGTTGTAGTTATCCACAATCAAGAGTGTTAAATTATTTTCTCATGCACACAAAAAGCAGCGTGCACGAAGGTTGCAGCCTCTGGTTTCAAATGAATATGTCACCCATGGAAAGTAAAACTGAACAAACACTCTTTGGACGCAATGTGGAAGGACAGAAGCGAGAAGCGTAAGCTAAATCCACCCCTATGTCAAATCGCGAGTCTTAAATTTTAAAATGTCGTTCCCCTCTCTCTTTCATGCCTCAGGTCTTTAAATCATTTTGAATTTTGATATTTGGCTAACAGGTGCAATTTAAATTACTCACAATACGCAGTGGCACGTCGCTGCACGGTGAAGGAGGGCAATGACAATCATTTGAAACATTGTGGAACGCCAGCTTAGCTGATTTGAGTCTTTGCGCTTGACGCGTCCCGCATGTCTATTACAATCGTTCAGAACGTGAGATTATGGGCACACTGCTCCATAACGAGATCGATTACATTCTAAAAATGTAATACAATCATTGCGCTGCATTTATTAACTGCGCTGCTAGTAAATGGGACTACGATACATCCTTCAACACACTACGTGACAATAAGGAGAAGGATTGTGACCCAAAGGCTACACACAGTGTATAATTTGGTCAACTCAATATCATCATAAAACAAATGGTTACCTGGGAACTGGTCCCCTACACTTCACTCAATGCAATCAAAAGGTCATCCTTGAGCTCTGCAGACTCTGGCAGCCTCTTCCATTCATCCTATTCCTTTGACTTCATGACGGCCTTTCGATTATTTACATTGAAGAAGCTATACTTGAATGCTGCTCCGGAAGGTGACATGTAAGATTAAACAGTCATCAGTCAAGGCCCGATCGACGTCCGCGATAGGAGCAACTAGGAATGATTCCTTAAGTATGAAGCAACTCCTGTCTCGTGGCTTCGATAGTACCGACGATTTCATCTTTGATTCTAGGCATGACCAGACTATTCCGTTTGCTTGCAGATTGTCTCGACATGGAAAGGCCGTGGTTTTGATTTCCTGGTGTTTTGTTACTTGAAAAGCTGAAAAGGTTACATAGGGTTTGCTAGGCAGTAGAGATCAGAAAGTAGTCTAAAATTAAATGTGAGACGTTAGGTATGCCTCCTCATCACATCACAGTTGCAGGTTATGGTTTCTAATTTCGCGTTGACAACTTTGCATACATTTGCATAATTTGGCACTTTGACAGCCAGCAATTCAGATTCAACGATTACAGTTCAAGTCAAATAAATACATAAGAGACTACTGCGCCAACTTATTTGGTTTCAAAATGCACGCTGCGTCCATTCGTGAAAACTCCAGGTCTGCCACAGCATCAAACAAGACTGAATTTTCTACCACACTTACCTAGGCGGTCACTGTCTAATTCCAATATAAGGTAACTGAGAAGCTGCAATAGCAAGAATCCAGTAGTTACGCCTCCTAGTCTCGACTCTGACTCACGAAATTGTGACTTGTGGAACTAGACTAATGCTTCACCTTCACGTCGACTAGAAACGTTTCGACACATTGCTCACTCTAAACATGTCATCTCCTATATTCTTACGCCAGATAGCTCTGGTGGCATACGACTTGCCGAAATCCAACGACATCATCACCAAAGGCTTGAATCTCGAACAAGTTTTCCACGATCCTGAAGTTGAGGTATATCTCGCCAGTTTTAACTGTTAAAATCCATTTTGATTCCTATTTGCTTGTATCAAACAGCTAATTGTCAACATGGCCTCACAACTAGGAATTCGGTCTCCACAATACACTCTGGGTGCTTGGAGGCGGTGTCTTTCTAGAAGTCGTTGCACCATTACCCGGTCGCGACATCAACAAAGTCTCTGGCGGTCGTTTCCTGAAAGCACGGAAAGGCGATGGTGGATATATGATTATTTTGCAAATGAAGGATGCTACACCGACCATTAAACGTATGAAGGAAGACATGGGGATCAGAGTTGTGTGGGGAACTGGTGGTGAAGGGTACGTGATCTCATGCCTCCTGAAAACGCTATGCATGTGGCAACTCATACTTGATTTGTGACTTACAACCTAGGCATGGATCTGCAGGTGACGCTGGCGCACATTTCCACCCAAAGGACACTCGAGGCGGTAACATTCTGTCCATATCCCATCACGCCAAATATGGCGGTGATCCTGTAGCAAGTCCACTAGCAGACTGGCCTGCTGGAGGTCCACGTGATATATGGATCCCAGCCTCGAAACGCGCCGACAAGATACGGCTTGTAGGATGCTCTATACAGTCTGATAACCCAAAGGAGCTAGCCGCTCATTGGAGTCAAATGCTGAATCTGCCTGTCAGTTTGGATAAAGGCATTCCATGTATAGATTTCTCGAATGCGAGGCTCAAGTTTGTGGAAGGCACTGATGGCAGAGGTGAAGGGATTTGTGAGTTGGATGTTGCTGTGGAAGATGTCAGTGCTGCGACGAAGCGGGCTATAGGTGCAGGTGGTAGATTACAGGGTGACCGAGTGGAAATGGTTGGGATGTGGTTTCACTTTGTTCCGTTGACTGCAAGTGTTGGAGTTCAGGCCAAACTTTGAAACTGTCGAAGTATAAATGACAATAATTGAATGTTTACTGTATTGAAACTTGGCTTTGTTTTGCTATATACTTCTGCTGCTACCAGTGTCATACATTTAGATACTACAAGCGATGATGGTTTATAATCCAAAAGCTTCAGTCCTTGTCAAACGATGTCTCACTATCCCTATCATCATCACGATCTGGAAAATCCTTATCCCAGCGCTCAGATGTGTGAGAGAACTGATCGTCATCGTCCAATGATCACTGCAAAGAATACTCTTGCCTCCTAACTTTCTCCTCCAACTCCAATTCATCCAACATGGCATCATTATCAGCTTCAGCAAACCTATACATATCATCCAAAACGTGCTCTTTGTCTTCACAATCGTCATTATAGCTTGTATAACGTACTTCTGACACAGATTGTGACATAAGTGATGACTGCCCGAAAAATCGATTAAGAGGACGTTTATCAGGAATTCCTTCGAGTTCCATAGCTTGAAAATCAAGTGGTTTATATTTGCACTGTTGTCTGACGAGCAACAACGGCCGTTGTGAAGTTGTTTCAAACGATTGTACTCGTCAACAGTCAACCCCCATGGTCCTTCCCGAGTTTCGAGACTATCATCAGAATCATACTCGTCGTGTGGATGGTGGGTATATACACCATAAGGCTCAAAACTATCGCCTGATTCGGGACCATCATGAGAGGTCTTTCTGTCAATGGCACTTAATAATCGACACTGATTACTATCAAGCTCCCATTCAAAGTCATCGTCAACGTATACAAAAATTATAACCTTTTGTCGTTGTGTATAATGAAGTGGGAATTCGTAGCGGACAAAGACATCACTGCTGTTTTGATTGTTTTGATCTTATGAGTGCCAAAAGGGATTTGAAGATGTTTATGTAGCTAACGAGGTTGCGTTTTGCTGATTTCTAGCCGATTGTTTGGTGTCGTGAATTTGAGCTCAATGGTCTTATCAAGAGGACTGACAAGGTAATAAGATGAATGCTCAACTTATATGAGCGGCGTTACAGGGATTCCCTAGATCCAAAGCTACAAGTCATAGATTTCTTCACGAACGCTCGTTGACTGTGCCAACCTAAAGGTTCGGCTCAAGAAGAGAGGTGAGCTTTGCTGCTTTTGGCATGCAAGATATAGAACATTAATATAAAAGCACGACTGACCTTTTTTAAAACTACACTATTACACTATTCAGATTACTCCTTAATCAAACGAGCTGATTGTTGTCCACCGCGACAGGAAGTAATTACTTGAAAGGAGACGACTGCTAGACTACATATTCTCAATTTGAACATTTACACTCATATATCGTGTGATCTCTCGTAATTATGACTTCCACCATCAAATTTGGCGACTACATTCCTTCAAATGAACCGGAACGTGAGGAACACATCGAATACAATCGACGTGACGTGATACTCTACAATATTGGAATTGGGTGCCAAGATCTTAAATATGTCTACGAACTTGGTATGTCTTTTGACCAAACTCGGATACATCCACGAGATGTATTGTGACGCAAACTCCTTGCAAATCTCTCTTTGAAATGCTCACGGTAATCAACTCGTAGATCCACAATTCAGTGTCTTTCCTACGTATGTCAGTGCCTTCTTGTTCAAGAAGGGTGTCTCTGATCCTGGTTTGAGTTACATGGATCGTGTGAGACGTCTGTTGCCAGACACGCTGCCTATTAAAAAGATTAATGATGGAAGTAATGGTGAGCGTCGACGATGTAAGAGGGCTATGTATTCGCTGGCACTCAATACTCGTGGCTTTTTTTAGCTCACTATGAACACTCCATCACGATACTCTGTCCTCTCCCGTTGGAAGGACGTATGTGTATACGAGGAAAGATTGTGGCAGCATATAACGGTGGTAAAGGGCTAGTATCTGATAACGAGTTTGTTGTAATTGACGATGTGAGTCAAGTAACGACAAAAAAGTTGTGGTCGACGGCAGTACTAACGCATCACACCCTCATTCATTGCTTCACACGCGCTAGCTTACTGGAACAGTATACGCAAAGGAAGTGGCAACCTCTTACGCTCTGAGAGCCGATGCATCAAAATTCGAAAGACGACCCATTGATCCAAATGAGATCAAGCCACCTGTGGGAGTCGCTCCAGATCGAACGTGGTCTTACACTGTTGCCAGCAATCAACATCGGCTGTACTCGTAAGAGTGTATCGTATTCATTCTTGTGGATATTCATATCTCAGTTTTTCTTGTGCTTCAGCCTCTCAACCTATCCTGACTTAAATCCAATCCACAATGTAAGAGATGCCTACTAAACTGTGATATGCGACTGATTCTCTTCAGCTGTCGTTTAGGATCGTGATGTAGCTCGCAAGTTTGGATATGACGACATCATATTACACGGCCTATGCACATTTTCCATTGCAGGGAGAGGAGTAGTCTCTGCATGGGCAAACAACACACCATCCCGCCTAAAGCACCTAAAAGTACGATTCAGTGCCGCAGTCTACATGGGCAACACTCTAGTCTTGCAATCGTGGAAGGCAAAGGAGGATAAACAGACAATCACTATCTCGTTTGTGATGATTGTTCCCGAACGGCAGAATATTGTAGTGCTGAATAATGGTGTAGCCATTCTTTCGAAATAGTATGAGACTTTTATTTGAATGTTGAGACAGCGTGTGATTTTGTAACAAATGGTCCCTCCCTCCCTCTTCCTTTCTACCCTTCACGTTATGATATGCATTTCATGATCCAACAGTCTGAAATCCAAGTTGAAACCTCCTCTTTACTCTCAAACTCGAGAAGCCCTGTCAGAGTGCATAGTCCTTGGAGTAACTCGCAACAGGCAACCGTCCATTGGATATGTTGTCGCAAAAATCCTGATTAGAAAGCAATCAGATGTCAACCCGTGACCATTGTTTTTGCTTGAGAAATTGTGAAGCTACTTACTTGATGCGATTACTGTCGGGTGTGGTAACATGTTCCCAATTGAGACAGGAAGCCGCCAAGGCCATCACACTTGTCATATGTACCACTGCATATTCTCGACCAAGACAATAATGATTCCCTACGAATAATACACCATCAGGAAATGACGCCTTTTTCCTCACATATTTCTGAGTAACTCACCACATCCGAAAACCATATAGTTTCGTCCCTCAACAGCATTAGCCTCAAATCCTTTAGGATTCAGAAACCTCTCTGGGTCGAAGTCATCGGGGTTTGGATACACATCGGGGTCGTGAAGTGCAAACCAAAATGATGGGATGACCATTGAGTCTTTCGGGATTGTGTAAGATCCAAACCAGGATTTAGAGTCATCTCCTGGGTAATGCGATCCTAGACCTTTTCCGATTGACGTCTCATCAACTGTTATATCGGATTTGGCCTTGTATGGTATCATCAATACTGGCGGTCTGACTCGTAAGACCTCCTAAGAGACGTGAACGAGAATGTTAGCACTTTGGTATATTATTCATTTGATTGCAAGATTTTTTGTGCATGTAAAAACAGTCAAAGACAATTTACCTTGATGACTGCCCGAGTATACTGCAACTCATCAACCAACTCGAGACTCAACGAAGGCATTTGCAAACCACTCTCGTCTGCACCCCAGATCTCTGGCTTTCGTTTACGTATCCCATCTACTTCGGCTCGTACTTTGGCAAGCACGTCTGGATAATCGGCTAAATACTGGAAGCACCACGTCAATCCACTGGTGGTAGCATCCTGCGATGCAAACAGGAATGTCAAGACAGTCAAAGCAATCTCGTTATCAGAAAAACTACGACGTTCGTCCTTCCTCTTTGGACTATCTTCTACACCATTCTCATCTAAGCCCTCCTGGCTTCCCAACATCCATTGAATCCAAGCGTCCATCAAGCAAGTCACGGGCTCTCCATGTTCCATACGAGCTTTACTTTTGCTAGCAGCAATTTCGAAATGGTGGACAATATATTTACGAGCTTGGATGGCGTGCCATACTCGCGTTCCAGGCAGAGCGAGAGGGAAGTTGACTAGATCAAGTGCGGCAGTGATACAGCGGAACTTTTCAGATATTTCTAGAGTGACTTCTTCAGAGATGTAGTCACCACAAAACACGGAGATGGAAGTGTCCATGTTCAGGTTTCGGATGCGGTTTTGGTATGGCTCTATTACACCACTGCTTGCAAGCCAGTCGGCAAAGTTCTTTCTATATGCACGTTCTTGGTTGCCTAAATAGCCTCTGCAAGGAGAAATAGATCAGTTAGGTAAGCCTCAATAACCAGTATGTAAACCGACGAGTTGGGATCAAAGTACGTACCCAAGCGCTTTACGAGTAAAGAGCACATTCAAACTTTTACGATATTCAATATGGTCTTTTCCTTCTTTAAACACCCAATTGTGAGGATCAAGGATGTCCTTCATAGATCCAACCATAACAGGCTCAAACAAATTCGGCGAGCTCAAAATCTTTCGACTTAAATCGCACGTAGAAGCAATGACTATAAAACTAGTAATGTACAGAATTCGAGGTTTTTTCGGTTAGCACATGTGGTATACTCGTGATTACAAAGGCTAAAGCTAACGGTTGATCCTTACTATTGAAAGACAGACACGACGGAGAGAGCACCAGACTTCCATTGATTCAGATACCCTTCAAAGCTTGGATATAGTGACTCCAAAAGCGATCCGATCAGCGGGATTGTGAAACTTGGGCCTATTTCATGGTTTTAGATCAAAACACCTTTATAAATGCTGGTGAACAACGAAGAGATAAACCACTTAAAATGCCAGTGAAACTCACCTGGCAGATGCGCTTTCTTTGCGCGATAACGGATCTGTTCGTATAATAGTGCTCCAATTAGAACCGAAGCACCGACCGTATAAGGACGAGTGAAAAGTGGTGATTTCAAAACGGTTTTAGCGAAATCCATGTGGAGCTTGGATAGACTGTGGAGAGACGATAACTGTATCAACGTTGAGATTTTACGAATGCAAACTATCAGTTTCCAAGATTTCAAACCTTTGCCCAGCCTTTGTCAGCCTTGGTGTGATGCCAGTGTGAAGGTGGTTTCTTGCTCCAGCCAATTCGTGTGGTGTGATTTTTACAAAGCAGGAAATTTGAAGGGTTTGCCAACCGCTTGGCGGTGGCAACTTGGCAGCAAGTTTGCGTGTGCGAGTCGAGGCCGTGAGATAAATCTGATCGCTTGCCGTGAGTACCTCGTTCATAAGAGTCATCATTTAGATGTCTTGATGCTTGACTTGTTAGTTCATCGTGTTTGGTGTTGCTTTGTCCCAAATACGCCAAGTCATCCCAACATCCAATAAACTCTTCTCAGCCAACATTTGGAACAGTTTTGGGTGTCCATTTGGAAGGCAGCAACTGTGGTCCGTTGTCCGAAAACGGTCCAGATCAAATGAAACGGTCCAGATAGATTTGTCGGTACATCCAGGTTCCAACATGCAAAGAAAACCCGGATTCTCCCAAATTCTTGTTAAGTGTTCCAAAAACGAGAGAATCCACTGTGTTGTCAAGATCATTTGAGGGTTGGTCACTTGATTCGGTTGCCATCACTATGGATCCTTGTCAAAGGCGTGTAACTTTTGAGCAGATGCAGCTTTGACAGTTCCACGAGTGCTTGACTAGGCAACACTGAATTCATTCGCTGCGGATAAGATCATAACTGACTGATGAAGTCAAATGGCTTAAAATGTAGCCTATAACGCCTTTTGGCTCCCTTTTGCACTCTTTGCAGCCAACCCAACAGAGTAGATCAGGTTGACAGATACGATGAATGATTCAAAGGGTAGAGGATAGCTTAAGAGATCAAAGTTCGTCCTAGATATCAAACAGGTTGCCAAAAACAAATTTGACACGCACGTATTAGCTAACTGGTCATAAGCGTATCATCATACTCACGTTCATACAGCTGAGAATAGCTTCTCTGGACAGGTCGCGTGGCCAGGTTGAGACAGCAATTCTCACATTCCTTCATCATCAATCAAATTCAAAACATTTAGACGTCTTGTAAGCTCTGCGAAAGAGGTCTGAAAAGAGGAGAAGAAGGTAGTCTATTAATAATTTGATACTTAATGCTGCATTTCTGTTAAATCTTTCATAACTGTCCTTTTCACCCATTCCCAAAAACTTCAAATCTTCAGTCGAGCTCTCTCAAGTTGTCAAACCAATAAAGGGAGGAATGATGGGTCATGACAGTCGACCTCCAAAGCATGCATCAGCTTCTACTTCCTCGTATGCTCCTTCTCATCGGATTGAGGGCATGCATCACCCGTCATCAAATACGCACAATATTCATCGACAACCATCGTCCTCTTCTCAATTGAAACCAACTTCCTACGGAATGGTCGATGAGCGAGATGCTCTGTATATATTTGAAGGTGTCCGCATCGGGAGTCTCAATAAGTTTGATGTATGTGTTACATTTTGATATTGTTGACCTGGCAACCTGCAGGCTTTTGACTCGTCTGTGTGATTGTCAAACTGACTTTTCTATTTATTAGCGTGCATTAAACGAAGAAGAATGTCGTCAACTCATTCAGCCTGGTGCTGTGTTTGTATTTGACGAGAAACCTTCCTTCCAATCGTAAGTTTTCTGTTTTGAATCGCAATCAACAAACATTACTAGAGTCGACACCTGCTTTTTTTGGCTATAAATGATGATCTGATCAATCTTTTTACGCTGCCTGTCACAAATCCCATCGTTTCAAATAGCTGGCAAGACTTTAGGCTCTGGTCCGACGTGTCGCATCAATCTGGATTTGCCTACTTTTATGAACTTGTCCCACAACCATCTCTCAACAATCAACTGGGCCGAACTGGGTTCATCAAGAAGTGTACTTCTCTCTTCATCCCAGAAACTCGAACTATGAGGCACTTGATTTCATACTATCATGATGAATCACTTCACATGTTGCCAAGGCCATTGTTTGATCAGCAAATGCTGTTGGTACCTTCATATATCGGAAAGATGAATACCTTGATGGATGCCAGAATCTTGATAGATGCAGTAGACGCATCGATTCTTCCAAAAGCCTCGGTCAGTATCCGGTTGGAATGATCCTGGAAAACATTTCGTTGCCATTTTCGGGACGAGGACTTGAGCTGCTGAACTGTTTTTCCTGAAAAATAGCGTCCTCCGTTGCCTTTCGAATGTGATACCTTGATAAAACCTGGTGCCATGTTTGTCTGGGATGATTGTGTGCCTGGAACTCGCTGGTAAGTTGTCAGCACCATTGAGCGTTCCTGCTCTCTTTGATTCTGCTACCTAAACTCTAACAATTTCTCTTAATGACAAGCAGGTGGAACGATAACCTGCTTTGGCAACCTGGTAATTTAAGCATTGGCTGCAAGAAACTGTCTTTGTTTCGCTCCTCAACTCTTAAGTTTGTTTTCAACTCTCTCTTTAGCTCGTATCGAAGGAAATATCGTCGTTTTCCAAGAGATGGAAGCTAGGGAAGTGACACCTGCTCCCTTCAATACTTCTGTTGGTGATGAGACTGGGCTTGCTGTACCAAATCCAACTAGTAGTCATCCAACTCAGCAACAACCTGTACATTTACCAAAAGATGCAAACAAACACAGCGTATTCGTTGGATCCAATCCAGCCAATGCAACAGCGCCTGGTAATAATACTATCTTGATCATCTCTCCCAAACAGGACGGTATGATCAAAAAGGTGACTACATTACCGAGCAAGACTCATAAAGTAATGCAAGTCATCGGATACTCGTATGAAACTACTTTGCCAATGCTGTATGCTCCATCACTTGATCCCATGCTCGTATCTCTTGTCATGGCGGCAAAAGGATGCGAAAGTGATGGTAGTATTATTATGCATCGATCACAATCAACTTACGCGAACTGTCGTGCTGGTGTTGGTATGTCTCATGTGGGTGCCGAAGGTGTCATGGGTGTCCCTCCTCAAGTACCACCCATGGTATCCATTCCACCACCTCAACCACAGCCAGTAGCACCACACTTTATCAATACGATGAATGGAACGAGTACTGGTACTGTCAATCCTCGTCATGTCAATGAAACTGTAAATCCTCCTCGTATCAATGGTACTCCTACTATCAATGGCAATGGTCTACAAGGAAATGATATCCACAATAGACGAAATAGTCACAATCCGATATCAACACGAGGCATGAGTACGAATGAATCAACTCCTCAACAAACCATAAAACTCGCTGCGTTATTGAATCCCATTCATCAACAACAAGAACAACAACGTCCACAATACGCAAATGTATCAACACAAAAGAGTGTTGATACACCTCGATCAGACGTAACCACGAGTGGTAGCACTATTTATACTCCCACGTATGATATATCACCAATGCATATGAATGGTGGTAGTCATAGTCGTCTCGATACTCCATCAGCTACTCCATCAGGTGCTTCATCTCCTGTAAAGTCTGATGAAGAACAGGATGATGTATGTGATGACGAAGAAACGGAAACGGAAGCAGAACAAGATTGTATCGCTCTCGGTCATCTTCGAAAAGCGTCTGCTGACGGAGGCAAATGGGTTGCGGCGCCAGTTACAACTACGGTGCCTCGATCTGCCTAAAACTAATATACTTGTATCATAAATGAGGGGGGAGAAAGAAGGTTGGAGGGGGCAGCTGGGTAAAATCCAAAGATTTGTTGATGATAGTTTGTGGTTTTTTTATAAAGGAGGAGGAAGGTGGGACACTCTGTATTTGAAGATTGAAATGGTTTGTACATTGGGCAAACAAATAGAAAGATTGCATATAGAGGAAACTTGAGTGATTCGTCGTCGTATCTCGAATAACGGCACCGTAGTTGCAACAACAGAGACTCGTAGTTTGCTGAAAAGATGAGAACTTACGACAACTCAAAGCTGCCAAGCACAACCCGTATGCAGCATGGTACCAATAACCCTCGTTCTACTATTAATGCAAACCAATTATACATATGTCTTTCTATGGCTTCTCATCGTCTTGCTTGACCATGGTTTCTTGTTCAGCCTGTACAGTGTTTTCTTGTTGTTGTAAGGGTTGTTCTGCCAGCTAACCAAAAAAACCGATAACCGTAAGAAGCCAACACACTTTTTTTTGGATCAAGACTTTGATTTCACAACTCACCGAAGCAAAAGGAGATATAACAGCAAACAAGTCTTGATATGTTCTGGAACTAGTTAAATCCATGCCAAAGCCTTGACACTACAAAGCCAGTGGTCAATATCAGGATAACACAATAAAAAACACATCTCCCGATTGCATCTCATACCTCAATACCAAGCTGCCTAACATCCAACACGACTTGCAACCGAATCTTGTCATCATCACTCATAACTCCTGAATCCTCAACAGATTCTTTGCCAGGAGCGACTCGACGCAACCTCTTTAGACTCTCTGATATCTTTTTCTGAGAGTCTAGCATTTCAACACATATAGATGTGAATCTACGACAAACCGGATGTCAGAAACTTGCGAACCAAAAAAGGGACATACCCATGCTCGTACTTGGAAACAATATCATCCAATATCGCATTCGTCCATTCGGCAGGTAAGCCAGCTGATCCAAACATGTCTTTACATGTTGCAGCAAAGTTCGATAAGGGCTTCAAGACTGATGAAGTGTAGTAAGAGGCTCGGGTTGGCGGCTGTGACGAAAAAAAAACGTGAGACGAAATTTCTTTGACTGAATCACCTTGTTTGTAAATCAGACATTACCTCCTTATTCGTTCTACGGTACTGTCCGGGTATATTGAATATATCACCACGCAACGACTCGACACATTTCTTGGACAAGATTTCGACGATACGTCCAGTTGCATCAGACCGTATGTCTGCTAATGGCTCAATGCTTGCTTCCAATGTGCCTGAAAAAAGCAAGTTGTCATCATGACATGATCTTGACTTGAAGCGTCATGGGATCTTACGTTCAAGAGAGTCAAATGTCACGTCTCCTTGTGTCAGTTTCGGAGCAATTCTTTCACGTCCCACTCTCAGTATCTAATAGAAGGAAGTTTTGTCAAGGGCGACAGCACCAAAAAAAGGTCACCGTAAATGCGCCTGAATACCTGTTCTCCAGCCATCACACAATCACGGTACAATCCACCCAGCCGCTTCAATACAACTTCATCTGATACTTCAGCTTTTGTAGATTGAGCGGATGGTGTATCAATAGAGCTCCGCTAAAAAAAGATCGCAAAGTTGAATCAATACCATTCCTCTCGATTTCCCGCTAGACAAGTTCTTAACATACCACGCCATCTTTACTCGGAACAGGTGGTGCAGCCTCGTTCTGAACTTCAGCCAGTATGGACTTCATAAAGAGTATGTACCTCCCAACCAACTAAAAAAATACTGATCATTTAAGAGTGCACAGATAAAAGATATCCAAATCACACTGCCACTAACCTGCAAAGTCAATCTCCAAAACCGGAAAGAGACAGCCCATAAGAATACAGAATCATTATAGCAAGAACTGACTGATTCCAGCATCATGTGTGAAGGAGCTAGAACAAAAGGAGCAAACGTCGAAGAAGTGTCTAGTTTTAGATTAGCATGAAACCATTCGAATGATGTGGTTGAATATTCGAGTTTTCCATATATCTCTTTCGCTCTGTTTTAATGGGAAAACGTTATGAAACCTCTGAAGACAAGCTCAACAAAAACCACATCACAGAAGTTCCTAAGTACCTCAGTTGGTAGTAAACCGGTAACTGCCATCTCTTCATAAAGTCGATATAAGTAGGATGAAGCCTGAGTAGTGAGAGAGTCTTTCTCGATTTACAGATTGACTCGAATCTAGTTACGAAATCCATGGCAAGCAAGTAGTTCTAAATAAAAGAGAAGACGTATGCTTCAATCATCAAAAACCCATTCCCAAAACCACCGACATCTATCTTATACTCACTTTTTGGAAGACATCGGGTAACCCAACAGCAAACACCCCACTCATCTTTTCCGTTATGCCCGCAATACACGTTGCCCATACCGAATCCACCAACATGTCATGCTGCGTTCCTTTAAACACGTGTGAGGAGAGATCTAGTACTGGCGTACAGTCTTGTTTTGCAAATGCAATGATTTGGTTGTATATTATAGATGGTGTTTGGTTCTTGTTTGATGAATTGGATGATGGCAAGGACGGCATGGCTTGAGGATTGAATTCGGAGCTTGTATGGGTTTTCATGAGCTGTGGGGAAATAGAAATATTGACTCTGTTTGGCAAAAAACTTCAGCCTGATAGACTTCACATACCTTTCGACTGAACGGAGACACGACAGCTTCATTAAACACTTCTTCAGCATCTTTTATCTTGTCTATCAAGACATATGTCCGTAGATACTGAGCCAAAGTCGTAGCAGCCACGTTATCAGTTGGTCTTGATATGACTTTTAGGTATGCAGCTTTTAAAGCTTTCGACAGATTGGACGTTAAAGTGTCTTTGATTCTTGCGATTCTCTTTAAGCGGGAGATACGAATTCAGCCAGAGGTAGACCGACGATATTAGGAGAAAGCTTACCCATTCAATATTCGACACATATGGCAGATTCGAACCTCTCGTGACGAAGAACTGTAGCTGATTGAACTCTATGGCCACACGCTCAATCAGTTTGCCATCGTCGTTGGCCAGCCTGGTTGGAAACGATGGTGTTAGGCCCAGTAGAGGAGAAGGTTGCCAGTTTTTTTGGCATTCTTTTTGCACTTACACATCAGCACCATTCTCTCCAGAAGGAGGCGTATAGGATGCGTCTTGATTCGATATTCCAAGCAGTTCTTCAACTTTACTAACTGATTCATGGATACTCAGTAACAAGTGCAGAATTGCCTGATGAGAGAATGGTAAATTACACGTGTCCCGTAACAAGCAGCAGCCTCACCAATGTACACACCTTCTTTTCACGTATATGAGCTCTAGTTCTGAGCTGAGCCTCTAATTGATCTACAACACGTTGCAGTGAAGATCTCACCCACTAGAATCAAAACATCGATTGTGAGCTGCTATGCAGGAAACAACACATTGCTCCACAGAATGGTAACGAACCGTGACTTGATTCTGCATAGCTTCTAATGGCCGCCCAATATCTTTAATAATAGCATCGACTCCCGTCAGATTCTAACAACAAAATGGTCAAAACACATTTCCTGATGTCTGGCTCAGAAAGTACAAGTTCAAAATGACATACACTGGACAAGCTAATGAAATCTGCATAATCCCGATTAATAAGCTCGACCAGTTCGTGTTTCAAGTCCTTCACTGATGTATTCAGTTCCGTCTTCAACACTTCCAATTGCAAATGGCGATGATCTTCCAGGAAGGTAGAAGCAGCGAAATTCGATGAAAGGAACTCATCCCTACTATATGAAACTACTGAAGACTGCAGACCTAGAGACTTGTCTTGCAGCATCGGATCCGAAATGTTTCGAAAGGCTGATTTGTTGTTTGACTTTACGAAAATCGCAGCACGGAAAACCGTTGGGTAAGGGTTGATCGAAGACAGAATATTGTTGTTGTTATCATTAAGTTACGTAGGGCGTTCAATCCTTTATGCAATTTTAAGCACGTGGTAAAATATATACAATGAACGTGCGATATTAGTGTAATTTCGGGACAGTTTGTTGTTTCTTGCACCTGGCATTGGACTTTACAGCGTCCTCCCCGGTGCCGGGTTCAGTCTGCTACTACCACTTTCCCCTTCCCTTGTGTGCGCAACGCGTCCATGAACAAGTCAACTAGAACACGACCTTAAATTGCCACATAACGGGGATCTAGAGGAGCCGGTGGACGTTCCCGGGCTGTAACCGTCACGTCAAGCTAGATATGAATGAGCGAAGATACTGTTGGTGGGGATGTGATGGCCACATGGTAGGAGGTCTTGAACTTCCCTGCATCCAACAGCATCTAGTCTTGAATGCGACACTCTGGGAGGCTGTAGAATGCGCTCGAGATAGCAGTACAGGAGCTCGAGAGAAGTTTGCTTTCCTAGACTATGTAGAGGAATGGCAGACGCAAAAACAAAAAGTGACGATTTCACCACGAGGAGACTACCCTGAATGCCCTTGGAATGTGACTCTTCAGAGCGTCCTGCTTCTCCCGACGTCATTCCAACCTTGGAGTCCTCGCTCTCTATGTGCGAACGAGCTTTTGGATTTTACAGGTTGAGTGAGACCAAATCCGTCATGAGCAGCCCAACCAACAGCCCAAAGAGAGTATCCAAGGACTCAGACTCAGACGAGGCTGATGCGTGTGAGGCACCATCGTCCCATTGACTCGACACGTGACGCGCAGTGGTCAACTTGCTTCAGCTTTGATCAGCACGGCTATGCAAATGATTAGAGATTGCCAAAATCAAGACATCACAGCTGAACAACTCTGGAGCCACTTTTCATCTCGCCTTTTCACGCGCATTCGGTCAGCAAAACACCTCATCATCAACTCTGCAGCACACTGGCAAGGACTGATTCTTGTGACCAGTGGATCTTTCTTTGAAGTGGTCCATAGACCTAACAAGCTTCACATAATCGCGCTTTATCACGTCGAAAGACGTGTATTACTACGTTTAAATGCTAAATTTATAACATCATATCTGTATTTCGTATACTTTAAATCTGTCCCACGGTTTCTCCTGATGGAGTTATCCAGCGGTTATAATAAAACTGTTGGGAAAATTCATCATTCACAGCAGTCAGCAGTCAACGTCCCTGAAAGGTGTTTTGATCGTGAATGCCTTCTAATTTCGATATGGGACATGAGGCAATATCGTGACAAATATTTGGTAAAGCGCGATGAACCTCCCAGCCCAACATATACCTATCAAGTCTGTTTCTCCGCCAGCGTTGGTTGTCAAGGAAGCAACGTAAATTTATCGTGTCGAGCCGTTGCAATTCAGACTGGTTTGGCCTATCTAGCTATGTATCGAGTTATTTGGACGGCATTAGTACTTAAGAACTGTGTCGCTTTCGTTGGATCTACTCTGGCTACACTTCAACACCATTGAACGTAAGAAAGATCTGCATTTTGGCAAACCACCTTGGCAAGCAGCACCACTTAGTCCCGCCAATATGCGTATTACCAAGATACAAACTTGTACACTATGTTCTACTCCAATACATATAATACATCCAAACCGTTCTCAAAAAGCACGATCCCGATCGGTAGACAACTCATCCTCAGAGTCCATAGCAGGTCGATTATTGATAACCCGCGGCACCTTCTTTGGTAACGGGACTGGTGCATCATCATCAATACCAGCTGGCCGAGAGTCTTCACTAGTATTGAATTGTGACAGGATTTGAACTATTTCAGAGAATGATGGACGATCTGCTGGGAGATCTGTCCAACATTGTTGTATCAATTCAGACTAGTGTTCGAATGAGGATTAGCTTAGCAGGTCTCATGGGCAGTATGTCAAGCAATGTGCAACAATATCAACGGAGTTTACCAGTTCAGTCGGCACATATTCGGGCAGAGCTGGTCTTGCACCCTCCAACAAAACCTAAACCAAAAGGAAGCCAAAGGTCAGCCGGTCTTGCCAAAAGCTGTCTCTGTTTGTCCTGTGAGAGTCGTACGCTTCCCTACCTTTATACCAATGTGCATGGGATTCATTCCTTCATAGGGTGGTGTTCTCGTCACAATCTCAAACAGCAGAATCCCATATGAGTACACATCAGCAGCAGCATAATCGATATTCGGATCTGTTATATTCCGTAACAGTTCCGGAGCAATTGATTCCGGGTGAAACAATTGTTGTTGATTCTTGTTTCGTGATAGTAGCGGTGAGTCATTGTATCCATACTCAGAAACTTTGACTGTATAGTCTGACATGACCTAAATTGAAGCGAGGTGTTCACGAGTTTGTCCTCTGTATTATTGTGGTCCTAAACTTCTTTAAAGCAACCTCCTCCAAATCACGTACCAAGACATTGCTAGATTTCAGGTTGAGATGATGCACAGACGGTGTCTGAGAATGTAGATACGCCATACCATTAGCAACAGATTTAGCAATCTTCATGGCAAAGTCTTGATCCATTTCTTGATTTGGATTGTGTAGAAACTCTTTTAAAGTTCCTTTGTCGGCCCATTCAATCAGAGTCGTTACATATGGAGGTGTGGCACATGCAGCTCGTATAGCAGCAATGTTTGGGTGTTGCAGTTTCCTGAGATATCATAATAAGTGTCAGGGTTCATGTTGTTTGGGCATTGACACATAGTTACATACCGTATAGCAGAGATTTCAGTCCTTATGGCTTTGATCTCGTCATCAGCCATCTGCTGATCCAACAGTCTCTTGATTGCCACGGTATAGTTCGTCCATTGACCCTTGTGGACTTCAGCGTATTGAGTCTTGCCCCGTGGTTCGAGAAACAGCACGGCATTCGTAGACGGTATTTCCCAGCCAACAGCAGCTGGACAGTTGGAGAGTGTGTGAGAACTTGCACTTGTATATATTAGTTCCGGCTAGGGAACACATTCAATATACCTTTGACCATAAATCGTGCCTTGTTTTCTTCCATGACATGAGTTGTCGAGCGAGCTTTAGCTTCGACCACTGTATCTTCCACAGCGACAGCAAGCTCTATAAGTAGTGTAGGTGTCAGAACAACCAGTGCACAAAATGCCACACGTGGCATACCTCCCAGTTTGAGCGCTATAGATTCACTAGTTAACTGTAACGGTGTCTTGCCATGTTTGTTCTTGACTCGCACGAGGGCTCCGCAACTTTGCAAATGGAGTGCAACTTCTAGATTCCTCCAAAAGCAGGCGTAATGGAGAGCAGTGTTTCCGTGGTCGTTCGCTATGTTCACTGACAAAAAGTGGCATGTTAGAATGTGCGCCGGAAACAGCAATTAGCGACTGTTCCGACTACCATCAGCACGTTTCGTAGTCAACTAGGGTTATAATGTTGGTTAGATCAACACGTTCCACCAATAAGAGTGCTACAACATACTAGTTTGATGATTGACGTTTGAGATGTTTGGGTAGCTAGGATCAGTGGTGTGTCTCCAGCAACAGTCTGAGCGTTGATCTCACATCCTGCTTGGAGTGCCCATTCCAGAATGTTGCTGTGGCCTACCATACGCAAAGAGTACAAGTTCGATTTGACATTCCACGAGTTCTTCTCAAACAGTTCCAGATTACCATATTTCGAGGCCAAATGAACCACCGTTTGATCATGTAAATCCCTGTTCAACGAAAATGTTTTTGATGTTAGGACAAAACGTTGACACCACGACGAATGATCCAGCTTCACTTTGTATGTATTCCTTCTTCTAGAGCATCAGATTCAGGATCAATCAGCACTTCTTTGGCTTGTGCCAAGTCTCCAGATTTGGCTGCTTGATGTAGAAGTCCCATCTATATTCAAGACGAGGGAATGGAGAGAAACAGCGATGACAATAGCAGATTACACTTACATTGTGAATGGATCTAACAATGCCAAATCGTTCTTGTTCGTTCCGTAACTGCGTACTTGTAACGTCAATCAAGACTATGTCGTGACGAGGGCAGCGACGAACTTCAGTGAGACGAAGCCGAACGTGTTGAAAAAGTTTCCAAGGAAGATTAAAGGAGAGAGATTCTGGTCTTTCGGCTTTGGACTTCAATCATCATTTGAAAGTGATTTATCCACGCGTAGAAGTACTTCACCGGGCTGGGTATTGAATCGGCTCAAAAAGATGTAAAACATTCCCGACGTCGCGCTTTGGACGCGTTTCTTTCACATTTTCAATCATTTCTACATTTCTATAAGCAACACGCGTCAAAGGATCACTCTTGTCAAGTGCAAGTGACAGGTTACAGGCTTTCTGCTGACCTTCAAGAATCAAAGGAATTTGACGCGAGCGACTGACACATCATCGCATTGATAGTTTGAGATAGATCAGCGAGCAAAGACATGCCAACCAGGAGTAAGAAAGAGTAAGCAGTACTCCCTGTTATCCATTCTGCTTTTGAACGGTTCTAACTTGATATTAATTCGCACTTCTTTCAATTAGAGTTGCTGCTCCAGCAGCCAAATCGAAACAGGCAAGCACTTCCCAGAACAAGATCAAGGCTCCAGAGCCACCAAAGCCTTCCCTCATGTATGTCTTCCAGAACCGAACAGATCGTTTTCCATTCACATCAAATCTTGATCATTGTGAAGGGGACCGACGATTACACCCACACAACACACGCGCCAACTCACCCTGCACTGTTTTCGTTCATGTACTTAAAGGAATGCATTGGCGCCTAGCATGGACGAGGATTATGATTCAGAGGACGACGAGGACTATACTCCTCCTGATGGTGCACCTGATGATGACATGTCAGAAGATGATGAAGACGAGGATGGTGAGTACGTGTAGTATGTCTATTTGTGATCACAGCAGTTCGCATGTGGCTCTCGTGCCCTTCTCGCAAACATTATAACCAACTGCCACTTTAATACATGTTTCAGATGACGAACAAGGATCACATAAAACGAGTGATTCTGGGAGTGGTACAGCTGTCAAGAAGGAAAAGGGACACATCAAAGATGAAGAAGATAATGACGATGATGTAGATATGACGGATGCAGGAGATACACCAAGGGTATGTACGAAGCTACGGCCTTCCGTTTTTTCCGCCTCTCATCCAACCTCTGCTCTACCGTTTTAGCATCAGTTACTGGCTTCTTTGGCATCAGATGGTCCATTGAAGGGCATGAATCTTGGATTTCCTGTATTTTCACAAGAATTCATTGAATATTACGACAGTAAGGTCGCTACAGTCCGTCATCTGTAGCATCATTTTGCTCATTCATCTTTTTTTATTCAGAGAGGAAAAACATGCTAGAAACAGCGCAAAAACAGCTAGACGCACTACTCCCCAATGTCCAGAAACTCTCAACCAAAGCAACAACTCTAAAAGCACAAGTGACGAAACGTAAACGAGAAGTACGAGAACGTAAAGAGGAAGCTGACAGATTACGTGCTCGATTAATTGGAGGCAGGCGAGCTATAGCTTTGATGTTTAGTAAAGTCGCAGCTAGTGGGGGTGCTCCAGGCACAACGTCATCAGCATCCACAGCATCCATAACACCAACACTACCAGCGTCCTCAGTAACAACAGCCTCGACACAAACAAGGAGTAAATCGATACCATCAAGTCCCCTGCTCTCATCATTACAACCACTACCACAATCACAACCACGACAAACAGCTAAAGGACGAACCGCTCGTAACGCTGCAGTCGCAGCCTCAGCGGCCAACACCATATTGATATCCCCAAATAGTGCAGCTGCTAAACTAGCAAAACTCCAGAACAGTGCTCCACCGTCACCAACAAAGGCAGATAAAGTAGACAATAGCAATACACTACGGGCATCTCGTGTAGATGCGTTTTTGAAGGATTTTGCTTCTCGGGTTGCTTCAAAGGGTGGTTGACATCTTTGGACATAGTTTCCGACTAGGGACATTTTTGTCGTATACCACGAATCCCAAATTCTCTCTCCTTGAATAAGTTATACTCTGTTCATGAGGTATATATATAATCGCACGAGAACTAGCATGCATGATGTAAACACTATATGTAAAAATGAATCGCACACATACACGCACATCACGACTTTGACTATATCATTATCTTAGTTTCTCACTTTTCAATTACTTTGTTTCGGCATCGTCATTCTCGTATACGTGTTTCTGCACACAGGACACGAAGGAGCACAACCTTCACTACCAAATCGCTCAAACGACTGAAGGCACGATTCGTGGAAGACATGCCCACAATTCGTTATACATGCTGCCTTTTTCGATGTAAAGCATGACAGACAGATTGGACAATTTGATTGGAGGAGCTTTCGTTCCTCGGATTTTTTAATGATTTGAGTCCATGTTTGTGATGATGTTGTCGGTAGGACTATGTCTTGTGATGCGTGAAAACCCGACGGTGGTGGTGTCGTTATGAGCTGGATTGTTGAACTAGAGCCAAAACAGAGCTTAGTTAAATACAATCCTATTGCACTTGAAATACAAATTCTCCTCTCCACATACCTCGAAATAACTCGTCTAGAGGCATCAACCGCACAATCAACATCCCTCAAAAAGCCATCTAGCAAATCAACTCCAGAATCATCAATCTTTAGTTTCTTGACTGCTTCCGACAGTTTGTCCACAAAGTATTTCTTTTTCATGTATGTCGTTTTTGGTATACATGTGGCGCGTATGTGGAGGTAGTGCTTGTGTGCGCGATGCATTCGGTATGTTGCTTGGATTCTATGCTTGTGAAAGTTGAGTGAGTTATAACGTCGGCCAAAATACGGAATGAGAGAGAGGTAGCATGCACTTACTTAGCAGCACAGAAGCCAACATATCGTATCCTCCCAGTATTCACTAATCGCTTCTCATAGTGTTCTGAGCGACATAATGGACAATTGCGACGTCCAACGTGGTGTTCATATGACTCGAGACATCTGCGATGGAATGTATGTGCACATGAAAGTAAGACCTGCCACATATAAAAAAATCAGAAAGAGTGATAATGTGTAACTGAAGCTTGAAAACTCAACAAACTCAACACTTCACCTGATCTGACAATCTAAAAATATCACAACAGATACTACATTCATCAGTACCAGCCGAATCTCTTGATTTAATACCGGCCCATTCAGATTCAGACAGTCGGGAAGGTGTATGCCTTGTTACAAGATTCATCTTTTCAGCTACGATTGAAGAAATGAGGCCCAGAAAAAAAAACCGCTTTAAGACGTCGCAACAAGGTCAGTATACCTAACGTCAACGGCTCCTCACTAAATTCCAACGACCTGTCTTTCCCACTCAACAGCGTATCCACATAGTACCGTTTCTTGTTCTTGGTTGACGGTTGAAGCAAACTTGCTCTCTCACTCCTCCATTTCTCACGTTGCTTGGCATGAGCGTTGGACTGAAGTGCTCCTGGCTTGCGGATCAAGTGATCTTGAAGGGCTGTTGATGCCCATACGAGGTTTTGCTTTTTGTTCATGTTTGCGTCGGTTGATGGAAATATCTCCGAGTTGAAGATAGTGGAGAGAGAAAGTGGAGAGTGGTGGATTGAGAACATTCATCTATAAAATGAGTTCTTCTGGGCATCGTTGGAACATATTGGAACATAAGCAGTCGTCTCCTGAAGTGAACTTCAATGTTTGTATGCAAAGAACATAAAAGCTTGAGACAACATACGAGGAAAGACAACATACAAGTGATCTGATCTGGTATAAGCATATAATAAAAACAAACTATTACTACGTGATGAAATTACAAAAGCGATGTGACAGAAATTAAGCATCTACGACCTCAATAAAAGATTCCAAGGCCATCCATGTCTTATACCAACAATGACCAATCCGATTATTAATGCAAACAGTATGAGTCTCAAGAGAATCTTTCGTCCGACACCACCAACCTCATTCGTGAGTCTCATGTTTTGTCGAAAGACGTATGTTGCCTATAGTAGTGGTTTTAGTCAGCGGATTCATGTTATCAAGTGCAAAAAAACAGGATTGGATACACTCGTCACATCTTCCTTGTGCAGAAGGCTCACAACCGATTGCAACATTCACCTCATCAACAAGCTCATCATCAACAGAATCCGGCAAATCCAATTTATCAAATTCTGCCTTCCACTCCAGCCGTCTCTTTTTCAACTCAATCGGATTACGTCCACGAAAATCAAACATCGCGATCCCCCGATTCCCATCATTGCCAAACAGTGTGAAAGCCTTCACAACCTTCCTCCTCACAATCTGTCCGCCAGACAGTAAAGCCAGGTACATGGTGAATGCGTACGATAGTAGCCTGATAGGATTTCTACGACTAATGTCCTGTATGTGATCACGATATGATATTGCTGATTTCGAGAGAGGTGTGGACTTCCAGTCCTTGGTATAGTAAGCCAAGTCCTTCTCTATAGAGTTTGTACGTAGCAGGTCTTCAGAATATATGTTCTTGAGACTCGCTTGGATGTATGGCTGTTTGGTACAGATACAGTTATCGATTGGTCGATGCCGCAGATGTGATGCCCATTCGGATTCGAACGTTGAGAAGAGACAGTGGAGTTCACGTAAGAGCGAGGAATATATCTTCCCATCGCTTAGAATGAATATCTATTAATGGATATGTGTGAGAATCGTCAACAAAGTTTGAAGAAAGTTGCAAACCCGTTTTGAATCGACTTTTAACGGTTACCAGTTTGATTGTAGAAGTCACTGCTGTGATATCGTGGATCCCACGTGTCGCTTTATTGATCTTTTCCGATCGCAGCATCTTTGGTTCGCTAAGTATGTGAAAACGTGAATACATGAGTCAGTGGAAGAAAGCGCCGAATGCGCATGATTAGTTTCCTGTTTCAAAGAGCGTTTTTATATGAATATAGCTTACAAGTGCAGATAAAAATGAGTTCTACGTGTCGTTTTACTACAACATGTAGGCTGCTACTGCCATCAAGGCAAACACACCAAGCATCTGTGGTTTGACCATATAACTACCACTGCCAATGGACGGAGTACCAATAAAGTACTTGTTTTGAGTCGATGTACATGTTTGGAGTGGATATGTCATGTTACCGTTACTCGTCACATTCCCTTGGCACTGAAGGTTCGAGTATTGGGCGATTGATACTGTGTTGTTGATTCCAGCTTTAATGGTCTCTGCACCCACCAAAGTGCCTACAGTGCTATCCCAAGTGAATGTGCATGTGCCGTCTCCTATGAGGTATACGACTGTAGATATGTTTGCCTGATAAAGGTGGTAAGGTTTCTGTTAGTTCCGGCGTAAGGTTTCTTGAGATTCTGTTAGGAGCATATCCAGGATCATATGTGCATAGACTTACACATTTGGCATCAAGGTAAGTAACGGTAGAGAATACGGTTGTCTTGAATTGCGATGCGGCGTAAGTAGTAAGATCACTTTGGCAACTCCTTGTTCCATATACTCCAGAACTGACACCGGTACAGTTCGATACCGTGCAGTTGCTTGATGATGCTTCTCCAGATACATAGAATGGCGAGCCTCCGCAAGTCGAGTTGGTATATAGTGAAAACATTGTGAAATCTGCTGATGATGGAGAAGAGAATATGACCAACGAGCATAGGAGGAAGCCAAAAAAAGTGTGTAGTGACATTGCCTAGATAGGAATCGGGTTAGAACTGGTGCACAATTGCTGTATTGGATGTGAAAGTCGACCAATTGGATTGAAACACCGATTGTGACTGCTGGGCAAGGAGATTTTACTTACGAGAGGAGTATCAATAGTCAAGTATGATTGTCTGAGAAGCGGTATGATGTGTCTCGTATAGCTGATGGCTCGTTTGACTTTAACCGACTGTTATTTGCTCTGTTGGTTGCTGTTTGTGGGCGCAACAAAAGCAAGCTTGAAAACAGGATACTTCAGACATTTTTCGTGTAGTTGGACGCGTTTCGTCAATAGCCTATCACATAGTATGTTAAAGTCCTTTAGCGTGCATAACCTGGGGCCTGACAGCAGTCTTGAGTCGGCAAGAGCTTGTTGGATTTTGAGTTTGAGTGTCTTTGTAGCTAAATGACTGCCAGTGACGACAACAAAAACGTGCCAAGCAGAAGAATGGCATGGCGGTGTCGAGAACAGGTGCTATGAGTGAGCTGTCAGGCTGCGAATTGCGGGCCTTTACATGGATGCTTCATGGATTTTCGCCCTAGAACAGGACAGCAAGTCATCCGGTATGTGATGGAGTAGTTTTACCTGTTCCAAATCATTCTGCACTCATGCCCATCATTCTACTTCGCTTTGCTTTGTCGCCATTTCTCCCTCTTGCAAACTTGGAATTCGAGATCACAGTATTTGTCAATGGTTCCAACGTTTTTATTCGCAACCATACTTATATCGAGCGTTATGTAGAAATCAGCTTCTGAATCCTTCGTTTGATAGTACTTCGTACTTCAATCCACACAATCAGGACATATTTGGCCTTAGTGTTTTCGTGACTTTCAGGTCGAATCCGACAGTTCCGGCTAATGGCCGTGTTCGTCTGTTGTAGCAGGTGAGGAATGAAGGCAACGAGGCACTGTATCGACGAAACGTGTCAGATTCCAGACCAACAGGTAACACGAAAGGAACCAATTGGGGTTTGCAAGCCAAGATTAGTGTGGTAGGATGCCAATGAATTGTCTGTGCCTAATCAAGCATCCTCGGACCTTCGTACATAGTGGTACTTGCCGTAAGCAAAGGCTAGATAATCTGTCAGGTATGATCTGTAACTTGACTCGTCAAGTGGGAACGACGTGGAGCTCAAACTGTTGTGTCTTATAGAGCTCTTTTATGTCCTAAATTGCATAGCATGATGTATATTTTTCCATGGCTTGCAGGCACAAGGAATATAACGCAAGATTCTTCACGAAGAACAGAAACCCGAACGAATCGGTTTGTTTGCCATGTGTTGTTCTTGGTGAGGCAAGCCAGATTCGAGGGAGGTAGAACATTGTTCTCCAGCTGTCCCAGACTCATCTGATGTAAGGAAATGTAAGCGCATGTAGCCACACTAGTGGCTATTGAAGACGACGGGCATCAACTTCACAAGTGTTGGGTATAATTCAGTTTATGAAATAGAAATTTACATTTTTTGATTTGCACACTTGTTTCATTCAAAAGGAGCAAAGAATCATCACACAGAAACCACACCATCAATCGTATATACATTTTACATGGCAGTAACGAGCATTATGACACCAACACAGATGATTGATGCACCACTGAAACCAGCTCGAGAAGCAGAGTTTGCTCTATGCGAGGAAGGGCACCAGTACCAGTAGATTGGGGTACCGTGGCAGGTACCTGGGTATGTGAAAGCACCGTTGGAAGCAGCCGTAATGGTTCCACCTAGCCCTTTGCTAGGAAGTGTTGCAGGTACTGGACCAACACCACCACCCGAAGGAGGACTGTGACGTCCAGTAGCAGCACTGATTGGAGGTGGGCTTCGAAATGGTCTATAAACAAATCTTACTGAAAATGCTGACATTGTAACTTTTCAATTGGGTCAAGCTCTGCTTCAACGGTTTCTCAGATCAAACTGTATCCAAGACTTACTGCAATACATAATTTATTAGACAATCTACAAATTATAGGACTACGCTGATTGTTACTGATTATTTAAATGATGGTGTTGTTGAAGTACATTAGCTACACCTACGGCGGTACATACTATTTAAAGCAAGACAGCCGATAAAGCTATCAGCAAAGCAGAGAAAGCCATTCCACCTATAGTCGATACCACATGGTGACCGTCAGATTTTGCTGTACTACTTCCGGTGGTTGTTGACGTCGTTCCATTTGAAGCAGCAGTTGTAGCATTACTTCCAGACGATGCCGATCCAGCATCGAAGAGTGCCACCTTTTCAGCAAAAGGACCCGCAGTAACACAAGTATTTAAAGTGTTTTGTGCAAATCCTGACGATGAAGTAGCAGCACCATTACAATTTGCATTATTCCAGTTTTGCACCAAGACAGAACCATTAGACGCGACGGATACAGATGTTGAAGATTGAGCTTGTCCTATAAATCCATTTGTAAATCTTGATTAGTGTGCTTCAACTTGGACAACATTCTAAATTGTATTTGTGAAGAAAACGTACCAAGGATACATGACCCATCAGCCAAATAGTACGAAGCAGTAGTAGTATTTCCACAATTGGCATCCGAATAGGTCAGAATTCCAAAATACTGAGCTTTAAAGTGTGATGAAGCATACGATTCGATGGCAGTAGTACACTCCTGAGAAACATAGAAGCCAGTTCCTGGAGCTCCTACACATGCTTGACTAGTTACATTCAGGCAGCCTGCTTGACCAACCATATACTGGATATTGCTACATGTGGAAGAACCATAGAAACTGTCTACTTGATAGGAGACTGCAGATGCACTAGCAGTTACAGCAGCCAAGACGAATAACTGTTTGCTCATTTTCAGTTTACTGGGCTTTAATTTTGCTGCTGGTGCTGAGATGGAGCCTGATCTGTTTATTTGAAAGGAACCGTTACTCTCTTCTTAGATTGCTGGGATGTCTTGAAAATAGCACGTAACAACCAATCAGATCCGGAAAAGAGGGCAAGCGTATCAAAATCAGAGTTATCAAATGCTTTGTGAGCATTCTCACTATTGTTGATTTGGCTGCTGTTGAGAATTTCGTGTCTGCGTCCAAGTCAAGAAAATACGAAAACTAGATTGTTCACCAGCAGAAGACTTACGACTTTGCTTGTGACCACAGCGGGCAATGCGATTGACCTAATAAATACGTTGTTGCTGCAATGAATAATGCCCTCGACTTTTCAATCTCTAAGAAGTTAGCGGATGCTTTGAGTTTCAATCGAGTTCGACGCTCCAATGATTATAACTACTGACTTTGTACTAAGAGGCAGTGGTATTACGGGCCAAACTAATTACATCCAAATAACTACAGACTTTGCTTTAAAAGCTCAACAAGCATGCACCAAGAGCAGACACAACCATTCCTAAGAACACAGATCCGGAGAGAAGACCAGCTCCAGAATTGTACAGCACCACCTTTTCAGAGAACGAGCTTGTTCCGACACAAGAGCTCAAGTCCTTTGTCGAATATCCATACGAGGCCGTAAAAGCTCCCGAGCAATTTGCGTTATTCCAATTCTGCATTATAATTGTTCCATTCTTAAACACTGTGACAGAGCTTGAAGTTTGTGCTGATGAGTTAGAGACCGATGCTATTGCCAAAATTTGAGGGCAAACGTGTTGGTTTTCCAATGACTCAAATTCAACAAAAGCATCCCAATAGAACCACCAAGTAAACTTACTAGAAAGACACGTCCCATCAGCAGAGTAATACATTGCCATAGTCAAATTACTGCATACGCCATCCGCAAACATTTGAACTCCAACATAAGCCCCTGAGAATTTTGTCGATACGTACGAAGGCACATCGGTAGAGCAGTCTTGACTGAGAGCATAGGGAGATATAGTCGTACAGCTCGAATTTGTTGTAGTTGTGGTATTCGAGCAGCCAGGAAATCCAATTACGAAGACGGCATTCTTTGTGCACGTAGAGGCTCCAGACCCGCTGTACAATGTAGAGACTTGGAAGGTTGCTGAGGCCGATGAGACTAAAGCAGCGAGTAAAAGTGCTTTGATTTGGTTCATTGCTAGGTGGATTCTTGGTTTCAGAGTCAGTTTGGTATTGTTGTGTCCAAAGTATTCTTTGTGGGTTCGGGATTGGCTGGAAGCATTCAGTTAAGTGGAAGGTGGTCCACAAGAAGCGTCGATTCACTCCCCGGTACTACGAAAATTTAGAATTTTGCGCAGGAAGTCTCTGGTCTATACTCTTCAAGGGCAGGTTGTACATGCATCAATCTCGTTGACTCAAACACGACAGTCAAAAGTATTTCACGATTTTCACCGTGAGAAACATATCCGATCGGTGCCTTTGCCTGTAACGTCTCCACTTTTGCGTCACTTGAACGTAGTAATTCGAACCTATCTTGTAGCAAACTCGATCTAGTTTGCAGGAAATTCAACATTTTCATGATATCTTCAAATTCGAACAAACAAAATCTTTAAAGTTTTAAATCGCATTCGTCAAAAATCAAAGCACGTACTGTCGTTCATACCGAATTTTATACAAGTCATATTCTACAAAAAGCAAGACTACATCCTGTTTACACTTCCCAGTTCAAAGCCTTTACAAACTCATCCTCAGTAAACGCAAGAGCTCTAGCAGCCTCAACATGAAGCCTCTGGCGTTTAAGCACCTCAATCAGCTGATTCTGCTTTTTGAAAGCAGACAGTAATTCAGTCTTCTGTTTCTCTAGCCGTCTCACATCTGCTAACAGCCGTTCAGATGTTTGCTTCGATGCTTCCATCTTGTCCTGTAAAGCAAAGACATGATAAGACTGGTCAACAGACATAAGCGACGCTTTGAGAATCTGGCCCCTTACTCGAGATTCAGAACTAGTCTTGGCCATGGCAGCCTTGTACCTCTCGACTTCTTCCATGGCTCTATTGAGACGAGCTTCTCGAGTGTTTACGTCTGATTCAGATTGTTTGGCTGTCTTGTTTACGCCATCCAAATCCTAGCGTTCCAGAAGTGTCGTTAGAATGGGACACTTATAAACCTCAAATGACCATTCACATACCTTCTTCATGGAAGCTATTTCGGTTTCTAGACTCTGATTCCTACGTCTAACCTCGTCATTCTGCTTTTGAGCTTTCGACAGAGACGTCTACGACCAATGCAAAAAACCATTAGAGTCCATGCTATTCACGGCAAGTAGATCCATTTGCCTCACATTCAGTGACTGGAATGACCTGTTAAGCTTAGCCTTTTCCTCTTCTAGCAACTTGATCTTCTCTTCTAAAAGAGCAACTGCTGCGACCTGTTGGCAAGATGTCAGATTCCGCATGGTTTACCTCTGTTCAACAAGTTCACCTTTCCATTTTGCTCAAGCGTCATACGATCCAAATCTTCTTGGAGCAGTTTGACCTTGGCTTTTAAGAATCGTGCAGCAGATTCTACCATCAAGAAGGAATTAGCATTCGTTTCCTTCAAAGTCTTGCAGACATGTTTATGACTCGAAATACCTGGAACATCATCTTCAGGATTCACCCGTGCTAGGGTTGAAGCACGTTCATCCACTGAAGGTCGTCCAGATGCAGTGGCTGTTGTTGGTGCCTTTGGTGGTTTGACGGTTCCTCTATTAATACTCAATCAATTAGGAGGAACAACGACAAACACTCGGATGGATCCACACTTGTCAGAGTCCTGACGAGTCAAGACAGCTTTCGAAGGCTCCTATAAAACCTTGGCAGTTAGAGCAGAGCTGCCAACCAACATTTGCATCTATTGAGCGCGTACCGTTTTCCCAGCAGAAGACGCTGGTCGTGTTGAAGGTTTGCTTGGAGTGGCTCTACTATATCGATTGTGAGCGGTCCTTTTTAGCATAGTTGTTTGAGACCACGCACCAGAACATAAACTCACCTTGACTGGACACTTTCTAGACTCTTTTCGACAGCTGCAACAGAGTCTGCCTTTGGACCATGTAATGAGTGTCGTCCTTCTTTCTGTGAGGTTGGATGGAGAGTTTGTCAGTCAGACGAGGTAGTTGTGTAGTGGGAGAGTTGGAGTCGCCACGAAGACACATACCACAACTTGTTCAGCCTTCTTAACGACCTGAGCCGTTTTCGTCTGTAATTGCTGGTTGATGCGACTATAGAATCGTGGTTGGTTGTCGTAATCTTGTTGGCCTCGTTTTAGGCTGGTTTGATGAACTCACATGTATTCTTGCTCTCGTTTAAGCAGTTCCTTGCTTAACGATCCGAGTTTTAAATCGGCTCCTGCACTTGCTAGATATATCATGTGCTTGTTACTTTAGTGCCATCTGCTTCAAAAGTACGAAATTGTGTGATGAATGTGCTTGCCATCGCCAGCATCTAGATCATCTTGATCTTCATCGTCCTCTTGTTCCGATTCGAAGGACTCTTCATCTCCTTCAGACTAGAGAGTGATTTCAGTATGGTCGATGGATGTCGAAGACATGGCAGCATGAAATGTGATTCTTTCATACCACATATACAGCCATTCCCGTGGCCATAGTTTAATATAGTAAGGTGAGTAAGGTGAGTTGTTATAGCGCGTTCACGATTAAATAGTCTACGTGATAGATCTAGTTAGTTCTTTGCTCTTTGGTTGCGTTCTCGTCCCGATCGTTGACACTCGTCGAAAAAGTAGAAATTAAAGCCATGTCGAATAGATGACGCTTGTTGATCGAACGGTAGAACTTACAGTTTAAGAGGATGGCAGCTAACTTTTGGGAGTCCTCTCACGGGTATGCCTCTTTGCTCGTCTATATATGAAAATTGCAAAAAACAAAGAAACGAAGGAATCAAGACACATGGTTGACATGCAACATTTATTATTAGGAGACATTGGCTACTGCATCGATCTACTGTATTGCAAGCCAAACGTGAAGATTTCCTATACATTACTGACCGGGAATTGGTCAAATTGAACCTACATTACACGAATTGTACGTGCTGATGAGCTTTGCTTGAATCCATCAATGGAGATTCTTATTTGCTTCTTATTTCTCTTTGAAAAATGTAGATTTGCACAAGCTGGGCAAGAAGCTTGGTGTACGCCAGCAGGTGGTGGCTACTGCCTATGTCTACTTTAAGAGATTCTTCATCAAGTAAAGTGTCAAACATTACAGCCAGTTCAGGCATCTTGGCCTCGCTCACACGCTGTCCCTCATAGGAATGCATTCAGGAATACAGATCCGTTGCTGGTGGCAGCAACATGCATGTATCTGGCATGCAAGATTGAAGAATGTCCACATCATATCAAAAATGTTGTGGCGGAAATGAGAAATGTCGTCAATGATACCCAGATAGGTGCGGCTGTGATTCAAAGCTGCTCAGTCCTCTCTCGTTTACTCAATGGTCTCGTCTGTTTAGATGGTACCTTCCCATATGACGCTAGCACAATCGCGGAGTTTGAGTTCTACTTGATGGAGGATTTAGACTTTTACATGATTGTCTACCATCCATATCGTCCATTGACACAGTGAGTGCATGACCTACTATCACAGTGACAAAAAACGAAACATCGAGAAATGGAACTGAATTATGTCTTTGAAGGTACTTGAAACAACTCGGAATCGAGAAATCATGTCTGCAGGCAGCATGGTTTATAGTCAATGACGCATTCAAGACAGATGCAATGCTGCTATACCCACCACACATGATATCCCTCACAGCCATATTCATGTCGTGCGTCATGAATGAAGAGCACGTGAAACAGGAGAAACCTCAACTGGACGTTCGCGCCTTCTTCTCCGATTTGAATATTAATATGGAAGAGGTATAGATGTGAAGCTGATGTGTGTTTGAGGTCCTCGTGAGTCCCGAATCGTCAACAATCTTGCCGTTTACTTATAGATTGCTTGCATCACTCAGGAGATCTTAGACCTGTGGCAAGTTTGGGCAGAGTATGATGATGCTCAGATTAAACCTATATTGGACAAGTTGAGAGCTCTGGAAGCTCCTCCACCGGCAATAACCTCATCTGCACCGTAAAGTATTCAGTTATTTGTAAGTTATAGTTTCTTCAAAAGACACATACATTTACTTTTCGGAGCTTTTTTTTGCTTTGTTGGACGTTTCATTGTTTTGTATGACCGTTTGTCAAACCAGATGAGATCTGCAACTGGGCACGAGCTCTGATGTAATTGGTGAGAGTGATAGTCAATATCGACTTGAATCAGGTTAGTCGCATCACGAGCAGACAATTTGGTGGCTGAAAATGATATCGTCTAGTATTTGGAGAGTGAATCGTGTCACCCAGTGGTGCATGGACGGAGCTGACAAGGACGATAGGAGGAGAGAAATGAGAACAGACATACTTTGGATTGAGATCCACTACAGCTGACAATGCAGTAGTCACAAGTCGCATCACTCGCCGCATCATCACGATCAAAAAAATTTGTGGCCGTCTTCACAGCGGTGTGACTCAATCATTGAGCGGTTTTTTTGGTGTCAGTTGTGACAGTGGAAGGAAACTAACATGTATACCAAAAAAAGCAGTACAAGCACTACACCCCCAACAATTGACGACCTCCGGCTAGTTCCTGTGTCCTGTGTCATCCACTGAGACGCTATTCTCTTATTAGTTCTCTTGGGGCTCTAGGTTCTCCCGACATCTAAACCGCTGCAGGACAGAATGTTGAATTCAACGACGAGCCACAGCAGCAGAAGAAAGAGCATTGAAGCGATTGCACAACGAACATGCGACGCACGAAATTCCCAAGCTACTGTATACTTTCAAATCCTTGTCCAAGTCTCCAACAGAGAAACAATGATTGTGCAGTCACTATGATGAGGGATTTATTTGCTAGAGGAACATATACTAGTGTAACAACTAGTATTACTATTACTACTGAATACAACTATACTGCCATACAACTCAACTAGAGCGCCTGCTGCATCAAAGCATTATACACAGTACCATAGACAGACCGATTGAAGTCTGCCAGCTTCCTAATCCGTTCTGCCAAATCAACCACCTCGTCCTCCAACTCTCGTAAACCATGTCGACTTATAGCATCGGAATCCAATCTACCACTACTCAGATACTGTTCTAAATGGCCTCCCAGCCGCTTCTGCAACATTTCATATAGAGGTGATTTGGGAGACAAGGTCTTGTCCACCATCCCACTCAACAGACTAGATTCAGTCTCTGACAATGGTGCTGACCGGATTTTACCAGCAGCTGAAATCATTTGTAGAGACACATGAGACATTGATGTCTCAGCGTCATTCAACAAGACCCATAATTGTTGCTTTATGGATGCTAGATCTGATGCAGAGCATTTGGAGCCTGCTGCCTGTCGAAACAGTATCAGTAGCGCTCCCATTATAATGATGTCTTGCCAATCATTATAAAAAGTCACGAGACGACTTGCATCTAGAATTAGTGTTTCTGGAATCCCAATTTCAGTGAGCCGGCATGCGTTACTTATTAGATTTATAAGGGCTTGATGGAAGATTTGCTGCATGTTTGGTGACTGTTGTTGCTGTTGGTTTACGAGAGAGAACAGGTTTTCAGTAGACGAAGCGACCTCTCGGTCACTGGTTACTGTTCCTTTCTGATCCTGTTTACCGGCTGCGACTGATGTATTTACAGCAGCTCTATTTACTGCGTCCTGAATGAATGTAGACGTTTCGTCTAGTTTACGAGTGCCAGCTTCTATTTGTTCTTTAAACCACCTCCACTCGAATGCTACAGCGTTCTCTACCACGTATGGTCTAAGTCTGTGGAGTTGATGATTTGCGTAATCCTATGTAACAAGAGTGTGAGACCCATAAGTACGGAGTCCAGTTAAACCACAAAGACACGACAGGGTTTTCAACATACCAGCTTCATAAGCTCTAAAACCTCAAACACAATCCTCAGAGTACTCGCAAAATCCCCATCTTTACAAGCGACAACCATAGAGTCCACCAATCTGTCTCGTGCAGGAGCACAATTAACTCTCAACAAGTCCGCCAAATACTCGATGAGGTTCAACCCATCAAAGACACCATGCTGAATCTCTTGTGCAATCAGCGTAATATCTACAGCCCGTTCTAATTGCTCCTTCAAACCAGGAGAATATGGGAGCAGCTCGACCACAATGGCCCGGATTTCTAGCAAGAGCAACGGTATTCTCTTCCAAGATCCCAATGTCAATTCTCTTTCGACATCCGTCCAATATTCTTTTGCTCTAGCTTGCTTAGCTTGACCACGTTCGCCTTCCGTATTCGGTTTGAATTGTAGATTAGGATCAAAGTATAAGTCGTGACGGAGTTGAGCATTCGTGAGGATTTCTTCCAGGTCGAGTTCTCGTAATGTGAATCGATTTATAGGTGGCATGAGAGGACCGAATTCCTATATGAAAGCCGTATTGTCAGACTCATTGCGTATCAAAATCAAGAAAGTGCAACTACTGTTTACCGCAAGATATTCTTCCTCAGAATCGTCTAATGGAATATGAGATACGAGTCCTGCACGACGATGACTATTATTATGATGCCGTAGTTTACTTTCGATAGCTACTTCATCTCTCATGTCATCGAGAGACGAACTATACGAGAAAGGCTGCAGTGTCGATTCGGACGACAACGAGGAAGCATCGTCCACGACCAACGATGGCAGCTTATCAATGCTTTCTGACGATGAATCGAATGATGGCGGATCAACGTATTCGGGTACTAATATAGTATTATCTGTCTCCTCATCATCACATTCTTGACCAATCACTAGCCCACCTTTACTACTCTCTACTCCTGCTACCACTGCCTCATTACTATGCTCTCCATGATGATGACTTGAGCGTAAACTAGCGAGATTGACATGATGCTCCTCGATGGGTCTTGCAGTCGAAAAGGCAGGAAACGGTGATTCTATATCTGAATACTCCTCGTCGTTTTCAACAATCATGGGCATCGCCCTAGCTTGATCATCCTCTTCTTCGTCTGAAAGGTCTGCTAAATCAATCAGCATTCGATGAGGAGCATTCAGCATATCGGCGATACTATCCGTCAGGGATTTTCGTAGCGACATAAACTTTTTCAGTTTTTGCATACTAGACACCATATGGGCGTGCTCGACTACAGCCGAGCACCTTTCTACGTTCTTGCGAAGAATTAAATGGCGTTTAAGCTGAGCAGAGCTCTATTAATGTTGGTGAATGATAAGCTTTAAGTCTCTTCAGTCCACCTCATACAACACTCACTTGAGCATATTGCGCTCTAGTTTGTCGCCTGAGCGAAACAATCTTTTCTCGTTGTCTCTGTATAAGCACTTGGTATCGTATTCGTTCAAATGTCCTTTGCAGATGTGTTTTGCGATCATCAATGAGCGAGACCCGTCGACTTTCAGCACATCGTAGCCTCAATTCAATCTTCTCATGGAGCAATGGTCCGGCCAACGTATCTATAATGCACAAATTTAGTACGATTCCATTGCGAAACAAGTTCACCGTGCACGCTTGGTACCTCCAATTGAGTGGCGTCTAAAAACCATCGGCCTCATCCTTTTGGCTGGTTCGAGCTGTATATAAAAGGAAACCGAGTTCTCGTTTCTAGATATTAGGCCAGGGATCTCGTCTATGATACTAGCAACAGCGGAAGCTCTAACCAACGAAGAAAAAGATCTGCGATGCTGATGTTTGGGTGTGAAAGAGTACTGCAGGGAGGAGCTTGACAGAGTGGACGGGAGTATACAAGCTTCAGTTGATCCAGCCAGCACAATTTTGTCCTCCGCAGCAACGCCCTGTTGTGCACTTTCAACCAGTTCGACGAGATGATTGCGTGGCGGTGAGTACATGGAAGAGGAAGAGCCTTATAATATGAGATTCATTACAGCCCTGTAGCAGTTCAAAATCCAGTCCCTACGACGTCTTGTAGTCTATGAGGTGCTTGTTAATAATTTGACCGACCCTTGCGTCTTGATTGAATTTGGAGCAATTTGATGATCTTTCATTCCAATCACATGAATCCGACCTTACTAATTTGACCAATTACTATTTCAAAGGTTTTGCTTACGAGATCTACCAACGCCGAAGCGTGCTACAACAAACTAGCTATGAATCTTTACAGTTGGTGAATTTAGAAAACCATCACCTTGTGGACTGCTTTGTCTATCTTTTGTATTGAAATTGGAGCCTAGCTAGTTTACTACAACGAAAAATCATTTTATTTGTTACATACGATAAAAACGAGAAGAAATAGATCTAAGCAGTGACACGTGTTTAGCTGTAAATTGCATACTTACACGCAAAATACATACATTACCTTCTTTGGTATCTCAAGCTGTGCTCATTGCAGTCGAAAGCTCGCCATGAGTTGTGGAGAGTCTGGCTGCTTCATCCATACAGCAAACTCCTTTGATTCCATAACAGCCACTCGATTCTTGATGTTGACAATATACTTGGTAGCTACCTTGTGGAGAGAATAATCTTCCCGAGCATGTTTTGCACCGAGATTCAAGTATAGGAGTACATTTCGAGGCTCAAAGTCGACTAATACCATTTCTTGATGAACCCTGTAAAGAGAGTGCTCAAAGTCATAATAGTCGGCAGCTTTGAATAATTCGATAGGGAGGTCTAGTTCTTCCTTCTTTGATGGCATCAATTCAAAGGTGGGTTTCCCATATATGTAACCAAGGAGAGCCCTCGTACAAGAGTCTGAGTATTCGATCTTGATTCGAGGAGGTAAGCCGTCTGCCGCCACTTCACTTGCATCGCGAGCAGTATCATGGAATATGATCCGTTTGAATACTGGTGATGCGAATTTGAGGAAAACACTATGAGCTGGCACGAGTTTGGCCATACCATTCTCATCAGTGACTTCAAAGTCACAATCAGAGAGGGTTGTTGACAGCATCGCTCGTGTAGTTGTGGAGATGCGATGACATTGTCTTCAGTGTAGCAAAATTTGAGTTCTACTTTAAGACTCTGATTGCTGCTCCGACAAGGAGTCGTATATTGCATCATTGTCCAGAACTGGATGGATTTTTGTGTTAGTGCGGCAATCAAGATTGATTTCAGAGAGTAGCAAACCATAATGTTCTTCATATTCTATTATAGAGTCAGAGGGAATGTCAAGATTTGGGATGTAACAACGAAACAGGAGGCAACTAGTCAAGTCTACCTTTCTCTTAAGAAAACTTAGCCATAGAAGTAATCACTTTGAACTCTTCATCAACTGAGTACACCTTCAACGTAAATTCGATAGTCAGAGGGCGGACGTCGTCTCGGAGCGAGTGGGATACGGATACGAGTACTGTCAGAAAGTAAGGATAGCCAGTCTGACACGACAGAAGTCGAAGAATCTGTGTGTAATCACTGCTGATGATATTGAACGATGAAACAATACTCACCAATTTGCAAATCATCATCGTTACGGAACAACTCAAGATGCACTTCGAATTTGATTTCTCCAATGTCAAAGAATGTAGACTAGATAAAGGAATGGTGAGGAAATATCGTCCGTAAATGAAAAATCATCCTTTGTTATCATCACCTTCGCTTCCCCCAGTGCTAGAAACTCTGGGATTGTCCAAGTGCAAACTACCCATTCTTCATAATTTGAAGACTTCTCGATTGAACCATTTCTCTCATCATTCGTGGCCATGTTTTCCTGCTTATAATGTGATGTACGCTTGCAGTTCACTTAAAGCTCTCTCGTCACAGGACTTTGAGACTCTTGTGTCGAGGAAGAGTCAACGAAGAATGTGAGGGAAGCACAAGACAGATTCAATTGGGATTCAATCCAGATTCAATGATGACGCATAAATTTGAACAGAGCTACTCTTTTCCGAACTTGATCTACCCTATTCAGCGTAGGAAACACGTGGTACTCACAAACACTCTCGTTCTCTCAGAGTCTCGGTTTGTTGAAGCTGCTGTGATTCGTGAAGCGTTTTACATTCTATTCAAGAATGCAAGGTATGAGACTACAATACATCGCGTTACGCTATATGATGTAACAGGCGATCTGTGGTACGTAGCAAAAGTTGTAGCTCTTGTTCGGTCTGTATGCTAACTTATGATGATCATACCTGATTGCATTGAGATATCTACTGCTACTTGGTCACTGCAATATCGATCTCAGTCACCAACGGAGCTGTGGCCTCTTCTTGAAACCATGTATCAAACTCTTTCGACTCCATGACAGCCTTTCGATTCTTCACATTGATGATATACTCAAAGGCTGCTCTTTTGAGAGAGTACTTATCTCGAGCAAGTTTCTCACCAAGAGACAGATACTTCAATACGCTTCCAGAGTCAAAGTCCATATCGGTTATTTTCTGGATGATTGCTGCGTAGAACTTGTGCAAGTCATAGTAGTCAGCAGCTCTGAGTAGTTCGATCCGTAGATCTGTATCTGCCTTGCCGGAGGGCATCCATTCAGAAGCTGCTTTTCCATAGATATACGCAAGGAGGGCCTTCATACATGGAGCTGAAAATTCGACTTTGATACAAGGACGTGACCCAGCGTCCAGAGCCACTTCACTTCCATCACGACTAGCGTCACGGAATACGATTCTTTTGAAGACTGGTGAAGCGAGCTCAAGGAAGAGACTATAAACTGGAATGAGTTCCACCATACCATTCTCGTCATAAAGTTGAATGTCACAGTCAGAGATGTTGCGTTCGGCATATAGCTGATAAAGGTCTTTGGTGGCTATGAAGTTGTTCTCGGGTGCAGAATAGCGAATCTCGACATCAACAGTCAGATAGTCAAAGTCGTCCTTTGGTGACTTGCTCAAGAAGTACAAGTCCAGCACTAGTCGTCGGTCGTGTGAGGAGATATGAGAATCAAAAGCATATTCAGTTGTCACAAACCAGAGGCGACAAAGAAGGCTGTTGTAAAGGTAGAGTGTAAGATAAGCTGTTTAGGTCTAGAAACAGAAACAGACAACCGGTGTGCTCGTACAATCTTCACAAGAAAAGGTAGCACTCCTCGATCTTGTGGTAACTGCATGAAATTCATCACGACGATGCAATTTGCGAGGATAGCGTAGTGTTGTAGTGAAGTGCACACGTAGAGGTTGGGTTACTTCCTGGCGTGCGTGAGACCTGGATTCCAGAACTGACATCCAAAGAAAGATCATTCAGGATTCGATTGCATTCGAGTACGATTTACCATAGCGGGCAAGCTTACAAACCACCAAATCTTCCTCGTCGTTTTGTCCAACGTCTTGAGGATTGACTGATAATTCAAACTTCATGTTGCCGACATTGAATTCTGGCGACTAGAGACAAACTCATATATGAGTATGGATGCATCCAAGAGCAGAAATGTACTAAAAATCTACTAGTCGCATACGCAATACAACGAGTCTACTATTTCCAATTTCGAAAATCCATCAATCTTCCATTTGCAGCTGACCCATTCTTTGCCTTCCAAGGTATCGCTAATAGTACCGATTGCCTCTTGAGGCATAATAATGTTGCAAGCAGCGACTCGTTAAGTTGTTTCCTTATTTCTTTGAGCGTCCTCTTATCAAACGTTTTTATGTTTTCAAGAGTTTTACAAGATCCTCATTACTTGACTGCTTGACGGGATTAACGTCCTTGGCAGCCTCACGTGTATCTGTCATCTATTATCTCAAGATTTCTCCCGTTCTCCCTTACATTGGTTGTTATAACGCGAAAGCATTCCACCATGGCGCATATTGTGAATAATCAATCAGTCTGTGACAGTCTATTTAATTCATTGGAAATTCCCCGTAACTGAAATAAATCGTGCCGTTCCATCCAGGAAGAAGCTAGGAAAGCTAAACTTCGAGCCCTGGTTCGTTCGCCGGAGAATGGTGCTATTTTTCTACCTTTTTATGTATTGACATTGAAAGCTTGCTATTTGACAACAACGAAACTTCATGCTATTTGTTGCCAACGATAAAATCGAAGAGTAATGGATCTAAATGGGGGCAAGCATCATCAGTCCTGCATACTTACCCCCTTATTCCACAGAGACCAACACCTTAATATTTCGTACCTCAAGCTTTGCCCATTGCAAGCAAGAGATCATCCTTCATTTCTGAAGGTTTGGGATCCTTAATCCATACTGCGAATTCCTTTGATTCCATGACAGCTACTCGATTCTTCACATTGACAACATAGTTTATAGCAGCCTATTTGAGACAATGATCTTCACGAGCATAATCCATCAATCTTCCATTTCAGCACCTTGTTATAAGACATGCCATCAACAGTCCCGATTCTCTGAGAAGCCATGCTATTTTGATTGATGAGTGTCGCATCTCAAAGCTCTCTCTATTTTAATGCTTGTGCCGGGCAGTCTTGAAAACGTGAAGTTGAAGAATTCGGATTTGGTAATGATTTGGTTGTAATAGTTTTAACCGCTTAAACCGCTGAATGACTCCATCAGGAGAAACCGTGGGACAGATTTAAAGTATACGAATTACAGATAAGATGTTATAAATTTATAAATTTAGCATTTAAACGTAGTAATACACGTCTTTCGACGTGATAAAGCGCGATTATGTGAAGCTTGTTAGGCCTATGGACCACTTCAAAGATCCATCCGTCAGACGAATCAGTCCTTGCCATTGATGGTAGACAGGAACTACCACACCCTCGAAACTGAAAGGAACAATGGTGTCACGTGTATTGTTGGTCGTGCTATCGTATGAACTTGTTTCGACGTGCGAATTTCCATGCTGTAGAAAGATGAGGTACGCTAAGCGCAATCTTACTGATCTTACCTAAACCAAACAGATTTAGCAGCCCACGAAATACCATATCCTCTGAAAATATGCAATAATCTCAAACGGAGGTCTAAGGGAATGTCCATCTTGAAGTGTTGCAACAATGCAACAATTGGGACAGTTTGGTGCAAAATGCAAAGCACTCGACATGCATCCCACCACGTTGAAAAAGGCAGCACGTTTGAATACGCTGTGCCTTCCTCTAGTTGTTGCTGTGGAGTGGTGACTGGTGGAGTGTTGCGGGCTTGTTGATGAAAGCTTAACAACGGGTGGCTTTGCTTGTGAAGTGGTATGTATGCTCATCTCCGTTGTGTTTCGATTTATATAAACGTACCTAGACCGCGACCTCATGAGGATGTGCCGCTCACCTCGGCGGTCAAATGGCTTTCGACTATGATCGTGCGTGTAAATTTACCTTTGCGCATAGACCTCAGGAAACGTTCAAGACACCCAAAAACATACATGCAGCGATAAATTGAGTCAGAGATTTTATTTTTGTGTCATTCAGAAAGACATGGTTTAACTTTCGTATGTAGAAAATAAGATTCATTAAGACATTAACTACTGAAGTCGCAAGTAGTGACTAGTTTTAATTGCTTATCGTTTTCTGTATCGTCTAGAGAACCAGAGACCAAAGTACTATTGGATTATTGGATTTAGCTTCAAAACTCAAGAGACAATCAGTTTCTACAAGCTTACCGAGAAAAAGACGAAAAAGACCAAAAGTGCCGAGTTAGCGACATACGCGATGTTACCACAAGCCTGTAATAGAGAAAGGAAATTATTGCATAACGCGATCATGAGGTATGGCGGTACATAAAGCAGGCTTACTATGCAGTCCTTCTCTATACTCTTGAAGGCACCCAAGAAAGTTTGAGTGTCTACACGTGAATTGAATGTTGTCAGTCTTGGAGATTGTATCACAAAAACGATTCATTCAAAGCACATACTGTAAACACAAATGTCTTCAATAGGTGGGAAGTATGCCTTTGTGGCATTCGATGTAGCAGCGGCAACCACGGCACTGGTGGAACCGACTAGATTTAATAACGTCAAATGTCAGTTTTGGAGCAAATAAAAAAGAAGCAAAAGGCAGTACACGTACAGTTCGTGTTGCTGGTTTGTAGGTTGGCCATGAGCGTGGCATTTGTGAGAATGGCAGCACCACCAAGTGCGGTTGTGGATAGCTGTGTTTGCAAAGCGGTAATTGCGCCATTCAATTCGGTAGCAACGTCAGCAGGAGGGTTGGTTGCTAACAATTGCTGTATGCCAGCAATCTCGGTGAGGTACCCGCTAACTGCCGTAACTGCAGCAGTGTTGGAAGCGTTGGAGACTAAACCACTAGCGTCACCACCTTCGTACAGACCGGCATAGATGGGTATGATGGAGCCGAATGGGAATGCATCCACACATTCGACGGGCAAATCGAACTATAGGCACGGGGAAAAGGCAGAATGGTCAGGCAAAGGTTTATCCTTTTCTAATTAAAACGACTGAGTTACCTCAATATTATAGAGTACATATTGGAAGCTCCATCTCCAGTAGTTGACATCTGTAAGCCATTTAAGCCCGTTACTTAGGGCAGCCAAAGGAGCAACAGCACCAGAGAAGGCAAAGAAGATCAGATTGGAAGCCCACAATACAGTATATGCTTGAATTAAGGTCTTGCACCAAGCTAATTGAGACACGAACCAAGTCAATTTCTTTGCTACGAAAAAGAGAGAAACCCGTTTCATGCGTCACTTACCAGACATTCCTTGAGCGACAGCTGTTGAGAGCCACATTCCGAGGAACATCATGCCGTATACGATACCAAACTTCTCCGAAGGCATTCCTTGCATAAAGTAGACAATGACGAACAAAATGGTGCTGATGATAGTAGTAAGCACACCCTCAACGACAAAGTATCTGAGTTTGAAAAGTGAATATACAAGTCAGAATCAGATTTCTTCAACCCAATTGTCCAATCTCTACACGTACGTCAGGTAGTATGGAAGTAGAGTGTAGAAAGCGGCGCTGAACTCTTGAATGTACAGTTCACGATCCTCCATAAATTGTGGCACGGAAGCGATGGCGACAAAGTTGGATAGGAAACCAAAGGTACCCACACCGTTAGTGATGGCAGTTAGGTAAAAGGAAGTGTGAGGTATTTGGTAGAAAATGCCACCAAAGAAGAGGGCAAAGCACATGAAAAGCCCAAACTGTAGTTAAAAAGGTCCATTTTAGTAAAAACAAGAATTATCAATCATTTAACAACAAAGTTCAATCACTTACACGACCCCATGAAGTTGAAGGATTTCTTTGATATCTCAGCAATACACGTGTGGTCAATAATTTAAACTGGTCCCATGTAGATCGTTCGACAATATGGGTTGAGTGAGAGACTGCGCTGTAGGATGCTTGAGCTAATCGGCGTTCTTCAACATCGTTTGCAGCATATAAAGCAGATTTTTCATAGTATTCGGATGCACCAACGGTATCAGCTGCGATTATGTCGACATAGTGTTCGATGGGGTTCATGAGAGGGGGACATGGGAAGCCGAATTCAGTAAAGTATTGATCACAGTGTGTGGTTGGACCAAAGTAACAGATTCGACCTCCGCCACCAATGAGAATTACATTGTCAAAGAGCTTGAAGACGGCATCGGCAGGTTGGTGAATGACTACTGCGACAGAGACGTTCTCAGATTTAACGTAACTCAGTACAAGTTCCATTGTGAAACGAGCACCAAAGTCTAACCAATTGCATCATGTGAGTAACATATGAAAGAGGCTGATAACAATGGTTTCTTTACCATCAAGACCAGATGTTGGCTCGTCAAAGAAGAGGACTTTTGGCTTGGCAACCATTTCAATACCGACTTCAGTACGCTGTAAAGGGAAGCCGTTCGAGATGTTAGGCCTCTATCGAAGACACGTAAAAGAGGCAGGCTTTCAAAGGGCACCTTCTTTTCACCGGAGGAGACACCACGAATCAATTCATCACCGACTGGTGTATGTTGAGCACCAGTCATTTTCAGCGATTCCAAAACCTCGTCGACACGGGCAACAATTTCAGCGTGAGTAGAGCCACGTGGCATTCGACATTCAGCAGCAAACATAAGCGTTTCTCTGACAGTCATGGTTGGAATGTGAGCCCTAAAAGTAGTAAAAATGTGGTATTTTATTAGTAAATGGGTCTTTTGTTGACAGGCGTAGCGAGAAAAGCTTACATGTTCACAAAGATGTAACCTGCACGTTTCTTGAAGAACACATCCGGAGCTGCTCCGTTTACAAGGAGTTCACCAGAAATGCGGCCCAATGTCTTTTGACTGGCAAGAATATCCATCAATGTGGTCTTTCCGGCACCGGATGCTATCAAATCGTAAGGAATTGAGCATCACAACTAGAAAACGGATCGTACAAAGGAAGGTCCTTACGTCCAATTACTGCCAAAGACTCTCCGGGCTTCATATAACCAGTTGATCCTTTGAGTGTTCTGATGGTTCTCTTTTGGGAGAATATGCCACCGACATCAATGTCCAAGGCGATGTTTCGCCACGTAATCGTGTATCTATGTATGGGTTGAGTATAATCATAATCAGTCAAAAGAGTTACAAGTAAAGATATTGTCACGATGAGCGATTGGATAATCAGTTTGAAAAAAACCAACAACCGGATCACCAAAGGCACATACCCTGCATGTTCAGCTGATAAGAGTTCAGCTTCGGCCATAGTCGACTACGAAAATTTCAAAACGATCTACAGTGCGAGAGTGTATGTGAAAGAGGTGGTAAAACCAATTCCGATCCAGAGTATTATTCCTTGCTTTAGTCAATGAAAATTCTCTCTAAAGGGCAATGAAATACCTGTAAAAGGGTCGGAAAGTTTTATCTTGAAGGGCATCAAATACCTGTGAAGGGGCAGCAATGCCTTTGAATACCTGCGAGGGGGTGCCGAAAAGTGGGAAAAATTTGAGGCTGGCTGGTAGAAATGGCTGAAAACGGGAAAACAAGGAAAGCCAAAATCAGAGCCTCTTTTCGATTTCGCATGCTCGGCCACGTATCCGCAGTCATGACATCAACCCTTTTTGACCTCTTTCTGTACTGGCTGCGGTTTTTTCGCCTTTAGGTTCTGTGTATAGGAATAATTACCATTAGTAAAAGGCTCGCAAGTACACTAAGAAATCTACAAAGTGTCATAACGCCAATGTCGACAGACAAGAAGGATGCCACCGGAACGAGTTCCTCGTGGGGTAAGGACTCTCCAAACACCTGCAATCGTGTTGGACGCAACTTTTAGATTTCGAGTCATCCGTTTGGTCGACTGCGATTGGTCTCGGTCCATTTTGAATCTTTCAAGCTTGATTTCGATGCAGACTTTTATTAATTTCCTAATCCTATAGCCGTGACGGATGATACAAAACTTCGACCTGCCTTTTTCTCATTCAAGGATGTTGAATGCAGATTGAAGGTTAGAGGAGAATGGAAGCAATTGTTGGCAGGTGTTAGTGGTTATGTCAAAGTAAGTGGCAATCCGGGATCTAGTCTTCTTCTTCTGCACAAAAGACGCAGGTTGGTTAAAACTCGATAATTCGATAGCCTGGTGAATCTTTGGCCATTATGGGTCCATCCGGAGCTGGTAAAAGTACCTTGCTGGATGTAATTTCCTTCAGAAAAACCACTGGTGAATGGACTAATGATGTCCGCCTAAAGTAAGTACTGCGTAACGATTTCAATGCGCTCTTCCAACGCTATTCCGACTGGTTATTGATTCGGCATGTTTTCATCTTACAGTGGAGCACCATTAACTCGTCGAGAATTCATTCAAAACAACGGTTATGTTACCTCTGATGATTTGTTGCCACCAGAGTTGACTACTCGTGAAGCCTTGGAATTCTGTGCAGCTCTCCGTTTGCCTGAGAGCTGGACTGCTGAGGAAAGACGCGCACGTGTAAGTTACAGATCTAGTTGTGAAGACTTGCTGTTACGATTCGTAAACTGATCCCATACGTCCTTCTGCCCTTCAGGTCGACGATGTCTTAACTTTGATGCAACTTAACTATGTCGAACACAACAAGATCGGATCAGCTTTGGTCCGTGGTCTTTCAACCGGTGAACGAAAGCGTGTTAATGTTGCCGTCGAAATGTTACCAGTAGCATCAGTGTTGTTCTTGGATGAACCAACTACTGGTTTGGACAGTGCAACTGGTCGTGCTATTATTGAAAACGTCAACGAAGTGGTCCGCCTCCGTAAACTGGCCTGCAGTGAGTATCCTAGAATCCACGTCACTTTGCTTTCAATACTCATTATCGTTTTTTCTTGCCTGCAGTTGCTACCATCCATCAACCCTCGTACACCGTCTTGTCACAATTTGACAACCTTTTACTTCTATGTCCTGGTGGAAAGACATGTTACTTTGGTAGAACCGCTGACGCCATATCTTACTTTGAAAGGTTGGGTATCGCGATTTCTGGCAATCCAGGTACGGACGAGAGCAACTTCAATCACGAATCCGCTCTCACACTCTATCATTCATCACGAATTTTAGCTGAAACATATGCCAACGAACAAGCTGCTCAACCCGACTTCCTCATTTCGTCATGGAAGGCATCTTCAGAATGTGCAGCTCTTGAAAAGAGAATCAACGATATTCACTCTGGTCAAGGCTCCATCAGCAACTATGAAGCCTTCCACTTGAAGCAAGCAACATTCTGGGAATCAATGGGCTTCTACCAACTCGCATCCAGTCGCCTCCAATTCTATCATTTGTTTGTCCGTCAGTTGACAATTTACTGGCGAAACCCTCTCATGTCCACAGTACGTTCCCAACTCGTCATTTTTTATCAACCTCAATCGCTGAGCCATCATTTGTCTCCAGACCCGATTTATCTCTGCCATCCTCGTCGGTCTCTTCTGTGGTGGTGCGTTCTATGGACAAGATTCTGGTTTCTACGGTCACGTCGGAAAAGGCTCTCTTGGTTTCACTATTACGCTCATGGTTCCCGGATTCGGTTCGGCTGCTATTGCATACTGTAAGCCAAGTTTCCCTTTAAACGTTTTCCTTCTTACCAAACCACGTTACCTCAGGGCTCGAACGTAGAAAGCAATACTACCACGAAGAGGCTGCTGGATACTATAACAAGCTTTGGTACCTGCTCGCACAATATGTCGTCGAAGTGGTTTTCTCTGGCACTATGTGCTGTTTGGTGGCATTGATTGCACTACCTATGGCTGGATTTGACAACAAGAACTTGGCCGAAAATGCTTTCACTCTATATCTGGAGGTAAAAATACTTCCAAACATGTCCCTACGACTTCTTATACTCACCTCTTCCGACGTCCCAATAGGCTATGTGTGTCTCGTCGCTAAACATGATTTGTGCATACATTGCTGGATCTATTCCATACGCCAACGCAGCCTTCACCATCCACTACTTCTTCTTCCTGTTCTGGACTAGTATATACTGTCCAGACGACTTCATCTTGCCCAGATCTTCACCCGTAAAATACTTTTTCGCATGGCTATCGTAAGTATCAGATAACGTACTTTCATTCATCGTGATTGTGTTCTTTACTGATACTTCCTCCTTCACCAATGCAGATACGATCGTCTGTGGTTCTACCCTCTCATGAGAAACGAATATCTCGGCCACCCCGTTACCTGCTCCAAAGACGAATTAATACCTCTTGATGTCAACACTGCCTTATACCAAGGATTAGGAGACACCGCACTAGCCATGAGCATAACAGCTGCCCCATCTCTAAACGCATCTCTGTCCCCGCTGAAACACATTGTCTTTGCAACAACAGCCCAGAACGCATCTCTTGCTCAATTATTTACACTGGCCGCAAACGTCAAAGGTGCCACAGCCGCATCAAACGCAGCTGCTGGTCTCTCTGCTACGACACAGACGTATGCCACGAACTACCTCAACACTGCATTAAGCGCTTACGCCACATATGCTGGTCTTGATGCAACCAACACCCCAGCTGTTGTTCAGTCTGTAGCTCTCGCTTCTACTGTAAGATTTTGAACAAGTTTAAACGATCGTGATGAACATTTGTGCTCGTGAGAATCCAAACAAGCTCACACGCCGGTTTTCTCTCCGTAGGCCCAAAGCGAGTTAGCTTTAGCAGCCCGTCTCATCGCTGCGCCAGTCCCAACAGTGGATTCCTGCCTAATTACAGACGGAGAAAGTGGCCTCACAGCCATCACTCACATGACCATATACACCACATTTGCAAACGGCTCAGTCTCTGGTAAGGATATCGACCACTGGGATGTCACGCCCAATGGCTTGTTGTATGGTTTACAGGTCGTCTACGGTGTCTTTTACTTTGTGTTGGCTTGGGTCTCTCTTCGGTCTTGCAACTTTGTGAGTTTGTTTGAGCAGTCTTCATTGTGATTCTGCCAAGCATACTCTAACATTCCTCTTTTAAATGATAACAGAGACAAAAGTAGACTACGACCTTTAGAATCAGGCTTGACTTCCCTGCTACGCCAATATTGATGATTTTTTTAAACCCACTTGGTATGACTGGTAATACACGAACAAAAATATAAGGATTTTTAATAAGACTTGATAACTTGTCTCGATTAAGCAATACCATTCCGAGTGCATTGACGATTTTCATTTTCGGCTGATGTGTCTTGCGTCAGTATTGGCTTATGTGTTCCAAGTCATGTTCAACATTTTGTGTAAATGTGCTCGATGGAAGAAGTTGACACTGTGTTTCTAAACGTACTTCGAGGTTTACTGAAATAGAAAGTTGAATCAGAGTAAATATCTGGCAATCTTGGTATGTGAACGAGCAATCCATCGACGTTGTAATGTTTCAATTGCAAAATGGAAAACTGGCCGCATCTATGATATCCCAGCGCTTGGGGTGACGATACAAGTTTCTTTATAGATGAGTCAGGATTCGGAGCTGGTTAGATTGGTTCTTTACTGCATATGAGTCTCTATGTTACTCGTTTCCTTGATCTACGAGGTTCCGCATTTGAAACTGAATCAGCTCGACAAATTCCAACAAAAAACCGTGTAGCTTGTTGGAAACAACAGAGGCCTTAACCAATAATGATTATGAAAACAGATATAATTGTATTTAGCTTGTTTGGAGAATATGGAGAAAACATACAAAAAAATCTCTACAAATCCATAGTTTCGGTGTGTTTCATTTTTGGGCATCCAAGTAGGAGTGCCATTAACTATTGAAAATGTTACTAACGACAGGACAGGTTTGGAAAGTTAGATGGTAAAAACGTACCTGTAGTGCCTCCGCCGTTGATCGGACCTCCACAAGCCAAAGCTGCAAAGCTCGAAGCGTGGAAATTGACAAATTTGCCAATGCCAATGATGGAATCCATTGTTTTAGGCAGCGATATACAAAACAGAGAGAGTTACCAGTTTAATGGAAAAAAGTGAAGCATCACGTCTTCATATTGGTCGTTGTTTTGCATCAGTAAAAACCAGACATGCTGGAATGATTAGAACTCACAGTACTAGTAGAAGACCCTCCTGCACCAGAAAAGCTCCATGCCGCAGATAGTTCTGAATGAAGAAGCTGGTTAGATGTCATACATTTCGCACAAATTCCCACAAACTGCAAAGTGTCGTACGTCCTGCACAAGATCCAGTATACTGAAGAATAAAACAAGTTACTGAGATAAATGCCAATGCTTTCACAAAAACAACCAATCGAGCCTGCAATGTGCATCGGGAACGGGCTCTGACCTCCAGCTTTGGCCAAATTTTGCTACAGCCTGCGTCTTTCTACCATTTGCCATGAAAGTCACAAGTGTGCTGAAAGAACTATGTGTTAAATATCGAGTATTTTCGTTGCAGATTTCCACAAAATGAGAAACAGCCATTCGTCCTGCACAAGACCCAGTATGCTGAAAGACCAAAAGAACGATATTAGATTCAATTCAGCTGTTTAAACCATCCAACCAAGCTTACAATATGCACCGGAAAGGAGAGGCGTAACATACCTTTGAACCGCCAGGATCTGGATACCAACAACCAACAAGATTGTGTGGATTGTCATGCTACAATGGCTTGTAACGCTGCTTTGTTTCGATCCTTTCCGGGAAATGGAAGGAAATCTGGAACTGTTTGTCCAAGTCCAAGTTGTAGACCGATGCGCGGCGATACATTGTTGTAGAGTGACACAACGAGAGAGCTGAAGTCGGAAATGCGACTTGTTGAATGCGCAAGAAATTATGTCTGTATTCCCATTTGTGTCAGTTTGTATCAGTCCTACAAATCTAGCAACTTTCTTTGGAAGGATATCTTGACCAAGACCAAACCACAGATTTACCCGCGGCAAGGCGAGGCAGAACGAACTAGGAGGAAAATTCCATGTAGATTGATCCCTTTCAGCGACCATAAAAGAACATGTGGAGCAAGGAAGAATCCAAAAAACACCAAACGTTTGAAAGTTCCTTCTTTTGAGGAGTGGCAATACTATATTAAAAATTAGATCGTAATTCCTGTTGCCAGCGCTTGGCAAACAAGACATGTCAATAAATTAGTGAAGAGTGATTGATGAGCATCATCATCGCAGGTTAATACTACGACTCCAAAATCCTCTCCTTTTTACAGAGTGTTTAGCGACACTTCAGCATAAGCCGAAACAATGACAACGAGTGCTTGAACCATCCTGTTATGCGAATTTGGGGTTAGAGTTGGTTGAACAACATCTGATTGTAGATAGATACAATGACTCCAAGCGAAGTGTACAAAGCAGCTTGTTCTCACATACCCCCAGCCACACGGAATCCAAGTCGGCATGCCGAACTGGCCTGCATTATACAATCCTCCCAGCACAGCACCTATGAACGCGTGTTTAGCATCGTAGCTCCAGCAATCAACCTACATCAGCCTTCAAACATACCAACAACAGCCCCACTCGCAGCACCCAGCCCCACACCAGCACCCAGCTGCCCAATCAGCAACAATATGCCCAGCTTGTTCTTCCTAAACACGAGGTATCCCCATACACCACCAAGACCAAACAGGATTGCAAACCAGATGATTGTCCATAGCGTAGTGAAGAGGATAATGTCGCCGCGGTAGTAGAGGAGGTTTTTAGGGTCAGTTTTCTTTAGGTTGCCGAGATCCCATGAGAATGATGGGAATGCGGGAGTTACCTATAGTGAAATTGAATGTTGGGTGTTGGGATTTCGTTGCATTGTGAAATAAACGCTGATAGCATATGAGTTATAGCCAGCTTACATAGTCTGGCGGCACCAGAGACGATCCTTGACTAGACATTGTGTTATCTTGCTTCTCTGACACGCATTCTCGCTTGAAACCGTCAGCGTTTTGAAAGGTTTGAAACACACACAGATGAGACACCGTTTTATCTAATACGCGCCAATTACAGGCAAGCACGCGTAAAATAATTCAGTATACACATAAGCCGTGTCTTTTCCCTATAGTCCTCCACAAAAGCCGAGAAATCATTCCTTCATATCCGCAACTCAAAGTCCACCACCACGACCATATATTAACACAATGTCTCAAAAAGAAGTCATTATCTACTACTCGTCCGTATCTGGCAACATCCTTGTACGTGCCATCCCTGTCATATCGTCATACCAAACCATCTCATTCCCGTTCCAATCTTAGATGAAGAAACAACACACAAGGATACAAGATATCCTACATGGAAGGAAGATTCCCTTTTCCGAAGTCGATGTTGCTGCTGACGAGTAAGTCATGTGTTGCGATGTTGAGGGTGTGGGGGAGAGAGGACTCGACATCTGCAATCAAGATCTCAAAGTTTTGGAAGGGACGTGTCACGATCAAATGGGAGACGGAATCTTGTAATTGTAAATTTCAATGCTTGACGGGGATTATCGTCGTCTTTTGTTTGCCGCTACAGATCAAAACGTCTGTGCTCATGTCGAGACAATCAAAACACGACCTGGTTGAGATCTTTCCCATGATGCTCGTATTTCCCAATCTATTGTGTGGGATACAGAGCAACCATCATTCAAGGCCAATTGAGTGAATTCATTCAATCCTTTCTTGCTAGCAACAATCCCTTTTTTGTTTTGCTAACCTTCACCACTCTCTCACCCACATAGAAAAGCAAAAGACTTTATGAAATCAAAATCAGGGAAAATAACCCTTCCACAAATATTTGTGGATGGTGAATACAAAGGCGTAAGCAAAAATATGGTGCTGCAGGTCTACCATGTCTCCACAAAACAACCCACTCACACAAATTCGTATAGGGCTACGAAGAGATCGATTCCGCAAACGAAGACGGAGGGGTACCAGAATGGTTGTTTGGCAAGTCGTAAACCTGCTAGTATAGATTTATAGAGCATTTGTTGTCTGTGGTCGTTTTGTACAAAGCCGCTTAAAAATGTATGTTATCACCAAAACAAACAAAGCAAGACGTGCAAGTTTTCGGCAAATAGTGCTATATATTTTCTGTTTTCTATGGTACACGTTTACAAGATTGAAAAAAGGTTGCGGTTGGTAAGTCCTTGCTACCAAGAGGAGCAACAAAAAAGAGAGAAAAGAGATTTTTCGTATTTGGTTCTTCCAAACACAGCCTAGCTATATAAAAAGTATTATACATACCAACATCCACCAACCAACAACACAACATCTCCCATCTATCCAGATTTAACTACCACAAGACAAACATGCGTCCTTGTTCTCCAAAGAACACATCATAGCCTCCATATTCTTATCACGCACAGACTCTAATATACGTTTCTGCATTTCATCCTCCTCCAAGTTACTACTAGCATCAAATGGTTCAGCACTCTCTGCCTCACCATCCAATGTAGCTTCAGTCAATGAGGGACTGGGGACAGAGATGGGTTCTGCTGGTGATGCCATGGCTGCTGCTGCGGCTGGAACGGGTACAATAGATGCTATTTCTTGTCGTGGCTTCTTATGACTTGGTGATGATTGTAGTGCTGCTGCTTCATCTGCCTTAAGTGCCAATTGATCTACTGTAAACTTGATGGCATCTGCTGCTGGTCGTGTTCGTAAATAGTACATTCCAGTCTTGAGTCCAGACTTCCATCCGTGGAAATGCATGGATGTCAGACGACCATAGTTGGGATCTGCCATATGAATATTGAGTGATTGGGATTGATCTATCATAGTGAATGAGAGGGAGTGGTAAATTAGTGTGGTCTCAAGTTGTGTCGGTTTCAACGTCCCTCCTAAGCGTCCTGCTCTTTTTGCATCCAAATACTTCAAAACCCCTGATTCACATACCGATAAATGCACCACGATCAGCAGCCATATCAATGATAATCTTTTGAGAAATCTCCCAAACAGTCTTATAAATTCCTTTGAGTTCTTGAGGAATGGACGCAATACGTTGAATTGAACCATTCTCGGCAATGATTCGATTCTTCATTCCTTCATTCCACAAACCCAATTCAGTCAAATCTTTGAGTAAATGTGGATTGACAATCTGGAATTCACCAGCCAAGACACGACGAGTATAGATATTGGAAGTATATGGTTCTAAATATGAGCGCGAGGTTGGTTGAGTACGTCTGACGAGAGCGAAAAAAAATGATTAAGAAATACGCAGCCATTGGGTGACCGTCCACTCACCAAAGCATTCATTGTTACCCAAGATTTGAGAGGTAGAAGCAGTAGGCATGGGAGCCAACAACAACGAGTTACGGATACCATGCTTGGCAATCTTTTCCCGCAAACCAGCCCAATCCCACATATCAGAACCTTTAACATTCCACATATCATGTTGCAAGATACCCTTGGACACGGGTGATCCCGGATATGTTTCATATGTTCCGTATTTTTCGGCCAATTCACATGATGCTTCAAGTGCTGCAAAGTATATGGTTTCGAAAACTCGTGAATTGAGTTCCTTGGCTCGGTCTGATTCAAACGGCATTCTCATCTTGATGAAGGCATCAGCCAGGCCTTGGACACCAATACCAATAGGACGATGCCTAAAGTTGGATTTGCGAGCTTCTGGAACTGGATAGTAGTTGACTTCTATAATCTTGTTCAGATTACGTGTCACCGTGTGAGTAACCTATCGACAGAGAGAGTCGGATTAATGATCCCAGCCACGTGCTTTTTTTTGGCTTCGAACTTGAAGAGTCAGTATAATCGTATCTTCCCTTACCTGTCGAAGCTTTTCAAAATCGAAGGTCTGCTTATTGACAACAAACGTTGGTAGAGCAATAGATGCCAAGTTACAAACAGCGACTTCGTCTGGTGCGGAGTATTCTACAATTTCTGTACAGAGGTTGGAGCACTTGATGGTACCCAAGTTTTGCTGGTTGGACTTTCGATTACAAGCATCTTTGTAGCACATGTATGGATTTCCAGTTTCCGTTTGAGCTTCCAAGATGGCATACCAGAGCTTTTGTGCCTTCATGACTTTGCGAGCTTTACCACCACGTTCATATTGTTCATACAAAGCCTGTGTGTGGTGGGAAAGGGAGAGCCGTGAGTTAACAGCAGAAAAAGTTGTGTGGAATGGCAATTTCCAGAACAACATTAAAATGGATTGTATCACCGTGCATACCTCGAATTCTTCACCCCAAACATCTTCAAGACCAGCAGCTTCAGCAGGACAAAACAAGGACCAATCACCGTTGGATTCTACACGCTTCATGAACAAGTCTGGGATCTAGAAGGTACATTCCGGTTGAGTCCATCCTGGAGAGCATTTTGAACTGTCAAATGAAACTTACCCAAAGACCATAAAACAAGTCTCGAGCACGACTTTCTTCCTTGCCAGTGTTCTTTCGCAAGTCCAAAAACTATTACGTCGAATCGACAGAAACGTGAACTTGCAAAAACATACAGGAAATCGATCGTTATCACTCACGTCCATGATATCAGCATGCCAAGGCTCCAAGTAGATGGCAAAAGCACCAGGTCGTTTATTACCACCTTGATCAACATACCTCGCAGTATTGTTGAATACTCGAAGCATGGGGATGATTCCATTAGAGTAACCATTGGTACCAGCAATATACGACCCCAAAGATCGAATCTTGTGGATGTTGAGACCAATACCACCAGCAGTCTTCGAAATCATTGCACAAGTCTTTAGCGTTTCATAGATGCCTTCAATAGAGTCATCCTTCATTGTAATCAAAAAGCAAGAAGACAGTTGCGGATGTGGTGTTCCAGCATTGAAGAGAGTAGGTGAAGCATGAGTAAAGAGACGTTCCGACATCATATTATATGTTTCGATAGCAGCTTCTACATCGTGGCCGTGGATGCCGACAGCAACACGCATCAGCATATGTTGTGGGCGTTCAGCAACCTCACCGTTTAATCTGAGGAGGTACGAACGTTCCAGAGTCTTGAAACCAAAATAGTTGTATGAGAAGTCACGATCATAGATGATTGCCGAGTCGAGTAAAGCACTGTTTTCCATGACAGCATCGTATGTTTCTTTCGAAATCATAGGAGATGGTTTGTCATTTTTTGGGTTTATGTAGGTATACAAGTCATGGACGACTGCGGAGAATGCCTTTTTAGTTTCCTTGTGGAGATTAGAAATGGCGATTCGGGCGGCGAGGATGGCATAGTCTGGGTGTTTGGTCTATGTGATGATATATTTGGGGGTGGTGAGTTGGCAGTCACTGACAAACAATGGGCCATCCTTTAGCACAGATGCATGACCATTTGATTTTTTATGTCACATATGTACGGGATCCACGTCCTGATCTTCTCCATCCCCTCTCCATTCACCGTGATTCTTATCATTCAAGATGTACAAGTAATTTAGCAGTGACTTACGGTCAGGTAAGCAGCGGTTTCAGCAGCGAGATTATCCAATTCTACAGTAGTGACACCTTGATATACACCTTGAATGACCTATTTAATACACAATGATATTAGTACATGGACAATGTGACGGTCGATTGATCTGTAAATGATGCGCAGTGTTGTGATGTCGAATGTATTGACTACCTTTTGAGCAACTTGAGCCGCGTCAATAAAGTTCATATCCAGGCCATAACATAATCTACTGATTCTTGATGTAATCTTGTCGAATGCCACTCTCTCCTTCCGTCCATCTAAAAACGAAGAATCGCGAAATGTGGAATGTCAGCTCTACTAGATGAATTTAGGCGATTGATAGAATGATGATCATCACTGGCCTCTCTTGTAGACGAACATGATTAGTTGTCTTGCTGTTGTATCCTTTAGTTCGATAGATACGTTGGTAGTTCGTTGCAAGCTGAACTTGAAATTAATTTGACTTAGAAGGACACGAGTCTATTTCTCAGCAACGAACAGCAACTGGAGCAAGTCGCAGTAGTATCTTAAATGAGGTAAGAACGCGTCATATCACAGTCCAATTTAGTTGTAATGATCAGTAAGTGCAGTTGTAACGAGCAAACTCTTCTATCTAAATTCTTACTTCTGCCGTTGGGCACAAAAACAGGCAGTTCCAAGCAATCCAAGCCAAATACTCGATTGATGCCTTAATCTACGCGTCGCTCTACAGTTTTGATCATTCGCAAGCCTATTCGGCAGCTGATCTGACTTGGAACTGTTGCTGTTGGGTCCCAGGATATGTTGCTGTTGGGTACCAAATGAAGCCACGTCTCCTGCCTTGGATAATTTCGTCACTTCCCGTGCGGACCTATGCTCGCAACTTCAAGACGTTTGACTTGATCTCGCTGATAAATTGCAGTCCAAAACTGACATTCAAAGCCAGTCATGCTTTCAATACATCATTTATTCCTCTGTTATCTCTCTCTCCCTCTCACCTTCCTCTTCTACAAATCATGTTTTTGCAATAACTTTTTCTTAAAAATCAACCAAACAAATCCAACCAAATAATGATCCCAACGAGAGAAAAAAAGCAAAAGGAGAGATAATAAATTTCCACAATACACTACAAAAGATGTCGAGAGTTTTTTGGCGGTGGATGTTGATGTAATAGTATGTGAAGTGGTCGCTCTATTATCTTATCTGTATGGGTAATGCATGGGACAGTTAGTACACGGTTCACTTCGTGCATCATGTCATGCTTCAGTTTTTGAATACATACCGTGTAACTTTGTCCAAGACGGTTTCGTATGCGACTTCAGACAAGTCGGTAGCTTGAATTTCTGTGTAGATACCTTCTAGCTTCTTTCGGAGAGCATCTTTTGACGCAGCGTACACCATCTTTGGTTTGACTTTGGCGGTATCTGGAGACCTGTGTGGATAATATATGACTTAGAAGTCGAGGCTGCCAAGGCTGATGATCATCACCACAGCATCACCACCAGGAAACAATACTTACCAGAAGAAGAACAGAATCTTGTTGCGACCTTGACCTTCACCCTTGGTCTCGTAAGCGAAATCAAACACAGCGTATCGACAAGCATCTTTGGGTAATTCCTTGACAAAAGTCTCATAATTTGACCCCTCTACAGCTTTTTCGACGACGATTTCGGTTGCTTCATCATTCATCTTGTAAACTATGTAGGTGTATTTCTTCTTCAATTTGAGTTCTTGGTAGATGGCTAATGCATCGTCTGCGACCCTGACACCGGTAGACTATCAAGAGAAAAGTGGTATGGATTGGTTAGTGATGGGTGAATTGGCAATTGTGTGTCGTTGTACGTGAGACGAAGAATGAGCAAGATCCAAGCAGCGCGATCATCTCCAAATTGTACACTCTCTCATTTGAGACATCTTTGTCTGCACGAAAGCGAGCGGCAAGTCCTCGAGCCGCCCAACAATCATAAGCAATCTCTGCAGTTTCGACATTGCTTAAAGATTGACAATGTGCCATGGAATTTCATATGCTGGTCTTCATTTCTTTCCTCTTTCTTTCAACTTGAATCGAGTTTCATCACCAACATCCACACACATCAAAAAAATGTTTGATGTGCCCCCTCAACACAAGCTCTACCCAATCCCATTCTCGACTAGCAGCAAACAGTGCATGACTGATTGCAATGTAATATAAAGGTTCTTCTCACACTCTACTTTCACATGTCCCTCATATTCTTATTTTAACAAGTGGCGCGTCTCGTCCCAACAGAGATGAAAATTGCAGAGTGGCAAGATAGAGACCAATGGTGGCAGTAGCTTACCATGTTTCTGTACTGATTCTAGTCTAGAGTAAATACTTTATAATATTATTGGGGATTTAAACTTGTCCCTTTCGTCTTAATGTTTGCAAACTGTGTGTTGAGGATTTGAACGGCTCTGTGATGACTGCGTTTTTTTGTTGTTAGTGGACGTGAAGTCAAAAATGAAAATCTATGTGGTATCGGATTCTGTCCTGAAATATAAGTCTACTCTACGACTCTTCCTATCAATGACACGTCAACTATCAACATTTTAGAATCATACTCGCTTCATGTCGTTGTATTGTGTCTAGAGACACGATTTCCAGGACCAAACAGGTCAAATTCCAGTTCGCAGACGACTGAATGTACAATTGATCTTTTTGTTCTACACGCTGCTCTCCTCCTTCATCATCGTCAACTTTTACGAAACGATAATATCAAACAGGATGAGCGGCTTGTTAAAGAGCAATCTGGGCCAACTGGCAGACAGTTTTCTCAAAGGATCAGATAGTGGGAATGCCGGGCAGGATGCCAAGTACTTTCAAAGAGGTATGAATCGTAATGTTTGGAAGTAACTTTATGACATTGTACATTCATTGAAGTGGATCTATCGAGTATTGTCGCGGTCAATTCACAATTTCAGATTCTATATTCGCGAACTCGGTCATCCTTTTTTCAACCATTCACTTCACCCACTATCACATTATGTAGGCAAGATCCAAGAACTACGAACAGAGCTCAACTCGGACAAGAAGGACACCAAACACACGAAAAAAAAGGTCGTCCTAAAGAAAATCGTTGCAAATATGACTATGGGGAACGACATGTCTCCCCTCTTCACCGATGTGGTGGCTTGCATGTCGATACCCTCCCTCGAAATCAAAAAGATGGTCTATCTGTACTTGATCAACTATGCTAAATCGAAACCGGATATAGCTCTTATGGTGGTAAACTCGTTCACAAAGGTAGGTGTTGTTGGTTGTGGTTGATATCAAAGTCTGAAGAGTCTGTTAAGAGACAGATTTGGGTGCAACGTTTGGGTTTATTTTTGGCGTCTGTCGTACGACTCACCGTCTCGTTCGACTGGTTTTGTACAGGATCTGTCAGACATGAATCCTCTCATCCGAGCACTAGCAATCCGAACAATGGGTTACATCCACGTAGACAAAATAATGGACTCGCTTTGTGGTCTACTTCGTACCTGCCTGACCGATAGAGACTCTTATGTGTGCAAAACAGCCGCCATGTGTGTGGCCAAATTGTACTCGTACGACAAGCATCTCGTGCAATCTGAAGGTTTTTTGGATTTGCTACGTGGATTGCTGAATCACGAGAATTCAACGGTGGTTGCTAATGCTGTTGTCGCGTTGCTCGAGATATCGGAGAAGAGTGATACTCTAGACTTGGTGCTGGATGTTGGGACTGCTAATCGGTTGTTGACTGCTTTGAACGAGTGCACCGAGTACGTGGCACTGTCCATTCCTAGCTTTTTTCCTTGCAACGGGTCAAGACTAAGACTCAACTGCCTGCTCCAATTAGATGGGGACAAACATATATACTAGAGGCAATGATGTTTGTAGTTCCCCAAGAACATGCGGACGCTGAATTGTTGGCTGAACGAATAGTGCCTCGTCTTCAGCATGCGAACTCAGCTGTAGTCTTGACTACGGTAAAGGTCATTCTTTACTTGATGAATTATATCGAGAGTGAAGATATAGTTAATGGGCTTTATAAAAAGCTTGGACCGCCACTAAGTGAGTTGCGAATGTTTTGTGCCAATTGTGGGATGAACAACTTCTAATTCGTTGCCTGTATGAGATTTGTCGTTTGGCAAAAACCTATATGCATCCAGATGCATGTCTTGCTTAGAACTGACAACCTTCCATATCATATCTAGTCACCCTCTTGCACAATGGTCCTGAAGTCCAATACGTAGCTCTCCGAAACATCCAACTGGTCCTTCAAAAGAAACCAGACCTCCTCATGAAGAACGAAATGAAGGTCTTCTTCTGCAAATACGATGATCCGATATACGTCAAACTAGCTAAACTCGAAATCATGTTTCGATTGGCTAATGTGACTACCGTTGACCAAGTCTTGTCTGAATTGAAGGAATACTCTGTGGAAGTTGATGTCGACTTTGCTAGGAAAGCTGTTAGGTGTATTGGACGATGTGCAATCAAGATTGAGAGTGCTGCTGATAAATGTGTTGATGCTTTGCTGGAGTTGATTACTTCGAAAGTGTCGTATGTCGTTCAGGAGGCTGTTGTAGTCATCAAGGTAATGAGTGTTCATTCTTGACTATCCGATTTTTTTGTTGCCTGCTCTGTGACACACTTTGAAAGTCAAGCAACCCACTGAGACAGTTCATCTTGTGTAGGACATTTTCAGAAAATATCCAAACAGATACGAATCCATCATCGGCACACTCTGCCAAAATTTGGATTCTCTGGACGAACCAGAAGCCAAAGCATCCATGATTTGGATTATAGGACAATACGCAGACCGCATAGAAAACGCCGACGACCTCCTAGACTCGTTTTTGGACTCATTCAAAGAAGAAGCACCTGAAGTCCAGTTATCTTTGTTGACTGCTGTGGTTAAATTATTCATTAAACGACCATCCGCTGGACAAGAGCTGGTTCCAAAAGTGTTGAAATGGTCTACTGAGGAAGCTGATAATCCGGATTTGAGAGATCGCGGGTTTATATATTGGAGGTTACTTTCTACTGATCCTGTTGCTGCCAAGGTATGCGTTGAAGTATGTGTTGTTGGTGCGTTGCGGTAGGAATTCGAGGGATTTGGTTTTGGTAGGATGTGCATGCACTAAAGAATGGTTTCTGTTCAAGAGTATTATTGCTTGCTTTTTTTACGCTTAACCCACGAGCCAAATACAAAATAGGCAGTAATTTTATCAGACAAACCACCGATATCCACTGAAACTGACAATATGGATTCAGCCCTACTGGATGAATTATTACTCTCCATTGCTACAATGGCTTCCATATATCACAAACCTGCTGTTTCATTCATTGGTGGATCCAAATCTAGAGTAGTCCCACAATCAAGGGCTTTGGTAACTCCTGTTATGAGAAGGACTGCTGCTAAAGATCCTCCAGCCAAGTGAGTGTCGAACTTTTTGAACATTATCTGCAGTTTAATTCTGTTGTCGAGTGGGTTGGGACAAAAAGCACGGCTTGTCTATCGCAATGCTACAGTAAAGCTTACTCTCTACCTCTACATAGAGTACAAAGCCTATACGAGAATGGTGTAATGTCGAATCCATACGCCAACGATATCAATCCAATGCGGGATTTGAACCTCTTGGATTTGGATCCAGTGGAGCACACTAATGTCGATGATGGATATGCTGCCTTTGGTGGTAGCAATAATGATTTCATGCCTTCTAACATGGGTAGTATGGGTAACTTTGGATCTAATGATGTATGTGGTGGTCTTGTGGTTGAGACAGAAGGGTTTATCAATCATTAGCTGCACTGCTTTTTTCACCGCTTTTTTAACGATATCGCGAACTCCCTCCTCATATAGTTCAACTCCAAGTCGGGCAGTGGCAACACAACAATAATAGAAACCAAGAAAACCTTTTCGTCAACCACGATAACACAACCTGGTAACATGATACAACAACCATTCAGTCAAGCACCTGTACCACAAGCTCAATCTAATATGATGGTGCTGGCCAATACCGTGAATGCCATGACGTTAGCGGCTTCCAATCATGAAGGTGGTGGTGGTAACAATGGTGGTATAACGGACTTGATGTCGTTACAGCTGCAGAATGGATTTGTCCCACCCAAGAGTGTTTATATGAATGCTCAGAGTGGACGCGGGTTGGAGGTGCAAGGAACTTGTAAGTATTATGCCTTTGGGTTCATCCATCCAGAATGATTGGATTCATATTTCCTTTGCATTTTGCAATGAATATACCTGACATAAATGTTTTGCTCATATAGTTGCTAGACGGCAACGTGAGATATATATGGACTTGACATTCACGAATCGAGCATTACAGCCTTTGACTGAGTTCTCGATACTCTTCAATAAGAATACGTACGTCGAACCCCTTACCTTCTTTCTTTGCTGTTGGCCTAGACTAATTCCACTTTTCCGCCAATACATGTGTTTAGATTTAGTCTAACGCCAGCTCAACCCCTCCAAGTACGGGTGCCACTCTTCCCAAACCAATCGTCAGAAACATCCCTCCCACTTAAAATCGAAGCACTCCCCCAACTCTCAAGCCCAGTAAACAATCTGCAAATAGCGCTGAAATCGAATGCTGGAATATCATACTTCCAAGTCCTCATACCGCTTCACGTATTGTTTATCGAGAACGGACAAGTGGAGCAGAATGAATGGCTCCAGATGTGGAAGCAGGATATACCTGATAGTAATGAAGTAAAGAGGACGTTGAATGGGCTGGTGTTTGGGAATGGTGGTGGTAATGGTGTGGAGTTGGTTAGGAGCAAGCTGGCGCTGAATAATGTGTTTTTGATTGCTCAGAGGAGCATTGAGTCTGGTTTGGTGAGTTTTCGAAATAGCGGTGGTTCTTTAGATTGGAATGTCGTGCTTGTCATGTTCCTGTACTATGAAACTTGTCATGTTACTGTACTATGAAACTCACGCGAATCTTGATACTTTGAAAACCGACACGTATGATTACTGACCCACCATATCAAACTCAATAGGTGGTATTGTACACATCAACAAAATTACAAGATGGAACTGCCTTCCTCTCTGAGATCAAGTTTGATGGTGGTATGAGGAATGCACTCGTGTCGACCAAATCGTATGCAGCACATTTGGTTGGAGTGTATCATGATGCTCTTGACGGAATAATGCATCATGTTTAAAGGATCATTGTCTGTGCATTTGGTGGAGTAAGACGATTGGTTGAGGCGCTTTGTACATAGCTTTGAAGCAGTTTTTATAATACGTGATATTTAGGGCAAGGATGGTGGCGCTTTCGTTGAGATTGGGTTGGAAACTATTTCTTGTGTGAATGCACGCGTCGTTTACTTTGCTACGGTTCTAAGTTGTTATGATTGTTCGACGAAACTTTGGTGTTTTCGAAGCATTTGAAACAGTGTGTTGGTGAATCCGACGACAGGGAAGAGATAATTGTAGAGATTCGAATGTATGTAAGCACGAATTCATTTGCTTTTTTCGTTTATTCATTGTAACCCTCTATCAACCTGATGTACTCAAAAGAGTCCCTTCACCGCTTGGGTCTTGTTTAAGAACACCACGCACCTCACTACAGAACGATGTATCTGTGCGATAAAGGCGAGCTCATTGCCGCGCAGGATCAATTCTCATACCTAGCACAATCTTGTGCGGCACTCACAACTCTTTAGTATTCTTTAAATTTTTTTGCTGAAACAATCTGTGGTCTTGAATATCAAATTTCTCTCAATTTTCAAATGAAACGTACATCTGACGTTCCTGGCCTTCTTCTGTTGACAAATTTTAAGCGGGAAGACTTCAGGCTTTCTTTGCCTAAAATTATTGTCGACTTATCCACGCGTCTGACGATGATTGGTCTTCTTCCAAGTCTGGATATTTATAGAATATGATCCGCGTTATTGCGTGTCGTGGTTTTCCCTTCACTTGTCTCTGTGTTGGACGTCTGCGTGTTTCAGATAATTCGATCGACAAGCGAATCAAGCGAAGGCGGAGTCAGTGAAAATTTAAGGTTTGTTGAGTAGCAGAGAATGAATGTGGATTGCCTAGGTGGAAGAACTGACACTCCTATCAAGTCAATATTTTGCAGAGAACTGTGGCCTGCGCAGGTATAAGAACTAGAATTCAAGGGCCAGAACACCACGCACCAGCAGTCATAATTGTCGCGTCTCCAGATGAACCAAAGCTGGTAGATCCGACATCCAAACCAGTTTACGGGAAGTCGGAGATCCGTCGCCCCTCACGTGCTTCCCTTATCCTCAAATCCAATCTCGAGGCCAATCAAGCTTGACGGTCTGGATGAACGGATTCCTTCAAACAATCCCTGGCACTACATGCATTGCCTTACCTTTGTGCCAAATACAGATTTGGTTGATGTGGTCTTGTGAGGACATGACTTGACGCATCTGTCTTTTGTGATGCCGCTGGGACCATATCCGCCACCTCCTCCTTTCAGTCGGGTGCAGCTCAGCACTCAAAATGCTATATATTGTTCAAGTAAGAATATTTTGCGTTGGACTTGTGCTTTTATTTCGGGCTTCCGGTGGTCTTGACGTGAACTTTAGTGTCAAACTTTCCCCCCTCACTCACGTTAGATGGGATATGGGTTGCAGTGGTTATATGCACCACGATACTGTTTATTCATCGTTCTCGACACGATGAAACGCTTGTACACTGTTGTAAGAAGAACTGCTTATGGGCAGCAAGGTACTTCAATTCATGGTGGTCGCCACGATTCGAGAACGTCGCTGACATTTGCATATCCAAAACTGTTCAAAAGCACCCTGATATGTAGTTTTCTGTCTGTGGGAATCGTCACCTCCGGAAACACATTGATATCCTGTACATTACCGGCCATCTTGAGCCCTTTCCCAGTAATACTGTGAGGAACTGTTTCGCTCGTTACCAATCAAAGCAAGCTTTCTAAAGCTAAATGTCACAATTTAGAGGAACTTGTGCCCTGTGGGGGAAGGCCCGAATGCTTCTTCTCAGAGCCAACCCAAAAGGTGAAGAGGCCAGCGACTGTGCTCGTGGTAAACCCAATACGGTCTTTTCTCAAGGTTTTCAGTCCTCTAACCCGCTCGTTACTCTCCAGCAAACAAGTGCAGCACCACAGACGTGGTGTTTTGGAGGATGTTATTTGTACTTTTGGGACTTGCTGTTGTTAGTGCCATTGCAGTACTGGTTGCGTCGCCTGCATGTGAGCTTCACGTCCGCTGATGATTCGAACACTGATACTATCAATTCTGAACTGACTTCTATCTTGGCAGACGGAATGCAAGCAATGCACGCTTGTGCTCTAGTGGAGACGATTTTACAATTGGAATTTATAGCGCTGTGGACACCTCCTATCGCGCTGGTGTTCTACATGATTTATTGGATATGTGCTACGAGGCATATAATGAAAGATGAGGTTTGTTCTGAGTCGTGCAGTGACATTTCTGTGCTTCGACCCTCTGAAATTATAGTCAATTAATAGCTGGGAATAAAGGCGGATGTGTCGTACACTTTCGTGAGTAAAAGCGGATTGGTAGCTCGTTTCATTTGATGTTTGCTAATTGGCATGTGAATTCTTAGTCAGCTTCATGTTTGATCTGGGCCTTATTCATCTTCTGGGATGCCACCGTTTCTTACAACCCGCAGTTGTATTCGGCGCTACCACCAATGCTTCTAGCGTACAGTGTCTCGTCTGCTGGATTCGTAATATCTGTAGTGAGTGGCCTCTAACTTGCTATACTTGGGACTAGCTCCTATTGACCCTTTCTAATAAATCAGATTCGACCACTCTGGAAATCTTGCGGTATCTGCCAGCGGATTCTCCGCTTACTCCCGTATTCAAAATGGGCAAGGGAAAAGGATGTCGAAATGCTACTCGACGAAGTCCATTTCCAAAAGCTCCTGAGGCATCCGGAGCTAATAGCCAAGTTCAAGGCATTTGCTGCCAAGTCTTATTGCATGGAGAACGTCTCCTTTATACAGAACATGACACGAATATACGACAAGACATGCCCAGCACCTCTACCAGAACTATCCAAATCAAGATTTTCGTCCGTGCTGACCTTTGCTTTTGCCACTATAACCCGCAAGTCTGAGAAAGAGCATACCACACTCTCTCGAAGGGTCCCGGCCGTTGCTGAAGTGGAAGCACCAACAGCAATAAACGTACTGCCTCCTGACTCATGTCGTCAACTACCGAACGTGATGGAGGTTACGTGTACCGGAAGCAGAAATCCCTGCTCTGCAAGCAACATGTCGCTATCGGGAAGGCCAGACTACAAGTTACTAATACCAGACCAAACCCAATATTCTTCGCACCTTTCTTTTGCCACCAATGTGGTGCGATCGAGCTCTATTAGTAGCTCAAGTGGCGATGGAGGAGGAGATCAGTTCCGAAAAAAGTCGCTCTCCATTTTAGCGCCTTGGGGTCCCAAGCTTCGGTCGTCTTCAAACATTTCCGTCTCGATCACAGGAGATTCCCGACAATTGTCTTTGGTTATTCCATTCGAGCTTTTACAGGACTGTCGAGGTATTGTGGACTTGTATCTCAGGAAACGATCTATGAATGAGATTAACGTGCCCATCAGGTATTGATCGCATGTTCTTGGTCCTGTTGGCATTCTGACGGCTTCTGACATGAACCATTGTCTGTCTGTGTATAGACTTTCAAGACCAGTTGTAGAAGCCTTTGATGCGTATTTGAGTGGTGGACCACCACCTCTACTGTTCCTCTTTAAGCCAGTCATTCGCGATGTCGCAAAGGGCCTCTTTGAGAACATGTAAGCTTTTGAGACAAACGAAGAAAAGAGGATGGCTTGATGTCTTACCAGACACGTTCATCAATAGATATCCAAAATTCCTGTCAACGCTAAAGTGGGATGATATGCAGAAACTACGGACGGCGCCTGTGATACATCAGGACCGATACTTTTAAGTCACGGAGACTCGAATAATTGTAGACAATCTTTAATGTGTATAGAATATCTACCATTTAGCCACTACCAAAGCCGTCTGCGAGAAATCGAGTTATTTTATTTTTTGGAATTTGAAAAATTACAAAGGAACTTCCAGCAACAGACTTCTAGGACCCGCAGCAACAGCTTTCTCGCCCATATCTCTATTTGGCGCTGATTTCTCAATCTTAACAACATGTCTATGCAACAAAAACCATGGTTTTCTATATTGGAAAGTGCTTGAAAGTATACTACAACAACAAACAACCTCTAAAACTCCCTTCTCGGCCCACGTCCTCTAGCCCCACTAGCACCAGCAGCAGCAGCCTTCTCACTCTTATCCCTCTTGGCAAAGATCTCCTTCAACTTTTCCTTCTTCTTGTTACTCTGGAAATCTTCCTCCTTCTTTTGCTTCTTGCGATACACATCCCGTCTAGCATCATCCGATGCTTTACGTTTCAGTGCCTTTTCGTTCTTGATGGTGTTTAGTTCCTGTAGTAGAGTATAAACCTTCTTTTCGTGTGGTTCGAGTACGACGGCACGACGATCCAGGAGGGCTGGTTGAGATCGCTTTTTGAGGAGTTTGGGCTTGGAGGCAAAGGGGAGGTCTGCTTGTAGTTTTCGTGGGATTTGGAGGGGGTTGAAACGACGTGTTTTTCGTTCGATTTGCTAAAAGACATAAGAAAATTAATAATGATTGTCTATAAGTCTTGACACTCGGGGCTTCTTTTTCTATTACCTTGTACAAAGAGTCCTGATTCAGAGGAACTTCTATACCAGCTTCTTTACGCAGCTCAGATACAGGTCTCATACCATGCCATTCAGTCTTTGATGACAAGAGTAGAGACGTGACGGGATTACAAAACTTTTTGGGTTTGATGGGATACCATGCTCGTAAAAATACAATATCTACACACAGGGACGATATAAAAGGATATGAGTTTGAGCTCATGACATGGTTGGATTCTGGAGAGTCATGCAATGCATACCACTCATAAGAATCTTATCCTCGAAAGCAGCTCGGAAGGCACCTTCAGGTTTCTATCAAACCAATTCGTCAATAAATGGCTGTTTTTTTGCGCCGGACCATCTCAGAACTCACCGAAGCAGGCTTCTTGACTTGTCCGCGAATACCAGACACGGTCCTAATACTTGCACCTTCAAATCGGGCTACTTCCAGAGCAGACGTAAACATGTCTTTGATGAAGGCAGTGTTTTTGAAGATCTTGTATGGAGAGCCAGTCAGTTTCAGTTTCTTGACCACTTCGACAGTTTGGTTGATGTCGAGGACTACTCCTGTAGCACTGACTCGGAATGAAGGCTAAATAAAAAGATTTGCGTCGATAAGCAAAAAAAAATAACAAAGCACATGTAACATTTGCAACTCACAGATGCATCAGAAACATTCTTGAATGCACAGAATCCAGTATTTGGTGGTGTTATTGGACCTGAGGAGAGTTAATAAATTGAGGTCAACCCAGCGAAACAAAAACAAATACGTATAATATCATATCATTATACCATAGATGGTAGCCAGACAATGCATATGCTCTGGCGTATACTTGAGCAATCGATTCCTAGTCCCATCATTGATGGAGTATATAGGAAGGCTCTGGAAACGACGCCATCCAACTGAAAATACCAACGGATCATTGGATTTCAGGATTCGTCGGTGCCAACGATGTCTCTTGATTCGAACCTAGCATCAGCGAAAAAAAGCCATATAAGTTGGCGGCCAACTTAGTAGTACCATTCTGACACACACCTGTACAAATCCGTAATTCTCCTCAAAAGGCAGCAACCCACCCATCAAAACAGGATACGTAGGATCAAAGTGCTGGATGAATTCACACGGCATGTGACGAATCACCAGACGAACATATGTGCCTGGTAAATATCCATGTACAGCTACTCTTGTATCATCGTCCATATCAGCAGCCTCGTATTCCTGTTTATTTAATAACTGTTGTCGCGTTTGTTCTTCCTTGAATGTTTCATATAAGTTATCCTTTTTCGAATCGTCGTCATCGGATCCATGACCATCGTAATCTGCATCGAATTTTTCCTTGAGACGGGCCTTCTTGGCTGCTATATCGTCATGGCTTGGTTCGTGAGATTCGTCTGGTTCTTGGTGTTCTGGTTGTGGTGGTGGTTTGACTGTTTCGCCAGTTTCGAGATCTTCAAAGTCTCCATAGTCTTCTTCATCATCGGCATTAGTATTGGAATTTGATGATGCGGGTGTGTTTGATGGTTTGGCGCCAGTGATGAAACGATGTCGGATGGAATCAAGCACCTACAAACGAAACAATTAGTCCCTGAGAAAACGACTCAATAGGTCTGCAACAAACCTCACCTCTTCATCTTCCCATTGCTCCAGCTCCTTTGTAGGCACTTCAACTTTACAAGTATCAAACTTCATCATGATATCTACTCGTTTCTGTTTAGGTGCCTTGACTTTGAAAAGACCGCCCTCATCAGCATCGTCATGCACTGCTCCCTCATCATCACTAGCGTCTTCACCATCATCGCTTGCATCTTCGGGACCATATACTATTTCCATTAGAGTCTTTTTACGAGCAGTAAGACCCATAAATGATGATTTCGCTTTCTCAGACAATTTCGACTTCCACTTTGGAGAATCTGTCATTGAGCCGTGATCGTCTTCATCTTCATCAAGTTCTGAATCAGATTCGGCAAATGCTATTTCGTCTTCATCTGGCTCTTCATCGACATCGACGTTATAGTCCTGTTGAGCATCGCCCTCTTCATCGTCTAGCTCTTCTTCATCGTCGTCGGCTTCGAGCTCAAAGTCTTCATTTCCATCAACATCCATAGCACCATTTACATCATCTTCTTCGTCTTCTTCTTGGTCATCACCTTCATTATCGTCGTCTTGGCCTTCATCGCCAAACACGACACGACGTCTCTTCTTTCCATTGTCATCGTTGACTGTTTCTTCCTTCAAGTCTCGTGCTCTCATAGGAGTCGATGACGAGAAGACGCGAAGCTCAGACTTCTCTATAGTATCAGCGAATGTAGACGGAGCATCTTGTAGATTCATGACCATTTTTTCTCCTGGTCCTCTTTGGGAATCTGTTTGGATATGAAGATATGAGTAGGAAAAACAAGCCGTTTGATGCAGTAGTATTGTGCTCAGGTTGCCTCACCATCCTTGTCACCCTTCTTCGAAAACGTTCCCAAAACATTGACATAGACAGCATCTTTATCATACAAAATACCACCCACATCAGACATGGGTGCATAAATCATCTTTTGCTTGTCTGACAAGGATTTCCGGACTTTGTCGGGCAGCGGACATGGATCTGGTAGAGCAGTCATTTCTGATATGACACGGTCACCGACACCAGGAATATGTACCTACGAATCGATTATCTGGAGTGTCAGGAACAAATCTCAAAGGAAGCAAAAACAACCCCCAGGGGGTGGTCCCCAATACCTTTGAATCCGGCTTTAAATTCACTCCTCTCAAATATCCATACATAGTAACAGTTCTATCAACTTTAGGATCCGTTCGAAGCAACTCAGGATCCGTAACATCCTCTACTCGATCAGCTATCACATAAGGATGCGAATTTCTCCAAATCAAAGGTCGGAACTTCATCACAGATATGAATCTCGATAGATTCAAGATTTCTTGCTTTGGGTATCGTCCATGAATCAGTCCAGATAAATAAAAGAGTTTGGCACCTTGGTAGATTTCAGTCCAGAAACGATGCTTTAGTTTCTTTTTCGTATTTTTAAGAGTCTTGTTGTGTCGAAACTTGTCGAGATGCGTTAGGACTCCCATTACTCGCGGGAAGCCGTGGACTTGAATGATGTTTAAGAATTCGAATGTTTCCTTTGGAGTGGTAAAAAGGTGAGCAAAAAAAACCTAAGCGTATGGACAAGAAGTGGGTAACTACCATTTCAAACCCAAACGAAGCATCAATTAGGAGCAATACAAGATCCGCAATCTTGGCAACATCAATCATGGAGTTCAAATCGTTGTTACATTCGATAAATGTCAGTCTCCTCTTCTTGCCTGGCGTTTTTCTCAAAGTTAGCTCCAGTCAAAAGCCATGTGTAGTGTGACACGCAACGTACCAGATACGACAGTAATAGGTCCTTTAATGTCATTCAAATTGTGATTTGTAAATCTTTTGACCAACGACTGGATCAATGTAGTCTTGCCACTCTAGAAGACACCCAAAAAGTGAGATCAAAGTGGCTCCCCAAGAACCAAACTGTCTCCAATAGCAACGTACTCCTGAAGGTCCTACAACAGCCACGATAACTGGTGGTGGTTCAGCAGGTGTTCTATCAATCAATGGCACATGAAGTCGCTTTTGTTCCAATTGGACATTTCGTTCTGCATTCTTTTGAGCCTTTCTGGTCGAGTTTGGTACGAATGCCTGAAAATGAAGCAGTAGAAATGAATGAGATGACGGTATCTAGAGGTTGAAATTACACCACAATGTCAAGGAACTTGCCTTTGGATTATTTCCCTTTTGAGGAGCAGCTCCTTTCTGTTTCTTCTTGGACTTCTTGTCCTTTTTGGGACCAGCAGAGCGCTCACGATGAGCTTTACGCGGATCACTTGATGCTGTCCCCGCACCGCTCTCCATGTTTGTCTAGTTTGCGTTTCTCACTGTTGGTTTGGGGTTTGAAAAAAAAAATGTTGAAGAACATATAGAAAACACTTGAATGGAGAAATTGAAGGTGGAAATGTGTAGAAAACGTGTATTTAATCATAGAAAAACATGCCAAATAGGAGCGATCGTCTTCAAGAATCGTGTTCATTTCGTTCCTGCTCGATACGCAAAGTTCTTCACTTGATTCAGTTTTGTATGTGATATGGTTGTCAGCACAGTAAAGAACGCAGGAGCCCCTAGAGAATTCTTCCAAGTGATTCGACGTGAAAAAATCTCACAAACCGTGGCTAACTGCCTACTGTAGTGACATCCAAACCTCATTGGTTAATTTGTTCATTACTCGAAAGCTTTGTAAAGGAAATAGGAGATGGGGGAGGCTAATGATCCAAAGCAGAAGGCATTCAGTATGGTAAGTAATTGCATTAAGTATTCATTCGGTCTTGGTTCTTTGTTTAGTGTTATTATACTAATGGATCCAACAAAATCACTCGACAGGTTCGACCATATTGCGTACAGATGATGCAAGAGCAAGCATCATGTACTCTGCCACGTGTCATGCCATGTCTGACACGTCTCGCAGACATTCTATTGGAAGTATCTCGTGAATTCACCGACATCAAACAAGTAATGTCGGTGCTTATCGAGTACATCTTCTTCCCTCTAAGCTTGATCATAAAGCACCCTCAAGTCTCTAATAATAATCTGGAAGCTTCATTACGCATTGCTGCAATCGTATTGGAGCTCTCCCCGTCGATCCCCAAGCCAATTTGGAGTGATTTTATGGTCATCATACCTACATTATTATCTGCAAAGTCTAAGAAACTCAACGAGGAAACCAAATTATGGTGTGTCAAGTGTCTGAAAGCACTTGTCAGTAAACCACCAATAGAATGGAAGATGTTTCCAATACCCATAATAGCTGAAATCATCACGCAATTGTTGGATTTAGCTGCTACGGAAAAGCTACTCGAGTTACAAGTCGATTCGTTATCGTCTCTGCGTATAATTGTCAAGAGCATACCAGATGCACCCATACTGATACAATTCACACCAGGAGTGATATCAGGTTTGGTGAAGGTCGCTCTCCGTGACAAGAAGGATCATCATACGATTATAGAAGGTGCTATATTAGGTATAGATGAGCTTCTCTGCAGAGTATTCGATGATTCTCTGTATCCTCATAATGAGAGGATTGCCAATGTCAATCAGGCAATACAGGATCTAGTAAAGAACAAGGAAGCAACAACACCAAAACTTCCACCTGTAATCGCCAAAAGCTTGCAGCCACTAGGTCAAGCTATAAACACTCTTACAGCAGCATTGCAGACACATCCGTCTCCATATGTCAGACTAGCTCTATTGACCATGGCTGCTAATGTGTCGCAAAAGTGTCATCACACTCTTAGCACGTCACTCCCACGACTATACGAGACCCTTATATCATACTGGGACGACCCAAACATACTCGTATCCGCAGCATGTCAAGAACGTATAAAAGATATAGTCCCAACGCCGATCCTGAAGTCGAGCTTCCAACTCTTTCTTCAAGGACTACCTCGAAAGCTAGAACGAGGCTCTGAAGAAGAGAAATTAGGTGCATTGTCAATTGCATCAGGATATTTAGTAGTGCTGAAAGATCATGCACCTGTAGCTGTATCTATAGCATTAGCTAAACTGACGCCAGGACTGATTCATGCTCTGACATTAGAAACATCTGATGTCGGGCTAGTGGAGGCTCGTATTGCTGGTGGACTGCTCGATACGCTATCATCAGGGCCAAGCGATGTTGTAAATATAACGACGTTTCCAAGACGTCGATTCGTCTACTTTAGAGATCAACGAGTAGAAGCAGCTGTAAATACTTTCTTACGTAAACTGGTAGTTTATGGAGATGTGTATCTCCTATTCGATCATTTGACGTCCTTATTTCGAGGGACTGCCTTATCTGGAGAAGTACAAGCAGAAAGTCTGTATGTGTTGAATGAATTCTGCCTTGGATTGGTATCATCTGATGGTAGAGATAGTAAACATAATAATGTCAATGACGTTATAAAATCGCTGGTTCAGGATCTTGTCAGTTCTGGAATCCTAGAACTAGGTGGTCGATATACAGCAGATAATGCATCATCATCTACATCCAGCCTGGAGCCAAAGTCAAGTGCTGCAGCAACAGCTAGTCAGTCGGAGCAGACTGTTGCTGATCAGAATGCCAACATATTAAAAAAGTCGCTCGTGCTTGAAACCATATCATCAGCCTCTCGCGTACTAGGAACGGACTTTAAACCACTGCTATTATCAGCTCTATATCCAATCCTCACATGTCTCTCATCGACATCCCATCCAATATCTTCGTCAGCATCGGCCTCCCTGTCTATAATATCGAAATCATGTAATTACACATCCACATCGCAAATGATGATTGATAATGTCGATTACATTGCAGACTCTGTACGTAAACGACTCAAATATGTATCGTTGAATCCTCATGCTCCGCAGGTCTTGAATGCGGCAGTTATGGTGGGTGGGATCAAGATTATAGATTATTTAGATGACTCGGTGGAAGAAGTATTGGAAGCTTTGGATTTGAGTGGTGTGGCACAGAGTCAGCAAGGACAGGAACTCGTATCTGTCCTGCTCACGATTCTGGAGACGTTGGATGCACAGTCTAAGAGTGAGGCTCCTTCTGCTGATAAGGCAATGGCAACCGAAGATGTAAAGCCCGATGAGGATTTGAAGGATGGGTTTAAAGGCGTATCTGAAGAGATGCGTAAATTCTATCTACTGAACTATAGTCATGCCAAGCCTGCAGAGAAGTCATCAGAGCCATCTAGTAAAGCCAAGATGGAAGAGATTGAAGAATTCTTCTCTGCTCGACATGCCGCTAAAGGTGAAGCCGATGAAGAGCAGGACAGTAATAGTGATGTCGAACGAGATGCTGCTGAGGATGAAGTTGCAAATAATAGTCAACCAAACGATCCACCCTTAGCCCCCGTATCACGAGCAGAACGACTAGCCCACGTCTGCCTCTTGAAGACTCGTCACTACCTAAGTTCAGACTCTACATTCCTATGTCTGGTAGCTTTACAAACAGCACGAACAGCGCTTCCTTTGCTACGGAATCCAGAAACCCGGGATACATCCATTCACGCAGTTTGGCCAAGTGTATTGTCACGTCTATCAGATTCCAATACTCCGGTCGCCATGGAAGCTGCTCGAGTAATCAGCATAATCGCAACCGTAAGTGGGGACTTTGTATCTAGGCGAGTCATTGAAGGTGTTTGGCCACGAGTCGAGCATGTCTTGAATGCCTTGATTACAGAATTCTCGTTACACAGTCAACATCATAATAGTCCCAGTAGAGCGAAATCTGTAATGATGCCACCAGACAAGTACTCCAGTAAATCCAAACTCGTCAGATCCATCCTCGAGATCGTAACTACTATAGCACATCACGTACACACAAAAGTAGGAGACTCGAGACGAGTAGTTAATGTCATATGGCCTTTATTATCGTCTCGTGTCTTTGGGAAGGATGTATCCGATGCTGCTATTCAAGCTCTAGTAGCACTTGGATCTGGCCGTGTAAAAGATACTGATGGGATATGGAATGTCTTGTCTGTTGCTCGTGGTGTGACTAGGCTCTCACGAGAAGGATTTAGGGATGTTGAATGGCCAGCATGGTATGTTGACTCTGTGCGTCAACATGGTAGTGTACAAGACTTTGAGGAGCCGTCGTTGCAGGTTATGAATCAGTTGGGGCTTGTAGTATAGAATGTGGGATGAATGGAATGATGTTTACATACATGTGTTGCTGTTAAAGTTTTAATTTAAGATACTCAACCAAACAAGTGGAGTGTGTTAGTGTGTAGTGTGTTGGAATGGTATGTTTGGGCGCACTGTTTTGAATTCGGTTATTTACGCGACTTTTTTGTTCACACAGATTTGGAAGATAACGAACTTTATGCGGGATTACAGTCTCATTTGACCCTCCTTTAACGACACGTCCTCCCCCAAACTCTTCTCTTGATGTTAGTCTTCGTTCTTTTCGTGACACTCAAGCTGAAACGAGGTGATTTGCACGTTCAATGCGCTTTCAATTGCTTGAACAGCTCAATAGTTCTGGAATTGTTCTCCTACCTCCGTCACCCACACCTACATTGCCTTCACCAAACCTAGCATTCCAAACACATTTTGTGTGAAGAAACAGCAACACCAACCACATTCAGAGTAAGAGAACACAATACACTACTACAGAGGGTCACGGAAAGAACGCCGATGTGGAAAAACAATGCCGCTGGAAGTCTGACTGGTTAAGAAATTCAGCATTGAAGAATCCAGTCGCTTCAACATCACCAATGCTCCCACTTTTCGATAAATCTAGACGGTGAAACTTCTTTCAGGAGCATCAAATTCGAGATTTTTCGTCCTTGTTGACATACTAGTTGAGTATGATCGACGGTCCGTGACTCCATTTGTACATTTATTGTTATGGTACAGTCTTCATGTCTTCACCACAGTATCCAACATTTCACATTTCAAGTATTTAATAAACGATTCATGTTTGATTATCTTGCTTTTTGCGCGCTTTCGTGACGCCTTTAAACTTTCACAGGAAATTTGACCACAAATGTCAGCGCTTCAAAAATACTTATTAAAGAGCAAGACAGTCGCGAATGCCTCGGATCTACCACCAACATTCGCTATGCCAGCTCCTATGGCGAGGTAAACTCTGTTCGCAAGTCAAATCGCAGCATTCTTGAGCTAAAGCATGACATTTCAAAATTTGTTCGCAAACAAACCCCAATACTGAATGTTGAATATTTTCTATTAAATTTAAAGGAAATCTGCAGCAGACTACGAGCCTCTCCCGTGGCAAAACTACTTTGACTCATCGAATGATTTAAACATTGCAAACACGAACGATGCCTTTCGCGTATACCAAACCAGAGGAAGCAATAGTAGCAATAACAGTCCATTATTCTACTTTCATCATGGCGGAGGACATTCAGGATTGACGTGGGCTCTAGCTGTAAAAGAATTGAAGAAAGGATTGCTTGGAGAGTCTTGCTCCACGTTATGTTTTGATTGTCGCGGACATGGTATGTATCTATTTGATAAGAACTATTGATTTCTGTATTGACACGTTGTAAACCAGGTGCAACAAGAGCAGAAAACGAATCAGACTTATCTCTGTCACGTCTTTCAAACGATTGTGTTAATGTTATTAACGCTGCATACCCTGAACTGCCTAAAGAGATTGTGCTGGTTGGACATTCGATGGGCGGTGCTGTTGTTGTAGATGTCGCATCTCGGGGGCTGATTAAAAATGTGATTGGAGTGGTTGTGTTGGATATTGTTGAAGGTTTGCTCAAACATTATTCAACTAGCAGACTTTTTCAGCCTCAGTACTGACTCGACATATGTAGGAACGGCAATGGAATCTTTAAATTATGTGCTCAAGTCATTACTGGATCGGCCGCCTTCTTTTCCATCCATACAAAAGGCTATTGAATGGAGGTATCCTATTGACTCATGTCGTGCTCAGGTTTTTTCTCTCATAAGTTACTTTCCGTGTTTCACAGTCTCAAGCATGGAGGCAGCAAGAACATGGAAGCTGCTAGGATATCAATACCGTCTCAGATACGGCCGTCACAATATAGCGATGATGGCAAAGTGACGTTGTATTCTTGGAGGACTGATTTGACTGCATCGGAACCGTATTGGACGGGTGCGTAACCAAGTAGTTTGAGATGTTATGGAAGTGTATGTCTAACCAGTGGCACTGGTTAGGTTGGTATGATGGAATGTCATCCAGGTTTCTTGCAGTGAAGGGTGGTCGTCTCATAATTTTGGCTGGTAAGACTTTTCGATCGTAATACCACATGCACGAGTAACTCATATGGCTTTAACGCTTTGACAGGAACTGATCGACTTGACAAGACTTTGATGATTGGACAAATGCAAGGTTTATAAAGCAAAAAAGAATCCTTTAACCGTTTGACTAAAGACTCGCATCTGTCTCTAGGTAAATTCCAGATGGTGGTATTGAATGAAGTGGGGCATAGCATACAGGTATGTCTCGTGGGTATTGTGAAGCGGCCATGAAAGTACGTATCAGATGACACCTTCACGATGAGTAGGAGGATGCACCGACTCATCTGGCACGACAGCTCGAGATATTTTATGATCGCAATAAAATGAATGTTGGCATAAAACGATTCGTGATACCTTTGAATCCTGCAGCGACAGGGAGTGGACATCAGCATGAACATACAACTGAATAGAAGCAGTATACTTGAACAATGTAAATACACGAAATACACGTTTACCATGTGTGACCAAATCACGAGATTCCGTTCATAGAAAAGAAACAACGTGTCCTTTTGGGTTTCGCATTCACACTCTCATTTCGTTCCTACACACTCCCATAGCAAAACAAAGTAGACGACCCCCAACAAAACAAGAAGAAAAATGTCACCAGTGCCATTCTCCGATATTGGCAAGTCGTCCAGCGACTTGTTGTCCAAGGACTATCCCATTGGAGCAACCAAGCTTGAAGTCAACACAACTGCTTCAAACGGAACGGTACGTGGAGAGCGTATAAACGGGTGGAGAAAGCATATTATTCTTTTATATTGCTGTTTATATTGATGGACAGATTTGCCATCCAGCACTTGTTGAGCCAGTTGCTCGCAAATAGACGTCATTTGTGTTTTACACGTAGAATTTTTTGGCAACATTTGATGCTCACACAACTTTTAAATCTTTGCAATAGAAATTCACTGTGTCGGGTGTACAAGATCACAAATCAAGTGCAATCTCTGCTGACTTCAAGAGCAAATACCCTTACAAGCCCAGCGGTATGTAGACAGCTAGGGGGTCATGTATTGTTGTGTGTGTGCGTCGGCGAAAGCATAACAAAAGCTTAAAGGGACACATAACAACACTATTACACATTTTCCAATATGTTTGCTCGTTTTCTGCTCTCTGTATATATTTGTACTCAACTCTAACTCGACCTTAGGCTTGGTGCTGACCGAGTCATGGACTACCGGCAATGTCTTGAGTCTCGAAGCTGAACAATCCGACACACTCGTTAAAGGCATGAAACTCACATTGCTCACATCCCTCCTCCCTGCTTCTGGGTATGCCAAATACATTAATCTCTCGAGCGTTGGTGGTTTTTGCATATGCAATATCTCTTAACCCCTCTCACTTTAGTCAACGAAGTGCTAAATTCTTCGCTGAATACAAGAACGCCAACCTCCTTACTCGTGGTAACGTCGATCTGCTCAAGGGACCCATCATCACTGAAGATATTGTTGTTGCGTAAGTGTGCAAAAAAAGCGGCGAGTACTATCCATGTATTGTTTGACACGTCGTTTCTCCAACCCTGCTCTTAGATCGGATGGATTCTTGGTTGGTGGTGAAGTAGCATACGATGTTGCTGGTGCCAAAGTGACTCGTTACAATGCTGCTCTTGGATATGTTGGACCCGACTATGCTGTTGCTCTCCATGCGTAAGCTCATCGATCCTCTGTTTGAACTCGCATGCATCCAATATGAACCTTATACGGATCGTTTTTACTATAGTACCAATGCATTCGGATCATTTACTGCTTCCTACTTCCACAAAGTCCGAAGTGATGTTGAAGTTGGTGCCAAAGCTCACTGGAACCGTTCTTCTGACTCGTCAGTATCAATTGAAGCTGGTTCCAAATGGGTGTTGGATCGTGATTCCTTCATCAAGGTAATTGCATAGCTATTTGCATGAGTGTGTATAATGCTTGTCACGGTACAGCTTTTGCTGTCGCACTGCGAAGCAAATGATTGGCAGAAGTATAGCAAACTGACGCTACATATCAAACTCCAGGCCAAGGTTAACTCTGCTGGTCATCTTGGTTTGGGTTACAGCCAAATCTTACGTCCTGGTGTTAAATTGGGTCTCGGTGCTACTCTTGACACTACTCGTCTCCAAGCAGATGTTCACAAAGTCGGAATGTCTTTGGCATTCGACTTTTAAGGGGACTAGTTAACAAACAAAATTAAAAACCAAATCATAAACAGTTGTAATCAAAACAGGGGGCAGTAGGTAGAGCTATAGGTGGAATGGAGGGTGTCTGAAAAACATGGCTTTTGTGGAACCAACGAATGAGGGAATCATATTTTTTGAGTTGTTGCTTTTTTTTCTCTTGTTTTGCAAATAGAATCCAAGTTTTTTCTGAATCCAATCCCGTCCTTTGTGTGCGCTATTGTTGTTGCTAATTGTTTGGTGCTCTGTGTGTGGTTTGACTGCAGTATAGCCAGACCGCGAGTTTGAGCAGTGACCAGACCCGGACACTTAAGGTCCTTCTAGGCAGGCACCAACCAGTTCTTTTCTGACGACGCTGACGGAATCCTCTCATGCTGCCTCGTAGATAAACGCCAAGCAGTTGCTCCAGAGGTTGGATTAGAGTAACGTTGTATTTTGAAAGGAAATACAATTCACGGCAAGCGCACCCGTTGGCTTTGTTTAACCAAAAACAACCTTGAAGTCAGCAACGTTGGCGGGGATCTAAGTTAACCAAAGGGTTAATGTTTCAAGCATCATGATCTTAATAGCGGCTCAAGTACTTACAACAGTAGTTGTGACGGAAATGACCTTCTTGTCGTCGTTGAAGTAGAACTCTTGGTAGTTACCATCGTCAACGTGATGTCCGGTAGCATCATCATCTTCGGCGTGCTCAATAACAGTTACCATCTTCTTGGCGGCATCGACGGTGATCTTTTGTGGTGAGATTCTGTTGGGAAAGGAAGTGGTGGTTAGCTTTTAAGTTTCAGTGCAAGTAACCAATGGATGCATGTAGCAGATCTGTAAAGTGGAAACGCAGATCTGAGAATGCCGAGAAAAACACGTTGCTCTTACTTGAAGTTTTTGATTTTGCCACTGGCAGAAGCTTCAGCCAACAAGCTCAACATCTTGGAGTATGGAAGGACACCGTCAGCACGGGTTCCTGAGACACCTTTTAATGTGTGTGGAACATCGGGCTAAAACAAAGTAGGTGTGAGTGACTTTGTGTCATGCCAAGGAAGCTCTCAAAGAAGATACACTTTTGTGATTGCAAACGCTTACAGATGCGAAATGAGTAAACATCTTGGCAACATCACCAGAGCCGAAGGCTGCAAAAGCGTCCACAACGATTTGTTTGATTTCGTCTTCGTATGCTAATTGACAGTAAAGGAAGGGTCGTTAATGGGATGTACGTCAAGTAATGGCAACGATACTCTTGATGCGTGTCATATCAGTATGTTTCTTGCTTCCTACTCCGTCAAACACCATCTGCGTGCGTCGTTGCGTCTTTTTTCAAAGAATCGAAAGGCAAACATCACATCATCAACGCTGAAGTAAACTGCGGGAAGTACTTACCCATTTTGCGATTGTTTGCTTGAGGTTTAGAGGGTGGTTTGAAGGTGTTTTGGATGTTTTTGAAGGAACGGTCAAATTTCTTTGTGCCCCTGAGCGTCTTTCGGCGTTACACATGCTGCACATGCCCTGTTCGTACAGGAAAAAACACTTCCGAAGGCCTGAGTCGCGGATCGGGCAATTTTAGTGTGCATTATAGTAACAGAATTGATATATCAACTTATCTAACAGCTCCGCATTGAAGGAAAACTGTTGGTTCAACACAAAGTTGAACTGACTTTGATTGTTTCCGTGCAACGATTTGACCGATTATCCGCTTTATAGTAATATGAAATCAGTATTGCTTTTGTATCGATAGAATGTTGTCAACGGCTACATATGTAGTGAATCCGCCGCACTGTGAATGTCGTTGGCACCCCAACACGGAATTGTTCCTTTGCTGTTCCAATACATGACAGATACACCGATATTTCCGCAACCGTACCTATTCAGAAATCACAGGATCGAATGAATCTAATTGTTCTGACCAGTTGACGGTCCTGCCCCTGGATGATGGCAATCCTTAGCTTCAGACCGTAACACCGTAACTGTGGTGGAATGCCACTCGAGTAAACAAGCTGCATTCAAGCCTCGCTGACGACCATTCCATCTTTTTTTGTTACCTCTACACTGATCATTTCTAGAATTAATCAAATCGTCAAGAGGCGTGGTCTCTGTCCTCAACATTTGGATTGATACTAGCACGTCGAACAGTCATCCAGTACAAATGAATGCTGACCGGATACAAAGATTGTTACTACTCCTTTGGCATGTTGAGTTGTCGAGTATTTTGGAGAAGGAACAAGTACATTGACTCGTCATCCATTCATCAATCGGGATTTGCGTGCTTTTTGGACTCGCAGCAATTTTTTTCTTAAAATCATTACGTACAAACCACGCATTCCGTAATACAAACCACAATTTGAATTGCATCGTTAGATACCAACTCACAGATTCAAGAAACTGACACGCACACTTCTGAACTTGTCACAAATCCTATCGCACACATTCAATCACTCTTTTAATTCAAACTAAATCACAACCTCTAAAGGCATCAGTTCCAAGTTAAACAGTGTGGCACAGTGTAGCATTAAAGTCTTGCAGAAGCAGGTTGAGGCCATCGCTACGTGAAGTGAGAAGTTGTGAGCAACTCTCTTACATGTGTGGTTGGTTTCGGTTTTTTACCTCAATGTTGAAATCATTGATATTCGGAGCTTCCATAGCTTTAATGAACTCTTCCCAAGTGCCCGGCCAGATAGCTGAGAGAACGTGTTCGACTGTAAGTTACTATATCTCAACAAGGTCGGCAAAAGATACGAGAACCACATACCAGTAAAACGCCCATTCTTGGATTTATACCAATTGCCGCATGCTAGAGACCATACACTAAGACATTTCAAAATCAACATGATTTTCTTAATCATCAAAGACGATCGGCTATTTTTTTGCTGCACTTACGTCGTCGGGAAGAAGCTCAGAGCGTCATCATTCCATTTGCGTTGTACAGATTCTTTCACTTCCACGCTCTTGACTCTGTTTTTCATCATGAATTGGATGGTTTGCACAACATACATTGTCTAGTAGAAAAAAGTTTTGATAAGTCCAACAATCGAGCGATTGTAACAACTGCTCTGTGAAAAAACATTATAGACATACCACTGCTTCAATAGCAGGTGGTGCAGATCCAAAGCTCCATGGCTAAAAAAAGCCGTGTCGTCAGTAGAGTTACGCCGATACAGCTTTCTCGACACCCCCATCACTTACAGCATTAACACCCATCATGAAAAACATATTCGGGAATGTCTTTGTAACAACTCCCAAATAACCCTCAGCATCATCAGCAAACTCCTCAGCAATACTCTTTCCTCCTCTTCCAATGATTGGGAAACGTGGCTTGAAATCAGTTACAAATCCAGTAGCGTAAATCAAGACATCCAGTTTCCTTAATTCGCCAGTTTTGAGAACAATTCCTTCGGGAGTTACACGTTCGATTGTGTCTGTGATGACTGATACGTTGGGTTGTTGGACGGCGGACAGGAAGGTCGCACTCATTGTCAGTCTTCTGCACCCAACTGCAAAGTTTGGAGTCTACGAGTGTGTGAGGAGTGTGTGAGCAGGTATTAATAGACTGGACTTCCGTGTCTCGAGTTTTAGCAAAAATAGTCGGACTTATTTAAACAGGGCAATCGATAATGATGCGACGGTCAACCTTACCAATTTCTTACGAAGCACAGGATCTTTAACCTCGGCTTCAAGTTTGGCCAGCGATCGTTGTCTAATCCGGTTTTGCATTCTGGAACCGGTCAAGAAGAGAGGCCAGGCTTTCATCAAGTCCTAACACAATGATGTGAGAAACCGCAATTCACCGAAAAAGTAATGCCTCTTAGTACGAGCGAAAACATCAATCCTTACATTCCAAAGTCCTTCCTGATACTTGTCCAAGACACCAGGCTCTTCACGGAACTTTCTCTTTTCTTCATCAGTGTATTTACCACTAATTGCATAGTCTAAAATCCATGGTGGTGTCCTCATGAAAAAGTCAAGGTTGCCAACCTCTGTAGGGAAAGGAGATATTGACTTTAGGAAGAATGTCCTTCGTCTTTCTTTACAAGACAACTTACTAGGAACAATCTGAGGAATCAATTGAATCTATCAACCAGCAAAAAAAGGAGTCAGAACACAACGGCAATAGGAGCGTCTTGCAAACACCTTCTTCTGAGCCTCAATAACTCACTCCGGAAGCCCCATTCCCAATAACACCAACCCTCTTCCCCTCAAGCTTCACATTCGGATCCCACCTCCCAGTATGCAAAGTAACAGGAAAAGTATCAGCTCCAGGCACATCAGGAATCCTCGGCGAATTCAACGCCCCAGTTCCCAAAATCAATGCATTACACGTGTCTGTGACAATAGTACCATTATTGTCAATCTCAACACGATATGTTCCAGTCGATTCGTTCCACGTGGCACCGATTACTTTGTGGTTTACTTTGATGAAGGGGATGACATTGTATTTGGTGGCGACTTTGATTGTGTATTGGAGGATTTCGTCCCAGGAAGAATAGGTGGATGACCAGTCTGGGTTGCGCTCGTAGGAGAAGTTGTATAGGTGCGATGGCACATCGCATGCGCTAGTTGTGAGAGATTAGAGGTGTGAGCTCAATTCGACAACTTCTCTACCCCGTTTTGTTTGTCAAGTTGAAATGAACAGAAACATGTAACTCAGAGGTATCCAATCGCAATCAAGTTTCAGCCAGCAAAGTTCGAATATTTACCATCCAGGGTATCGATTCTGTTTACAAGAAACGCAATCAGCAAACACCACCAAATTAAACACCATTCAAACATCAAAGAGAGCACAAACCACCTACTTCAAACCAAGTTCCTCCCAAATGAGGATTCTTCTCATACAGCGTGAAATTCGTGAAACCAATCTTTTGTAATTGCACGGCAACATTGATGCCAGACCAACCTAAAAACCAGTGAAAACGAGTTGGCAATGGGTTTCATTTACATATAAACATTCGAAAATCAGGATGCGATTAGCCTCAGTCGTTAAAAGATGCTCTTTTTGCTTTCAGCAAAGACAGAAACCCAAAACTAGGGGACAAGAAATTCCATCATCGACAGTAGATCGATTGCCACTTACCACTACCAATGCATATAACTCGGAAATCCATTTCAGCAGTCTATTGTTCGCAGGAGCTTAATGACGTCGCAGTCGCAGTAAGCAAGGAAACAGCCGAGTGCTAGGTGATACAGATCAATTCCTGACGTGCCAAAATCAAATGACTTGGTGACGTGTTCATATCGCCAATATGACGTCGAGAGATACAATTACATATTCCTACACTCTTTCAGATTTTCTGTAATATTCGCGTTACTCGCGATTGCAAGAAGAACGGCTCCTACTACAACATGCGCAACTTGACACGTCCCAGACTGTCTATTTATTTGGCTCACGTACTAACCAACTGCTGCTGCTGCCCCTCCCCCTCATCTCCATCCTCATTAGCATGCAACACCTCCTTGTATAAGATATCACAAATCGCTTTATGCCCAGCCCAGCTCTTAACTTGACATGCTCGACTACAATACCATTCATGACGACATCGAGAGCATCGTTTCTCTGCCGGATTACCACATTTGGCACATTTAGGATCATCCAACAGTGCATCTAGTTCTGATAGATCGTACATGGATGCCAAACTATTGACAACAAAAAATGGAGGTCAAATTTACGACTCACTGGCTCTGACAAACCATTTCACAATGTTCCATACCTCTTGGCAGTCTCCATACGCGATGCATCAGTTTCTTGCATGGCATGCTTTTTATATGCATGAGCGGTCTTTTTCCAGTCAACGCCTTTGATGATCTCGTCATACAACTCAGACACCTGAACAGAAAGAAAGAGCCTAGTTACCATATATACCAGCGTGCAGCCAACCCATTTCTTTGGACTTCCTCATCGGAAACAACTCCTGCAATCACATACCTGTTCAATCATAGCACCACGACGATGGACACTAGGATCATCCGGAGGTTGCATGATGCTCAACTCTTCTAATGCTCGTTGTAGTCCAACTAAAACGGGTAATTGATCTACTAGTGATTCTGTTATAAAGTCCCTTAACTTGGGAGTTGAAGATGGATTATTTTAGTCTGAGTGTCTCTTTTACGCAAGAATCAAACCACAACACTTACTCGAAGAATCTTAGACTGTCGAGATGTAGTATACTCGTACTTTTTCCTACATTCAGGTTCCAACAGCATATTGTATAATGCAATCCACATCTACGTTTAGCGAAGGCACCTCAGGATTTCCGATTCATTCTTCGTTGTCTGGATATTATTTTTGCGCGTACCTGAGCTTCAACCTTTCCCAAAACAGAGACATCCTCCACGGTAACATTTTTCCATTTCCCATCTTCAAATCGTTGCATGCCATGTTGTTGCGTCTTTCGAAGCCAAGGTGCACGTTCCATGACACTTACACAACTGCAAATCATATCGTTTGTGTTTAAGATGCGAGTCATGGCTGTTAATGAAAGATCGGTGATGTAGTCAGTCAAGTATCTGAATATGGACATGGTGCTTGTTGCTATTGCATAGTCTAGATCTCGGGCTATTGCTACATGATGCTATGTAACAGATGCCAAAAAGAGAATTTATTTGATCAATACATGTTGCGATTGTCCGATTTCCAAAGCACAAATTCCGATTTCCGACTCACTTACCTCTTCCTCTGAGACCTGAAGCATGTCTTGAGTAGACGTTTTACCTTCCATCGGATCTGAGGAGTCAGTCCTATACAAAGACTTGGTAAGTTGAACCAAAAAAGCACTATCGTTACAAGCGCGATACATACCATGTAGACAACAATGCAAACTTCTTTGCACAATAGTCTATAACATCTAATATGGTGTCACCAGCAGCCAAGCATGACGACTTGGAATACATGACAATCTCTAGCAAGTTGACCAATATTGCTTCATGATACATCTATCGATTTGAGACAACAAAAAGAGTGTGTCATCACCATGATATGTTGTAACAACTCGAACGTTTCATTTACAACACAATCATACCACAAAGTATAACTTGACGGCATGTTCTTTGGGCAACGAGTTGGCAATCAATGGTAGAACTTTGGTCTTCCACAAGTTGATGACCAGCAGTTCATGGATTAGAGTAGGGATCTATGGTGGACAACTGCGTCAGATTACTTTATAGGGACTGATACAATTCTTTCTTGTACCTTGTCGAATGTGATTAAGGCTTCAGTAATAAACTCTTCGTTCTGGTTGAGTACGTTATAATGGGCCTATGTATGTGTTGTCAGTAAAAGTTCTGTAGTAAAAGTAACACTTCAAGTTAAATATTACTTGAATATTGAGTCGTTCCAAGTCCTGATGTTGTCGTGTCCATCTGTAAGTAAATGTGTTAAATGTTTGCATTTCAAGATCAGTACGTGTAACAGGCAACGGTTTACTTTGAAGATCCAACATCAGATATGGACTGTCTAGATAACCGCTCAATCAGTGATTCTGCTTCACTGGCCACCAGGTTTCCTCGTTCCAACCTGTAGAATGCATGAAATGAGGTAAGGCATTAGTGAACCTGTCAATATTTGATCTAGTGAATTACAGCGAACGAAACTTACATTTTTGCTTCAGTAGCTGCCATAATGATCGTTTTTACTACGGAATTACTACTCGCTGGGGTTGTTCTCGATGTGTTTGGAATTTGAACAGTGATTTTTGAATCAACGAAGCAATTTGTCGTGTTTGAAGAATGAAGGACGCGGTCGCATCGTGATATTTTATATTGCAATTATTACGCATTATTCTCACTATAGGAATCATTGTCGGGGGTTGAAAAAACACGTCGGCATCAACTGAAAAACTGAATTTTTCCAGACTTCCCTGCTTTGCCAAAATATTGAAACACGTCTTGGGGGAGACATGCCTATTGTTCCGCTCGAAATCTCCACAATTTGGTGGCCCGGCGAGAATCTGGACTGCTGCTTAAAGGGACCGACTCATATGTCAGGACTAGGGTTGGCAACCCCACCAAACGGACCCTTCTGGAAGCACCTGAATAATGTCTTGTTTCCCAGCTGCTCCTATTCCCTCACAGCTTACTTTTCTCCCCTTTACGTGTCTATAACATACCACAATGACCAAGAAGCTATTGGTCTCGACACTGCTAGCAGCAGTTCTATCACCCGTAGCAATCCATGGTGCAACTTATTGTAATAGTACGGTAGTTCCAAAGCCTACCGACATTGTATTCTTGCTCGATGGCTCAGGTAAACCTTCAGATTGTAACACGCTCAATGCACTTCAACTCGCATGAACTGACTCAACTTCTTGGTCCCCACCTTTGAAAACGAATAGGATCGATGTGTCCCTATATCAAAGTTCGTTGCTGCTTGTTGACGCTCAGCTGGCCAGTTCTCTGGTAACAACAACAGACGCTCGTTCTAACTCGTTCTTTTTCGTCAAACCATAGAATATTACAGCAGGCTTCGGCTCATTCGCTGACAGTCTAGTCCATGGTGGTATCGATGCCAGATTTGCCATTGTGGGATTCGGTGGACAGCCACGGCTATTCCTTCCATTTACCAGCAACATAACCCAAGTTCAAGCTGCATTTGCTCCTTTGAATGACTGTAATCTGGGCGGTCAAGAAGCCGGTCTAGAAGCTCTACGATACGTATTGCCACCAAAGAGCGGTGCTGATCTCCTCAAGAAATGTGTTGACCCATCGTATAACGGAACTGCTTGTAATTTGACTTATCGTGCTAACGCTTCAGTGACTGTTATTATGGCTACCGATGAAGGTAAACTTCAGATTGTTCAACCAAGACATCCAGTCCTCTTGACGCAGTTTTCTCGCTCGTATCGTAGACTCAGATATCCCTACAACCAAATCATACCTCGTCTCAGGACAAGTACCCGGAAACACCACTGGTTGTGCGGACCAGTCCTATAAACCATTCAACAATGGTTCTGAAAAAGATTGTTCTTCCTCCTTCGAACCACTCATGGTAAACTGCAGTCGCGGAAACAAATCTAGCGCTGCAATGACTTAATGTTAATCAATTTGTTTAGGTCTCTGATAAAGTCTTCTGGGGTACAAACACCAGTGCTATTGATCCCAAGACCAACCTCAGTGTTGTTACTACTCACTACCAGGTATGTGATTCAGGCGTGTTTAATATCTTGAAGATTTTGACAAACTCAAAAAACTTCGCTTTGACCCCTGACCAAAACGCTAATGGAAACCGCCCTATTTATTTTTTTAGTGGTGGCGTTCATCCAACAAACCATTATTGTTACATCCTTCTTACTACACTGAAATCAACGCTACAGCTGATGTTGTTACTGGTAACGGTGTAACAGTCATGTTGTTGATGAGACCTGACCAAAACGCTAATGGAAACGGTCCTATCTCAATCTGTACGTGGATTGCTTCGTGCTGTATCCCCTTTTTTCCAGAACATTTGCTAAAATCGGTATTACAACCCTGTCTAAGCACACAATTTCATTTCAATTAGTCAACAGCTACAGTACCTACTGGAGTAAGAACACACCAAAGAATGTGACTGATGGCAACCACAGTGCCATAGTTCAGGTGAGAATTCAATTGTTTTTGCTCTCGAACAAGAACTTCCAAGCTAACCATTCTGTTGTGGTGTACTAGTACGGAAACCCCGGTTTGGCATCGCAAAACACCGATTTCAGTAACTTCAGCGCTTCAACTACTTTGGCCTCATTGAACAAGGGTGGTTTGGCTTCCTCATTCCAAGCTCAAGTTTTGGCTCGTGGTGGTCTTGCTAAATGTATGGAATTGAACTGATTTCAAAGTCAGAATAACGAGAGAGACTGATGGCCTTTTTGGCTCTTACAATTAGTATATACCATTACTTCCTTCATCAACAACCCCAACGTCGTCAAGAACTTTTACACTCAAGTGCAATATGTTTCGACCAACTGTTGGACTGTTGCTGATCCCAGCCCTGTTCAACCAAGTCCAGTTGCTAGCACCATTCCTAGTGCTGTAAGTTTGTGTGTTGCAATGCGTTTTGACTAAATCAGAGTTCCTCAACTTTTGTTTTAATTTCTTAGGCTCCCAGTATCGCCGTTGCCTCCCGTGTACCAAGCCCTGTAGTTGCTTCAACAGTACGTCTAACCCAACTTTTGTGTGTCTCTGATCCGTTTAAGATTGGTAACATTTTCTCTTTCCTATAGACTGTTGCACCATCACCAGTAGCAAGCGCCGCTGCAGCTTCGCCTGTTGCATCTCCAGCTGCCCATGACGGTGGTTCTCAACCTGCTGTTGCTGCCTCTGTATGTTAAATCATTGAACCTGAACCTTGAAAGCCGAGGTTTCTGATCAACAGCTTTTATAATAGGCTGCCCCATCTGCGGCCGCTTCAGCTGCTGCTGCTTCACCTGTAATAGCTTCAGCTGCCGCCTCCGCCGCTCCTACCTCTGTAAGCACTTTCTCACTTTATGGATGACAAAATCTTGTACTAACATGCCGCTTTGTCGCTCGTTTAGGCCGCTCCAGTTCCATCTCCTACACTAGACGACGGTTCAGGTGCTGCAATCCCATCTCAAACACAAGCAACCGTCAGTCCCACAACAACACCAACCGAAACTCCAAGCAACCAAGATGGCCCCGGTGCACCAATACCATCTGAAACACCAGTGATCTCTCCAGCTCCATCAGCATCACCTTCATCAACCCCATCAGCATCAAGTGGTCCATCAACCACAGTTATCGCTGGTGCCGCTGGTGCCACTGTAGCTGCCGGTGCCGCTGCTGCGTTCTTTGTATCCCGTCGTAAATCAAGTCTAGCAGCTGCTGATGCCATGGCAGATTCCACTGATGAACTTGGTGCTACCAATGCTTTCTCAAACCCACTTTATGGTCAACAACATGGGTTCAGTACCAACCCGCTTTATGAAAATGCTGCTCAGAGTGATTTTGAGAGTCTTGGATCTTCGCAGATGTTGGTTTGAGTAGTCTCTCAGAGTTATTTTGCTTTTAGCATCATTTTTTTAAGTTTTGAGTTTAACGAATGGGCTCCTCTTTTTGGGGCTTGATACCAAACGGAAATATATCCAATTTGTGATCTGCAAATGAACGTCTTGAGTTTGGGGTTAGTTTTGTGTTGTAGGATGCATCGACGGGTTAATATCCGAACAAACAAATGTGAAGTACAACATTCAGGAAACAAGTGAGCAGACACAACTATCCAACCTGTATTGTATGCGACTGTCCAATTACATGATATTTTTCGTAGCATGAGATTCCAGTTCTCGTAACGTTCTTCCGCAGTCGTTGGTTTTCATCTTAGCCCTCACCCAACCACAATCGAGTAATTGGGGCAGATCCACGTAGTTTGGCCTCCCACTCAAAAAAATTCAGTCCACGTGCAGTAAAAATTGGGATTTTGGGTATGAGAAAATGTCTCGAGTCCAAGCGACGCTTTGGATTTCACGAATTGGAGGATTGCGATCACAGAAACAGAGGATACTCATTGGTTGTTGTAAAGTTGATAAGAGAATGATGGTGCGAAATTGCAGCTATAAAGGATCTGTCTTTGTTCTTGCAGCACGAGATCCAGTAGCGGCAGATGTTGGAACTGGCACCGACAAAGAAAGCACATTGGAGGGTTCGGACAATGAAAACATACGTGTATACACGAGATAAAAGCGTGTACCGTGTTACTTGGTAGTAAGATATTGGTTGGGGTGGCGATTGTTTTTTCGCAAGTGCCAAATCACCACACCTGAAGAGAGGGGCTAGAACAAAGAAGGGTGTATTTAGATACAACACCATTGGTTTAATAGGTTGCCATCGTCGTAATATAGAGTTACTTGGTCTCCTAGTCTAGGACTGGTCTGTAAACAGCTCGACCAACTCACCACGAGACAAGCAATGCAAAATACAGCAAGACCCAATTATGTCTTTTACCCAGGAGCTATTCCAACTGGGTCTCCACGACCACAGCCGGCCTATGCTAATGGAGCCTCCACTTCCAGTCCATATCCCTCTCCTGTTGGCTTCCAAAAGCCATCAACACCAACAATACATCGCTCTTATCCGCCTCCTCAGTCCAATACTCCACAGCAGAGACCAGAGCCTCCTCAAAGCAACATGGTAATTGACAAACCAGATCATGTTATTGCCGTCTTGGTTTGATTCTCTTGTCGAAAGAAAGAGACGGCTCATGTGTGCTTGGAGAGTTGTCGCCCTTTTGCTCACACTCGTTATCTTCACTTAGACGACTGGCACATGTCAATGCTGTGGCCATTTACTACGCTTTCCTCAAACTATACGTGCTTTTCGATGTACCGTTTGTGAAACTGGTAACCAGCTGAAATGTTATTGATTGTCGCCACATCAACGCATGATCTGATCTTTGTTTTTAGTAAACGATCTGGATCCAGTGCCTATGCCTGGAGGAGGTAGATGCCAAATTACTATTGCACTGCACTTGGGTGTAGCCTTTCTTACGTCTTTACTTCATTAGGGGACATTCAAGCTCATCGTTTGTCGCTCGAACGATTACGAGCATTAATCAATGCCTCCCAGCACAATCGACCTAGTGCAGAGCTGCTGGAAAAGACGATAGCCGATTCATTCTCGTTACATGCGTCCATTAATGAGAGCTTTTCAAGTGTATATGTCCATGAGCGCACCCTTTGACCACCTTTTTTTGCTCGCAATCTGACCAAACTCTCTTACAAAACAGAATCAGCCGATATCAGAGACTGATTGCGGAGTGAATCTAGGAGATGTGAGAATAGCCTACAAGCTGTTGTTGACTAGCCCAGCTGCTGCGAATGGTGCTTCTCGAAACACCTCAGTAGACTCCATAACGCAGAGTATGGAAAAGCTGAATATTACGAATACCCGAATGTCGTCTGTTTTGTATGTACAGGCTTGCATACTTTGTTCAGTTCTAGTAGGCATTTGGCTGATTCATCACCCTTTAGAGTGCAAGCTACTGACAAGCTACTGAAACGACCTGGAAGGTAGAGATTATCTTCCGAATCTGTGAAGTCCAATATTGTTGAAGCTCATACTCACTTTGATTAGGCGGCTGGTTGCTGCGGAAGATGTGAAATTTCTCCTCATTCTCCTCGAGGTACGCACTACAAATGCTTTCTTTTCTTGTTAGCACCTAATGATTGAATTTTTCATACAGAATCCTGTATTATTAACAAAAACTGTTTCTAATGACCTCATAATTTATCATGATATCCTTGGCCGTATATTTGGCCTTATGTCCTGTTTATCCAACGACATGCATCATTTTATTGTAGCATGGCTTGCTCAGTAAGATATTCAACCACTTTCAAACTCATGGAATACCTGGTCTGACATCAATCTTTTATCGCTTTGCTAGGTTACCTATAGATATCTTCCAAAAGAGAGTTGACGTAGTCAACTTTTATATATCCAGACGGTTGTCGAATAAAGAGGGCATGAGAGATCATTACCCTCAAGATTGGGGTATCAAATCAGCTGCTCGTGTGATGGCTCTGTTATGTAAGTCTGATGGTTGAAAGTAAAAAATACCGCACTCGATTAAAGTATGAATCATCTTTTAGTCGCTGCAAATCAATCGAGGCCGTCTCCTAAGCTAGTGATATCGGACTTTTATAATACTGTGGTCGACTATGTAGACCTCATTCGTGACTTTATGAGATGGCAGGAAGAGCGCTCAGGGTATGGTGAAAAGGCTTAAGGACGAGATGTTTGCGTTATGAATTTCCTGACTCTTCTATTTTGTTCATTAGAGCCTTTTCCTTTTGCCAATATCCATTCTTGGTATCTCTCGGTGGAAAGATGACGGTATCTAAGCGAAAAAAAGCTGTATGGTAATTGAATTATAGCAACTAATACCTGTTTATATTCCGACTTAGATTGTCGAAGCAGATGCGAAAAGGCAGATGCAAGAGAGGTTCAAGGAAGCTTTCTATCGTACAGCTATACACAACCAACCCACAGTAAGAGAAAGAAGAGGAAGGAACAAAAAATCGGAATTCTTCGATGCGTCACGTCATCGCTGCTGACGATTTTCTCATCCGCTCATAGGACCCATTCTTCTCAATACACGTCCGCCGAAACAACCTCATAGCCGATTCCCTCAACTCCCTATCAGCACGAAACGTTGATTTCAAAAAGAAACTTCGAATTGAATTCGTTGATGAACAGGGTATAGATTTAGGAGGTCTGACCAAGGAATGGTTTTTACTCTTGACGAGAGATCTATTCGATCAGCAATTCGGGATGTTTGATTTCGACGAGGATTCGTATTTGTGCTGGTTTAATCAGGCTAGTATGGAGAATTCAGAAGAGTATCGTCTTGTTGGGACTATTATTGGGTTGGCTATATATAATAAGTAAGCGATATGTGAAAGTGGGAAGAAAACCTCAACTTTGGAAGTTGCGAAAAAGAAAAGCATCACCATCAACTCAACGCGTTAATCGGCCAACTAACGCCACTATCTCACATTAGCACCATTCTGGACGTCCACTTCCCGAATGCATGTTATAAGAAACTCTTCTCCCAACCAGTCGGACTAGACGACCTCAAAGTCCTACATCCAGCCCTCGGTCGTGGTCTCCAATCACTCCTAGACTATGACGGTGATGACGTCGAAGCGGTCTTCTGTCGAGACTTTGTAGCCGAATATACCGCATACGGAGATGTAGTCCGAGTACCACTCGTCCCGAATGGTGATTCTATAGCCGTAACCAACGCAAACCGTGAAAAATATGTAGAATTGATGGTAGATTTTTTGCTGAATCGCAGTGTGCAGCGGCAATTTGATGCCTTCAAGGAAGGGTTTATGATGGTGTGTGGAGGGAATGCGTTGAGTCTGTTCAGACCTGAGGAGATTGAGATGATGGTTCGAGGTGGGACAGAGTTGGACATTGAGAGTCTTGCGGGTGTTTGTGAATATGAAGGTACGTGTATGTCGACTGTTGCTGTCACGTTGGCGACGAGCTATACGCATTGCGCGTCATAAACCATACTTGGACACTAATTAATTTTTTTGTCTCTGCTCACCTCATCCTGTTTGGTTCTCTTCAATAGGATTCAGCCCAACAGAACCAACAATGCGTAACTTTTGGGATATAGCCAAAAAGTTACCAACAGATATGAAGAGAAAGCTCCTTCTCTTCATTACAGGAACCGACAGAATCCCCGCCACAGGAATCCAAAACATGCCCTTCAAGATATCTTGTCTTGGAGACGACTCTGAAAAGCTACCTGTCTCGCATACCTGTTTCAATCAGTTGTGCTTGTATCGATACAAGACGAGGGAGAAGTTGGAAGCTAAGCTTATGAAGGCTATCACCTGGAGGTATGTTTTGCATTGGCTTTATAGGAGCAAAAAATTGTAAAGGAGCGGATGGATAACGCTTGGTTTTCTAGTGCGGGCTTCCAACTCAAGTAGAAAAAGTACGTTATAGGATTGTTTGCACTTGTATTGGCCCTCTTGTGGATATACCAAACATTAGACTTTGGAGCAATGTAAAAGACCACTTGGTTTGTTGCTTTTGGCAACGTTGAAACTTGCGTGTTGTTTGGATATTAGTGTTGCTTGGACAGCAGCGTCTTGTTGGCGGTACTACTGTCTGATGTCTTGCTTTGCAATGCTTGCGTTTAGATCTGGCTAATGCTATATTTGGAGAATGTTTATCCTCAAGACGCTGTCATCAACTTGGAGCTACATCTAGTCGATTTAATGAGGAGAGCCAATCCTTTCTCAACACAACCGACGCCGACGACTGATACCAATCAAACCAAGAACCAATAGTTAGAATGGCTTTCAAATTAAACCCTTCTTCATCAGCTCCTAAGCTCAAAATCATGTCTGCGTCTTGACTGGCTGCAGCTCGCCCTACGGAATTGGTATTGCCCTTTTCACCAACAAATATCATCATTACATATCCAAGTTTCTATTTTTGATACTAACAAATCACATTCTTTTTGACTAGGATGGGCTACCGCTCTCGAGTCCGCCAAACATCACCAAAAGCCCTGTTTGTGACTATTCAAGCCGCCAATTTACAAGATCTGTGTGATGCAGTCAAGATAGTCTCACTAGATACCGCTGCTCATGCCATGAAAATGGACCTAGCTTCCGAATCCCGAGGGTCTGGAATTGTTGATCAAACCTTGAAACTGTATGGACGTTTCGATGTGTTTTTCGTAAATGGAGGTATTCTGGGTGAAAGCCATCAGATTTTAGATGGTTAGTCTGCTGAGAATTATATGAAAGTTATGAGTTGAGTGCTGTGATGGTTCCATTTCTGTAATGGAGTTTTTGTAGCCAATGCCTTTGTGGACGAGAATCTAACAGCTTTACTATATACTTATTGTGTATACTTATGTAGAGGTCAACGCACTAAGTCCCCTCTTGGGATGCGATCATGGTGCTCGTGGCATGCTAGTCACTTCCAAAGACAAACCGTCATCACGAGGCAGTATTATCATCACAAGTTCAATTGCTGCTTTGGGAGGTGGAACTGCGTCAATTGCTTATGGTTCTTCTAAGGCTGCGTGAGTAACCGGACAAATGCTGTTGTTAATTCTTCGATGCTCCATGTTGTTATTGTCGAGTCTTTGACGCTCCCATCATGGTAACTGAACAAACCTTTCTTTCTCCTTACTAGCGTTGTAAATATGGGGACTTCAAGCACGTCGCCGTAGGACTTAACGGCAACAATATTCGAGTCAATGCCATCTTGCCGGGTATAATTGAAAATGGAATTACAAAAGCTGCATCAACCCAACCATGCAGCTGTGCTCTTAGCTCCAAGAGGCTCAGAACGTCATATCCAGCAAGGAATACGTCCATTCACTCTAGCATTACCCACTCGACCGCTTATAACACAAGATAGCGCCTTCAGTCAATCGCTACCACCACTATGGGATCACCAAACGCACCGCAATACAGATATACTTCAGATAAATACCTGCCTTATACAGCACAGGGCAGCAACAGCACGTCCGATGTTTACCACGCATCTGGAGGTCATCTATCAAACAATCATCCACCAAACGGACACCCAATGTATTATTCAACATCATCGACCCATCAAACATAAGGCCTGCCTTCTAACAACACTCGTCTTCAGCCCGGAAAACTCGGGCTTGTGTTAGAGCTTGAAAGGTCAGTTAGCCGTGAATTGTGCATGTGCAACTGTGCAACAGAAGATGCAATGGCTAGAACATTGACACACAATACGTTTAGGAGGGTACGAGTGACGAAAGCATGTAATTTATGTCGTCTTAAAAAGTTGAGGTAGGCGAGTTGAAAGCGTTTGCTTTGAAGCGTTTGTTGCTTTTTGTGAGAATTTGGGATTATCAGAAATCACTCACTCCAGTTATCAGAAATCACTCACTTCATTAAACGAACGCTTAGATGTAATGCAGACCCACGCTGTTCGGCGTAAGCATATTTTTCGGGGTTTCATTGCTGGATGTCATGCTGAGTGGCCAATCCTCCAGACACGATTCTGACTTTTCTCACAAACCAAATACTCGTGCCGTCTTCTTAGATGTAGCAAGAGTGGAAGCTTATGCGAATACTCTCCTGATTCCAATCGCAAACGTGGAAGGACGCCTGGTGAGGCAGTCACGCCTGTAATAGGGCAGGACGATCTTCCACCACCAGTGTCGTGACTTTGAACACACCCCGAAGCCCTTAGCGGGATCGACATATATGTAGTTTGAAGCATATAAGGTTGCATTGAATTTATAATTTATAAATTTATAAGGCTCCAAAATGGTCAAACACGTTTGACGACACTCTGACTAATGTAGCTGGTCTTAATTGTTAACACATCATAAAGAGTTGTAAAAAGAGTTGTAAATATAATTTAACATTGTCGAAACTTTCGAGCTAGATGTGGAGAGTACGCGATGAATTCTTAACCACCATCACACCATCGCATTTTCAACTGACTGACTGCACGTGAATACGAGAGAAAAGTCATCCTCCTCTTTGAACTCTCTTCCCTTGGAGACTGCAAACACTCTCAAGACCAAATGGACGTATTCTTATCCTCTATGCTCTCATGTTTTGTCTCGTCTTGATCCAAGGACGATGACGGTCTTTTGAACTTCGGAACGTTGACCTTTTTGCAAGATGAAGACTTTGATTAGCGGCAATTTCCATTTTTTGCTGGAATTGTCTGCCGAAATTCTCGTCAGCTGTCACGACGATCTTTGCCCAGCAAGTGCATCTGCTTAAAAAATACTGACCTGCCGGTCTTTTTGCAAATCAATCTACGGTTAGTCACATGGAATATTGCAATCCATGGAGGACCGATCTTCACAAGTCTGACAAATAGTTGTTAAATCCTCGTCCTTTAGTTGATTCATGGACTCGGCTGCTTGATAAATGAGGGTGACCCTTTATAGAATTCTGACTAGTCAAAATCCACCACGAAGCGTTGAAACGTTGCGGTAATTCGCATAATAAAATTGTCTATTCAATATCAAAGCTTGACGATGAGTCTGTGTTCTCCTATCGGTGGTCTGATTCCAGCCCATGGAACCGATATCCTACCAAGTGAGCTGGCGATTGGATGCACCACACTCATCCTATCAGTCTGCATATTTGGGATTGCTGTCTCACGATACAGATCGACACGACACCTGTTTTCCAAAGTATTAGTCGTGGCCGCCGCTCTTGATATCTTGCAAGGTGTCTTTTGGCTTGTGGTCATGGGTGGGAGTATCAGTCTTCAGGCTCAACAAGTGCTGTTGGCCATCACTCATGCTCTAATCCATGTAAGCATATTTTTCTCTTTCATTTGAGATTGAGTATTATTCTCATCAATTGGTTTAATAGTTCCAATGGACCACATGGGCTAGTGCTGATTTGGAACGTTTTGGATTGTTTTACCCTACCTTTGTACCATGGTACACACCAGCTAGAAAGCGGATTGCTCAAGCCTTCCTATTGATGGTTGCTTTAATCGCGGCCTCCCTCACCACATACTGTACTGCAAATACCCCAACATTCTTTGTTTCATTTTGGGTGAGGTAGAGGGACGGTCTACGAGAAAAGAAACGCATCCTGATAATGTCTGCTATGCCTTGATTAGATTGCACTTCCAGGCACTGTTCAGGGCCAGGTTGGTTTGATGGCGGACTTTGCCACGCTCAATATTATATTTGGAGCAGGGAAAGGAAAAGCCAGTCCTAACGACCCCAAGATATTTGGCCAGTCTCTACGCTTGATTGCTGTGCTGTCCCTCGTCACAGCGGTCTCTCTCCTTCTTGCCGCATATGGAATCTTGGCATTCTATCTCAACCAGTCTCCATATATCGGGGTTGCGATTCTCCATCTCTTGGTTTCGCTTTATAGGTATGTAAGGTCACTAGCAGCAACACATCGTGTAGAACTGACCGAAACCGATTCTTGTCTCCAGCCTGGCAAAATTGCTGTTTTTGAATGCAGTAACTGTTATCGTCCAAGACCGTGCTTCACCACAACTTATGACGGCTACTGCAACGAACACCGCCAAGTACTCTTCATCAGCTCGTCACGCCAAAACTCTGACTTCTGCTTTGATGAACAAGTCTCTCCCCACCTCTGTGCACAATACTTCTGGAGTTCTGATGTCAAGCTCGCAGAGAAACATCATAGCCGCAGCAGCTAACGGCTCGCATCGCAGTTTGATCGGGATCGTAGCTAATACCAGCCACAACAACTTGGTGCCTATAGCAACACAGCAATTCCACGAATCAACCAACAAGGACGACTCGGAGGCTCCGATTATCCTCCTCGACAGTATTTTCGGTCCAAATGCAGACGCATATGCTCGTGATGTATTCACCACAGACCAGGAATCTCTTCGATATCCCTCTCGATCCACTGTTGGAATATCTGCCTCTGTCTTCCGAGCTGAGGGATTTCGTTCAGAGCAAGAGTCTTCGACCTCCAATTTTTACGACTCACAATCTCCTAAAATATCGACGAACAAAAAAGACAACAAAATTGATACCAACGTCTCTGCAACAAACGAGTCTGCTCAAGATGCTAAATTATTGAGAGGAAGTTCCTCGACTTCTACCGGCCGTCGCCATTCTGGTACACTGGACCTCCCACCAGCACCACGTGATGGACCGCGATTGCCGATTACAGATGAAGCTAGCATTGTCCTTGTGTCCTCTTTCGATTCCCTTGTTAACGTTGAAGCCAGACCATCGGACGAGTCCGTTGCTGTGAGTACGATGGACCGCGGAGTAATGTCATTTAGGTGAAGATCAGACTGTATCAAAAGAATCTGGCAAGACGTTGTTTTCAAATCTGTCAGCAATGGTGCGCCATGTAAAATCTCAAGAAATATGTTCAAACCCCCCACCTCTGGTTCTCTCAGTGACCCATCACCTGTCACCCGTCTAGAGTAACATTAGTAGCCTTTAGTGTGTATGATGCTGAATATGCGTGTAGATATACAAAATGTTGGACTGTGCTGCCATGGAGAGGTCTCGACGTGTCGTGCTTCAACATGTTTGAACAACGTTGCGTTTCAGTTGGAGATCAGAGTGAACTCAAAAGCAATTCCATACGCCATATATGTTGCATTGAGTCATTTGAGTCGCGGTTGGACTCTATATTGTTGCTTTTCGTTCGAGAGGAAAACTTGGCGATAGCTATGCACATGGCATGAAACAACCCCAATCATTCAAATACTGACATTACAAAGGATCCTTTTGGGTTGCAATGATTGCCGGATCAAAAAATCGTGGCGGTCGAGCATCTTTGGGTACTGAATCCGTGGCCATCACACTCGTATTTCTACCACCAAGTGGGCCTCCTTCCGTTGCTATCGTCTTAGTCTTCCATCTAAACCACGATAGGATCTTGTTGCGTATCGGCAAGTCCATGTAGATAATGAGAGAGCCTTCGAAAGACAGGTCTCGTGTGTTAACATATGGGAAGTTGGTATACAAGAATGATGATGGTTTGTGTAGTCATACGTACAATCAATCAAAGGCTGAGCTGCAGTGAGCGTCATAGACACAGCTCCAAAATCACTATTCATTTTCTGTCCAGATATCAACTCATATAGTAGCCAAATCATTTGAGGGGTTGCGGTCGTGAGCGATACGACAGTTAATAGCCAGAATTTCCTTGGAAAGATATTAAAAAATTTGTAAAACAACTCCCGAGGATTTCGGCTTTGAGAATCGCGACAATACCTGCAAATCACAATTTCAGGATCTGTCTTGCCCCTTTTGGCCCCAGTACTAGAGGTTGTAAGAGCCTCAACGTGTGATGACTGCCGATGGTACTGTCTCGCCGATTCCAGATGCGTATCCACCATTCTCTTTTTCGTCTGCTTGATATGTTTAATGACTTGCGAGTAAAAGTAAAATGTGACAGAGACTCCGATAAAGACGGAAGCGACTTCTAACACAGTCTCAGCCACCAGCTTGGGTTCTCGTGAAGACCAGTCGTTAAAGCAGAAGAAGGGAGGGTCTTGCCATATGGCGTTTTGGTCTATTAGGATGGAGCCTAGCGAAAAGAAGCCCCTGTGGAAGAACATCGGTTAGAAGAGAAGAGAAGGGATATGCTTGAAGGTGGAGATGGTTGTTGGCAACTCACCATCCCCAAGCAGTTACACATCCTAGAGCGATGTATCGTGGGCTCATATTGACTCCCTGTAGATCGAAGACTGTTGTCAGTAACTACTTATTGCAATCGGAATGAGCATCAAAATTCTCCACAACAAGTACCTTGACAATAATCAACCAGCGGTCTAATGCAACCACAATGAATGTAACCACATTCGCAGACACACAAAATAGTAACAGTACAGCATCATAGTAGCACAGTGCTTGCGAATCAATGATCCCATTGACCTGCAGCGACACACAGCTGAGTATAAACTGGTTCCACACAAACAGACAATGTGCTAGAGCCACGTTCAAGTAAAACAGTTTGCGAGTCCGCCATAGGTTTTTGTCACTCAGCAAAGCAGCCAATAACAATCCGTTTACTATGGCTGATACGACGTATAAAACCACATAAAATATCAGTAATGGTTTCCAGTGCTCCCATGGATATGTATATGTCGAGGCATCCATGTCAGGCGGATGCGATGGTTGAAGGAGATTGCCAAACGCTTGTTTAAGTTTACCGATTCACCAAAAACGTTGTTCAAAAGTGAGGAAGGGGAGGTCGTAGTGTGAATTCCCAATCAGCAGGGGTTGGAGGGATTAGGGTGTCCACGGTTTTAATTCGGAGATATACTTATAAGACCACAGAGCTTTCCAATCAGGGCGCTCAAGCTGGTGGAGCTGATTTGGTCCTGGTGCCTTGGCTTGTTTCCCTGACAATGTCACAGTCCTAGTGGGTGTGTTAATGTCAAAAAATATAAGAATATAGAGCAGCAGCAGTGACCTGTGAGGAGTGCAACAAGCATCAGCGATGCTTCAATTGAATTCAGCCGTTGGTGCTCCAGTGGTGGTTGTAGCGTCTTTGGCCAATATGGTTCGAAACGTACATTGAAACAAACAGTGCCGCAACAAGGATGGCTGCTATAAGCTCACAATTAAAGTCACATCAAAGTTAGACAAGCCGATGGTTATGAACGAATGCCAACGAAACAGACTCGCAGAACTGGACTTTACGGTATAAATCACATCTGGCAAGAATGCTAGTCCTTCCAGCAACTATCTTACACACATCCCAACTCCTATAGACTGACGCAATATCTAGCACTTTTCGTGGAAAAAATCGCCTTTTCAGAGGCTGCAGCTTGAGACACGGCTTAAACGTAGTAAAGTGGTCATGTGAAAGGACGCTCAATGTGCCCTCACTCGCTCTTTGTCGACCAGTTTGGAAACGCTGTAGTGCCGAATGAGAGGTGGTTATACTTTAAACTCTTTCATCATCACGACGGTGCCTAGTTGAATTGGTACGAATGGTGCATGAAAAGAGTGCGAAACATTGAAATGCTATGTCAGTTTGACATGTGGTGTTGAAGCACGATGTTGCGGGGTTGATCAGAGTCAAGTCAGAGGAAGTGTAGTAAATTCTTGCTTGGTGCTTGGGCTTGTGCTCAAATCAATTGACTCCATATCATGGCTTTAAGTGTGATTTATATGGATTTCAACTAACGTGACAGACAGTTCAGTTCTTCTTTGAATCACGCGACTCCGTCTTTCATAAATATAGCTTTATACAAACCAAAAACATGTATTTCAGTTTGATCGTAACCTCTCCGTCCTCGATAAATCCAAAAAACAAAATCACTTTGCCTCATTCCTAGTCGCAGCACACTCAGCGAAGGAAGTTCTAAAACCATGTTGTCAGCACAAGAGCAGACGGGGAACAGTACTGATGTGGTAAATACAGTCGTATTTGTGCTTTATCTTGTTCAGATCTGTTCTGTCTATGAAGTAATCGCACATTAAACCAAACCACGTTCTTCTGCATTTTAAATCAACTAGAAGGGAGAAGCAGACAGGCAGAAACCACCGCCGTCAGCATCGAAATTAAAGCCCCCGACTAGTCGAATTAATTCGTCATTGAGAGCACCTCCATTCAATCTCGCAACTCCAGTAAACAATACACTGTCATCAACATCTGGTGATTTGGTAGCTGGCCTACAAGACGAATCTACAAAACCTGTAGTAGTAGATAAGCCTGCTGCTAACGATAGCGATAAGGCAGGAGCAAGTGCATTACCATCTCAAATTCCAACAAAACCACCACCACCAACAACAACGACAACAGCATCACCAGAGGAGACATTCAAAGTACACACTGCAAGTACTTCCCTCAAACGAAAAGCTCCTGATGACGTGACTGTGAGCAGTGCTACAAGTAACATTGCCGCTACCAGCAGTAGTACCCGCAATACAAGAGCCAGAGTAGAAATCCCAGCACCAAAGAAACCACCGACTCCAGCAACATCTGGTAGAATGACGACTACGACTAGATCAGGTGCTTCATCATCAGTCGGGAAACCTACCGCTGCTTCTAAAGCAAAGAGAACAGCTGCTGCTTCTAGTAGTGCTCCAAGGGAGCCAGTCAATTCGAATGCTTCTGCTTCGGCTGATAATGGTGAAGTATCGAGCGAACTCAAGAAGAAGAAACGACCGGCTTGGGATTTGAAGGTACATAGAGATTCGCATGCAAGATCAGAATTTGGATCATTGCCAGTAACCAGCTGCTTTTGTTGTTTAGGGCCGTCTTCAAGATTTGGAAGATCAGCATGCTACAACAGAACGTGAGAAAGATGAATCCAAGAAGCTCTTGACGGAAATGACTGACAAGTTGGATCAAAGCCAAACTAAAAGTAATTGCAGTTGCATTGACTGCTGGTTTGGACCATATGTCAGAACTAACCTGGATTGTTTCTTCGTAGTGCAAGAACTATTAGAGTTTCGATTCACGTTAGAAAATAAGGTTCAAGTCAAGGAACGTGAAAATACTGATATGGCTCGTGATATCAGTGATCTGAAATATGAAAACCAGGTGAGTTTACTACATGGTGAATCTGTGATTCTCGTAATGATGCTAGTGCTTTTGCTCAACGACTTCTTTTATTTTGCAGTCTTTGAAAACCAAGCACGAAGATGAACTCGCATCTATGAAATCTCGGTATAATCGAGAAATGGACGATATGAAGGCCTCATTGGCCTCTTCTCAAAGGAATTTGGAGAATACACAAGCTGAACTTACAATCTCCAAGCAGGAGAACCTTCAGCTGAGGGTTAGTTTTGCTGTGTGGCATTTCAACTTTTATGTTTGTGCTTTTTGCTCATTTATCTCTCTCGTGACAGGCAACCGTCTCATCACAATCAGCTGCCTCATTGTCGATTGAGAGTGATTGTAGAATGTTGAGGCTCAAGCTTGAAGTAAGTATACATTGTAGCCCTCAGTCCTTCTTTTTGTGCCTAATTGAAAGTTACAACCACAACCTTCTTTAGACAACTGAAGAGTCTGTCAGGATACGCGACTCCAAAATTGGAGAACTAGAGTCACAGGTGCTTGAGATGAAGACGACCATTACGAAGATGGAAAACAAGGTTCGAGAAGAAGAGACTCTTCGACGACGGCTCCATAATATGATACAGGTTTGTCTGCGTGTATTTTGCGAATGATTTGTAGAACCGAGCTCATCTTATTTGATGATTAGGAGCTGAAGGGCAACATTCGTGTGTTTTGTCGAGTACGGCCACCATTAGGTAAATTCTCTGTATACTACAGCACCAAAACATGGACACTTTGAAGGCCATATTAACGCGATTGAAATTTTTGCAACCACAGAAAGTGAAATCGTTGATAGAAAGGTGGAAGAGCTGATGTCACATATCAACTTCCCTGAGAATGAAGAGGAGAATGCCATTGAATTGAGTCAGTTATCTGTAAGTCTTGCAAGCTCGAAAACCCCTCGTGGTGCTTAAGGAGTGCAAGCTGATTTGCATCAACGATAGGAAAACGTTCAAGGATCTAAACCAGTGACGAAATCATATCCATTCACATTCGACCGAGTATGAGCTTATCGAAGTTGTAGTATTAGGTAGATCGCGAGGTGCTAAGTTATCATCTTTCAATTAGGTCTTCCAACCGAAAGTCTCTCAAGGCGAGGTGTTTGATGAGATATCGCAATTGGTTCAATCGGCTTTGGATGGATATCCAGTCTGTATCTTTGCATACGGTCAGACTGGTAGTGGGAAGACCTTCACGTAAGTCATAGGTTGATACCGTGGAGTGTTTTTTTCTTCGATAACATCCCATCTCGTTTTGGCGCCTGTAGAATGGAAGGGCCGGATAACTGTTTGGAAGATGAGAAAAGCATGGGAATGATACCACGTGCAGTCTTACAAATCTTTGAGTGTGCTGAAAAGCTCAAAGAAAAGGGTTGGACGTATACTATGGAGGCACAATTTCTGGAGATTTACAACGAATCTATTCGTGATTTGCTCGCACCCAAGAATGATGATATTAAGCATGAGATTAAGCATGATAATGTTACTGGAAAGACTAGTGTAACGGATATGACGACTGGTAAAGTGTTCTTCTATTTTGCTGCAGGGGCTTTGTTTTTGCTTACAGTCCTTTCAATTTAGTCGTGGTGAATACTCCAAAGGCCGTACAGTCTGTATTAAAGAAGGCTTCACAAAATCGTGCTGTCGGTGCGACTCAAGTCAATGAAAGATCTTCGCGTAGTCATAGGTGAGTGCAGCGAAAAAAGAAGCACTGGCGAATCCTTGCATGTCGGCAACTAAGTCACTATCATTTTCATTTCTCTAGTGTATTCATATTAAGGCTAGTCGGACATAACTCTGCTACAGAAGAAACTAGTGAGGGAGTTTTGAATCTGATTGATTTGGTAAATTCGTTGACGAATGTTTGATACAATGTCGATCAGGTCTGATGGTTTTTCTCCTCAGGCTGGGTCTGAACGATTATCAGCGTCTGGATCAACAGGAGATAGACTGAAAGAGACTCAAGCCATAAACAAGAGTCTGGCATGTCTTGGTGATGTGATTTTCGCATTGGCGAACAAGGATCAGCATATTCCGTATCGAAATTCCAAGGTATGGCGTTGTTGGGGTGTATGAGCATTATGGCACGGCGTTGCGTTTCAGATTTTTTGCTTACCCGTTTTGGTCTTGTGCTCGTAGTTGACGTATCTGTTGCAAAACTCTTTGGGAGGTAACAGCAAGACTCTCATGTTTGTCAATGTTTCGCCACTTGCAAACAACTTTAATGAGACGTTGAATTCATTGCGATTTGCTACCAAGGTAGGTATGGAAGAAGGGCGTTTTTCGAGACTGGCGAGAAAATTTATAGAGTGTTCAGTCGTCTGACTCTTCTCGAACTTCTTTATTAGGTCAACTCTTGCCAAATCGGAACTGCTCGAAAACAAATCAAGGCAGTCTAGAAGACTCAGCTCCGAACAAGCCGCTTTTTTAAAAAGTTTGTTTTCTGATTATACGGGTTGTTCGTTAACGTTTTGTGTATATACATTGGGAAACTCTCGAGAGCAGCTTGTGTCATTCATTTCAATATAGTTCAATGATGTTTCGTGAAGGTTGTAGCACTAAGACTACACAAATACTTGCACATTAAAGTCTTTTACTTTACAAGGTTACTCTGTTATTATAATAGGCGGAATTACTGTACACATTAAATATTATTAACCATTAACGCAAACTAGTCCGACCTCCTCCCTCTTCCGATTGTGACAGGTCTACGGTTTGGTTGATGGCGATTTCGCTACCACCAACGCAGCAATCAGCTTCTGCAACTGCCGACTCATATCCTTCATCTGTTCCTCCATTCGTTCCGCCACAAGCGCCTCCTCTTTCCGATCCTGACTCCTTTGCTTCTCAATACCCTCCATTTTCAATTCGAGCTTCTTCTCCATGTTCGCAAGCTTGGCTTCAATCAGTTTCTCGCCAAGACTGCTCTCATTCGGCACGTCCTCAAGTTTCTTGCTAATATCATTCACCTTCGTGTCCATCCTGTCAAGTTTGGCTTCAATGAGTTTCTCTTCGGCACTACTGGAAATCCTCTCGTTTGGTACTTCATAGTACACGTATTTGGGAAAGTAGGCTGCGTCTTGTTTCAGTTTTGGGAATAGGGAGAGTATCTAAGGATGGATTGTTCGTGAGATCGATGAAGTGAAAGGAAGCGGTTGAGAGAGAACGTTACAATAGATTCGGTCTCCAAGCAGCAATTAGCAATCTCGTCAATGAGAATCCTAGAGTTTCCCTTTGCTTGCAGTTCCGAAAAGATGACATTCAAGACGGCGATGATTATGCTAGCGATATAATTCGTTAGACGAATCCTTACAGGGCTTTACGAACGGTCATCCACTTTACTTCCTTACTTTAACAACATGACAGTCATAATGATTTGATAGACCACATGCAGAAGAGTGGCAAATCCGTTGTCATTGTGAGCTTCCAAGGGTGAAAGATCACCAAATGTAACATAAAATAGGGACCTATGGGAAGAAGCCGTGAGCATGGATGAGCATCAAGTGCGGTTTTGTAAGTAAACTACCTTAGAGACATTCCGTAATCATTAAAAGTATTTGCATCGGGATTACTGTCAGATCCGCATAATCCCACTCCACCAGCACTGCAAATCATGTCATTCTGAAGTAAAATGAAGAAAGCATGCGCGAATGCAGTTGCTGTTACGACCAAGAGAATCTAGAAAACGAGACAGAGTTAGGAAAGGTAATCGCATACACATTTTCCAAAACAAAAATGTTACTTACGAGAATGGGCAAAATCTTCCTCATCAATTTGAAAGCAGATGCAATAATACTACCAACTACAGGCGCAATCCTCAAATACGAGATAACTTTGGAGTGCCACAGCAACACCGCCACCGTACACCATTCACGAGCAACGACATTTTGACTAATGTCGATATTGAGTGCGACTAGGGCCATTGTCACTCCAGATGCACACGCAATCAAATCAATAACCCAAAACATTCGTGAAAAGTAGGTTCGAAGTGCTTCTCCCAGTGAATACGATGATTTCAAGCTGGATCTAGATTTGGTTTGCTCTAGTTGCCAGCCAAGCACAAGCACGAGCCATAAATCGTATGCTACGTCTATAGTGGCAAATACTAGAAATATCACTAGCAGCACGATGGAGGCGATGGAGTGGAAGGGTTGCTGGAGTCCAAAAGCCAGGATTACGAGACTGAGCAAATCTGAACAGCTGCGGATATAGTAGATCACGGCGTACCTGTTCAGGTGCGTGTTAGTTGCTCTTAATTAGCTTTGGAGAATACCTTTAAGGACTCACTTTTGCCAAGATATAAGCGTTAGAGCCTCATACTCCAAATCACCCAAGACCTCGGTACTTTCATTCTTTATCAGGTTCATAAAGGGAGATAGCGAAGGTAGTCTGTCGCCTTCTCCATATACTCCGGCTCGTCGAGCGTCTTCTGGTTCTGTTTTGTATTGCAGTATTCCAGGAAACGGCACCACGTATCGATTAGATGGTATCGATGCCGTGTATAAGAATCCGTCTCCGTTTTTACTCAAACGTGCCTTATTTGTCGTCAAGTAGCCTTCAGTGTCCACGGCCATCTTCAATGACATTGTGCGAAGGTATTTCCTACTTATTGATACCCGCGACACCTTCACCAGAGTCATCTTCTGAAATATTTCTGATAGCGAGTCTCGGTAGTCTGGATATTTCTCCGTATAATCGTCCAGAATGGGTGTCAGGAAATCCAAACACCAAGCATTCTATTATCACGAAACAGTCAGTAGGGCTCAGTCGAAGACTGCGTTGAAAAAGCAACTACCGAGCCATTCGCAGTCAAGGCAGCAGGGATCCATTCCAAGACAGTATCGACGACTTCTTTACTGTTTTCGTTCATTCCAAGTATCAGCCAGTTTTCGAAATCTGTTGACAAAAAACAGGTGAATTTCAATACTTGCTTATACTTGTTTCTCAACAGCTGACGAAACATACCTTGATCTGATCGAAAGGTATACGGGGCAACCACATGGTCCAAAGTCGGCGTCGCGATCTTCATAAGACGGCTGAAGAAATCCAAGTCTTCCCAGACATATAGGGCTGTTGAGATGAATGACTACGATAGCAAAGTTAGCTGGTAGTGTAGTATGAAATATAGTTTACTGCCTGTACCTTTCCATCGCGATATTCTGATAATACTTCCTATTGCGAAAGCAAGCGTCAGAAACCTGACTTCAAACATTGAGACGGGAGTTAACCACCTACTGGATTTCTCTCGCAACACTCAATGATAAAAGATTTCAAGACACCATTCCAAGCATCGCTGTCTTCCTTTGCCATATACAACATCGGCCATATTCTCTCGGACGAGCACAAATCCATCTGGTCTAGGTCGATTTGGTAGCTAAAGATTTCGGAGGTGCCATCTAAAGATTAAAGTTAGAGAAACATCTATTCAGAGCAGCACGACGTTTCCTTGCTCACCGAAACGGTCAGATTTCGATGTAAATCGAATAATCACTATATTTCCGTCTATTGTGGCATCAGCCCACGCTATCCCGTTTGGGTCTTTGACCGACCCATCTGCAAATCCAACATATATGACCTTGAGCGAAGGATATTCCAGTATCTACGAAAAACTCAAGATTAGAATTGCTTAAAGTTGTGGCATGCAAGAAAATGCACATGTTTGCGCTCACTTGGATAATATCCTCGTCAACAATCACAAGTAATCGATCTTCCAACAACTTCAGCGCCAATACGCGAGAACGGGTTGGCGCCTTCTGTCTTGTGGTTCTCCCAACAACAGAATCAATAGTCCCGTCTCCGTTCGAAATGGACTTTACATCACGGATCTCCAGTTCGTCTTCATCATGCGAGTGGGTAATGATTGTGATCACATCCGATGCAGATTGCAATACGGCAGTTTGACCGTTTCCGATACCTTCGTCAAACAAATCCACTTGCTCTTCAAGCGTATTGGCAGTTTTGGGAACTATTGAGTATAAATAGCTCTGATTGTCTACAATGAATCGGACGGCCAAGAAGTCGTCACCGCCAATACTAATGATATCCGAGACTGGAGCTTCCGTTGCAAATGTCCAATCACTGCTATGCTTTATAGTGGCAGTTGTTGAATTCCATGACTCGTTTATGTCGATGATTGTGACTTGACCAGCGGTATCGGGATGTCGTACGATCAGATACCGACCGTCAGACGCGATACCATCAAATCGGAGGTCTGACAAGCCACAGTCACACTTAACAGCATGTGGTGCCTCCTTATTTACCGTTTGCTGAAGCATTCCTTGCTTGTCGATAAAGAGAGCCTTCTCAAACCTCCCATCCAGCCACGACACAGAGCACCCTCGCTCCGAACTCCATTTACTCATATTGACCGGCCATCGTGTGACTTGAATATGGCGGTTTACATTATTAGACTTGAGGTCATACTGACTCTCAAACCGTGGTAAGTCCACTCGCCCAAATCGTTTCCCGTCTTCCGACTGCATAAACGTCTTATAGTCCGTATCAACGACCAGCGCTCCAGTCACAGTTCTCCATACAGTCAAAAATTTAGGCACATCGACTTTATTAACGTCCGGAACCGCGCCCATTCCAACGTCAATCATGCTGCCATCATACGAGAAGGAGATATGCGTTACACGGTCTGCTCTGTTTGGCGTGACATATTGCACGACGGCTTCTCTCGTCTTCATATCAAAAAGGCTGGCGATAATATTCATGTCTGGCCTATCCTTGTGATGATGAGCAATAGCGATAAAGGATTTGAAGTTTAGCGACACTGCGGCTACTTTTTCAACAGCGTGGTCAAAGACATATTTTGTTGGAGTATGGTTTAAAATACTGGTAGAAAAATCCTACAAAATCAACGCATGATGAGCAAGGGCTGGTATTTTCTTCCATACTTGTTTCACATACCCATGTGTACAGTGTTTTGGAATGTTCAGGAGTAACGATATGAAAAACCAGCACGTCGGATGTAGATGACAGCGAGAATGACGGAGTGTACAAACTAGATGGCTTGAATACCTTCCTGGAACCAACGTAACTTGCCATTTCTATCTCACTCGTATAAAGAAGGGGCCAGTCCTAAGTGAGATTAAACATCAACAACCTGAACCGTGCCGATACTACTGATTTTAGCAGCGAGAGTATACCTTCTGTTTCTGACGCGGACCTTCCCACAGCTTGAGTACTAGCTTCAGCACTCTAACATTAAGCGAGACTTCCAATACAGCTACAGATCCATTTGGCAGACAATGCACCGCCAATACAGGCTGAGATAGTTTCATCCTCCCTTCAATCTCGACTGTTCGGTTTGTTTTGAAGCTAGTCGTCACATCGTCCGATGGTTGTTCACGACATACTAATCGTCCTCGCTCAATATACATGTCTTGTTCAGTGCCTCTCCTTCCAACCACTCTTGCAAAGTAATACGGCGAAAACGATGGAACCCAAATTGCGTCTTCCGGCATTCGTGGAGACTGATAACCGTTGATTGGAGTAGAGCAGATATGTCTGGGAGTCTCGACTGATAGTTTCTGGTTGAGCTCCCCTACACATTGAAAAGAAATCAGCAAAAAAGTGATATAACCTGTGCGTCAACCACCAAAGCTCACTTTGCCTTCTAGCCACCGACTGTTTAGAGATGACTTCCGGGGCCTCATCAGAAACACGGTCCAGACGAACTAGAAGAAGAATGTCCGTGAGCATTTGAACAGACAATGCGACCAAAACACCAACATCTACCCAAAACGGATTTTTTAGGCTGCTGATCTCGTCCTGATATCTTATGAAGGTCTGGACTCAAACTCTTCTTTTCATCGTGAATGGATGAAGGTGAATGCGAAATCACATTCTTCTCCACCACGATTATCGTATCGTCCGAGCTGGGTGTTTCTCTGATGGGCGAGTACATGCTGGCTCTTGAGAGATCTGCTTGGTTGCTCCAGGTACGTCAAGGAAAGCTCCAAATAGATTGAGGATAGTCCCCTCTTTGTGCAAAATGGTGGTTGGCAGTGCCAAAAAGAGACCTTGGACAACTAAAGTTCCCACGTTATGCCGCAGACTGGATTGTAGGATTGTTGAGCTCCTGTAGAATTATAGAGTAAGATTTCGTTTGATTTGTCCAGATTCATTCTTCAGTGCCTGATAATACTAGGCTTTGAGTTGAAGTTGACCTGTAAGAACGTTTGGAGGTTGACTTTGGAGGTGCGAAACCATTGTGAGAAATCAATGCTAAAATTTTCAAAGTCCTCAGGAATGCCAACAGACGTGATCTTAAATGTACTATATACTCAGTTCATCGTCTTTCTGACTCGCCAAATCCATCCTTGTCAGATTGCCTCCTCATGCATTTCAAGAAACTCGTTCGTCAATAGACAACGAGTACCCACAAGGGCAGAGGGAGGACGGGGTGGTATAACGCTCTGGATAGTCACTTCATAATGACATTCAGAGATGTCTCATTACCTGCTGATGTCCTGGACTTGCCACGGTGAGCTTTTCACAAATCAACAATGCTTTCTTGTTCAAAACATACCCATTGAAAGCAACGTACTAACCCCCGCCCATGGTTTCTATCCAGTCTAGGGTGGCCACACGTCTCCGTCACTCTTTACTGCTGCATCTTCAAGGGAATGCACTGCAAGTCCAGAGTGTATACCGCAGTTTGGTGACCGTCATATCACCCGTAAGTATGCTATAACCAATTCATATATGACGGTCACAGCCCGCTCGCCCACTGGGTCCTGACTGACCACGTTGCAACGTATCTCGACAATTGCAAGCTATGGTGTGGGGAGGGACAAAAGTGGGAAGTAGTCCCAACGCATCGGGGCGGTCATCGGAGGAAAGGATTGCCGTCAAAATGCAGTCTCGTACTCCCTTCGCTGAAAGGTGTACTGTAGAGTTTTCTCTCTGTTGGACGGATTTGGATGGAGGAGTGTTGGAACTTGGATTTCGAACGACTAGGTCCTCTCTTCTGTCTGACTCATGTGGCACTATTCAACTTCTTGTCTTGATACGTCGCCACAATCAAAGTCACAATATTTTATGTAAACCCAAGCTTCTTCAATATCCAAACGCTCACAGCTCTTGATCAAGACCTTTCACACTTATGTTGCATTCTGTAATATGAATAACATCTCTATTCGCTCCTTCACTTTGAGCCTTGGAACTTCAAAAGCCGTGCACGTTGTATTGTGAGTTTTATTACTATAAACAACCTCAAGCAAAGCACCACCACCCGCATTTTTCATACACCAACCCTCCAACCACTTTATACCCCATTGTACTGCTGATTGAGCTTCATTCCATAATAAGCCGAGCCGACTGCACCCATCGTAGACAACAATAATGGAACAGGTTTCTGAGTCCTTGCAGCCCTTGGGCCCATGGCAAGTAGTAGGAGAGCAGAAGTAGCAGTTGCTAGTTCAACACCATAGTTTGCGTTTGTTTGGATCATGTAACTAGAGTAGCAGTTGGTGAAGAGTGAGATCGGTTTGCATTCAGGAGATGTCAGACCATAGGTTTTTGTGTGCTGTCCGAATTTGAGAAGACGACTCAAGATATCATATTACTCATACCCAGAAGCGATGAATAGACCACCAAAAGCAAGACCAGCGACGAGAGAGGGAGTACTTCTGTAAATGTCGGGATTTGACGAGATGATGATGTTGGCGAGGTTCAGCAAACACAATATCATAGGGATAAATCAGCAAAAGATACGATTTCTTCACGTACCGGGACTTGACGTAACCTATGGTACCGCCAATAGCACCTGTAAATTACAATATGGTTGATTCAATGTCAGTGACACGTTTCGATCGACACTGAAACAAGGAGCAGGACAATGAGTAAGCTTACAAAGTGCGCCGATTGTATAAGCTGGGTGTTGAGCCATGTATCTCTTGGTTAGTACAATGTAGTCTTGTATTCGATTTCGATGGAGATTAGGTGCAAGTAGCGACGAGTAAGCTTCAAGAATAAAACAAATATCAGAGAGTATGGGATGGACGCGTCGAAATAATTCGCATTCAATACACGATGCAAGAGCCAACGTCCCGAACACGTACGCAAGAAAGACAGCCGTCGCCTGATTCGCTCTTTTGTTGTTTTTCGACCTCCGATGACTGACGTGACTACAAAGGTGGAATATCGGTGAAACGCAGAGCTACGAGATCATAGCAGATCCTATTCCTCTTGCTAGTCCTCGAGTGGCTGCACCTTCAGTTCAAGGCCAGCTGACATCTTGAAACCCAGCGAAACAAACCGGTTGCTGAACGCTACAGCTCCCATCTTGGGGCCTTATACCTCAAACAAGCTGCTATAGCATACACGGGAAAATGACTGACTCAATGTCCAGGTATCTTATTACTCTCTCAACATCAAACCCTGTCTAAAAATTGCTGCCAAAAACGTGGCATGTCCAATCCCAAACGTGCAGCATTCAAGCTCGTCAAATCATACACCGCATACTAATCTCATTTTCCCTACATCCTAGTCCCCGCAAATTAAGGATATTGATGGCCACCGAGTATCTGCCTCCCTATGTATCTGGCATTGCAAACAGATGCAAGAATCTCATCAAGGGTTACAGGGAGGCCGGCCATAACGTCACTGTCTACTCTGTGGCTGGAACACAGTGCGAACATGTCATTTGGAGTGTCCCCAATCCATTCTATCCTGCTCAAAGGTATGGATGTTGTGTGGTGTTGTCGTGTGTGTGTTTATGTTTAGACCATCACGCGTATACTCAATACTCTTCATACTTGTACTCAATCCTCCTCACTCTATCTATACTCACATCTAACACCATTATACTCATCAACAACCTATACCATAGAATGTTTATACTGCCACCAATCAGTCTCATCATTCAACTACTCGACTTTTCCACTCCTGTACCATACGATATAGTCCATGTAGTCGCTCCTCTATGTTGGGCATTCACCTGGATTCTCCCTCTATTCAAACTACGAGGTGTAAAAGTATACGTATCCTACCACGTATACTTAGAATACTACAAGCTCCACTATCTTGGAGACAACATCGTAATAGGGTGGATTGCCGAATTCATCCTCATGTTCTTCTACTTCTTTAATCTAGTCTTTTGGGCCGATATCGTCGGAATCCCTTCAAAAACTGCAGACTATTATATATACAAGTACTCCAGCAGAATACACTACATGAAGAGTGGACTGGAAACATCTATATTTAAACCACTGGCCGCTGATGAGATGGAGGATCCGAGTACTACTAGCTGGACTACCAACAAGAGTCCACCGAGGTATTCGTTACGGTCTAGTAGCAACAAGTATGCTAAACTCGCTGTGCCGCCGTCTCCTAATCTAGTACCCAACTATAATAATGGTAATAGTCCAACATCAAACGACAACAAGTTTGCATCTCTACCATCACCTCTGCCACCTTCCGCTATAATACCCACCACAAACGGAACCCACCATCATCCTGTAACAACCAGCATTATATCACCACATAAAAGATCCCCAACATTGGTATACGTAGGTCGTCTCGCCAATGAAAAATCAATCGACTTTCTAATCGAAGCTCTAGAACACCCTAAACTGCTAAACGCCAGACTCGTCATTGTAGGTGACGGTCCAGCACGTAAATCACTAGAAACCCGAGCTAGGCAAATCGTCGGTCCCGATAAAGTATATGGACGGCTAAAACCAACACGACGCCAAAAGAAGGATCCATCGTATATAGAACCCGTTGCTCCAGAACCCCATTTACCAGGTCTAGATTCCATGCGAGTCATATTCACTGGAATGGTATTATCCGAAACGGCTATAGCACATTTTTATGCACATGCTGATGTATTCGTGTCTGCTTCTGGGTCTGAGACTTTTGGATTTACGGTTGCTGAAGCCATGGCATGTGGTACTCCACCCGTTGTCGTCAGGTCGGGCGCCTATGCTACTGCATACCGGATTGTTAACGAATGGATGTATGATGAAGGCGATCGAGAAGATTATGTTGGAAAAGTTATAAGAGCTTGTGAAGGTGGTAAAGGCTTACGTAGAAAGAGTCGACAGATGGCTGTGCATCATTTCAGTGTGCAGGCTGCTGTCAAGGATTTGTTGAGGACGTATCAGTGGGTTATTGACGGTGGGGATCCGGATAAGACTGCTGATTGAGTTGGAGGTAAAGTTTAATATTTGATGAAAGGAAAGGAATGGTGGCATTTTATTAGGTTGAGAGGCTCGCATTATAAACATGGTGGATGCCGTTTGGTGTGTTGATGTAAAAGTATATTGCTATAACTAGTGGAGTAATAGTAGTACTAATGGTAGTAGAAAAAAGGGAAGATGTGTGGCCCCACACATACAAGAACAACAAGAACTCATCGATTTATCCTCAAAACTGTATAATCATTTGATAGAAACGTTTATAAACACCAAACGGGAATATGAAAAGAACCGTCTGTCAAATCTACTGTGGTTTGGGTCTATTATTTTGGGTTTTTGGAGTTTGCCTTTACAAACAACTGATCTATCTTTTACACGAATGCGACAAAACAATGTTTAAAATGGTGCCTCATGCACAAGCAGCATTCTACCCGCTGACATGGATTCTGATGATGATGATGATGATGATGATGATGATGATGATGATGATGATGATGATGATGATGATGATGATGATGATGATGATGATATGGATAGCTACTACTTTCAGCGCTATGCATCAGACTAGGACTCGGAACAGAATCTTTATAATCTAGACGTATACGTTTGGCTGGACGGTCATCGTCAAGAAGCATTCCTGGTACAAAACTATAGGGGTGATGGTCGTTGCCGTGGCCTCCAAATGGTCTACTCTGTCCATAGTCGTGCACAGTATCAGCAGTGCTGCTCTTACTTGCATCTTTCAAGATTGTCCTATTCAAAGTCATCACTAGCTCAAGTTAGATAATTGGCTTGACGAGCTTTAAGCAGAGTTTTATAGCACGACCATAATCCAGCCAATTCGACTAAGTTCACTTCGTTGCTCGTGGTGAAACTTTCTTGGTCTGCCTTAAACAAATAGTGATCAAATTGTGTGGTAGTGGTAATTGTGTGTGAAATAAACTTTGTTGTCACAAAGAAGCCATATTCGGGTTGCATTTTCCAAACTATTTGAAGGCTCAAGTTGAAATTTTTAAGATGAATTTGTGCTCAAATTTGCTCATCATCAGTGTACGTTTGCTGAAAAGTGGGAGTTTTGAGTTTTGGAAAGGTTTGGAAGGAATGTAGATTGACAAATATATATTTTGGTACTTAAACAGCATGGGAAGAGGCATGGTAGAAGATTTCTTTGTGCTAGGTCTGTGTAAGAGGCCGGGTTTTCGGCGAAGCAAAGACGACGAAAGGCTCAATGGCCGCCAACCATTCCAAGCCTGTGTGTCAACTACGAAATCCACACAGCTTCTTCTGAAACGAACAGGCTGTCTGAGTATCTGGAAATGTGTGTGATAGACCATGTTGGAATCAATCCTTTGGATGCGCTAAGCTCTTTTATAGTTGTTGCTCGGATTGAAAGTTCCCAGTAGCTGCAACACAACCCTACGAGCATTATGAAGTGCGTCAAGTGTCAAACTTCTTGACTGCTGTCAAAGTGGCACCAGCAACGGTCGTGAGACAAGCTTATTGTGATTGTTTCTCAGGCCAAGGATTCATCACCTTTTGGGTTGCAACTATAAAAGGAAGGGCACTTTCATCAAAGCAGCTTCCCAATTACTTCAAGCTGCAAAACAGTACTGAGCTCATAGAGCAAACAACTACACCTTGCAAACTCAAAGATGTTCCCACAAACGATCAAGATATTGGTCACAGTTATGCTCTTGTTGAGCATGAAAGCGGTTGCTATTCCTTCTCCTCAAGGTTGCCAGTACCTCCAGCAAATACCAACGGTGGTCTAATCTGGCCTGCTGGGTAAGAATTAGTTTGGTTTCTTCTCAAACATAATATTTCTGATGCTAACTTATAATCTTTGCTGAATTCAGATATGTTCCTGGAGCAACTGCTGCCAACTCGCACTCATCCTGTTACTCCACAGTCAGCATCCAAGATGCTTTTCCAAGATCCTTGCCGTATATGGCCTGACTCCGTATCCTCACACATTGGCTTTGGTTGTTTTTGTGACCTTGCAGCCGCCTTCCCACCAGTCCAGAGAACAAATGCCAATAGTATGCGGGCATGACGGTGATGAGACACATAGACACTTGCTTACAAAGGCGTATTTCTACAGTATCGAGGTCATGAGGAAGACCAGCAAGAGAAGCATATGAGAAGCCAAGCAAACTAAAGAGATTTAAAGCCTCCATGGTCCAAGCTCTTCAAGTCAAACTACCTCTAAATTCTTCTCTAAAACACAAATTACCAAAGACACATATAGCATTTCAAACTGACGGGTGAGTTCAGGACTACATCATAAACCAAATCAGTCCTTCACTTTAAGGTAGTGAGATAAGTGCGTGCGTGTGGCGCTATGGGTAAGTGCGACGTTCGGTGCAAAAGGAAATCGGATCTAAGTAGCTAGTGAAAGGGAGTTAAAGGCCACTCTCTATTCGAGCCTGTAGCCTTTCTAGGGAGGCCCAGTTCCTTGTTTGCGAACAGTGGGATGGTTGAAATATTTTACAGCGGATGGCTCTTCGCTCCCATCGGATCTGCTTCTCCCTTTGCAATAATCGTAAAAAGTGAGTTTGGCAAAATTTCGGAAAAGTGTTAAAATGTAGAGCTTCTTTGTGACATCAACGTGTTTTCTGACTATCTTGTCATTAAGAGAATAGGCAGCAAACAGCTCTGGCCAAAAGAGCTCTTCTTTTCATACGAATCAAGTTTAACAAGCAACCTTTGTGTGTTGGGGCGTGAGGCAACGACGAGCATCAACCCAGACAATAGTCACCAGTGGACATTGTATTAAGGTACGTTTTGTCTGATTGTATCCTGTTTACAAGGACTTATTCGTGTCTGTTCTCCTACAAGCTGATTTGTAAAACAACTTTTTAGCTTGGGACTCAATACAGTGGCAAGCTGCTATTAACAAGACGATGGCAACCTATACTATGGACACTTACTTACTCCACATCAAACACGTAAATCCGCAAGAAACCCACTCATAACGCGACGTGGCTTTAAAATGTCACCAATCCAAACACCAGCAAAATATAAAACCAAGATTATTATCCTGTCGCAACGATATTGTATTTCCTCCACCAACAAAACCAATAATCTTACAGCATTTTTGGTTTTCATGGACGCAACTGAATAATTTTCGTCGTCGTCGACCCCATACTAATCCAACTCCAAAACGACGATACCACCCACCATGCAATATACACCAAGGCGAAGAAAGCCAAGTTTGGTTTGGCGGCAAAGATACGTAAGAATGTGAATCGAAGTTTGGGGAGGTATGGCGTTGTTTCTCGTAGTGCGTCCCACTAGTAAAAACAAAAAGATGGGTGTGAGTGATCAAGACAAAACAAAAGTAGTGGTAACCGAATGATACCTGTATTTCAAGCTGTCGACTCATCCACATAGTCAATCGAACAAGTAGTTCGAATTCATATGTGTGTGGCATGGTTTCTGCACGAGCACTTGGTCGAATGGGCAGTGTTGCTGGATCACATAATCGTAATCCTTTTCGTATCTATATAAAACGATGAAGAAATAAGCATTGTGAGCATCAGACTGCGTTGGGAAAGTAACTTGTTGATTTGCGGACAGCATACCTGCATTCTACCACGACGAGTAAGCAACGTAGGATTATCAGCCCGTACCTCTGGAGCATACATACAATTCGGCCCATACATTCTCGATACTCCTTCCTCCTCTTCTTCAACCCAAAAGTCATTGAATAATCCGTCCTGCTGTTGTTGTCCGCCAAAGACGGATGAAGATTCAGCAGCCAATGCAGCACCAACAGACATGGCAGATTCTGATGAAGAGCCTGCTAAATCCCATACTCGTCGTATAAGTGCTGAGGTACCTTCTAGTGACGTGTTGACTTGAGAAAGTATTTGTGTTCTTTGTTCTCGTTCCTTTTTCGGAGATCGGTTTTCAGTCTCCTGTTTCACTGATTGCCATAACTTGAGACTCATTTCCCATCCTCGTGATACTATCGCTATACTACATATTATAATCCATACTATGAATGCAAGGGCACCTGCGTCTGATGGTGGACGTTCGGGGAGAGTATTATATAGTGATTGTGGTGGTGGTGTAATTACAGGTGATACATTGCCAGTGCCAGGAGTGGCTGGAGCCGGACCTGGTGTCTCAGGTACTGGTGATCGTAGAGATGGTGGTAGTGCAGAAGCTCTATATAACGGAGTTGGTGTGGATGGAGTTGATATACTTGAGCCAGGAGACATGAGGGATACTTGTTGAAATGACGGTCGTCGAATCTCTCTGGGAGTTTCAGGTTGTAGTCGTGTTGGAGTGACATTCTGTTCCATATACGCTTTGAGGCGTGACGTTTCAAAGCTTATACGATTCAGTAAAGCAAGTCGCTAGAATTCGAGAATGACATAAGTCCAGCACGAAAAAAGGATTTACACAGATAGTGATTACGTTGACATTCAACTTACTCTTTGAAGAACATCAGGATCAACAGAACCTGAGAAGATAGGCTTCCAATCAGACGTTCCCTCCAAAGCTTGTATGGAGCTCTTTATCACTGGTCCAGCATTACCCAACTCTGGAAACTTGAGAGACACTGCTAAAAGCGATGCCTGCTTTTGCATATTCAAGCCACCTGTTCCCGCGGATCGCTTCAGAGCACTATTGAATGGAGTGACGCCTCCATTAGCGGGAGTACCGACAGGTGCCATGGTGGGCAGACCACTACGATCAAAAGTGTTGACTTCAGTGTAACTTCCTAGTGTTGTTTCGATATCTCGCAATGCGTCTAGTAGATGAGGTGTTTCTGTGAATGTTGATAATACACGTTGTAATAGCTGTAAGTGATGACGAGTGGTAGTTGGTCTCGGTTTTATAGTTGGGTTTGGAGCAGCACCACCGCTTTGTGCTGTTGCGGCGATGGCAGCTGTTCGACGTGCTGCTATAGCGTCTATTACAGGTCGAGCTGTAGAAGCCAAATCAAAACGTTCTGCTCGTTGCAGGAATGTTTTCAAGAGGCCAGCGTAATATACATAGTTTTCTGCGACAAAGAGAAGCCATTCCTGATCGACTCCTGCTCCTGTAGCCTTGACTCTCCACGGGGTTATATACGTGAGCCACATATCCACAATCTATGTTGCATGAGGGACGATGAGCAAAAAAAACCACTGTCAAATGAAGAAATCTGTGAAGAGACCATTCCGAACTGCTCGTCATCAGGCCAATACTTGAGCGCCAACTGAAGAAATCCATACAGCTTGCTTCCCAGAGCCGAATAGGCATTCCTATACAGCCATTCAATGAGTTTTATGGTGGTCTCAAGCTGCATCATGCGACATCCACACACCTTCTGCAAACATAGTAAACGTCTTGGCCACCAGTATCACGACTGAACGTGCGAGACATACTGCGCAAGTCCATATTGATGACATGTTGTATCAGCATCATTACACCCTTCAGTGTATGACCTGACGGTTGCGTGTATGTCTAATAGGGAGGGAAGAGTGAGTTGCCAATCAATCACCAATTTGATTTCTTTGCTAGAAAGAAAACTCGTCTGTGCCAGGCTTTTAAACTAGACACTTACAAGCACATGCGTACGGTTTGTAATGTTTTGAAATTCCAAGTAATCGTTGTGGCTCATCCAATACTCTACACATGCTCCCACCACAAACTCTGACATGGCATGACAGAGGTCGTTTCTCTTTTGAGGAGCTACATCCAATCTAGTAGACATGGATGGTTTGAGCTTCAAAAAGAACACGAAGCTCTGGCAGGAGACCAAAAAAAGAGCGACGTTATATCAACAAATTACATACGATATTGTGTATACATTCTCCTTCTTCCTTGATGCAGAACCACTTGATGCACTTTGAGAAGAACCAGAAGCGGTTGGTTTGGCGGTAGGAGAAGTCGTCCAATGCAACGCATTCTGCAACCTTCCTGCGACCGCAGACGATACACCGGCAGCATCTTTTGGTGGTGGCACAGGTGCACCTGTAGTCCTTGCACGTAAACCATCATCTGGTCTAGCAGCGGCTGGTTTGGTAAGAGCACCTGTCAATGTGTTGGGTAGAGGAGGTAGTTTTGGATCACGGGGAAGGTAAAAGTCTAGATACATTTGCAGGACGTCAAAGTATATCGGATCTAGATATGATGATGATGAGGAAGTTGATGTCTTCTGTTCGAAGAGATGTTTTATGGCGTTTGCTGCTTCTGCTGCTGTTGATGTTGGATTTGAGGCCTATTTGGAAAGGAAAGCGTAAGAACTCATCCTTGTTGCTCAAGGCCGATAAACATTATCTATACCATGGCGAACTCTACGGGATTTGTGGTGGTTGACAATGTCACGACGTATGTGAAGCACATGATGTAGTATTCAAACATATCTGTGAAGAATGATGTAGGTGGGATTCAGGAATGGGGTCTTTTTGCTGCTACTCCAAGAGCAACTTAACTCACTCAGCATGACTCTCGGTGTTGCCATTGGACCTAGAGCTGGTACTAGATGTCCAACAGGAGCTTTGCTTGGACTCGACGATGCTGCAGGTTCCTTAACGTGGACTCTGTTCTCATAGATCCTTGGCATTTTTGAAAAGTCTACCTCTTGGAGTACTTTTTGCGTTGGTATCTACCGAGAACACAGATTGATATTAGGTCGGTGTTGATCACATTCATCTCATTCCAACACATCACCAAGTTCCAGCTTACAGGTAACAGATTGATATAAATTTCGTATAAAGCATTTGGATCCGGATTTGACTTCATGATTGCACGCATCAGAGTACCCTCAGGGGCAATGAAGTCCATCAGACCTTTAGCATCAGTTCGAGATAATTTCTGTCGAACATATGCACTGTGATGCAAGTAAAGGTAGTTCAATGTAACGAAGCAATTAAAACAGCAAAAATAGCAGATAGATGGCAACGTACGAGCGAGCTCCAACACCTCCAAATAGCACTTCGCATAGTTTCGGTAGGGACGAATGAAGAAATACAGGATATTCACTTGCATCGAGTGATTGCTTGATGTTTGAGGCCAGGATGTTCCATATATCTGATGCCGGCTTGCCAGATTGCAGCAGCCTATTCAGCTCTGTGACATTCATTATGGTCTTTGTTGCCTTACTCCTGTACAAACCAACTTTGTGGTGTTTGAGCGAGAAGAGCACGACGGAGCAGCCCTTTGGCAGCAGAAGAACGCTTTCAAGTCGTGTCAAACTATGTCTAACAGCCAATAAAGCCCTTAAACGCATACATGTTACGTTTCCACAATCAATTCTCTTGAATTCCAAACTTTCATCTCGCGTGTGCAAGATTTGAACAGTTTTCACGTTCTTCAAAGCAGGTCAGACACTATGACAGTTCAAATACACTTGTATTGCTTAGATCTTTCTCTAAATTGAGCCTGTGGTTTCCTCTGCGTACCAAAGACCCCCAAAATGACTACGCACAGTTCCTTCCAACATTCAACGAAAACAAAACTAGTCAAACGAGTCTGATGAAATACGTTCTAATTCATCGTTGCTGAACATTCGCTCTTCTGGAATTACTTCCCAGATAAGTGACAGGCAGCCATGAGTCAAGCAAACTTGGGAAGATTGGTGTCTGTTCGAGGAGGAGAATCCATTATAGTAAACCAGCAGGAAACCTTCTTGACTGGTTCTGGAAGTTTATGCAACAAGACAGACGCTGATGCGCAATGCTGCTTATATGTGGTAAAGGGTTGGAAATCGTGACATCAAACACGCGTGAAGCTAATGCATTTCTGTACATACGCAGGTCCAAGATCAACAAGTTCAAACAGTCCTAGTTGAATGTCTTGGATCAAAGGCTATACACGTCAATAATAGTCGTGTCTCTCGAGGTGAATCAACCAGACTCTTGCAATCTGTCGTGTTGGCGACGCGTTCTAGTGGACGTCGCATATTTGTAGTGTGGTTTTCTCTTTTTATGATATACGCATTATTGTGTGATAAACTCAGCTTGTCTTACAAGTAGGTCAAAAGACAATGTTGCAACATAAAGACGAATTGAACCTTTCATCAGATCACATCTTCATTTTCCATTCATCGGAAACCAGCACATCCGGTACAGAAGAGGACAGTGTCAATGCTAAATATGACATCAAGGCAGCATTAGGAAGAGGGAACTTTAGTACAGTCAAGCTGGCTGTCAACAAGGCTACTGGAGAAGTGAGTAAACAGCGTGAGCAAAGAAAGCACAGTTCATAGATCAACGATTGCCTTTCTAGCGATGTGCGGTCAAGATTGTCGACAAGAAACGAATTCGATTCAATTCAAAGGCTCTTAATGCTGTTGGTCGGGAAATTGACATTCTCAAAAGTCTGGATCATGTAACTACTATTCTGTGTCTGCTTTATCAGCTCAAAGGCTAAATGCTTTATTTAGATCAACATCATCAAGCTACGAGACTCATTCGATGAACAGAATGTATTGTATATAGTGCTAGACCTCGCCACCGGCGGTGATCTTTTCGGATATGTACTGGAGCGAGAACGATTGACTGGTCGTGAGGCTAGAGACTATTTCGTGCAAATGCTGAGTGCTATTCAGGTAAAACATGATATGTTTTGGAGACTTTCATACTTGTGGATGACGGGCATTGAAATGATTTTAGTATTGTCATTCCAAGAATGTGACTCATCGGGATCTGAAAGTAAGAACAGTGTCTTGAAGAATTCAAACATAACTACAGACCTTTTTTTGCATAGCCTGAAAACTTCCTGATTCAGGTACTAAAGCAAAAACGATGGAAGGCTCGGGCATTGTTTGACAGCAACGTCACCATCGCTCTTAGAATCCTGTTGAAAATGTACTAAAGCTAGCGGATTTCGGATCAGCAAGTGGTTCAACTTCGAAAGAATTGAATACTGTTGCTGGAACTCCATTGTACATGGGTGAGACTTTGACCTCCATAGAAGTTGAAATCGTGTGTTACTGAATCATGTGTTATAGCTCCAGAGATCCACGATAGTCAAACATACACGCACCTCGTCGATAACTACTCTCTTGGTGGTTGTCTCTTCTTCATGCTCAGTGGCGAGTCTCCATATTCTGGATTGGAGAACAAGCAATTACATGACGCTATCAAGATGGGTCGTATCTCATTCTCGCATCCTGAGTGGAAGGGAAAAAATTCGAATGGTATTGCATCTTCACACGCGACCGTTTTTTGCTCGCAATCTCACTTAGTTCTTTATAGCAATCACATTAATACAAGGCCTGATGGAAGTAGATCCTCAAAGAAGAATGAGTTTGGATGCTGCATCGTCTCATTCGTGGTTGTCGTCATTTGAACAGCGAGCAGGTGATTTGTGCAAAAAAAGCGATGCTATTATGATCTTTTCATACTCAGACGAATCTCTCACCATAGCTGTCTCTGTTACACCTGATCACAACACGATAGCTCAACTCATCTCTAAAGCATCATGCACAAACATATCCAAACCGAGATTCACTATTGGTCGACAAGCGGAATGTGATCTTGTCCTATCCAATATTCTTGTTTCTGGACAACATGTAGTGATTGAATTCAAAGACGATGGTGTCATAACGTTGACAGATACAAGCACTAATGGTGTGAGAATCAATGGAGTGAGAGTTGAGAAGGGTAGTACTGTTGAGATAAAGCATGGGTAAGTATGAAACATCAATTTCGCAGTGAAGGCATTTTTGGTCACTGATGTGGTTTTGAAACTTTTTAGCGATACGATATCATTGGATCCAAACCACACAACCACTCTCTCAGATCTAGTCTGGGTGTTCAAAGAGATTCGTCGCCAGAACACCCCCCGGAAACGGAAATTTGAAGAATTGGAATCATCGCAATCAGCTAAAAGCATCAAGGTACATCCTGAAACGTTTCCCCATAACATCCATGAAGTTGACGGATGATAGTTTTTTAGACCTCATCAGCATCATTCAACCTCATATCCCTATCAAAACGCTTCCCATCCCTACAGAACTGCCACAAAACTTCAATGCTCTTTGGCAGGCACGCTGATTGCGACGTCCTCATTGCAGATTCTCGTGTATCTAGTCGACATTGCCTTCTCAGTCTCACAGATGGTAATCGAGTCGCTGAATTGGAAGACTTGTCTTCTAATGGCACGTTTGTGAATGGTGTTGTTGTAGGACGTGGGAATAAGGTATCGGTGGAAAATGGGATGGTGATTGCGTTGGTGAAGGAAGGTGATAAGGTTACCATTGGGTATAGGTTGGCGTTTGCATAGTTTGAGAAAGTGGAGAGGTTGTAATATATTATTTTCATTCATTTGCATGAAACAATAAATTAAGATACGACTAAAGGCGTCGATTCGGGAGTGCAGGTGAGTATTTCTAAATGTCTTGGGTTGAGAGCTGGCTCTGCGGTCGCCCAGGCTCTGAGCATCCCATTTCATTTATGGACTGTCGGCTGCATATTGAAGGTCATGTTCCTACCAGAAACTCGCTCTCAACATTAAATGCCAGCGTTCGAAAAGTCACAACTTTACATCACGAGCACACCATTGATGTCTCCAATTCAAACGATTCAAACTACACTTTGATGAATCGTTTCAAGTTGAGAAACTCGGGTAGCTAATGCCTTTTTCAAAACATGGACTTCCATGTACAACATCACTACCGTCTCGAAACTGTATGGAACACAACATCACCACCCTCTCAAAATAGTAATCAAACGCTTGAATTATGACAATTCCTGCATTGTTATCCTTATCTGACGTTTTCGCTCTTCCGGGAGGTCAGGGTCGCTGACACAGTTTCACATGTTAACGGTGCTAATAACATGTTTTTATTATAGGTAGCCAATATTGTGACAGTACTCTCATCAGCCCAACTTTCAGGATCAAACACGGCGCGCAATCCACTGCCGTTACGTACAAGATCACTGGAATGTATACACTTGATGATCATGTATCACGACTTCACGAAACGTGGACCGTTGAGAACCAAAGATTTTTTAATAGTACGGACACGTTTAACCTGGTACATCTATGACTTTGACACTATCTGGCTCCAATTGGATTTGGTTACTGACGGTATATGATTACTAGTTCCCGCTGCGATTGATTCTTCTAAGCCTGAAAGTCCTCTGCCTGTAGCGACCGCTCAGGTGAAACTGGTACTGCTGTCAAGAAGGTAGAGATCTCCTCATTGATTATGCTGAATTTGGGTTTTGGTCATCGAATGAAAAAATGGAGAACTGGCATTGACCGATCTATCTGTTTTAGATCAAACCGTAAAGCACGGCAAATACGTTGACAGCAAAAGAGGTGATCATTAGCGCGTTTGTCTCTATATTATCTGTCAACAACATTTCCAAAACATACAAGATCTTGAATCCCTCTTTGATTGTAGGTCGAGATTAAGTGAAATTGGGTCTCAACCGCCAAGTCAAGTATTTAAAACTATCTGGGTTTTCTTGTCTTTGAAGCAAACAGTGCAAAACATTTCTGTATCATTACCCGAACAAAAGTTTTTCCATCTCAACCATCCAGCTTACGCTACGGGACTAAACGTCACCAGCATCACATCGGTGCAAATTGAGGTCGAATATTGTCATCGACCAACTGCGGCATCAGGAAGTAACCCTACCAAGAGTCCGCAAAACGCATTCACAGGACCTAAAATCTTGCTTTTCTCTAGTCGTACAGCACCTGACATGTTCAAACTACGAACAGTGTCATTGATAACTGGGCTTTTGAATGCGACTTAACTTTTGTTCAAACTAATGTTATATTAACTGATTCTGTGGTACAGGAGGTAGAGAACCTAAATACTTCAGCTCTTCGAGTGTAAGCGTCAGAAGGAATTTTGGATAGACATTCTCAAACAGCGACTAGTGTTGTAACAAGCGAGTGAGTGAGTGAAAACACAAAATGTGTGCAAACAAGGAAACAAACTACCTTCGTTACATCTTTTATGCACGGTCTCAATAGCTCCAAACTCGGTACAGGACCTCCTTCCTCATGTTCTCTAAAAGCATTCATAACCGGTCTTGTAGCACGTACAGGCAAATTGAGCTCCATCAGAGCTTCCGGCTTAATGTAGACGTCTATGAGTGCCTTGAATTCATTGACTAGTAGTGCTGGTATCACGGTTTCAGTCATAGCGGATGACTTTCGTCTGTCAGGTTCAGGTGACATGGATATAAGAGATTCCGATCGACCCCCGTCCAATGACATTCTGGAGAAATACGCTGGTTTGAGTGATATTGAAAGTCTTTGAGACCACCTTCTTGTACTTGTAGGATGCATTTGCGGATTCATGGCGTCTAGTAATCTGATGATTTCTTGTATAAAGGAGACTGATTCAACACAAAAAAGTTTCATCTAAAGTTTGTCGAGTCATAAAACTGTCAATGCAGCAAGGTGTAGATATTGTAGACGACTTACTGAAAACAACTTGAACTTTTGCATCAGCTCTTTATCTCTCAAGAGTTTTTGAAACGTTGACTCGGATATCAGCACTTCCTCCTCCGCTGAAGCGGCCTCTAGTCTGAAAATCCAACTAAAGCCCTCGTTTGCCAGTTGGGAAATACGGTACGATTTCCATAAAGGGACGATCTGCCAAGAAATTATTAGGATTTAGTAAAACAGTCTCTACCACTTCGTTTTGTTTTGTTTTCTGTTCTCTTACCACAGAGACAATATGCATTCCCACGGTCGTCAGCCAGCTCCACAGCATAGGCGGAAAGTACGAATAAAGATATGGGTAAAAGTAACAGATCGTTGCCCATACCACGTACAAGTTCACACATGTAGTGCAAGCGACACCGTTCAGGTAAAGGTCGTTCTTGATGCCCAACGCATCCTCCAATTTCCTTACTTGTGTACCCCATCTAGAACATTGAAAGATTAGAGTCACGGTAAGCAAAACACAACAGGTTTAACGTACTTCACGGTAAACGATATAATGAGTCCCACACAGAGAAACACAATCCAGAATTCCCAATAAAAGATGGTGAGATTGAGTAGACATTCATTTGTAGGATGTAATGAGAACGTAGGGGACAGATTCAGTATCAGAATGTCATTGATTACAGCGCACAAAAGGAACAGTGCCAGGCCAATCCAAAATACTTTATCAATTTTGTCGATCTTGGTCCGGATAGTGTCTAGTAGTAAAATACTGCCGTTTAGATACACGGTGTTGGTGAGAGAAAAACTACATAGCAGTTCCTTACTGTCTGAATTCTTTCGACTCCTCTTGACGACGGGTCCTTCCGTATTACTAGATTTGGTCAACCCCATCCTTTCTAGCTGTGCCGAGTGTGCAAAATACAATCGTCTAGATTTGCCCTGTTGGTGTGATTTCAACTTTTGTGCTAAAGGTCAGTAAGTTTACAGATGGCACCTACCCAAACACTGCCACAAACTGTAATAGTGATGAACGACCAGGTTGTAGCTTGTAGTGTACACGATGACAGGGTATTGTCATAATAAATCATTCCAAAGACGTTCAGCGTGGCAAAAAACGAACTAGCAAGGCATACTAGGTTAGCATCAGTCAAGCACTCCATGTATAGGATCGCTTTACTTTCAACGGACACTTTGCGTTCACTTTCTCTTCCTCCAGCATTTGACAAAACGAAGCACACATATACCTGATAGTAACTAGAGAATCCAGATACACTGGCCGCTTAGCTAAATTCTTGTCTTGCCGATTTCTGTAAAGGTATAGAAATCCAGAAAAGACGCAGACAAAAATCCATATACCGCCTGACGGGCAAGAGCAAGAATATAAGATCATTCCTCCAATATCGTTTATTGCTGGGAAATGGCACTTACTAATCCAGGTCATCCAAGTTACAGTGCTCGGCTGCAAGAATCTCGGATTGGATGGCATGTCTGTGAAATTCAGAAGCTGGGGATGTAGAGACCCAGTATTCTCATTTCTGGCCACTAGATACATATTGATTATAACTTGTCGCTCGCCCAAAGGCGGCTCCTGTGTGTGTGAAGCTTGATTGCGTCGCTTCCGTCTGAAACTTGCTGGACTTGTAATCGGAGGTTTTTGAGTCGACCCGAAGGGTAATCAATCAAAGTTAGCCTGGATGAAATACGTGAGTCTTATAAGACCACCGCTCTTAGCTTTGAAGGACGCGTTCTGTCCATGCTGTTTCGACAATTCAACAAACTTGTTTCCAGGCATTGTTCAGACTTTAAACTTTTTATTTTATTGAAGTACCTTTAATTATAGTAATACTACATCCAACTAGTTCGTGGTATTGGTGGAGATGTAAGGAGATACTTCCTTTCACTGTCACTGAGAGTCAGAATAAACTTGGGATATCTATTTGTGACAAATGAGCATCGGTTACTTCAGTTACTTCCAAATGATTCAGGCGAGCCTTGCAAAACCTACACGTTCAGATACAACCCCCTAGAGACGTCGGCCACAGCATTCTTGAAGATGTCGTCCTTGGGGAGTGGATGTCCCCTTTTGACTGAATCAAAACTTTCAATAATAGGTTTTGAAATCCGAGTAGGTAGATTAAGTTCCATTATTGATTCAGATCGAAGATACGTGTCTACAATATATCGACAATCCTAGAATAAGGGCATCAATGTTCAAGCTCCTGATAGTGATTGAATACAAAGCCACTCACTGGGAGAAGAGCAACAGGTATCGGTTGCGGTTCTTTAACGGTTTCAGAAGCACCAGACTGGCGGGGCTTAAGACCTGACACCACAGAAGCAGACCGTTCTGAAACTGACTGACTCCTCGACGGTGGGTGTGCTTTTTCGAAATCATATGCCATCCGTATAGCTTCTTGAATGAAGCTCACATTCTCAACACAAAAGAGTTTTGCGGCAAATGCCTTCAATTTTGGTTGAAACGACTTGTCTCGAATGCATTTCTGGAAATTTTGCTCGCTGAAAATTTCTTCACTCGATGACTGTGCGTTTGCCTTTAGGATATTGTTGTTGAAGTGGCTCGCGATTCGAGATATGGGTTTGTATGATTGCCACGTAGGTACGATCTATTGTTATCATCACATTGGGATTAGTATCAATGAGATTATCCATTTGCTTTCCATCAGTTCTACTACTCACGACGGAAATAAAATGCATCAAGTAGCTCAGTATGGAAGGTGTGAGAGCAGGAGGAAAGTATTGATACAACGAGGGGTTGAAGTAGACGACAATATCCCATATCACGTACGAAACTATCATTGTGAATGTCGTGAACTATAGACAAAAGGGCGGGGGTGTCACAATTGAGAACGTTGAATCTGTATTCGAATTTCGACCAAAGATGATACTTACAAAGTTGATTTGGATGTCCTGCTTTATTCCAAGCTGGTGTCAACAGACCGAGTTAGTATGAAGCATCAAGTTGCCACACAGTGTAACGGAATAAAACCTCGTCATTGCAATGCCTCGTCCTCCATAAAAAGTAAATCAAGAAGCCTAACAAAGTAAAAGGTTAATTCTCGCTCAGACGGACGAGGACCAGTACAGTACGTGACCATGACCAGTACAGTACGTGACCATGACCAGTACAGCACGTACAGTAAATAGTAATAATGCCAGCATAGCAAAACCAGAACTCCCACATCCGTATTGTTAACACGAAGTAACAGTGTTGAGTTGGGAATAGACCATCTACACCAAAACGATAGTATTTTGTCATTGCCTCAAGAAGGAAGAGGGGCACGCGTACTGACATTGTGGAGATAGTGCCAGAACAATGGCAGAATTCACTAACGAAGCTGCCAAAGACAGGTAGAGGGTCCTCCAAATCAGGACATCATCGAATTCATTATTCCACTTTGGTGACAGTTTTGCGACTAGACCCCGCTGTTGAAACAATACTTGGCTTTCGAGATTGGCCCGATCTTGTTGGGCCGTATAAACAAAGTAGAGTCGTCTGGTTCGACCCCAAATGCTGACACTGAGAATCAATGTGACAAACGGCCAACCAACACTTTGCAAGGTACAGGAGGCTTGGTCGTTTTCCCAGAACGATATTCCGATACTTTCCACAGCGGCAAGAATAGTGCTAAAAGTTCGATGTTTTTGTTGGTATGATTTCATTATGTTGGTCCAAACAACTTGTACCCGAGAGAGGTTAGTAGAGTCAGGTATTTGGGTCTCTTTGCAAACTGCTCATCTTCTCCCGTCCTCTTATAGTATAGTACGGCTGTGATTATGACAATCACAATCCATATTGCACCTAACGACTGCATTAGAACGTCATTTAAAAGTGAGAATATGTGGAAGTTCTCTCACTTGTCCAGAATAAGAAGGCCGCTCGAAGTGGAGGTAAATATCGTTCCATTCAAGCATTATAATACAGCACAGAAACGAATTGCGGAGGCCCTTTTCCCCAACTTTCTTGTCAAGACTCGGAGAATGACCAAGACGAATCAGACCCTCGAAAAATGACCCGATGCAGTTTGCGTTGAAGTTTGGTTCCAAATTATTACATGACCAAATTTCATTTCTTGTTCAATCCTCGTATCAATACTCGTTGTTTAGTTTGCGGTAATTGACCAAGGTTTGCATCAAATGTGGATTTGATGTTGATGATTTCCAGTCGTTCGATACCTTGAATACATGCGAAATATTGTCAATAACTATGACCGTGATCTGCCTTTCTTATCCAAAGATTGACCTTTGCGTATGGCGCGAATCTAAGAAACAAATTGACAGAATCGTGACATTGTACCAGATTATTATAAGCTGATCAAAAGTCAAAAAATCAACAAGACAACTACAAATCGAAGGGACAACATCCGACTCGACGTATTTATACATCCTACATACTCAACGCATCTTCTTTCTAACTCGCGAAATTCCCACTGTGATGGATTGCCTCTCATAAACCCGTGCATTTCACGAAACTCGTTCATCAATAGAGAACGAGCAAACCAAGGGCAGACGGAGGAAGGGAGGTGCATGCCGATCAGAAGAGTCATATCGAAAAGGCATTCAGAGCTGTCTCATCTCATATTGCTCTCCTAGGCATGGTAAGAACTCACCTTTTACAATCACGTTATTTTCTGCAAAAGCATTCAAACATGATCTGACCATCTCACCTGCTTCTACTCAGTCTAGGAGAGCAACATCTCCCAATGCTCTATACTGCTCTCATTGGCACAAACTGCAAATTCAGAGTGTCGATGGTGTTCAAGCAAGGACGCCATTGTATGAAGGCGGATGCAAGATTAGTAACCATCATTATACACCACGAAATGTAGCTATGTTTATTAACCAGTCAATGACGGTCACCATCCGGCTCGCCCACCGGGTTCCAGACCTACCACGTTGCAATGTATCTCGACGTTGCAAAACGGCGTGGGGAGGTAGATAGTGGGATGGAGTCCCCATAATGCCGGGGAGACCATGCTGTTGGTGCCGCGCACTCCAATGCTTGCCGGTCAAAGGTGTACCTTGCAAGATATCCCAGCAAGCACGGCGGTGTATGCTGTTGGCGGAAGCAAGAAGCTCTAAGATGGCAGTGGTAGTTAATCTGGTGAAGACAACCCTCTTTTGATATTTGGGACGATGGTCAGGACTGGTTCTTTGCTTTGCGCTTGCCTAGATATGGTATAAACTAATTCTCATCTCGTTGTTTTCAAACATTTACTAAGAGCTCAAGATCTAACCACGGACTGGTTCTATTAGACTAGGAAGCAAATTGCTCTCATGCGCTACAGCGCTCTCAAGAGCTCACACCGTAGAGTCTGTTGCTGCTAAAGGTGGCCGTCATTCACAATAGGGAACTATTTTCATTAATCATTTCATGACGGCCCACGCTCGCTCGCTGACCGGGTCCTGACGATTCACGATGTAATGTCCTCTACATTGCATAAATGGCGTGGGGAGGGGAAAGTCGGAAGTAATCCCCATTACGGTTTACGTTCTCGCCGGGGAGATTCTGCAAAAGGATAGCCTTTGCGTTGGATAAGATGACCTATATGGGCCATCCAGCTGGCATTCAAACCACTGAAGCTTTGTATCCAAAGCAATAGACCGTGGGCATAAACTCTGAACTTGTCGAGAGGCAATCAAAATTTACATTTTCAGGCCACCAATTCATCGTGTATGCCAATCGCAGGTCGAAAGGCGTATGGATTTCAACTATCTCCCTTTTCGGACTTTGGAATCCGCAGATATGAACTAGGTCAGAAAATCTGTCCCCTCAGTTTCAAAGGTTCTGGAGTTTGACTTGATTCGCCCATGTAGTGTGGTTTGGAACATTACGTGCTTCATGCGTATATCATTAAAACGAGACGGTAGGACATTTTTGCGAGTGTACTCAATCACATAAACTCAGTATGAATCACACAACTTTCATTTGTCTGTTTGGAGAAGCTCTGGCGATCCTCCTAGCATGTGAATGCGAGGCTCTTAGATCTCTGCCTGGTGTATTGCGTGTGTTTTGGTTTGTTTCTTCGTGTTAACGAAATCGCACGTTTTTCGCGTATTCTACACTGTCCCCGCGTGCGTTGCATGCAGAATAATACACTGAATGAATGCCATACCTTGTTGTTGAACCTTCAGATCTGACCTGAACCTCTGACGATGGGTCGTTCAAACCTTTGACCAACAGCACAAACAAGGAGAACAGTTGTCTTAGTGACTAGTCATGGTCGCTACAAGTACCGCTGACTCCAGGAACTATGATATCCCATCAGAACTATGGCGGAGGACAACCAAAGTCAAGAGGTATGAATCACAAAAACATTCAATCTTACATGTTGCTGATCATGACCAAAATCCTCCTTGTTACTAGTGCAATTCGATGTCATACAGCCTTGAATGATGCTGCTAAATGGTCTACAAGAATTCAGGCTGTTCCGGCAAGTCCCCAATTTCTAGAACTGCCCAACATCAAAATCACTAAATTGTGATGTTTTGTGATCGTAGGCATCACCATACGTGGTCGTCAGTTCAGGAGCCAAAAGCAAGAATTTATATGTTATTGAACATCAGGCTCGCTCTAAATTCGATCCAGATGATAGTAATGATCAAGAACCGTCACTTAATGTGAGTCTCGTTTGTTGGAACTGAACATGGACATGCAGAATCAACAAGGAGACCGGTCAATTTATGTATTTATGAGTGGCGGATAACCCATTACACTTGCAGGTTCGATCAGTCTTTACCATTCCGCATCCAATCTATGGAATGTGCATACATCAAAACAAACTCGTGCTGGGAGGTCCCGACGGCGTAGCCCAGCTATTCGAAATCAATTCATCGGAGCTCGCCAGTAAAGGGAAGGGACTGACGCATCTATCAGAGTTGTCGATAGGAGAAACCACAACACTGGTATTCAAATGTTATCTTCTCAGTTTTCCTGCTTCGGCTCAACATCATCGTTGTTTAGGAAGCAGTACCGGTATCAGCACCAGGCCAATGGACACGCTCAATCCAATTACGGTCAATCCAATTATGTCCTACAGATCCAAATCGATTATTAGCTACACAAGGACGTAGCGTAAAAGTCTTGCAAATAGCATCTGGAGCCACCGAATCCTTTGATATTGGATCAGATTTACTTAATGTGGCATCCTTCTCGCCTCATAATGGATCAGTATTTTCTGCTGCTGGTGCAGATAGGAATATTTATACCATAGATGTCAGGTTGGAGAAGCCCAAGAATGCAGTCTGGACTGTGCAAAAGGCACATTCTCGCGCTGTAACGGATCTGCAATTCAGTCCGTTTATACCGTACTGGCTGGCATCGTCTTCTGACGACGGTGTTGTAAAAGTATGGGATCTGAGATATGGGAAACAACCTGCTGCTCGGGTTGACGGGCACTATCAAGGAGTGAATGCCGTCGCATGGTCAAATACACGTGTTGATTTATTGGCTACTGTCTCGTCAGACAAGTCATGGCGTGCATGGACCTTTAACTCAAGTCTGGTGGTGCCAAGGCATCCAGGAAATGACATAGTTATAGCATGTCCTGGTTCTGAATGGAGTGGTATAACGAATAAGCAGGCTGGAGATGTCTCTGTTGGTGCCACACAAGTTGGGGAGTGTTATATGGGTTACGCAGCTCCTGTTCTTGCTGGTAAGTGCGACAATCAGAATATAAACACCCTTTCGTGATACTGGCTCAAAAAAACTGGGAACCATCTGATTTCCAACAACAACTGTGACAAAAGCTTGTTGACATTTCCTGTCTCTAGTCACTGCCTCGTCACTACATCCGGATACATTCTATTGTGTCTCTGCTGTTGGCGATGTTCAAAGTCACTGTCTACCTGCAGAAATATTTGAGGAATCTGGAGGTTACGTGTAAGTCGTAATTTCAAGCTGTCGCAGTAAATTTGAGTGCTCGACAGTGACCATTACCCTTCTTCCCTTGTAGTTTCGGCTCGAGAAAGTTTCCAGCAGAAGCAGGTAGTCAATGATGGTCGTATCATGACTATCTAGATTCACCTTTTTAACCGGCTTTTCTTTTAAAGAATTTGAGCGAGCATTACGAGCAAGGAATTTGAGCTCTGCCCTCAGCCAAGCTGCTACCCTGACAAAGAGTAATCCTAAACCTGAACCAGTACTGAATCTATGTCGACCAAAACCAGCTATTACTGAAGCAGAATATGTCATTGATGGATCAAAGGAAGGAGGACCACAAGTGGTTCAGGAATTCAGAAAGGGGTTGGACGAGTGGTGCATTGGATTGCCACCAGCTTTTGATTTACAGCCATGGCTGTCGCTGGTAAGAAGAGCGAAAAAGTAAGGCCGTTCTTTCACTAAGTGAATCTCTTCTTTTTTTTGTTAGCTCCCATCTACAGTAAAGCAAGAATTTGATGGGGTCACATTTAGGTTGAATTTGTCCAACGATATCGCCACAGGGAACTGGCAAAATATAGTCAAATATGAAAAGAGTCTTCTTCAATCAATGAGCAGTGATCCACAATACTTGGATATTGAAATTCTCAAGGTTGGTCGCGCAACCGTTTACTTCCTTTTTCAAACACTGCTAACCCCGACCTGAATGGTTCAATAGTCAATAGTGGACTGCATCTTTCCACATGAACCTGTGCGAGCGATGCACATATGTCTCAAGTCCGCAGAAATCGCAGAAGATGTATCACCAACCAAATTCTCAGAGTTTTCAGAACTGCTATGGGTTTGTTTATTCCCATCTGTATACGATTCCGAAAAGTTTTTACCTCCGTTAGAGGTTTTAGACTGGAGTTCATTGACTAGCTCTAAATGGATGTTGACCAAAGATGCTAGGAAGAGTAGAAGGCGGGATATTGAGGGTACTTTGAGGGATTCTAGAGTCGTGCTGAGTATGGTTCGTGTTGAAATGTAAGATTGTGTTTTCAAATGTGGTTGTCCCATGTGAGAAGTCTTTTGTTACTTTTTTCTTCCCTCTCACACTCACACTCGCAATAGAAACTTGCAAAAGATATTAAATCGACCGAATTTGGAAGATGAAGTGCTACGCGTTATAGCTGGAGACCGTGCCATGGAAAGTGGTGGTACCCAGGCTGCTGTAAAAGAACGTGAACGCACATTATCTGCTCGTGCGAACAGAATGTATCTAGATGCATTACTGAAATCTGCCCGATATGAAGATTGGTTTGGAGTCTGTGTTGAGCTCATATCGGTAAGTGAGGTTGCCTTACTTCAAATTCAATAATTCGCTCATTACCAATCTTTCTTGCTCAAGACTTTCCAAACCACAGATTTTGCTCGTCAACTCATGACAATTGCAGACAAGGTCGCAATGCGACACATTCGAAGTCACGTTGATTCTCTCTTCAAAGAGGCTTCAACCCACCTCTCAGCTGCAGTACAACTAGCACAACAGAATGCCGGCCCTCTAGAAATCTCCAACAAGCTTACATCCTCAATCCAAATCCTGGGCAAAACATTTGTCCTGGTATCCCGAATCGCATCTGCTGTAGTATCATTACTCCCGTCAGCATACAATTACGAAAAGGAAGCAAACAGAGAAAAGGAAGCTTCAGATAAGGAAGTTACTACTATGGTCAATAACTTGTCGGTGCAATTAAAAGATTTGTTAAACATGTTGGGAACAAGTTTGCCCAAGATTTTGGGGACTGCCAAGAAAATGTTGGGTCCAGTTGGTAGTTCAACGTACACGTCGTTGTGGGCGGCTGTGAATGTGCTGTTGAAGGATATGGAAGTTATTGGGAGGAGTTTCAGACGTGGCGATAAGGGGCCTACGGGGCAATTGTTGTAAGTCGTGTTATGTTGCTTATGAGCGGGGTTGTGTTGGCTTTTGCTGATTTAGAACACTGTCTTGATTAGAATGGAAATTGCTGAGAATATTCAACAGCTCAAGACCTGGGTTTTAGAAACTGGTGGTACTCCATTGTAAATACTGCTATGATTTTGGCGATACAGAAATCGCTCATTTGTATTGTAAGTGAATTACTGAATGTAGAAGTTTATCGCAAGGATTGGTGAATCTCCTCGTCTCACTCTTCGTGTCGCATCTTACTGCTTACTCTCGGTTCGGGGGATCTCGGTATGTTTTTTCGATTGATTTTTCGATGTTAGGTCTTCATGTTGCAATCTCGTTTTTCGGTCGCAGAGGACTTATCCTAGTCGTATGGACTCTATGGGTGCTTCATGGATTGTTGCTGGTGGTAAAGCCATTGTATTGAGCTGCGAAGCTTGGATAATAGATGATATCTTTCCAAGCCGTCCTTTCAGAAACGAAAGCGACTCAGTATCAGGTAAACGTCTGTACTCTCCAAAAGGAATCAACTCAGCTAAGCAACAGCTAACATTTCTTGTGCGTCACGTTTTAACTGGTAACACTACACTCTATATAAATACAACGCCATGCACACAAGGTATAATATTTGCGTTACGAAGACATAACAACTCTTTTAAACAGACACGGGAACCTGCAAGAAAAAGTACGAAACCTCCTGGTTGGCCAACAAATGCCTCTGCTCTTGAGGACTGAGCGAAATCACAAACTTTGGATACACATTCTCATACAGCACTTTCGAGACATCCTTGACGACCGGTATAAACAGATTCATGCATGGTGCAGACCCCCCTTGCGTCACATATACAGAAAAAGCATCCGTAATTGGTTTAGATAGTCGCCATGGAACGTTTACTTCCAGTGGAGAACCTGGTCGAATGTATGTTTCAACGATATATTGCATGTCTGGCATTAACCGTTGCGGTATTGGCTCATTTGTTTGTATGATTGGTTGTTGTATTGGCTTTTGGTGGGATAGTGTTCGTGGTTTGGTTGACGGTGGACTTTCGACTGATAGCGCTCGAGGATTAATTGAAGGAGGTGTCTCGACTGAGGGGGCTCTTGATTTCGGTGGTGGAGACGTTAGTGGAGCGAGAGTACCATCACTACTGCCTTCGTCTTCGTCTTTCCTGGGTTCTGGGATTGGATCGTGGATACTTGACACACAACGTCTCTTGGTTGTTGATAGACGTGGGATGATGCTGATGCTAATGCGGGCTTCGTTGTTGTTGTCACCATCAATGCTGTCATGGGAAGAAGTCATGAAGGACGGCAAAGTCAAGGATATCTTGCGAAATATTGTTTTCGGTGGTGCGAGGCCTCCTGTTGTAGCAGCGGATGCATCTGCATCGGCTATTAGAGATTCGTGGACTCTAATCATAGCTTCCAAGAGGCTGACACTCTCGACGCAAAACAATTTTGCCTACGTTAGAAAAGAGTTGTGAGAATGAAAGTGGTAGAGGACAGCCAAGAACAAGGCTGATAGGAACAGACATACCGAAAAGAGTTTGAACCGGGACATCGTCTCCTTGTTTGATAACAATTTTCGGAATGCCATGTAACTTTGAATATCGGTTTCCACGTCGAAATTACAATAGAAGCAGCGACCGAATCTCCCAGAAACTTTATATGAAACCCATAATGGCCATACCTGAGGGGAATAGAGCGTTGGTTTAACAGCCTGTACAATTGATCGCAAAGCAGATTTTGAAAATATAGTACACACCACCGATATCATGTGCATTACAAGACCTTGAGAGAAGAATAACAGAAGTGGTGGAAGAATTCGATAAAGAGAAGGCCGAAAATAACACGCCAGGTCCCAAATGAAGTAAATTACAAAGATTCCAACCGTGGCAACCTGTTTGTAACAGAGTTCAGCCAAGCTTCTTCCATCTCTCTATGACCAAATCCAAAAATATTCACATACGGCGTTGCTCAGAGCGTCTTTACGAATTCCCAGCTATTTGAAAATTTGAAAAGGTGGTTTAGAGCGAGACTACCAGTTCTCAGAGTTGGCAAGAAGAATTTGTTGCAGGGCATGAATGACAACGATCTATGCTGACGCGTGCCACAAATGGTTTGTTGTTTACCTCATCTGCACACCCCCTTGTGAGGTAGAGAGAATAGAAGGCACAAACGTACAGTATAATTGTGATTGCAAAGCAAAAGCTAAACTCCCAATATCGAGCAGCAAGGACAACCCAACAATGCTGTTTAGGAAATAATCCAACTAGTTTGTTGCAGAAAGATAAGTCCAAGTGCTCTATGAAGAATTACACCCAGAATTGCAACGTACATGAAGGGGACACAGCGAGTACGATAGAGTTCCAAGCAAATCCAATAAGCAGGAATGCAGCAATACACCTCCAAAACACTAAATCGATCTTGTCGTACCAAGACATTTGATTGCAGGTGCTCGCTTTGGTAGGCCTTCGTTTCAGCGTTGTGCTATAGTCAGTGTTTGCACGATCGACTTGAGCCCTGGTACAAAGTAAGAGTCAGATATTGTACAACCATGTCACCACGGCATTTGATTCTAAAACTTGTATACTAACGTGTATTCGAAATAGAGGCGTCTGGTTTTCCCCCATAAAGACCCTGATAGCAAAGTTGTGCAGACTGGAAAGCAGATTTTGATCCACGCGCAACTTAGAAACTATTAAACAAAAAGGTGAGCGAATTTCTTCCAAGGAATTGCAATAATATAGGGTACATCTTGATCCCATTGAGTCAAGCAAATGATGTCAATAGCTTGAACCAAGGTCCTAATAGCACAAAGAAAACTTGAGTTAGGTTCAAAATTTCTTCCGCCAGACTTTCCAGTTTCAGTAAAACCACACGCAGTTACCCAATGGATCCAAGGAGAGTCACTGTAACTCCGCGTTTACTCAACATTGCATCTTGTCGAGACCGTATGAAAAAGAGTATCGAAGTGGTTACGACTATCGTGATCCATGTCGTACCTGGTCGGAAAGAAACATTAGTTGTGATACCCAAAAGTATCGAAGGTCCTAATATTTCAAATTTGTTGACTTGTTATGAATTGCAGAAGCTGCAATTCACAACAAAGTCAACAAGGATGGAACAGAAGTCCAATAGGACAGACCAAATACCTAGCCAATACATCCGTATTGAGGTAAAAGCAGTAATATATCGATCATCATTGGGAGTTAAAGGAGCTAGCACCTCGATCGAGCCTCCCGATACGAGACTCATTCAAAAGTCGGGAGCACCGTTCGAATAACCGAATAACCAGAATTCCAGAATTTTAGGATTTCTCTGACGTCGATAATTGCAAGATAGTGAGGTCTCACACATAAACCTTGCGAAGTATCAGAATTTTAAACTAAATTCTAGGGGTATTCAGGTGAAGCCCCTCGAAAAAGTTGGGGCTAGGTTGGCACAAGCTCTAGCCTCAGTTGTCCCAAGCGAAATACAGCGGAGGACTTGGGGATTCAATAAGATTGAGGTCTGGAGCTTGGGGGTTTGGGGCGTCTGGAAACGTGTCATGCTCCAACACACCAGATCCCCACCCAAGACTCACGGACCGGAACCCCAATGATTTTCTGCTAATCTGTTCCAAATCTTCGAATCTTTCGGTAGGGCTTAAATTGGGGAGGACTTTTGATGATGGTGCAACTGTAGGAAAGAGTCACGATTTCAAGCCCAAAATGTGTGTCAGCTCCAGGCATAAAAAGGGTTGGAATGGAGGCAAGAGTATATGGGAACGCGTAAAATCGATTAAATTGAATATTTCATGCCAATGCGCCACCGACCGGTAAAGGTTTCATCTCGTTCCCCTTCACAAATGTTGAGAAGAAGTTGTGAGGTTCACAGTTCATAGAGGAGAAGCTATAAAAAAAAAAGAGAGCGTCATCATTAAGCAAATAAGATTACTATACTGAATTGATAGCTTTACCTGTCTTCTCCTTGTCCTCGTCTCGTTTACTAGATTTCAAAACAGACAGGAATGTCGCTTCGACGGGCATTATTGTCGCAATGGACGAAGACCTCGAGGACGTGTCAGAATCGTATCATACACGTAAGAAATGTCATTTGATACTTTTCTTCTCCTTTGTTGCCTGTCTTTGAACAATCAAATCACAACATCGCTCACATCTTGTTCATGGCGTTATTAGAGACATTTGGCAACTCCTGCAAATGCAGCTCCGCCAGCTGAAGGATTCATGAGTGGTCTAGATACGTCCATGATCTTGAAATCTACACGCGAATCTGCATTGGCCAATCCTGAACTGAAGTCATTGAGTGCAAACAGTACGTTGGATCCCATTGTATTCACATCAGAACATGTCGTACTTTGCTTTTGCGAATACTAATTCCAATATCTGACCTCTGATAGCCGAAACAAAACGTACAAACATGTTCCAAGCTATAAACGAAGCTATGGGTATCGCACTGTCGACAGATGAAACTGCTGGTACGTTCAGTCTTGCCCTTGTCTGATTCACCTTTGTTTGGAGCCCTTGGATGTCACTTCAGCTACCCGAAGCTCATATGTCAACTATCTTAGTCATATTTGGAGAGGATGTGGCATTTGGCGGTGTCTTTCGATGTACAATGGGATTAGAAGAAAAGTTCGGTAAGCCGACGACAAACGCAGGAAGAGCTGCTACTACTATGGCAACATTCTCAATCCGATGTTGCTTTCACAGGCAAAGACCGTGTCTTCAACACCCCGCTGACGGAACAAGGCATAGTAGGATTCGGCATCGGAATGGCTGCAGTTGGACATACTGCTATTGCCGAAATACAGTTTGCTGACTATGTGTTTCCTGCGTTTGATCAGGTAACGTCCGCCCCGTTTTCCCTCGTGGTTCTATGCTCTGACGACATTCTCCTTCTCGGCCCGAGTAGCTAGTCAATGAAGCAGCTAAATACAGATATCGATCAGGTGCTCAATTCGATGTTGGTGGACTGACTGTGAGAATGCCGTGTATGGCAGTTGGTCATGGTGGACATTATCATTCTCAGAGCCCTGAAGCTTATTTCGCTCATACGCCTGGGCTTAAGGTGAATTTGGAACGCCTAAAGTTTAAGCTTTCTTCACAACGCCAATACCACAAAAAAGCCGTTAATAATCTCATGGAATACAGGTCGTGATACCACGCTCGCCAATACAAGCAAAGGGATTGCTGTTAGCTTCAATACGAGATCGTAATCCAGTGATATTCATGGAACCCAAAATACTGTATCGAGCTGCCGTTGAACAAGTGCCTGTTGGTGATTATGTGTTACCGTTAGGGAAGGCTGAAGTGCTTCAAGATGGTATGGTAGCTTGATTCGAACTATTTTTTTCAGCATTCATTTCAACTGGCCCTCTCTTTTTCAAAAGGCAAAGATATAACGCTAGTAGGATGGGGTTCCCAACTATACGTCCTCGAAAACGCAATCAAGCAAGCTGAAAAGGAACTACCTGGCATAAGTTGTGAATTGATTGATCTGAGGAGTATATTGCCATGGGATGCCGAGACTGTAATCAATGCAAGTCGTTTTTTGAGAAATGTTTTTTTCTTTTTTTGTTCCGAATTTGACATACATTCTTATCCAACCCTTCACTGACCTCTACATTATTCTTTTCAAATTTAGTCGGTGAACAAAACAGGTCGCTTAATAGTAGCTCATGAAGCACCAAGAACTAGTGGATTTGGAGCAGAAGTCGCTGCGACGGTCCAAGAAAAATGTTTTCTGAGACTAGAGTCTCCTATACAGAGAGTCACTGGCTGGGATACACCATTCCCATTGATTTTTGGTGAGTGATTGAGATAGTCTCCGAGTAGAAGAGAGTAGAGCAAAAAAGCAACAGCCCACTTGTTGAATGCCCTGTATACCAACACTTACGCCAACTTTGCCAACCTTTTAGAGAAATTCTACGTCCCTGGAGTAGCAAGATGTGTTGAAGCAATCAAAAAATCAATGGAATTCTGAAAGTGCATCGAATTGGACATAAATGAAGCAATCTTGAGGCTTTAAAATATATCCTATAATGAACGGGACGGGTGTTGGGAGGTTTGTCAGTCCAAAAGAGTTGTGTTTTGAGGAAACATTCGTACGAACACATCCACACAGGAGGTACAGCTTACTCTACGAGAACAGTTCCCATTTTCGCAGGGTCGAGGTTGCTGTATTTCAGTGCCGCCTGGTATCCTTGGTGACTGAGAGAGGAATTGACAGGCGACAAAAATAGACAGAGGATGTGAATGGATTCAGCGATATTCCTGACGACATGAGGCTGCTTACGTTAGATGCTGATTTACAAAACCAGAACGTTCCGGTTTCCAATTGTTGGTATATTCTAGCAAAAACACGCACAAACCCAAAAAAAGACAAATAATATGTACGGTAAAATGTGAGAAAATGAGACACCAAACAAGCCACCACTTTCTGTCTAAATCACCACAACAAGTTATTTCTTGTTCATCTTCGCACTCGAGCATCAACAAATAACCATTGAAAAGGTTGCTTCATTGGTATTATGAGGCGTTTTTTTGTGTCTGAGAATTGCATTGTGACGAGCAAGCCCAAAAATTCGTACATTGAAACTATCAAATATCATACAGACTAGTTAGACAACACCACAACTTGAAATCACATCAGATTAGAGTCTTACCAAACAAGTCCCAAACCATAGCACAACTGCAAAGACAAGGAAAAATGAGTGAAATGATGTCCTTTATATATTTTTTTGAGGGGAAAATCAAAACAATTTGACACGAAACGAGGTTTAAGAAATACAACAAACCCTTGCCAGAGGCCTTCCTTTTACGCCTTTTTCTTACTATTTTACAAACCATCCCGCCACCACACAACAACAACAAACCAACCTTGTCCTCCCTCTTCTTTACTTTACATAGTTTTAACGAGCTCTAACTCGACTCCTAGACACCATAGCAGGCGACGGTAGTCCACCTGCACGTCGACTGGCGATTCGAGGTTCTACAACTTGTATTACTTCACGTCCTCGAGGTGTTGCTCGTGCTGGTGCTGCCACCGCAGACGTGCTCGAACTCCCACCACGAAGAGTTCGGAATGTATCGGCAGCTCTATTGATGATGGTAGCTGCTAATGATCGTGTTGGTGGAGGTAGAGCAACAGTTTCTTCCTCTTCTTCTTCATCGTCAGAAGCTGCGTCAGACTCTTCTTCACCATCTTGTTCATCACCTGCATCATTGTCATCGTCTTCTAATTCATCTTGATCGACTTCAGAGCCTGGTGCATCGTTATCTTCTTCGTATTCGAATTCATTATTGTTATTACCAGCACCAGGTTCAGGGTTTTCATCATCACTATCAGAGACTGGCTCTTCGATTTCTTCTGGATAGTGATTGACTTGGACATCTGAGTCTTCCTCCTCTTCTTCTTCTTCTTCCTCTTGCACTTGGCCATCTATTTCCTCCTCTTCTTCTTCTACTTCTCCGTCATCATCAGGTTCGACATTTCGGAATAATGCATGTCGGAATGGATTCAACTGATATAATATTTGACCTTCATCACCACTACCATCTTCTTCTACTTCTCCTTCCTCGACTTCAGATTCACTGTCGGACGAGTCAAGAGGACGAAGTCCGAGAGAGCCACAATTTTCACAGAACTCTTGATGACGTTGATAGTATTCACAATGGCCGCAGTGCGCAACATATCCATCTCTTTGAGCCTGTGATTGGGGTGGAGAATAGAAATTAATATAGTGAGGTTCGGTGTGGCATCGCGAAAATGTTCAGCATTGGTGCATTCAACGGCGAAAGATTTGGTCTTTCTTGCATCCATTAGGTAAACTTACCAAGTCATCAGCAATAATCACTTGTTCCTCATTGACGGGCGTTGGATATGCAAACCCTCCTTCTAAATGCAACTCTACATCAGCAAAGTCTAGTTGAAGAGAAATATTAAGTTTACTTTCCTATTCCAAACAAAGTCTCATTCATAATCTAAGCCACCAAACCCGACCACATACCTTCATCATCAGAATCCGACTCCTCACCAAGCAAAACAGCACGAGCATGTGCAAGTTCCGCTGCCCCAATCTCTTCACCATCTTCATCAAGCCCATCCTCATCATCGTCCAATTCATCATCTTCGAAATGCATGATTTCAAGAAACCTCCAAGCACCTGGAGCATGGTTCTTGTATTCAGCTTCGGCAAGGGTAAGACGTTGTCGAGACTCTGTTCGTGTAGAAATATCGGTTATGGCATCTACAGCTGCGATTACTTGGTCACGTAATGCGAGACATGGAACTGGGAGATGTGGGCGGTTGAGAGGTGTGCGACATGTTGGACATTCTTGTTTGTGTTGTAACCAGTTTCGGAGACATGAGAAGCAGTAGGAGTGGCCGCATGAACCGAATACGTGAGGTTGTGCCTGGTTGAGAATGCGGGGTTAGAAGACTCGAGTGTGAAGTGGCGAGGGTTGGAGTTAAAAACATGAAAACTTCAGAAGGATCTGGAGCCAAAGAGGCAGGCTCGTGTGATAGGTAGTCGAAATCATCCTCAGACTCACCATAATGTCTAAACATATGTTACACGTAAGGGATTTAGAATGTACATTGTGGGATTCGCGTAATGCTTCCAGTTCTACAAGGTGTTGAGCGACGATGGCATCCTACACAAGATTTGAGCGAAGGTTAGAGGGTATAAAGACGCAACATTTGACCCTCATATGAAAAGCGCAAGCCATTTACGGTCATACTGAAGATGCGGCACGTCACCACCGACTTCAAATATACGATGCAAAACAATAGACAATCATGATACTGAGGTCTCATCCAACCAAATTGCCACTTGTCCCTCACATCGAGACAAAGTCACTTCTCCCAACACATGCATCAGACGTCACTAACCTGTTCAGCCAACTGGGCCTTCAACGAGGTAATAGATGATTCTAGGTCATATTCCTTTGCATTAACGGATTCCTTGTACTGTTTCAGCTTCCTCTTGATACTCTTGTACTTTTCGCCAACAGTTGATGGTGTCGACACCGTTGAAGCAATGTCCACCTCAGAGTCTGCATTAGCATTGTGTATTCTGAGTAAGAAAAGGAACTATGAGATATAACACGTAATGTGACTGGATTTTGGTTGATGACAGAAAAAGCTTGGATGTAAGATTTTCGGTCAGTTACAATACCTTCTACTTCTTCTAGGAGTATCTGGCTGTTCTTGGGCGTCATCGACATCGTTATATACAGGCCTTGTCTCGATGATAAGCTTTTTGGTTGTGAACTGTGCCCGTTGTTCATCATCAGCACTCCTAGTACGTTTTCTCTTTGATGATGACGGCATGGTCTTAAAGCACCTAAACGATTATAGTACAAGCTATTTGAAATGATTTACAGCAGTTGGCTCTACTCGTCGAGGGAAACGACGTGGCCTCTTCTACTAGTACCAGCCCTGGTTTTCCTGAACGCAAAAACGTACACATGCAAGCTTAAGACTTGAGGCGAGACGGGGAGAAGATAAGCGGAGCTAATACGAATGCAATTGAATCGCAATTATAATATGCACGAATCGACCGCATGACGCTGCGAATAATACATTCAGACAAAAAAGTTGAGCTTACACAGCGAACTTTCGTAGCATTTCATAACAATGTGTGCTTTTTATGCCTCCAAAAAGGGGCCTTTTACTCCTAGACAAGATTCCTTTCTTTCTTCACCATCGCCTTATTACAAACATATATGTGATTATCGACGTTTTAGCTGTTTGTGGGGTTTGTGAGTGAAAATTTGACGCGACGGTGATAAGAAGGAAATAGATCTAGAATCGCGTATCAGTTCACGTGCACATTAAATACTTGATGCTCCATGCTCGCTTCCACTTGATGTGTATCATTACCACTCTCCAAACATCCTGGTCTACATTCAAAACACGCTATACAAAACAAACACGATGCCTGGCCGATTAACTGGTAAAGTAGCTGTAATCACTGGAGCTGGATCGTGAGTATCAATCGATTTGGGCATCCCTACCTCCGCATCTATTCTAAATCAGTCCCATACACAAATAGTGGTATTGGCTATGAGGTCTCTGTCCTCTTCGCCAAAGAAGGAGCCCATGTAGTCTGTGCGGATATCAACGAAGTCGCTGGTCGTGCAGTCACCGAGAAGATCAACAAGGAATACAAGCCTACTTCGGGCAAAAAGCCAGTCGCTGTCTTTTCAAAATGTGATGTTGGCAAGGAAGCTGATGTTAAGGCTACCTGCGCGTTGGCGGAGAAAGAGTTTGGTATGGAATGAGATTCTGTATGAATTTTGCCATTGCATTAGTCATCACTAAACTTTTCGTCTAATAGGTAAGCCAACTGTCTTCTATCTGATGGCAGATTACATGGATGAAAGGAATACTCTTCTCATCTGGCAATCCGTTCATCGCTAAAACGTTGTCATTATAGGTAAACTGAATGTCATATTCAACAATGCCGGAATCATGCACCCCGACGACGACAATGCAGAAACCACTCCGGAAGCTATCTGGGACAAGACGTTTACAATCAACGTCAAAGGTGTATGGTGGGGTTGCAAGTATGCTATTCCTGCTATGCGTCGTGCTGGCGGTGGTTCCATCATCAATGTTGCCAGTTTCGTATCTATTATGGGCGCGGCTACACCTCAATTGGCTTGTAAGCATGTTTGATTGGTTGGAAGTTTGATATGAGACTCCCATTCATCTTGGAATCGTATTAGACACTGCTTCAAAGGGTGCTGTACTTGCAATGACGTGAGTGTGGTGCACGTGTGTAAGTGTTTTTTTGTTGACCAAGGTCCAAATCTAACCACTCGTTTGTAGACGTGAACTGGCAGTAATCCACGCTCGAGAAAACATTCGTGTGAATGCATTATGTCCTGGTCCACTCAGAACAAACTTGCTGATGGATTTCTTAAACACGGAAGAAAAGAAAGAGAGACGTCTTGTTCATGTGCCTATGGGTCGATTTGGTAACTATGCATATCTACATATTCTGCTTCTGGTGTGGAAGCTAACTGACATTGCACTGTACAGGCGAAGCTATTGAACAAGCCTACAGTGTTGTCTTCTTGGCTAGTGACGAAAGCACATATACTACAGGGACAGAATTTATAGCAGATGGAGGCATTTCAGCAGCGTATGTGACTCCTATGGGACCTACCACGTCAGTTTCAGTACACAAAAATGCATCTGGAGTGTAGGCGCGGTTTGAGGACACAAAATAGTACCAAGATACGTCACAAAAATATAGATGTACTTTTTTTCTGCCAACACATAAAGTTAAGATTCACTAATCAATGCTATGCGATAAAATTATATACGATGGTACAATAGAAATGTCAGTCCCAATAACAACTAGAGTCATTTCTGTTTACAGCAAGTTCATAGCAGGTCATTTCCCACAAGTGACTTAAAGCTTCTAGAAAATATTTGCAGTCAACGAGTCCAGGCCCTTGAGAGCGGCAGAGAGCGTAATAGCCGTTTTGCTTCCTAAGCTGATACCGAAACAACATATGGTTAGATCTTGATGAGCTTTAGATCTTGAGTAGCTCATCAATGGCTAAAAACAACCGTGTTGTAAATAAAGTTCATACCATATCTAAGCAATCTCAAAGCAAAGGACCCGTTCTTCGTATCGTCCTATTGTGATTATTAGGTTGTTTTCAACAGAATAAGTACCATTGCCAACTTAGAGCTTCTTGCTTCCACCAACAGCATACACCGGCGTGCTTGCTTGACATGTCTTGCAAAGAACACCTCTTGACCGACAAGCGAGGGAGTGCGCGGTACCAACAGCATAGTCTCCCCGGCATTATGGGGCCTACTTCCCACTTTCTCCCTCCCCACGCCATTTTGTAACGTGGACATACGTTACAACGTGGTCAGTCTGGAACCCCGTGGGCGAGCGGGCTGGTGACCGTCATATATAAATGGGCTATGAGCATAGTACCTGGTGGTGGGAAGACGGTCACAAAACTTGAAATCCGTCTTCAGTATGCCGGCTTGAAATGTTGGCCGGCAGGATGCACTCTGGACTGGCAGTGTGTGCCCTTGACAGCAGTATGGAGTAGTGAGAGATGCTGCCTTCCTAGACTGAGATAGAAGCCGTTGCGATGCTTAGATCTATGTTTGAATTTGTGGCAGAAAATAACGTGATTTGTCAAATTGAGTTCTTATCATGTCTAGGACCGCAATAAGCAACCAGACAGCTCTGAATGCCTGGATGGAGTGACTCTCCAGAGCTTCATGCCTATCCTGTCCGGTATCCGCCCTTGGTTTGCTCGTTCTATATTGGTGAACGAGTTTCCTGAATTTGTACGAGTTTGCGATAGAGGAATGCGATTGAAGAAGGGATTGGCTAGTCAAAGAAGACATTCATCGAGTGCTTAAGAAGTATAAATTCGCGTCAGATATTCACAGGCGGTATTAGGTTCTCATTGTGTCTTTGAAGTTTGACACCTTATTGCTGGTGCTCTGCACCTCGTTTTGAGGGAAGCGAGTTAAAAAAAACGGCAGTCCGCTGTTTTGCGTATTTAAAACGGATGATATCAAGAGTATCATTTCACGTGCAATATTACAGAGGGTGATGGTAACAGTGATTCGGCAAATGTTGTAAGAAGTTTGTTTCTTGAACGACGTCCAATTGTCCTAGTACATGCTGCTTGAAAACGTCGCCATTTCCTGTCAAATACGAACAAAAGCGCGACAGTATGCCAAATGGAAACCGATCAACTCTGTTTATTTGTCGCTATCACTCTTCAAACATTTGCCAAATAATATCTACTAAAAACCGCTACTTCTATATATGTTACATCCAACGGTACATCCAATGACTGGCAACCTAATTTTTTGTGTAGTTCTCTCTCCTAAAAATGTGACCTGATAGCTCTGGCAGAAGGCTGATACCCTTCCCCATAATACGAATTCGGACGATACCGTGGTTGTGGAGTCTCTCGTTCCTTTTCCTCCATATACTTGGCACCATATTTCGACGAGAATGGAGAGCTCGTGTCGTATCTCTTTGGGAAGACATAGTATCTGACGAGCGCTGCGACCACAAGAGCAAATACCAAGCCTCCAATGACACCGCCAATGACAAGCCAATTTATACTAGATGCTGCTGGTGCTGCGATGGGAGTAGGTGATGCGGTGACGGTGCTATTGGGAGTCCATCCGTTCCAGAGGTTCATGTTGCAAGTGATTGTTATTTGGTTTCCTGAATTGTCGAGTGCGTATGTTGTTTGGTTGTTTGCAAAGTTTACGTCTCCGGCGTCTAGGATTGCTAGATATGATCGGACTGTAATATTGAGACGTTGTTTGTTAGATCCTCATTGCAGTACAGTCAATTGTACAAAACACGATCAAAATCATTTCATTCCACAATGTACCTCTGGATGTACTTTGTTGCCACAAAGCAGTGGTCGCACCATTGGCACCATTCAACACCATCATCCTCGCATTCAAAAAAGCCCGTAACCAAACAACCTCACTCCCTCCAGAGCTCGGTGGCAGTGCGACAGTATTTGCATTCTGGATGATAGCATTCAAGCTCGACACATCGGTGCCATCTCCGTGCTGGATTATTGCATCATACATTTGTCCTCGAGCCAAAGCAGTAGTGAGTTTCAAGCTATTGGCATGGGTTTGTGATGGGGTGTAGTATATCGATTCGACTTGATCTAGTTGTGTGTTTCGAAATCTTTGGTCGGTTGATGCTGTTGATGTCCATACACTGCAAAATCCTGTGAGTGAGTCCGTTGCGGCTGATGCTGTTGTGTCGAGATATTGGAGGGTGGTGAGGTACGAGGCAAATGGGTTTGTACTGTTTGCGGGCAGTTGAGCCGAGTATGATTTTATCACAGCGTTCATATCTAGAAGGTTTGATTAAAAACGTCGGTTAGTATTGTGATAAACTCCCGGGAAGAGGCGTTTTGCTACTGACCGTGCGTTGCACTTGCAAACCCAACCACACCAGCCGTCAGCCCCCTTCCATCCCCAATATTGCCACAGTATGTATAATTGAAACTACAATTTGATTTGCAAGTATGTGTTAATCTGTTGTTGCGACTGTTGACAGAAGGTATCCCGCCATCGAAGTCATACCTGGGAGCACTGTATTCGTAAATGTTTGAGAGTTGTTGCACGATGGACCTTTGACAAGTGAGAGCCATTCCTGCAACTCACAGCTGCTTTACCAAGCGATATTTTATCTTTGCCAGATCTTTAGGAATCGTTGGTGCGGTCGTTATGTTCGCAGTTAGATTGGTTTTTTCTACTTCCTGCCCCTGGTCCTTTCGTTTGTCTGCTCAAAAAAAATCCAATCAGATCAGGCTGGCTAAAAGTTCTGAGCGAAGTATTAATAGGTATCGGCAATGTGGCAGCAGATCTCGTTCGTGAGATCCAGGTATCTCAAATTTGGTTGAGCAATCCAAAGTAGTGAATGAAAAAGTGAATGGAAGGCTCGATTCATTTTCAGCTCTCGAAGAAAGGAACTGAGGCTTGCAAGTCAGACTCGAGTGAATGCTCTAAACTTGAACGACTATAACAGACTTGCATAACGAGACTTCTCCATAAAGGTCTTGGGTTTAAGGAGATCCTTTAGCCATTTTGAATTGGTCGTTATATTTTGTTGCGAAACGTTGTTCAATATTACACCGCATCTTCTAGCCATTATTGAAGTATTTTCGATACGCAGTCAATGCTAGTATCATCAAACTCTTGCTAGAACTCCTACCTTTCAAGCAATGTCTGCAACGCAGTAGAAGCAAGAAGTTTCAAACAACATAGAACCATACAAGGTATGCGCTCATTTTGGATCGCTAAATAGGCTTAGCTTACTTCAAATCCATGAACGACTTATTAGTAGATCACACTTATTCGGCACAGGTTACCCTGTCACCTTTGTCAATTCACACTCACTCTAGTTGTTTGAACAACCATGAAGCCCTTATTCATCTTGCTATTATTAACAACACTCATACTATCGCTCGCTGGAGCTCAACCTGGTTGCATCGTGGTAAACTGAACATACATTTACAAATTTGAAGCAAAGCAATCACAACTCCAACGAAATCTCAATAAGGGAGGAGATGGCATAGCCATGTGTCTGCCAGTCGGCGACCCTTCCACAAACAACCCTTTTCAGCCAAAACGACCTTCACCCTCACCTTCTCCATCACCGCTTATACCATCGCCACTCCTGACTTCACCCACACCCACCAACACTGACGATGCTTCACCTACACCAACAGACCAACCACCCACACCAACAACATGTACCACTACAATCATCTTTATTACAACTCAAATATATCCAGCTCCCATCACGACAACAGTAACAACGTACGCCACGTCATCATTGGCAACAACCAAATATTATAATTCAAAGTCACGCACCAGGAGGGCACGTAGGATGCGTCCAATAAAACCTCTCAGTCCAACGAAAGATGCACAGGAGTTGAGTCAAGGTGCTGTTGAGGTTGTGTTGAATGATGTGGTCATGGGGATTGTGTTGTTGGTTGTGGCGGTGACAAGCACAGTGTTTGTATTGTGGTGATGATTGTGCTAGAGAGTGCTATATAATAGTGGTGGTGGCCTGGTAGACATATTGTATATGAAAGCAGAGTCATTTGTCAATGTGCCGTATATTGAAACATAGCTATCGTAAGAACGAAGATCCTTTGTTCCTTCTCTGTCGGTTCTGTTTGATTTCATACGGATATCATTCAACAAAAGTTTCATCTTGACTGTTAATACAATGGTCCCAGTTTCAGAATCAACGTGATTCAATAATAACGGGTTTACGGATGTTGGGATGTGGCGTGGCACGACACCTAGATGTTTTCGCCGGACCCAGACTGTGACTGTCAACCTAAAGGAGGTTAGTTTGACCGTGAAATATTGTGGATCTCGAGAAACAAAAAAAAAGAATAACACCCTGCAGCAGGTCTAGCATCCACAGTGACTCCATTGTAACGATGATTGAAGTCCAAAACTAGCTGGAAGAGGGCCAGTTTTGAAATCTCAGCCATTTGTGGTGGATATGTAGCGTTGCAAAGTTTGCATCTTTTCGGGAGTGCCAGTTTCGATGGAATGTCCCTCTTTAATCCAGTTGAGGACGCCACCATCTCGACACATATGAAGATGCTTCGGCCATCATGAAAAGCTTTGGATGTCCCTACTGAATTGAGAGAGTGGCAGAGAATAAATGTGAAAGAGATATGAATCCATATTGGGTGCAAGCACAATGGATGAAAGCCAGCTGAGAAATCTCATTGTAATTCCATGTGTAAAGGGTGCTCGTACATGAATTGGGCACTTGGATGTCTTTGCCTTTCCCTTAGGATTTCCCAGGGAGCTTTCAAACCCCACGTACACCGGAGAAGGCATGGTTCAAGCAAAAAAAATAGACGGTGATAATGTCAAGTCATAATCACAAGACTTCGTATATCACAACCAAAATTTTCTTGAAACAGCACCAAGCCAAAGCCGAATACATTGAAGAACCATGACATTGTTCAAACTGAAAGTAAAAATTTCACCCTTAACAAGCAAATCTTTGTACATCATGCATCGTATTCATTCAAATTTGGCAATACATTATCAATTAGCAGCAGACTTCTTTGGCGTCTGTTTGTTGGAGCCCCATTCAGTCCAGCTTCCATCATACAACACGACTTGCTCTTTCCTCCCTAAAATCTCAAGTGCGAGATTGATGACTGCTGCTGTTGTTCCACTCCCTGTAAAATGAAGCTCATTAGAACAAAACAAAAACACGCAGAGTACAAGGAATTCATACTAGCACAGTAAAATGCAAACTTTCGTCTTACCACAAGAAGTAATGATCTGTCTCGGGTTTGTGAAATCAACACGAATACCTTTCAGCAATTGTTTTATCTTGTCTGTAGACACCATTGTTCCAGTTTCAGAATCGATGAGATTCATGAATGGGAGGTTGACTGATGTTGGGATGTGGCCTGGGACGACACCTAGGTGTTCGCGTGGGTCTGGTACTGTGCCTGCAAACCTATTATAGAAAGCTTGTCAGCTAACAATACGAGCCACCCAAAAAAAGCGAACAGGCACTACCCATATACCTTGCAGCAGGTCTGGCATCAACAATAACTCCATTATCAGGATTACTGAAATCGGAAACTTGTTGGAACAAAGTCTTGAAATCAATAACCATTTTTGGCTGATATGTAGCATTGTATGGTTTTGGTTGAAATGTTTTTGGAGCGCCAGTTTCGACGGGATGTCCTTCTTTAATCCATTTGGGGAAGCCACCATCTAGAACTGATATTGATTGATGGCCGAAAGCTTTGAATGTCCCTTTGATAGAGAAAAGAAAGTTAATTAAATGTGTCGATATTGATAGTGATGGAAATCATGAGTATATGGTTTAGGATATTCTTTCGGCTAAGACACCTTATTGCAAATCAAATCAATGCGTGAAGGCTTCTATCATTTGGCCACTTCCTTTCCAAATGAATTGTTCCTCATAGGATTATAAAAACCACCACTGCAAACGACAGTTTGCGAAGCGAACTTACACCATACACGTGGAGCCGAAAAGATACCCAACGCATCATACACGATAACATGATCAGTTTCCGATATCCCCATAGCACCAACATGTTTGGCAAACACTTCAGCAGTTGGTAACATGTGTGGGAGTTTTGTATCGTGGTCTGCGATTAAGTCCAAGTCAAAGTATCGTGCTTCCTGAGAATATTAATTGTGAGTAGAATCAGCAAAAAACGTGAATGTAGTCTCAATTTTTAACTCACAGGAATTCGTTTCTCATTGTATTCTTTCAAACCATTCCTTGGAACAGTTCCAGGTGGATTCAGAAACCAGGTACCATCAACGACAGTAACGTTTTTGAGATTAGAGGCTAGCCATTGGGTTGTAACCAATGGACTAACTATGTGATGAATGTTTGGCTTAAGCTTTCAAGCTGTTGAGAAAAACGAACAGCAAAACAGGCTTCAACAAGATAATCAGCGAAATTTTGACAAAATGATTGAAATCACTTGTTGTTATAGCTGCCAAAGCTCCAAACTTTGAGCTTCAAAATGTTCCAATGTTGACAAAACAAGTTTCCAGAAAAACACAGAACAGAAGTAATAGATACCTTGCGGGGCAGTAGACATTGCTCTGATATGATTGACTGTTGCTATGATGCGCCTCGTTGCTGGTCTCAATAACAATCGCGACATTTGTGAAATTGCACCACGCTGAATGTTTAGTAAAGGATTTAAGACATTGAAACGAGATGAACAACAGATTATGACGCGTTTCATACACTGTGCTGTCTTGTACAATGCGATTGACACGTGAAAACGGATCCGATGTAGATCTGCCTGATTCTATTCTCGGCTACATGATCAAGCGAATCTACTCGACTTCTCACCACACCAACACAACCAAAGAAATCGACCAAACAAACTCCAATCGGAACAAAATGGGTATCAAAGTTGATGGATATGTTGCTTCAGCCGTCTTTGAACGTGAGTGGATGTTTTGCTCCCTCTTCCTCGTGCAAAAAATACTTTGAGATGTTTGTTACTTAATCATTTTTTCCTTGTAGAGATGGCTGCCAGCTTAAAGGTGACTTCATGACAATTTTGGTGTTCATTTGCAGCTGAAGATTCTAACCAAACATATCTCTCCTCAAAGAGCCAATCTGACGACCAACGAAAGGTAATCTCATTGTTTTCCCAACTTTTACCAAACTTATCAAGAGTCTAACCGCATAATCACCATTCAATTCAGGCAATGGTCAAGAAAACTGCTGGAATCTTCCAATTTGGTTTGTCACATCTCCCTTCTCCGCTGTCATCAGATCTTTCTCACTCAACCAAATCAACACCTACACACCTTAGACGTTAAGGGCAAAGATGGAAAAATCCAATCCTGGTATTTCGACTTGAAGGATGGTACTGGTGAAGTTGGCGTAGGTCCCGCTGACAAGGCTGGCAAGAAGGCTGGTATGTGAAAGTGTACAATTTAGATGTTGTGGTGTTGCCATCACTAAATCACCTTGCAAACAATAGGTGTCACTTTGACTGTCGCAGACAAAGACTTGCTAGACATGTCTTCTGGAAAGTTGGACGGTCAACAAGCCTTCATGAGTGGTAAACTCAAGTTCAAGGGTAACATGTCGGTATGTGGATCCCTTGGTCGTCCTTGAATACAATGCTGGTGCCTAACATTGAGTCTTGCACCAGCTCCTCATGAAACTACAGAGTGTCTTTGCCCAGAGCCGAGCAAAGCTTTGAAGTGGATCTCTCTGCATCCTGTTTTGTCCACATTTCTGTCTACCTCAGTCTGTTTTTTTAAAAAGCACCACAATAAAGCTGTATTTCTGAATTCATAACATTCAGCCTTGTGGTTTCTTTGGGAGATGGGTTTTTTGGTAGTTCAGGGAATGGGCGAATCCCAATTGCCTTGTCACAAAACCAGGTCAAACTAGCACAGGCAAGTTCATGATCGAAATGTCAACTTGAGAAAACACAAAGAATACTGACTTGAACTACTTGACTTTATATTTGTGTTGATTTGAAAAAAGCCTTTTAGCGAAATGCAATATCGACAAGGAGAAGGTAAAATAAAACATTTGGACTAGTCTTTAAAAAAGTGATGAGAGAGAGCATCGTTACAACCAAGGCTTGATATACAGTATGACAACAGAGACTTTCCCATCTTTTCCATTCGGGTTTACAAGAATACAGCAATAGTGACACCCAGCATCACGAACATTACCAATCCAGCAGTAACAACGTGCATATTGGACTCAGCACCTGATGACGACCCAGTTCCTCCATTTCCTACTCCACCTCCTGCACCAGTTTCCTTTGGCTTTAGTGTAGCTTGACCTTTTTTACCCCTTCCACCACCAGTAGCCTTAATTGGTCGTAAAGTAGCTGCCCTAACAGTTGTAGTACCAACAATCTTGTTTGCGGGACGTGTCATGGTACTAATTGCTGTTGTAGCAAACAGTTGTTGGATTGGTCCAGCTAGTGCAGCAGCGGCAACCGTGATTTGTGGTTGTGACGTGGCGCTTTGAAGTTGTTGAGCAAACGTTGCGATGTTTGATGGAGGTGCAACACGAGAGGGCGATAATGGTGATGATGATGCTATTATAGATGGTGGTGATGATGGTCGTTGAGATTCCACGGCCGTTGGAGTGAAAATGTCTGTGGGTTGTGCGCTACCAGTTGGGCATATCAACTGGTTGCCAGCCTAGTTTCAAGAGTTGATTGGAAATGGAGTGGATGGATCAGTATAATGATATGATGTGGTCGTTTAAATAGAAACGACAAATTTGTTCATGATTTAGGATGATCGACTTGGTTGATGTTGATGATGGCCATGTACCTGGACGCAGCCAGAACCAGGAGTTTGAGCCCATGCCAATGACATCAACATATATAATAGAACTATATATTTCATCGTTTCTTTATTATCACCCACAACCTAGGGCAGATCAAGTAAAAATAATATTAACATGTGACGGAATCGGAATAGGAAATCAATTCAAAGGAATGAAGAATGGAGGATGATTGATCGCCACTTACTTGCTATATGTCTCGATTTGGATTCTTGGAGGCTCTCCAGCTTTGGAACTGTCGCTTCGTGATGTTTTGACAACGAGTGAGTGGAGTAACGTTTTTTCGAAAGATCGAGGGATGAAGGTTGAAAGATTTGGAAACCTGGCACCTTCGATCATGTTAAATCGGCGCCATTTGAACGATCGAGATCAAGAAGTATCACACGATCAACGTTTCTTTGTTATTGAAATTTGTTTCTATACAAGATGCTTTCTATAAAAGTTATAATACCCCACAAATCTGATATCTTACACACTTCTCTCACGTATATATAGGTATACTCACAATGTGATGATCGTGACAACCAAGGTGACTACAACCATTCCGACAAACAAGGTGACGTGGACTACATTGCTGCCTACACCACTACCGACAGATTTGCCAACGACATTACTGGGTACTGCAGATGACATCGTAACGCGTGCAGGTGGCCTGGTTGCGAGTTTGCCAATGGTGGATTTGCCAGTAGTGGATTTGGTGGTAGTTGATGATTTAGTGACGCGTCGTGTGATAAGGACAGTAGATGGAGAAGTAGGGAAAAGTGGTGTTGGCGTCAAGTTATCAGCTGACGTTGGAGATGGAGGGATTGCAGTTGGAGTTGGAGTCGGCGTAACAAAGATGTATGGGACTGGTGCAGCTAGTCCTACTGGGGTTCCAACTGCTTGTTGAGTATTGGGGCATATGAGGATACCATTTGCTCCCTATGATGCCGATGAGAATAGTCGAATGTTAGTTTGATGATATTGAAGCTTGACGATCAATTTTGATATGTTTGGTTTTTATCATCATGTACGAGATCATTCGTCACCCCAAAAAAGGGGGAGAAAAATGATGGAGATTGATGATACTGATCAATGGATGATCACGGTCTCATTCTTTGATCATTTTCTCAAGTACTTTGATGTCATTATTGAATGACATATCTGCACATGTTGATGTTGATGAACATGCCAACGAATGGACGTACCGTAATACAGCCATCCTGGGCCATGGCACCTGCCATCATGAGAGTGATGAATGTCAAGATGTACACGATAGCCATGTTTGTCATTGTTATATGGCTGGAAATGGTAGAGACAAATAGTCAGTATTTTTGGTGAAGAGACTGTGTTGAATTGAAGAATGATGAATGGAGTGATGAATGGATCATATCATATCAGGACTCACTTACTTTGCTTTTTTCTTTTGTTTTCGTAGATCTGTATTGTTATCGTTTTTACTCTTTTTGGTGTGTTTGGGGAAGCGAACGTGTGGGGGGTCAAGAAAATCAAACCATTTTGGATGGTGTGATAAAGTTCTTTATGAGGAGACGAACGTGTTTTCTACGAGATATTGGACGTGGACGCGTGCCCAAACATGACTATGTGATGATTTGGCGACAGGAACCAAAAACGCGACTGCACTTGGAAGGAAGTCAACACCGGCACTTAATTCGTAATCCAATTAGCTAAATTCATTATGGATCATGCTCTACTACGCATTGCAATCACAATCAAGCCCTACTAGTCTTCAGCAGACGCTTCACCTGCCATCCCATGCCTTGCCATAACCCTCCAAATCGCATTACACACCTCCACTCCACACTGATGAGCACTACGATGATTCTGTCCCGTGATGACGCGTCCAGAATCATCCACCACACACCGGCTTTCAAATTTGCCAGACTTTATCACACGTGCACCATGTTTGGCAAGTACAGTTTCAGGCCAGATGGGAGTCGTAGGATGCGAGTCTTGTAGTTCTTCGTTGGTGCAGCATGTCATGTTGCGGCCTTTGACCATGTATGCTCTAAAGATGAGCAATTATTGAGAACTAGGCAGAACTGTCACCTTCTGCTTTCTGTCCCACAGCACCACAGTCACGTACCCAGTTTCAGAAATCTTACACTCAAGAATCCCACAAACACCTTCTGAAATAGCACATACAACACCTCCGTGAGAAAAGACTGATGATGTAAATGTCTGCACCAACGCATTGTTTGGTAAATCGTATAATGATGCGATACATCCAGGGAAGATGACACAACAGTAATCTCTCGCGTGGAGGTCGTGCAAGTCTCGAATGGTATGGATAGATTCGAGGGCTGAAAGTGCTTCGTGGCTAATTATGTTTGTCGGGATGAGATCTTTCGGCGAAAAAATGATAGAGAAGCTAAAGTTACCAGTCACCATCCATTTGAGCACGGTTCACAGACTCGAGATTCTTTCCAAAATGGCCTCCCTATTGCCAAAGCAAATGAACGATTGGTTTCAGCACACAAATTCAAGATGACGCATGTAATCATAATGATGTGAATCATAATGACATAAACCTTTGGCGAAGCAAATACAATTTCGAAATCCTTGAGACATGCGTAGCAACCTTTGACTATTGTAAATTGAGGGATTTGATTAGAGCGAACGGTCAGCCAAACAAGAGGAAGTGCGAGAAGTCCTCAACATACTTAGCAAAGCAAGCTGATACATATCAGTTCCATAACTGTCATTCTCGCAATCGCTGAAAATTACTAGGATTCGCTTGCATTGGGCGTAATGCATTGTTGTTTGGTCGTTTCCTGTTGTGGACGTGTTTTTCTGGGAAACGAGGAATACTTCATCGCGGTACGAAATTATGGTAAAATAGCAGAAGCAATGACGAGAAACGATTCGGCCGGGTTTGAAAATCAAATTTCGATTTTATTCATGAGTTTTTTTTACCAAACTTCATTCATTTTTTTAAAGCGCTCCCGGCCAAACTTTTACCATTCTCAGCAAAACATTTAAAGCTTGGAACCAGCTGTGAGCAAAACAGCGACACCGCCACCAATGGCGACAACACCAGTTTCGACAATTCTAGTCTGGAAGGCGATCAATTGCTTGTTTCCTTCAGTTCGTACCAACCACATTTCAGTGGATAGAGTTTGGCCTGGTAGAACCATGTTGGTGAATCGGCCCCTGTGCAAGTTATATCGTGTTGAATGTAATGTTTCCGAAAAACGACATCGAATGGTCAGCGGCAGAACTTTTTTTGCATCTTTGCGTACCTCATGCTCTTGAAACGTAAAGCATCGTTATCACAGTAGGCCTTCAACAAAGCTCTAGCAGCATGTCCGTAAGAACCCAAACCGTGGAGAATGGGTACTTTCATTCCGACTTTGCCAGAGAACTCTGGGTCGATGTGAAGCTATTCAAGGGTAAATGGTCAGACATATCTCACTTGAGAGCAACGAGTACAGAAAAGGTCATGGGCATCGGATGGACTTACAGGATTGTAATCACCAGACAAACGGTAGATAACAGCTTGCTGTTGCAAAGTCTTGTACGTGACTACCTTGTCAGCTGGCCGGTTTGGTATTTGGGTGTCCAAGCTGGGTTTTGGTGGTCTTGGACCTCCCTATAGGGGAGAGAAAAAAACGACATTTCAGCCAGCAGATTTGATGTTTCCCACGCTAATTCTGATTCACAGTCTCATCACAACGCCATATCAAGTGGCAACGGATCCTTATTAAAACACTTACAAATCCACCAGCATCACGAATGAAACCTTGGCCGACGAGCTTAACGTATTCGACACCGTTCTTGTCGGTTATGAGATTTTCGGTTTCGATAATTGCGGCTTTACCGACATCGTATACTATACAAGAAGTGTCAAGTCAGCAATCTGTTACACTAGCTGAAAAAGTTCGTAGCGCACAAATATGTATACCTCCTGTAGTCTTGGTCTTGATCAAGAAGTCACCCCCAAGAGGCATTGGGCGAATGATTTCAATGTATCGTTCACCCTATAATGTAGATTTGAATCAGTCCAAACACAAGCACTCTCCTGTAACAACCCAAAACACAACCACAGTGATACTCACGTCCAACCCCTTTCCAGGTTCAATCTTGATTCCGGGAATTTGGCCACGGTTTCCTTCACTTGAAGCCTTATAAGACCATACGAAAATGTCAAAAGCGTCAACTAAGTGTGCTGTATGGATGCGATGTAACACACCTTGACAAAGTCAATAACATCATTGCTCATTCCTCGGAAGGGCAAGACCAATGGGTATGTTGGGATTGCTTGGAAGTCCTTGTCTAAGATTAGAAATTCATGTCAGCATCCGCATGCCTCATGGAACAAAAGTGATGCAATATAGCTTCCACGATGTCCTACCCAATTCGTACTAGATATAGCAAGATGTTAGACCAATGCATCAAAAGCTGTATAGAAGCAAACACTTACGACAAACTTGAGCTCATCAGCACCAATTCCAATAGCGTAGAGGATTCTAAATTGGGGTACATGTCAATTGTAACGTTCGGCATTTGAAAAAAGACGAACGCAGACATACAAGTCACGCTTGTTGAATCTTGTTGGAGTGACAGTCTCGGGAAGCTTGGAAAGATCTACTGGAGGCATGGTTGCTAGAGGTTACTATTTGTATTGGTAGTTGGTTACTGTTCTGGTAGTTTTTCGTGGGGAGTGCTTTTGTGACAGGAAGAAAAGACCAGGTAATGTCGCGACAATACACCTGTATACCACACTCAACAACACTACTATTGGTTCCTATTGCTATTATAACGCGTCTCCCACCAGTCCACAAGGAGCTGTACGCAAAAACAATGATTGCGGACATTCAAAGCGGTGACGTCTTATAGCGGTCGCTCATATCAAGCTATAAAGAGACTAAGTCCCCCTGTATATCATCTCATTATACTCGAATCTTTGCTTGTTTCACCACGCGACCCTTTACGAAACAGGAATCTCTCAAGCTAATCACCACCAAGAAAAGATGAAACAAATCGTTACGCTCACTCGCAGCTCGTGTGAGAGTGACTGACGCGTTCTAGCAGTTGTAAGCTGATTTCTACACTCTTGGATGTTTGGGAATATGGAAGTTGATTTTGACAAGATCGTTTTTTTCTGTTCTTAATTGTACATATTTTTGGAGGTATCTTTCATATCATCTCACCACGCCTGTGTTTTCATCCAACACGTCCCATTTCACATCTCAACACGACATCATGAAGTAGCAATAACATTACATAATATTGCGGCTGGGACAGAATATGCCTCTATACACCACTAGCTTCGTCGTCCTCCATTATTCTGCTATTACCAGCTGGAACTTCACTGTTCACCGACTTGGCACGCTGAGTATTGGATCGGTATTCAATGGATGCCTTTAAAGTGTTTCCGAATGCTAGATTAGCAGCGGCTCTCAGTGTAAACGTTAACATTGATATGTTGGCGTCAAACAGAACTGGTAATGTGGTCCTATCAAGAACAGGTTGGATCTGAGTCTTTTTCTCTTCTTTGTTACATGTGAATCTTAGAACACAAGAACTTACGTGAATCCCAAAATTTTGGCAATGATATCAATGATGATTGTAAACCAAATCAACAGATACACTAGTGCAAAATTCCTCATTGGAGAAGCAGCAGTAGCAGCCATCCATGATCCTTGAGATGCTGTATTTGGGACTGTTGATGGTGTTCGACGTGGTAGAGTGACCTTTTTTGGAGAGCTGGGAGCGTCCTTCATTGCCGAGCTTTCGATACCTGCTTGAGATTGCCACATTTGTCGGAATAGCGCAATGTCACTTAGCATGGCAAGGAGTTCGGAAAAGAAGATCTACATTTTAGATTAGGGATGTTATGGTATGAGTTTGTTTGGGATGTGGGTTTTTGTTTGGGGATTGACAAGAGGGCGAAAGGGTCATCAGAATCAGAGACAACATGAAAACACACCAGAGTAGCCAAGATGTACGGTTTGAAGGTTGCGGCGTATAGTGGATCAGCGACAATCACTTCGCCGTTTGGGAACTAGCAAAGAAACAAACCCTTCGTTTAATTCATGTGTTTGTCACGAAAACGAGGAAGCAAACTTACGTGATTTCCAACAACGATATACACAGGAATCAAGAAAATAAATGGCAGGATATATAACAAGGAACACCACTTGTTGAATCGTTCCAAGTCGCTATGATGGATCCTCTTGCTTGAATTGATGGCAACGTAGAAGCGAGTGAGGGAATTATGTATGACTATCATTAAGCCAACCTATCAGAACCCAGGAGATTGTCAACGTTCAGCAAAAATTCGTAGTCAAGCCAAGCAATGTTACCAGAATGAAAAAGTTCATAAACACAATCAATACATCCCATGCCGGATCGGACGTCCGAACAGCTTGGAGACATACGACAAACATCTGGTTAATGGATGCAATCAACATGAGCAGCGTTAGGCAGCGCTGACGGTCACGGTCGGAGAAGATGGTCTTCCATCTTGGAAATCCATGAATACCAAGCGCTAAAGACATGGAATCAAAGAAAAAAGAATTTTTCAGAATACGAGCAGACCGAGAAGCGGAATTGGCTAATTTTCTGCTGTCAATCAACACATACCAACGATATTCAATGCCAAGTTTGCACCAACGATAAATGCCCCAACCAACACGGGGATTGCAGTAGGTATAGCTATTCCAACCACCATTTTCCTTAAACCGTCCTACGGGGCACACAGATGACAAACGGACTTGACCAACAAGAACGAGTTTAAATTTTTTTGATTTCCGAAAGTTTGTTTTCTTAAACGAAGGCGTGAGGGTGGACATATACCTCGAATCAAATGACAGCCTGAATATTCCCTGAGTGATCCTGAAGCTCCCCCAATCCTGAGGGTTGGCTCATATAGATATTGTTTCCGACCTGATTTCCTTCGTGTGTAAATGAGGGTCGAAAGTGGTTGATAGGATCTTGTGAGGGATGCAAGAATTCCAGTTAGAAAGCAAGCAGCATGATGTCATGTATTGATCATGACTTGCTTTGAGTTCGTGTTTTGAAACGAGGCTATCTTATATGCGAAATATCGAGTGCACGTGATAAACGCTGTGTATGAAGATTATGACATAGAATTGTAGTATAGCAGTAGGTAAAAACGCTCGATTTACGTGTAATGTACAATAGAAAATGGATGTAAGTGAATATTGGCTCTTGAAGTGAGCGATCGTATAGTGTATTATGTCGGCTCTCGAAGACGGAACTGATTTTTTGGTCACTTTCGAGACTGGATAAAGAATAAAAGTCAAAATTGAAATAGTACGGAGAGAAGCACCAGAGACCGTCCGCTAGTGCTATGCTCGGTCCAACGCGAAATTCCAAAGTCCCAAAATCACTCGATAAACAACAACCTTGTTGATATACGAGATGTAGAGGTTTCAATTCTAGAGAATTTTTACAACTGTTTGGGAAAGCATCCTTTTACATCATCACCACATCACCCACCCGCACACGTCATCCACACAGACAGAGAGAAAGAACAAAAACTACATAATCATAGCCCCGTTGCCAAAACACAGAGAGAAACTTATGCGTCATTAGATTCCTCATCCATCACACGGCTATTACCAGCTGGAACTTCACTGTTGAATGATCTGGCCTTCATGGTAGTTTGGCGCTGCTCAACAGCGACTTTTAATGTGTTTCCAAAAGATAAGTTTGCACCAGCTCGTAAAGTAAAAGTCAACATGGTTATGGAGGCGTCAAAAAGAACTGGTAGTGTAGTACTATTGAATGGGGAGAAAGGAGTCGAGCGTGAGCATCGAGACCAATAGAGACCCAATTGAAACACCTGCAACACTTACGCAAAACCCAATATCTTGTCGGTGATGTCCATAGCAATTGTGACCCAAATCAAGATATAAATCAACATGAAATTTCTTACAGCGGAGGTTGAAGATATCCAGGATGTGTTGTGACCACCAACAGTTCCTGTTTGTGTTTGTTGTTGTTCGGTGGTGTATGATCCACGACGTGCGCCGGTTCCTGAGACGGACATTTTTCTTGGGTTGGTAGAAGGAGCATTCTTCATTGCCGAGCTTTCGATACCGACTTGAGATTGCCAGATTTGACGGAAGAGGGCAACGTCACTTGACATTGCGAGGATTTCGGAAAAGAAGATCTAATTGTTGGAAAATAATGGTGAATGCGCGATTCTGAGGAAGGCTTGCATGGAAAACGTGGATGCCGCAACAAATTGCATTTTTAAAACAGAAGGGCGTAATCTGAAACTCACCAGAGTGGCTAATATGTAGGGCTTGAATGTTGCGGTGTATAGGGGATCTGTGTTGAAGACTTCTCCAAGTGGGAACTATTTGCAACGAGAGAAGAAAATTTGAATGTTAGAAAAATGTTGACGCAAAAAACCACGTCAAGTCACGTCACATACATGATTTCCAAGAACGATGTAAACGGGAATCATAAAGATGAATGGTAATAGGTACAACAAGGAGCACCACTTATTGAATCGTTCCAAATCCGAATGCTGAATCCTGCGGGTCGAATTCCTCGCAACGTAGAAACGATTCAAAGAGTTGTGGATTGTAATCATCAGTCCAACCTGTTGAGACGAGGTGTGTGTAAGATGCATGACAACTCGAAAGATAACTTCCGGGGTCAGAGACAGCACAGCTGACTAGAGGCCGAGCCGAGCAAGTTTTACCAGAATGAAAAAGTTCATAAACGCCAGCAAGATACTGTATAGCGGATCAGCTGTACGAACTGCTTGAAGCGAGACTACAAACATTTGGTTGATGGATGCAATGAGCATTAGGAGAGTGAGGCCACGTTGTCTATCACGATCAGAGAAGATGGTCTTCCATTTTGGTAGACCGTGATTAGCCAACGCTAAACACGATCAAGAATAGAGGAAGGGATGGAAAAGTTAATGTAAATAATAGTAGTCTTCAAAAGGGTAATATTAAACCTGACGCAAAATTCACTTCTCATCAATCAACACATCCGTCACATACCAACAATATTCAATGACACGTTTGCTCCAGTGAGAAAGGCTCCAACCAGTATTGGAATGGAGGTCGGTATAGCTATCCCAACCATGTTTATACTACCACGTTAAAAAGAGAATTATAATCCAGCTGCAGCTTCCCAATTTTTGATTTTTAGAGTTTGCGACGGAGGTTTGTATGTTTGCACTAGGAACCCCCCAATCAAACAAAAGTCCTGGATATCCGAAGAGCGGAAAAGCAAGGAAGAGTCACATAATAGGGTCGTTATGCTGCCGGGGTTCGTTTTCGCGTTTGGATCCTGAGTTTTTTTAAGGAGGAAGAGGAAAATGATTGTTTTGGTGGCAAGTGGAATTTTAGGGATTTAAAGAACTTCCAAGTAAGAATCGCGTGTAAAATCCGATTGATGGAGGTCTCTATGTGTCGTTTATGCCGTGTCGGTCCAACACGTGATAAAACGTGTTGGTGAGGAATGAAGGCTATAATTCTAGTATTGCATGGAATAGAGAGATCCCTGTGCTATACTGTCTTCAAGAACTCAAACAAACCGCCCCCTTCAAATGTTTATACAAGTGGTTGTGGGATGCATTTGTCTGTTATCATACAACAATAGATT